ATATTACTATTTGCATCATAACAGTGTGTCGAATCAGAGAGGATGAGAACATGAATGGTATCTACTAGTACTGGGAACATCTGCTTACGGTAGCCTATTGCAGGAACATCGATGTGTATGAAAAAGCAATGATAAAACTAAGAAAAGGGACATGTAATGAACCTATGCATTGTATGTGAGATACGACTATTAATACAAGATGCGTGTATGCTCACCCATGATAAGAAAGAATGAGCAGTGATTCCCTCGTAGTAGCAGTAGATCAAAAGCTAAAGTTACTTCCCTCATTATTAGGTATCCAGGCACAAGAACATAATGTTTCTTCTAATCGGTTGATATCGACACACACAAAACAGCCGCTTCTCTATTGGATACTGTGGCCTTAGTGGAACATTATGTTGTTTAAAGTGTCAATTGTCACCACAAAGGCATCTCACCTATTTACGGTTCGTTGGGTAATTCACGTGCATCTCCCATCGGCCGGAACGACATCCGTTTTGAGTCCGCTGCAAATGTTGATTTCTTTTTCTTTAGCTTTTGAACATGTTATCCGATAGCCAAAGTAAGTAGTACCTTCCAGCCGCGGTCATTTGCATTGCTCATGCGCAAGATGCTTTAGAAATCGGTGTTGGTCTTACTGCAGTCGGCGTATTGTTTATGCTCATGGGCGTGTTTACATTCTTTGATGCTGGTCTGCTTGCCATGGGAAACGTAAGGGAGAATAGTACTTGGATGGATGGATACTCAGGTACTTAACCAAAGGGTTTGGTATAGATCCTTTTTCTTTCAGGCATCACCTTGACGATTGGCATGCAGCGTACGTTGACCTTTTTCGCGCAAAAAAACAAGATCCGTGGTACTATTTGTTTTATTGGCGGCATCGTGCTTGTGTTTTGTCGATGGGCTATCATTGGTATTGCTATTGAATTGTTTGGCATCTTGAACTTGTTTGGGTAAGAGGATCGGTTTGGTGATCTGATAGGGTCATGCAATGATGGCGGCCCTGACATTGCGTTTATAGTGATTTCTTCCCTCTTGTCTTTGCTTTTCTTCGTCGATTACCCATTATTGGATCCGTATTGAGTCATCCAGGCCTTACCAACGTAAGAGTGGTGTTTATTTTTAGGTTACGCATACACCAGATTGAATTAATGTCCAATTTGATCCAGGTATTCGATCGATTCTATGGACCAGCGCTTCCGGTCTAAACCTCATTGTTTGTAATCAAGCACCATGTACACTTTTACGACCTATTTACAACTATTACCATTACTACAACTACTACTATAAACGCTAATACGACCTATGAAAATGGGCATACCTTGAGAACAATGCAGCAACATCTGAGATTCTTGGATATGAGGATGGCTTACGCCAATGGGGAGTATGTGCGCACACGAGGAGAAAGGGGGTTGGTGATGGGGATGATTGGCTTATAACATCCAGCAAGCACCTTGTTATAATTCCACGCACAATGACGATCGTTTATAGTCGATATGGTTAGGATATCGTGTATGTGGGATAATGGACACTTGGGCTTGCGTGATATGATGGATATGATTGGTTGCAGTAAGGAGATTAGAAGGAGCAGCTTTTTATGCAAATGCAGGCTCATTTTGTTCACAAGTTTTGGGGTAGGAGACGATGAGAATATGCCGAACAGATCGCTGCATTACTTGCATGACAAGGGCTATTAGTACCAACTTGGCAACATAACATAGCTTCCGTAAAATCATTCATAGGGTTGAGGTTGCCAAAGATAAAGTAAGATAGTATGCTGTTACAAACCAAGAAGTAAAGAGATAGGGTACAAAGAACCCAAGGATAGCGTGCCTCCTGATATGCGTCTACAAAACACATTTTAAAAAGGTAGACATATCCCTGCTGATAGTGAGAGAAAAACCAAAGGTTCTTTCTTTCCTTTCTTTTCCTGCTTTTCACTTTTTCACTTTCTCAACCAACAACATGTCTGTTACCATTAACGATACCTCTGAAGAAGCCAAAATGATGCGGGAACTTCATGGTCAGCTTGTTCTCGATGAACGAGGGTTTCTCAAAAAGGTCACTCAAAAAGATCCTCGATTGAACAAGCAAGTCGCCGACCAATACTATAGCCATTGGAGTAAAAAGGAGACCGAGATCAAGGATAACGAATCATATGTCAGCAATCGCCGTGAACAAGCACAGAATATGACCAATGCATTTTATGATTTGGCAACCGATTTCTATGATATGTATCTAAAGTCTACTAGTACATGATGATTCTTTGTAAGCTAACTTACCCACACAGTATGGTACGTGTGTAGTGGATGAGGAGATGAAAATGTGAGTAAGGATGGCGAGACCTAAGGTATCATTAGGGTGGGGTCAATCGTTCCATTTTGCTCGGCTTTACAAAGGTATGTATCATAAAAATGGACGTGCTCATGATAAAAAAGGCTCATGCGGTTGTCACCAGGCGACACATTTGAAGAAAATATCAAACGACACGAAGCATTTTTAGCACTCAAGCTTGGATTGAACAAGGGAATGCGAGTGTTGGTAAGAAGGGAGGCAAAAAAAAAGGTCATGAGCAATCAGCTTATGTGTATTGCATAGGATGTCGGATGTGGTGTAGGTGAGTGCTTATCATGCAAATACAAGTCGTAAGCTGATGTAGTGTCACCACAACAACAGGCGGACCACTGCGAGAAATTGTAAAGTCATCGGGTTACGCACATGTCACAGGTATCAACAATAATGCATACCAGATCCAGCGTTGCTTTGCTTATGCGGCAAAGTATGGTCTCGAGGATCATACCGATTTTGTAAAGGGGGACTTTACGAGAATGCCCATGGAAGATAATACGTTTGACGCTGTGTTTTCGGTCGAAGCAACGGTACATGCACCAAGACTCGAGATGGTATACAGCGAGATTTATCGTGTTCTAAAGCCTGGTGGTCGATTCGCATGCTATGAATGGTGCACAACACCCAGCTATGATGAGACGGATGCAGTACAACGACGTGTGATCCATGGTATTGAGCAAGGCAATTCAATTTCCAAATTGTATTCGACGGCCCAATGTTTGACAGCAGCCAAATCAGTTGGCTTTAAGGTTGTTGAGGAAGGCGATCTTGCACCTGTTGATAATGCCACCGAGCCTTGGTACAACACTTTATCGAAGCCACAAGGTGTACATGGCATTTTACGATCTCCTTGGGGTCGATTCTATACACACAGCCTATTGACATTTCTCAACAAATTTGGTGTGGTCCCTCCAGGTGTTCTCGAGACATCCCAACTACTCAATAATGCTGCTGAGATGCTTGTCGCAGGTGGTAAAATGGAGATTTTCACTCCAATGTACTTTTTCCTTGTGGAGAAACCGTTGGATGCAGAGTAATTTACCCTATTGGATACCTTTAATAAAAGTGGCGATTGAATTCTTCCATACACTTGCTCAAAGGGGTGTTCCACTCTTAGGAATCTTCCAGAGGCCGATCCTTTTTTTTCCTCTTCTTTACCTCTTTTTTGTTATCCCCTCTCCTCCTCCTCCTCCTCCCAAAAGCATAACCATCATGTCCAACTGGAAGAACGTCAACAATTGGTATGTATTTCATTGTATTACAATACATCAAACTTGATCATCTAACTCGAATATCGAATACTCCCCAGGCACTGGTAAGTCAACCAGGAAGGAAAAAAGGAGAATCCAGGAGGGATCGTTTGCCATTCTCATTCACAATGACTCTTGCAGGACCAACAAGAACTGCATTAGCTGGGCAAGAACATACTTCGCTGAACAGTTGGAAGGATTGGAAGCAGAGGACAAGGGCCATACGATCCGGATTAGCAAGATGGAGGAATGCAATGGGGACGTTGACCTCAATCAACGCAAGGGCAAGATCATTACCATATACGACGTTTCATTGAAACTAAGCTTGGAAGGTAAGAGGTAGCAGATTGATATGATGTCTGAAACGCACATGATCGACTCACAGCGTGAATGGCTTGGATTATTTTGACAGGTGCTCTTGCGGATGGCACGGCTGTTACTGGCAAGATTGTGATCCCCGAAGTTGCTCATGATTCGACCGAAGATGACTATGTGGTATGGGATGAAATGGATACGATGATTCGCCATGATAGCTCACTCCATGTAATGTAGTTTGAGCTCACTATCAACGATGATTCGAGTGCAAAGAGCGACATTCGACCAGTCATTCGAAAGGGTCTGCAGCCCTTGATTTGCGAAAAGTTGAGCAAATTTGCTCCTGACATGATTGCCAGTAAGTTTCAAATGACAATGGATATACAAGTTACTCATCGTCATCATGCTTGGTTCAATAGCACATGCTTCCGATGTTTACATTGATCCCGCCAAGCTCAACGTTGCTGGTGCCACTGCATAGTCGTCGTGTGGTTCAAATACTTTCATTCATGCATGCTGTGTTTCTTGACACTTTTTACATCTTTTTTTCCTCCCAACATAGAAAGAGACTTTACCCCCAGATTTGTTATTACAAGATTGTCGTATAATTCAAGTCTTTGTCATTCTACATCTTATGGTTACCGTGTTGAGGGATGGTGATTCAAAGGATCGCAAATTGCGTTGCATGGCTAGTAGAAGATATCATTTCAATCAATGGATGGGTGGATCAGAGAGAGAGAGAGAGAGAGAGAGTATCTATGTTTACCTGTTCTTGTATTGCCATTATGATGTCGACGACGTTCCTCCATGAAAATCGGTTGTCGGTATCGATAGCGACTTGCAGACAAATCTTGGATCCGTCGTTGAAGGTTTTGGGATATTGAAATGACTCGAGTATATCGTTCTCGATCATCAGCCGATCGAAGGTTGGCTGCAAGTGCCGAAATATCCTTTCTTTCAGTCTTCATTGTGCCAGCTTAAGAGTAAAATAAAAAGGAGAATGGTGTTTGCATCGCTGGAAGACGTTGAATGAAGCAAGCAATAATAGCCACATACTAATTAGCCTGCATAACACGATCATCCCTGTAAGTGGCTGTCGTCTTTGTTTACCAGGGGGAGGATGTTATATAAGAAGCATCTCAAGCGTGTATTGTAGATCTTTTTCCTTTTCAGAGTTCAGGGCCATTGTTTGTGTCTCGTAGCCTCCTGATAATAATATATCGCAATTCACGCTGGTGGCAAAAGTAACCCGGCATTCAAGAACAACAGGGTGCTCGCTGTTGAAAGCTAGTTATCAAGAGCATCATTTTATCATAGAAGGGGTCACGCGTTACAACATCAAAAGCTTATCAAGGTGAAAATCAGTGGACAAGGTGCAACCAGGGCCTGCGTGGGTTGCAGGTGCCCCACGCCAGGATGTGATTCTATAGTTAATCACCCCACCTGTGGGTTATGACGACATTCTGGTGATGTATACTTGATTAGAAAATTTACACAAGGACACCACACGTAGCCGATCAGCATTCCTTGCGTTGTCGTAATTGTATCATCATCGTCATACAACCCGCTCGCTTTGTTTCCAAGATGTTCTCCGTCGCATATGCAAGTAGTCTTGTTCGGAGCTAGCTGAGTTGGATGTTCATTGCTAATAATGCTTCGTTTCGTGCACGCCCCACCAAAGCGGATTTTTCGGATGAGGCACCCGTTTACATTTGAAACTGAAAGACTTGCAAAACACATGCTTGTGTCACTGCTATCGGAAAGCTGCAGGGGTTCAAGCATCCTATTAGTGGGATTGATACGACACTGTGTGAGAAAAATCAGGGTCGGCGTGTATGCGTGGTTTCCATTCAAATAGATCTCGCCAAGATTGTGCTACACTCGCCAGTTTCTGCTTGTTTCCATGTGCAACACAAAATCTTTCTGATTCTAACACAATGTTGCAGAATACATTATGGTTAAAGATCATGTGCTTTATTTTAGAGGGAAAATAAGAAATCATTTTGTACAAAGTATTGCTCGGTTGATTGAGGCGTGATGAATCATCAACATGTATAAGCGATATGCGAATGTGTGCGTGTGTTGTATATGCTGGATGGGAGAAAAAATGGATATTGGTTGTATAGGGAGATGGCGAACGTTGATGGTGATGGTATCTTGTGTGCGAGTAGAAGTAGGTACGTGATTCGATTAAAGGAAGATGGGGAGATCCCAGCCCTTGATGAGTGGATCATTGAATCGTAAGCCCATGTCGAGTTGATTAATAGCTTGAATGTCCTCATCATCCATTTTCCAATTGAGTGCATCAAGGTTTGTCTTCATACGTTCAACGCTTGTGCTCTTGGGAACAACGCCAACATTACGTTCGAGGGACCAACGCAAGGCAACTTGAGCTGGGGCACGCTTGTACTTGGCAGCAATGTCTTTGATAACAGGGTTGTCAAAGAGAGACTCAACCGACTTTGCATGCTTTTGACCACCAGCAGCAAATGATGCAGGGCCAAATGATGAATAGGCGGTAACGGCAATGCCTTGCTTTTGGACCCATTTGACGTAGGTATCTTGTTGTAAGTATGGATGAAGTTCGACTTGAAGAAGGGATGGTGGGATCTTGCAATAGGCGAGCATGTCCATGAGCATTTGAGCATTAAAGTTGGAGACACCAATGTTGCGTGCCAAGCCTTCTTCAACCATGGCTTCCATTTGTGCCCAAGTCTCATGCATTGGCACACGAGCACGAGTTACTTGCGTCTTGCCAGGTTGCGTCCAACCTGGTGGATACTTTGTTTCAATGGGGACGTGTTCGAGTGCAGTAGGGACTATATACAACATATGTAAGTACATTAATAAACCAAGGATCAACAAGATTATACTTACAGTGAATGAGATACATGTCCACATAATCAAGACCAAGATCATCCAAGCTTTTTTGAAGACCTTCACGGACGTTGCCATGGAAAGTGCACCATAATTTGCTGATTACAAAGACCTCCTTCCGGGTAACAAGACCATCTTTGATAGCCATGCGGATACCTTCGCCCACTTGTTTTTCATTGTAGTAATTGGCACCACCATCAAACAAACGATAGCCAACCTTGATCGCATTGTAGATAACTTGGGGAGTAGCGTCAATGTCAATCTTGGCACAACCAAAGCCAATCAAGGGCATCTTGTCGCCAGAGGGCTGAAGGGTCAAGTATTCGATAGTCATTGTTGTTGATAGGAAAAAGAGAGATGTGATGTGTGTGTAGAATGCAGAATTCATGTTGCAATGAAATGACGGGGTATTTATAGTTGTTCGGATGTTGGCATGCTCTGGAAACCTCTTTGACGGCGACAAGCGTCATGGGGGTGATTGTGTGAGAGCGTGTCAGTACGCAGCAAAGCAACAGTATCGGGTGCAGGGATCTGATTTTCTTTTCATGGAAAGTATTCGCATCATAGCGTGGATCAGTTTTGATAAGCGAAACCGGTTCGCAGCAACGCCCAAGTTTGCCCAAATGGAATAAGCAACATTGGTTGCCCGCATGCACACACACACATACCTCTTTTTCATTATCGATTACGTGTGACCTGATATGGCAATACGATGATGACAAGGTTTGATTTTGTGGATTCTGCATGCTTCCTTTGTATTTCAAGCCCTTATTGTACACCGCACACCCACACCCATACACCACCTTACTTCTCACGGCCATGATCGAGTATGTGGGTACGTGCACTATTCGAATTTGTGTACCAGCAATTGCAAGAGGAAGCCATTCACATGCGGTGTTGTCGCTTGTTGCTCTTCAATATCAAAAAAAGGATCGATGGAAAAGGGTCCAAAAGCAAGAAAATGATGTATGTTATCGATTTTGATGGGATAGATACTGCACACTTCCAAATCAACAAGACGATGTCATACCCTGAAATCGGGTAGATACGTTGCGTTTGTGTTTATGCTCCCCCTTTTGCCTGATATCCTTGATTGTCGTCATTCGAGATAGGAATGTCACATGCAAAGCAAAAGGAGTAGGCAGATAAAAAAGAAAATATACAAGGATCCCTAATGGTAGTAGTGGTGGTGGGGGGCCTCTTTGGCCAGCTTTCACTCTTTCCCCCCCTTGTTTTCCCCGGATTAGATTGACATGCTTTCTCATCGATAAGGTCGGAGCACTTGTATAGACAATAAGCGTTTGGGCCAGATGATATGCATTTTTTGCAAAGCGCATTTTCCTTTTCGTTCACCTTGGCTCATGTTATTGTACCACAGAACAAACGGGGTTACTGAAATACCCATTCGGAAGAGTCCTTGGTTAACATGATATATCATGCTGCTGCGATTAGACCATCTTTTCTCACACTCCCACCAAAGAGTGATCGGGTTGATGTGAGGAACATCAACTCATGTTGTGCAAGCGTTATGAAGGCGCACTATGTACATGAGGTTGCTTCCGTACCTGAGAGCATAATCATTTGGGCCACCTTCTATATTCTTCCGTAACCATATTCCCAACCATCACCCTTATTGATTATCATGCACAAATTTCTTCGATCCTTGATTCTGTTATGCATTATGCAACATACAAATGACTTTTCAAACCACCACAAAAGTAATCCATTGTAAACGTGTATACTACGTTTCACCCAAAAATTACTCCAATATGATGGTGTTGACACAGCTTTCGAGAACCTTCCAATATAGCAGCCTTGCTGTCATAAAAGGCGGCATCGTCGGGAGGTACCTGTGTGCCAATCTAAAACCCAGATGTGCCGTGGCAAGCCCTTTCCTTAATAGTTTCACAATGCATTTTGTGTATGTGTGCGTTGTTTTCTGCAACTATGAGAATCGACAAGATGCCGATTTGGGCTTACTCTTACCAAAAGTGGATTTGCATGATCATCGTTTGCGTTGTTTTCTTATATTACGGCGACAATGATGTGCAGGATCGCCACCCACAGACCAAGCTATCATGCTGGGTATGACTTTGATGTTGTCTGTGCACGCTTTAATCCATCGTAATCATACCTACCACGATAGGGCATGATTATCGTATCATGTTCTTTGTTTGGGAAGCACAGCAACAAAAAAAGAACTATCATGGCTCGTTGCTGCGGTGGGTCATAGGTCATTTGCATTGTCTTCCATCAACAATGACTTAATAATGCTGCACTTTTCATTGTTGGGACGTTGTTGCTGGTTCAGGTCATCATAAAACAACTGCGCCCTCAATCTGATCATGCAGTGGCGTTATTGATGATGGCTATTGCCACCACGTGTAGCTCATCGTGATACTCATCGATAGAACATGTATCGGGTTGGTTATCAATGAATGATCAAGAAGACTAAAGAAGAGGCACCACTCTTTCGACGGCACATTTTGCATAATGATTGGAATAGACGTTACACCAAGATTGCAAGGCAAATGATGGACAATGACGTCATGATGTTGGGTCATTGCATCTTTGCTAGATGCTCGCATCAAATGGCGGCATAAGATTCTTGCCGATAAGAAAGCCGATAGCTACAGCCACTCTACAGCTATGGTGTTGTTAATCATAAGACCCTTTTAAATGGATTTGTGTTTTGGGCAATTGCAAAGGTGAACTAAACAGCAATAAGGTGGATACCCTTTGACATTACGTGATACCTCAGTGCTTGGTTATGAGCCTTACTTTATTGTTGGATGCATAGAGTGTGGATACAAAGGATCTACAACATAGATGGGATGCTGTACGCGCACGCAATGCTATGCCATAGTACAGCCGCCGTATGCACCAATGATGTGTGTGATGATATGCATGAAAGTACGAGGAAGAAGGACATGTGTAGGAACCGTGATTCTGCATAGGTTTTATTATTCACAGCTTTTGAAATGGTAGAGACCATTGTTCTTCTCCTACTTTTACATGGGTTGTTCTTTGTTACCCTCTTTAGGTGTGCAACCAAGCTTGTACAATCACCTTTTTGAATCAAGGGCGAAACGATATGTCAATGATGACGCACCACTCTTCATTGATGCCGTTGGTGCTAAGCGATTCTTATCGTTTGCACAGCTACGGAATCACGTTCGTGCATTTGCTGCCCATCTTATCGATCAAGGCGTGCAGCAAGGTGATATTGTAGCCATTTGTGCACCTGGAGCTGTAAGTGCTACCATGGATAAAGATCGCGTTGTAGTACTACATGTTGCTGATTATGATGACCACCAGATTGAGTACCCCATAGTCATGCATGGTGTGATTGCTTCAGGTAAAAAAGATAATAATAGCAAGGTTACGCTGATAAACATGGATGACAATGAGCAGGTGGTGTGGCAATGCTTGTCCCGGATGCATTAATTGGTCGAGAAATTGCGGCATTGTTCAAGATGGCAAAACCAGCCATGGTGGTAACACATGCCAAGACCCAGCTAGCTGTACAAGAAGCTATTCATGCGTGTAACCTGCATGGATCAACACATGTGGTGGTGATGGATAACTCACTGCTGTTGCATAAGGATGCTTCATCCCTTGTGAAAACCCCAGCAATGTATGTCGATCCAGATGCAGCTGCTATCTTGTTGGTTACTTCAGGTTCAACAGGGCCACCCAAATTGGTCACTGTATCGTAAGTAGCAACGTAGTATGGAGCTATACGTAGATAAATATAGCTCATGCTTTGGATCTTTATGTATAGGCATCGAGCTGCCATTGCACGCGCAGAGGTATCAAGTAGCCACTTTTTACCTTTAATGCATGATGGATACGATCACCGAGTGCTTGTGGCTACCCGAATGGGTGGTGCAGTACAAGTACACAATGCTTTGCTTGCTGGTGTACAACTTGGATTACCCCATTACGTATATCAAACCATCAATTTACATGCCGTGTGTCGTCTGGTGGAAAGGCATCGGATTACGGCCTTATATCATTTTGGTTGGGTCACTGCCCAACTCGCTCACGATCCCATTATTCATACCTTTGACATGAGCAGCCTGCAATATTGGATCACAGGAGGTCAAGTCGTCAGCCGCCATGTGGCAAATCAGGCCACGCGCGCTTTGCTTAGTGGCTGTAGGTCTCGTGGTCAGCTTCCACGTGTCCTATGTAATTATGGATCATCAGAGGCACACAACATCTTTTATTATCGTCATGCATCCGATGGATCGTGGCAAGGTAATTAGATATGGTATACATTTTGCTTGTATCATATGGTTAAATACCACAAAGTAATACCACAGGATGGTTTCCAGATCAAGCTGGTGGATGACCTAGGAAAAGGTAATGTGGCATCGTAAAGTCAATGGTGGTGCCAAAGGTTGATAACGATAAGCAGTTTTAAAAGAGCCTAATACTGTTGGAGAGCTTTGCATCAAAAGTCCCATGGTAGGTTTTCTTATACAAGTATACGTCCATCATCGTTAACGTAAAATTGGATGCTAGAATGCATCCGTGAGTGTACATGTATAATCATGTGTGCTTGATCGCCATCATTCATGCTATAATAGGGCTACTACAACAATCCAAATGCTACCCTTGAAGCATTTGACGATGATGGCTTCTTCCATACAGGTGATCTCTTTACGTCCGACGCAAACAATAACCTGAGATTTGTTAATCGAAAATCCGAACGCATCAAGCGCTTCACCAAAGATGTATGGTGGATGTATGTATTTCATCACCACGTTAATCGCTCATGGCATCTATTTTGTAGATCTGCCCTAGGGACATTGAAGAGATATGCGTAAGTGAAGGTATATCAAAAAGACAAGTTGTTGATGGCGGGTGTGCTGTAGATCATGTTCAGTGACTTGATTCAAGAATGTCGGGTGGTGGGGGCTTACGACGCACGACGATGTCTTGAAGTCCCTCGTGCATATGTGATTCTTGCACGCGACCATGAATGTGACAAGGAACAATTTGCAAAGGAGTTGATACAATTTGTTAATGCTAGAGTGCCTGATCCAGAGATGAGGTTGGAAGGAGGGGTGCAATTTGTCATGTCGTGGCCTTTGACGACAGCCGGCAAAATGGATTTGTTTGGGTTACGCAAAAGGGCGCAAATCGAGTTGTTGCAGGATCAACACTATCAACACGGCGTAGAGCAACAAGCAGGGGCAGCAATGATGGCTCCCATGACCAGCAGCAAATTATAATAAATGCCTCATTCATTGAAGGCCTGTGCACCACGTGAGGACACGCCATGCACTCATACACAAACTACGTTGCATATCCGACAAGAGAAATTTTTTTCCTTTTATCCCACAGTGGTCTCTTTAATAAACATCATCATGAAATTACCCATTCATACATCACCCTAATGTAGCCCAATGGATAAAACGGCAATGTCGTCATAATCTGAAACCAGTTTTGAGTATGTGGGGAGGGGATTACTGCTGAGCTTGATCATTCTACTATTACGGCGTTCATCGGGTCGCGTCGTCCTCTGATATTTCACCAAATGAGAAAGAAAAACGGTGATTGGCGGGCTGACCATCACGAGGGTTTCCAAAAAGGATTCATTTTCTGGGCAACACATGGATACGCTTTCTTTCTCTCCTCCTCTCTTATATTTTTTCCCGCACTTGATACTTTTTCACTACAACCTCTTCTCTTCTCCCACAGCATAGTGTATCATATACAATCCTTCCCATTGTGAGGGTGGAGCGACTATGAAGTTTGCCAAGCAAATCGAGAATGCGGCACACGATCTGCCCGAGAGTTGGCGACCGCACTTAATTCACTACAAGATGCTTAAAAAAGTGATACCCCTTGTCGTTGGTGAACTTGAAGCGCGTGGATTAATGGAACAAAGCATCCCTTTTGAGTACCAGCTTGATGGTAAAAAGAACATGACACAACAAAAATAGAAGGGTCTCGGCTGAGAATGAGAAAAAGACTAACATTATTGTTCTCTTTCAAACTTTCAAAGGCAACCCAGATGATCCACAACCTTGTGTTGAAGTTACCCCCGATGACGCTGCGAGACTTAATATACCCAATACTACATGCAATGAGCAAGAGAATCTCATCAAGATACCTCTTGTCAAAGATTCCGAATTTTTCTTGCTTCTCCTTCAGGGCATGGCTCAGGCAGCTATGCTTTATGCTTCGGAACAAAAACGATTCGCCGATACTGTCAGCCGACTAGAATCACAATTGGCCGCTGTTGTGAGTTGTTCTTGTAGTATACAAGAGGAATCCTATTGACACATCCCCTTTTAATTGATGACAGGCTTCTCCGCATAAACAAAAGGAGATGTACGTATGGCGTCAAATTTTGAAATTGTACATGGATGCAGCCGTTTTTGAAACCGGCACCCAAGTGGATTACAGCACACAAGCGTTTGAGCGTAGCAAGAAGCAGTTGGCATGGTTCAATGAAGAATTGGCTCGCACACAGCTGGTAAGGTGATGATTTTACACATACGCGGATGGCAATTGATTCATGCTGGTATTGTTGTAGACACGCAAATTTGGATGCAAAAAGTCACGAGAGGTGCTCAAGCATTTTGTGCAATTGAATAATGAGCTTGTGAACTTTAAATGGTTCCATGCATTGAACCACACAGCAATGATCAAGATCCTGAAAAAACATGACAAGCGGAGTGGATTAAAGTACGTACATTTTCCGAGAACGTAAGGATAATGCATTGATTATACATATTCTATCTAGGGCCAAGACAGAGTTTCCTGCATTTGCCAAGACAAATGCCATGCTCGTTGAAAATGTGGTGCTTGCATTATACTCTGGTATCACATCGCAGCTGGTATCTGTGGTGCCCCAAGTGGATAATCATTCTTGCCCCATTTGCTATGGTATGTACGCTCGATGTTGGGGAACAATTGATGTTGTATTCACACATGTATGTATCTTAGCTGTTGCATGGCGACCCATTCGATTGGAGTGCAACCACGTGTTTTGCGTACGTTGCTTGATCAAGGCACATCGCAAAAAGTTATATGACTGCCCACTTTGCAGACACACAGGAGCCGTTGTGAATGCTGATGCAACCAATCTTGATAAGGGGTTACAGAACTTTTTGTTATTGTATTTCCCAAGAGAGATCAAAGAAAAGCGGCGAGACAATGAACGCGAGCAAGCTTTAATGGACATGGAAGCCCTCACGGGGCGAGCATGGACCACTGCATATGGCAACCATCAATATCAGAAGGACATGTGTTTCATTATGTAGCTATCTTCATTACACACATTTATTTCTATCATCATTCCATATTCATTGTGTATATATACAAATATCATCCTTTTTGCCCATATCATTCTAAAAGTGTTCTACTTGTGTGCGTGGATTGGGTGAGTGGATTGACAGCTTGAAACACCGATCTGAGAGCGGGTGTGTGGGTGGGCCTATTCATTCCTTTTGGAAGATTGGAGATAGCTCCTCCTCTTTTTGAACAGCCCTGACAATGGTGAGTAACATTACCCACATACAACACACACATACACATCGACTACGCCCATACGATACATCAACGACTCTCGATATTGAAGGATGGATGGATGGATGGATGGATGAGTGAATGGATGGATTGATTTATGGGGTTGGATGGATGCTCTTTTTATTCAACGGATATACATTGGAACGACATTGGAAGAGAGACACACACAACTCATTCGACTTGTTCAATAATTGTAGAGCGCCGAACAACAGGTCAAGAAGAATCCTATGCGCCAGCTCAAGATTGAGAAGCTTGTGCTCAACATTTCCGTTGGTGAGTCTGGTGACAGACTTACTCGTGCCGCCAAGGTGCTCGAGCAATTGACTGGTCAAACTCCTGTTTACTCCAAGGCTCGTTACACTGTCCGTACCTTTGGCATTCGTCGTAACGAAAAGATCGCTGTTCACGTTACTGTTCGTGGCCCCAAGGCTGAGGAAATCTTGGAACGTGGTTTGAAGGTCAAGGAATATGAACTTCGTGCTCGCAACTTCTCCGAGACTGGTAACTTTGGTTTCGGTATCGACGAACACATTGATTTGGGTATCAAGTACGATCCTTCCATTGGTATCTATGGTATGGATTACTTTGTTGTCATGGGTCGCCCTGGTTACCGCATTGCCCGCCGCAAGCACCAAAAGAGCACCGTTGGCTTCAACCACCGTATCAAGAAGGAGGAGACTGTTGAATGGTTCAAGAGCCGCGTATGTATCATGGACAATCATCATCATGGATCATGCAAAAGTACTGACATTGGCTTCTTTTTATAGTTCGACGGTATTGTTCTCAACAAATAAACAGCATCGCTCAATCACGTACAATCCCTATCATCGATCGTTGTCTCCTATCCCACTTGAATAAAAGCTGCCAGTTCAGTTGCGCTGTTTGACATGTCTTTCGATTTATATCATATTCGCTTTGCATACACCTCATTATAGAAAAGGTTGCTTCCATTGTATTCATATGCTTAGCTAGGACAATAAAGCCTTTCATGTCTTTAGGTTTATTGGACTATCTATATATCAACCATCCCTCGTTCTCTTCCTCGACACATTTATGCACAACCCTTTCATACGTTCATGCACCTCATATTCCAACCTGCTAAACGATATCATCTTTTTGTACTACTTGGCCATGGAAGACGTGATAATGGCAAACCACTCGTCTAATGAATCAAAGGAAGGAGCTTTATTTGCATGATTTGGTCTCCTCTTCCATGATACAATATAGCATATTCTAGGCATCAGCATGTTGGATCTTGACGACACGTTGGGTATCAGCTGCTTCAAGGGCTGCTACGATAAATGCCAAATGATGGAAAGCTTCCTCAGGAGTCACGCCAAGTGGCTCACCATTGCGCACTGAATTGTATAGATTCAACATCTCGGCTTCCACATCCTCGAATCCAGAAGCATTATCAACTTGAATAACTGATGATGTATCCACAGGCTTGCCGGTTTCATCGAGCACTTCCACATGCTGGTCGTTGGTCAAGCGGATAGTACCCTTAGTGCCATGCACCTCCAATCGCATCTCTTTCACACCAGCGGATGACTACAAAAAGATATAAGCAATCATAGACTAATAGAACCCATCCACAACTTACAAAGGTAAAATTAGCTACACCAATGCCGCCATTTGCAAGCTTGATGCTAGTAGCCAAGGTATCTGCTGTCACGTGGATGCTCTGACGCATAGCGGTAAATGCACTAACGCTCTCAAACTTGCCAAGGATAGGGACAAGATGTGCCATATCATGAACACCACCATCACTCAAGTAGCCACTAAGATGTTGAACCATCAAAGTAAGATCCTATGCCATCATGCTTGCTCCTGATTGAATCACTTACCCTGGATGTTGTGGTTGTTGACGCCATGCAGTGGTGTGGTAGGGTGAAGAAGGATTGTATGGGCGTGCTGAATCATAAGTAAAGTTGATGATCTATAACATGTGGATTGTCAGAGATGGCATTTATCTTTTCTATTGCTATAATTACCTCGCCGATACTGCCTTGTTGCACATATTTGCCCACAGCACGAACGAGAGAATGATAGGACCAGTTCTCGGCTACGGCTACGATTGTTTTTGCAGCACGAGCTTCCTCAACGATTCGACGTGCATCCGCCAAGTTGTGAGCTGGTATCACACACATAATTTAGTCCCATCGGCAATTGTAAATCGCTTCGCTGGTCCCGCTAGATCACTTACCTATAGGCTTTTCAAAGAGAATGTGTTTCTTGGCAGCCACTGCAGCTTGAACAATCTAATACTCACGTGTGTGAGGTATCCTGTATCATTGATGATCCCGCACACATGCACACACATACCTCCCAGTTGTATTGAACGGGTAACAAAGCATCCACAACTTCCACGTTGGGGTCGTTTATCAACTCAAGCGGATCCGTATAGATAGCAGACTCAGGAATACCAGCCTACAGGAGCAAAGGATATATACTTTTGAGTACTATTGAGCATTCAATGGTGAGCATGACACGTACTTCTTGAGCGAACTTTACGGCCTTGTCTCGGGATCGGTTGGCACATGCGACGATTTGGAACTTGTCTTGACCGACAGCACGATAGGCACGCAAATGACGATAAGCGAAGATACCAGTACCAATGATACCGACACGAATAGGTTGTTCTTGTTGTTGGGAAGTGGCCATAATGGATAAAGAGTTGGGGAATAGAGCGGAAGACGATCCCGTGGTTCTTTTGATGCTAAACCCTTATGTCAGCAAGGCTCCGCCCAAAGTGTCCTTTCGTTCCAGATGCTCCAAGCGGGAAAGAGCTGAATGGGTTAGTGCTTCACCCCCATCCACCAACTTGCTGACAAATGAATCAACATGCCTTCGTCTCCATAACATCTCTTCATCCACATGATAATCCATAAAATTGATTTCTTGAGACTTTCTATAATACCAATGATTGAAAATGAGATGCCTAATGGTGGTATAATAGTAAATCATGGTTGTTCATTGCCCATGCCACCCCTTGTTAAATACTAGTGAAACAATGATCCAGCATAGACAGCTGCGTTGGGAGTCGTTCATCCGAACATTACATCATTGATACTCTTGCTTTGTGAATGGAGACCTTGTTGTATGCCCGAAAAATGACATGGTGGTACAAAGCCAGTACCATTGATCATGTTGTTTAAGCTAGCTTATTCAAAATGAATCCCTTTTTATTGATGACATGAGATGGTGACTACGTAGAACAATATCGTGTAACTAGTGGGTTTGTTCATTGACGTCGTAGTGGGTGTCGGCATTAGAGTGCCTAATAACCAAATTCGAGAAGATGAGCCTTGCACATGTCTTGTTGTTGTGTGGATTGTACTATTCAAGGATGAATCAAGAAGGTATAAATAGGAGTGATTTGATTGAATGATAAGAAATAAAGAGGCAGGATGTGATACGAGAGGGTGTGCATTGATAATGCAAAGAGTGCGTACCTCGCATATGCAACGTGTGCTATTACCTACAGTCACAAGGCCGGATTATTACGCGTCCATTGGGTCACATCCCCCTTCCTGCTAACTCTCCTCTTTCTTTATTTGACGTACCTACACACATACACGCATACCAACTATGAAGCAAGGCGAAGTCAATTTGGGTGTAGGTCACCGAGTCCTCGATAAACGCCAGTCTCCAATGCGAGCATCATTGACACGTCATCTTCCTTTAGACATCGATTATGGCTGTGGCCTATGCCGACGGTGTCGTTATTGGTGCCGACTCGCGTACAACTACGGGTGCTTACATTGCCAACCGAGTAACCGACAAGTTAACCAAGGTGCACGATCGCATCTATTGCTGTCGATCCGGATCTGCGGCTGATACCCAAGCAGTGGCCGATATCGTCCATTATTATCTCCAAATGTACAGGTACGAAGTCGATATCCAAAGCCAGCAGTAACAATGACGATGACATGGCAAGAGATACGCAAGGAGGAAACTCATATATACATATGAACATGTTACTATAGTGTGCAAGAGAATGAGTTGCCCAAGGTGCGTACCGCCTCTGCACTCTTCCAGGAACTTTGCTATCAGAACAAGGATGCGTTGACGGCAGGTATCATTGTGGCTGGCTGGGATGAAAAGGATGGTCCAGCTGTTTACAACGTCCCTCTCGGAGGTTCCTTGCACAAGCAGCCTTTTGCTATTGGAGGTATGATAATGGAGATGATGGTAACAATGAATAGCGTATCTCATCACTTTTATCATAGGCTCTGGATCAACATACATCTATGGTTATTGTGACTCAAAGTACAAGGACAACATGACCCGTGAAGAATGTATCGACTTTGTCAAGAACTGTAAGTGGAGCATCGTCATTTTCTTTCCATGATCGCATATACTGACATTGATTCATCTAGCGCTTGCATTGGCAATGGCACGTGATGGCTCCTCAGGTGGTGTTATTCGCTTGGCTGTGATTACAAAGGAAGGTGTGGAGCGACTGTTTATTCCAGGAAACGAGCTCCCAGGTAAGATCCCTTGAAGCGAAAGGTGAATAACGTATTGCGTATGGCCATTAACACGCTTATCTTTTACTAGTTCACTGGCAAGGTTAATTGATGCAACGTGCAACCCGATTTCATGGCATGCTTGACTCCTTTTTTTCCGCTGGTTTATGTAAATAAAGCTGGCAAGATATACCATGCTAGCTAGTACTTTCACAAAACGATCGATTATATACACTTTTCACGTGATAAGCACATTACACATGTCTTTGAATGATCCAAAACATAGCGCCATGTCAACTTTGTAGGTAAAGGATAATGTTTGTATGTGTGTGTGAATGTTTTTTGATGAGGGGTATGTACATTACATTTTCTTTTTTTCTAACAATTACATACGGGGTGGGGAATGAAGGATAAAAGAGGGTAAATGATTGGGGAAAACAATATGTGAGTGAGTGAGTGAGTGCGACGTTTAAGAAGGAATGCCAAATCATAAAGGAGTGTGCCTGGCAGGTTGCTTTCCCTTGAGCATGTTCTTGATTGCGCGTAATGCAAATACTGTGAGACCAATGCCTTCCCAATCTTCATCCTGCAAATGACGTAGGTCGCCTACTGTCATGATGTCTTGGGCTTGAAGCTTTTGTATCCATTCTTGTGCCTTATCCATGCCACGATGTGCTGCCTGTGCACAGTCTTGAATAAACGTCTGGATACCAACATCATCAGAATACTCTATTGTAGTAGTAGTAGTTGTTGTGTCAATCACCCATTATCCAACAAGAACCTTGATGTTTACCTTTGGGAATCGTAACAGGTTGCTCATTTGCTGTCGTTGATGGTTCCGATTTGTTGCCTTTGATATCCTGTAACAGATGCGTCACCTCCAGCCATCGTTCCTCGGTCTTTCGTAACCTTGTCTCGCATGCATCACACTCGGCTTCCTTTTCAGCAAGCTGCTCGCTTTCCACTTGTAATTCGTCTCGTACTTTTTCCAATTCGGAGCCATAGTCTTCAGCTTCTCGACGCCAAATCGCTTTGTGAGTATGGTTACAATCCTTGTCCCACTCTCGAAGAATGCGCGAAATCTCCTTGGTGATATGTCGCTGGTATCGTTCAGGCAATATATTCTCTTCAATCTACAATATGGCAATGAATACCCATTGTTTGTGTGTGTTGCCATGTCTCAACTTACCATCTCAGTCACCACTTCATCCGGTGTATCCATTTCCTATATTGGTATTACTCATTTAGCCCTTATCGACGCCCAAAAAATGACCAGGAATGGATGGATGATACATTACCACATTGAAATCAAACTTGACTGATCGCTTATCAACACCTTTGAATACCACTTGGAGAGTAAGATGGACGCTGCTTTCATCCGTAGCTAGCAAGACGACTTCAGGCTCGATGACAAAGAGAGCATGTTCCAAGATCTGTTGGGCCGACATTCTATAGAACATCCCCGACACGTGTGTGAAAAAAACCACTCATCCATAAATGTCATTCTTGTACCTATCATCCTCTGGACCCAAACAATTCTCAATGACGGCAAGCATGTCTTGATTTTGAACCTTGCCAAGGGTAACAGGCTTGACACCAGCCATGACCTTCTTGTAGATCTGAGCGGGATTGGTACATTCGCCATAAGGATATTCACCCGTTGCCATCTCGAGAAGACACATGCCAAATGCATAAATATCCACCTTTTCACTGTATCCGCTCTCTTCATACATCTCTGGTGCCATGAATTCGGGAGTACCAATGACGGTGTACTTTTTGCCCATTTTCATCTTTGCTGTACCCATATCACCAATCTTGACTTCGCCATAAGCACCATTGATAAAGATGTTGTCGCATTTGATGTCACGATGAATGATGGGTGGATTGTGGCCGTGTAGATAGCTGAGGCCTTTGAGGATTTGTCGTACCCAACGCTTGACAATCTTGATATTGGGTAAACTGAGTTTGCGGATGTATTCTCGAAGGGTGCCGGAAGTCATAAGCTCGGTGATGAAAACAAACTCATTGTCGGTGTGCCAAGCGTCGTGAAAAGCAATAATGTTGGGATGGCGTACTGATTTCAAAATTTGTATCTCGTGTGCAAGATCGGGGCTGTCTTTGGCATTGGGCGCCTATGCAACAAAGAAAAAGGGGGGGATGATGAGTTGAAATGGATTCATGTATATACGATGGCTCTTCAATATGGTACCTGCATTGCATTCCACGCTACTTCATAGCCTTCTTCACGATCAATAGCCTTGTAGACAATCTTGTAGGCACCTTTACCAAGCAAGCTATTGAGACGCAGGTACCGACCAGGATCCGGTGAGATTTCAATAACACGTTCGCTGTCATGTGCACGTGATTGATCGATGATTGTGCCATTGTTATCATGCATGTTGCGTAGAGGTGAAACTGATGCAGAAGAAGAAGGAGGACTTGTTGCTGCTGGAGGATAAAGTGCCGTGATGGGATGATGGTCTTCAGGTGAAGGAAAAGACTCTGACCCTGAGGATGATGCACGTGTTCTGTTTTGTGCAACGGGAAGAACGCGATCCATTCCTCCTCGGGCACCACCAGCTGAAGAAGGAGGTGAAGAAGGAGAATCAGGTTGCGTGTGATTTGCTAAAGGTGCATAATAGTTGCGAAGTCGCTTGTAATCGTCATCGTACACTCCTTCAGTCGTAGGTGTAACAAACTGAACTCGATGTTGGTTGTGTAGATCAGACATGCTCTCGCTTCAAGATGAGTTGATAAAAAGGTCGTTTCTTTGTTTGCAAAAGCAAGAGTCGAGAGAGGGCGAGAAAGAGAAAGAAAGAAAGGGGAGATAGAGTTGTTCAAAAGAATGCGTGTGAAAAGATGTGGTTGTTCTTCTTTTCTTGTATGAAGATAAAGAAGGCACAAGATAAAACAAGAGAAGATGTGAAAGAAAAGGAAATGCAACAACGGGGGGCTCAAGATGGGATGGCCTTATTCTTGTTGTTGTTGTTGTCTTTGATAAACAGGAATTGCCAAAGGATAAAGTGTAAATGGGAGAAGGAAGAAATATAAAGATTGTTGAGAACACCGAAGTCCAAAAGTAGGAAAGAGATCCGCTGGAAGGATGGGCTGCTGTACACACACGCATCAATACATACATACATGTAGACATTTATCACCATCTTCATATTCACTAGCATACCTCTTTCATCATCATCATGTAATACATAGCCTACTTTATGCGTTTGCAATTGCCATCACTTTGATCATAAAGAAAATGATAAAGGAGTTCTGTTGCTACGTACCTTGGCCGTGCCACCCAAAACTCGTGTTTCGCAAATGACAAGCTTGTTTCAGTTCCCCTGTAAGGCACATCCTAACCGTTGCTTTACATCCCTGTTGACTTTTTTTTTGCTTCACAACATTAGCTACAGTAATGAAACAGTGACAAAGACAGATTACTACTTTTGAGCATGGATGTCCATGCGCATATGTTTATCTTGATACATAGCCATCTCAAATGACGTGCACGAATGAAGGCTTCAACCACAGCTATTTGTCGTTGCACAATAGTTTGGCGTTGACATGTCCACAACTAACTACCAGCATAATGGTGGCACATAAAAAGATGAGTGGTGGATTGCCACATTACCAACAAGAAAGGAAGGATTACAAGCTGAGGATGGATTTTACTTGGCCTGTGAAATGAATGCTACTCCCAAAGACCCCATGCATTGATGAATAAGTCAGCCCTTGCATGCTTCAGGATCACGTTGTGCTTTATTGGGGTGGGTTTTCACGGGTCTTGAAACAGATGACTGGCTATTTTAACCACCCATCATCTTATCAGCATATTCGTTGTTGCTGTGATCGGTCAAAGGTCATTGTGTACCATCATTAAAGGGTAGCATGGTTCTATTCAAAGTATGGCCATGGGGTTATTTATGACCCTACCAATTGCCGGTTTGTTTTCCATGGTATTCTGAGAACACTCTCATTTCATGATGATGATGGCTTGGCATGGATTATTGCTTGTTTGCAAAAGGCCAATGTTATTGCCAAAGCGTTTTGCCTGATCGAGCAATGTTGACCATTGGAGTATATTATGCAATGCATTAAAGTGGAAAAAATAGTCCACTCTTCCATTAAAAGCATACAACAAACAAACCTTTGTGCTAATGGATATTACTCCCCTCTCTTATTACAATGCTTACACCCAAATCGGAGCTATCGGTACGCAGCCGACAACGATACAAAGAGATAGCATCTGCAATGTGATTCGTGTCTTTCTTTGAAAATGGCAATTCTGCAGCTTGTTCTCCTCTCTCAAAACCCCTCCCCCCGAGGATGGGCATATGACACCACGCTGATAGCTAACAGCATGCACCCCTAACATTCCATCAGCAGGAATATTCAATGTTGGTTATGCACACATTGATAACGGATTGGTGGTTTGAGATAGCCAACCACCATAATACGATAGCCAATGGCTCTATTCATGTTCCCTCATACACCCGATTTCCCGTTTTGCTCTAGCTCAGTCGGCTTAAGGCAGCACGCTATTTTTCTGTGTATGGCGTAGAGTGCCTGATTAGGCGGTGATGAGGGGATTTGTTGCATTCGCATGCCGGCTGTCGTCGTTTATCTCTGCATGGTCATTGTGTGCAAGAACCAATAGGAAAACGAGGCACAATGTGAATGATTGTGTGCTTCCGCTTGTCCTCCCATTCCCCCGCAAACACTCACGCACATAGGTACGCACATCAAAGTACTGGGGCCTTACTCATCAGACCTATGCACGTGGCAAATAGTAGATAACAAGTGAAAATATATACACACAAATGCATGATCACAAATGATGACGGGTGAGGACATTGCTTGTGTAGCATTTGCTGCGGGTGCGGGTTGGTTACGTTTTTCGTTGATGGCGATCATGTCCCTGATTTTACTCCCTTTCCTCGCATATATATAAACTTGATTCATCTCCCTTGTCTTTTTCATTCTTCTTTCCGATTTTCCTTGTTGTTATACTCTCGATCATTTCTTCACCCCCACAAACACGCTCTCTTTTTGTTACCTTCTCTCGTTCACTCTCTCTTTCTTTCACTTTTTCATTACACACATACATTACATCCCACGTCATATTGAATGTCCAGTAATAATTACGGCAGTATATCAAAGCAGCAGCAACAGCAGCAACCCCCATCCCAGTCATTGTCAAAAGCTGAACGTGATCTTTTGCAAGCTGACCGACCCGGCTATGGTGACCGGTCAAAAGTAGAAGTTGCTTTCAATCTTGTCAATGCCACAGTGGGTGCAGGCATTATGGGTTTACCCTATGCCATTTCGCATGCGGGGTTTGTCACTGGTATAGTGGCATCCATTTGGGTGGCGATTTTGTCTCAGCTCGGTTTATACATGGTCATCTTGGCGGGCAAACAAACAGGCATCTACAAATACGCTGTATTGGTCGAATACGTGATGGGCCGTTTTGGATATCATCTGCTTAATTTCATGATCATTGCTCAAGCAGGCGGCGGTGTCATTAGCTATTTCATATGTAAGCATATGACAAAAACGATATTGAACATGCACATTCATAATCCAATCAATGCAACAATGACTCATCATATACTGCTTTATTGTAGTGTTGGGAGATTGCATGCCTGTACTATTCGAACGATACTTCCCATCCATTCCTCTCTTGGCCAACCGTACCTTTGTCGTTGGCACGATCGGTATTTGCTGTGTAAGTGGATTTCTTTTTCGTTGTATGCAATGCCGATCCAATGTACCACACAACATACCTCCTGACACAATATCCAATCCAATCTAGATTTTCCCCTTGCTTTTACGACGTGCCATTGGTTCACTTGCACGTTGGTCAATGGTGTCTGTAATGTGTCTACCCGTTATCATTGCTGCTATCTTGATTCGAGCACCTGCCTATTACACCAATTCACCGAATAATGAGACAAACGAGGGACCTACCTGGTCATGGGTTGGATCAGACGTCTTTGGAGCACTTGGCATCATGGCTTTTGCTTTTACAAGTGCGCAGGTCGCATTTAACAACTTTTTAAGCTTGAGCGATCAATCACATCAAGCATGGCGTCAATCCACTATTCTTGCCAATTGCATGAGCTGGAGTGTATCCATGACCTTTGCCATTGTTGGTTATCTTTGCTTTGGCACTGATGTCGAATCCAACTTGTTTATGAATTTTGATGCCGACGATTTGATCATCAACATTGGCCGCTTTTGCCTTGGTTTCAGCATGATCTTTACCATTCCGTGAGTGTCTCCGAACCTGTTTTTACAATCATTCTTTGTCACTAACCATCTATGTTGCTTGATAGAATGTGCTTTTATCCCACGCGTGAGGCTGTGCAAAAAATGTTGGGATTCGAGACTGCAACTCGTCAGCCGACACAAATGCAGCATTATGTGGTCACTGCTCTCTTATTTGCACTACTTATGGGTACCGGCATCGCTGTTCGGTCACTCGGCAAGGTGTACTCGCTTTCCGGTGGTCTTGCCGCTACATCATTAGCTTTCATTTTGCCGGCTACTTGTTATCTTGTTACTCGTTGGCGTTCCACAACACCATACCGTGTCCCCACACTTACAAATGCACCCACGCTCTCCATCCCACCACCACCCATGCCACCCGTGCTTGGAAGCACACTTGCCAGCAAACTTATCGATGATAAGAATGCTTTGTTATATGCATCTCCTTTGTCATCTGATACCCAATCCTGCTCATCACCACGCTTGACTCCTGTATATCCCGCATATTCGTATTATGACGAGGAAGATGTTTCCACAGTCGACGGCGGTGAAATACTACCTGATGATGGCAGCGATGCTGCTAGCGTAAAGAGCGTCTCATCTTTGATGGAGCGTACTACCTTTGGTTTACTCGATTTCATGGCCGTTTGTCTCATCTTTTGGGGCTTCTTTGTCATGGTCGTCAGCGTTAGCTCTGTGCTGGCAGAGTAAAAAGATATGTAATATCCCCACGCACTTGTGAATGATACCCTTTACCCCATTACCCCACACATCCGCCTTGTATAATAGATTACCCCCACCTCCTTGTTCACGACATCTTACTCCTCACACCCACCCAACTATATCATAATGCAGCAACCACATACACTTTTAACCAATGCACGCATCATTCATTCTTTGATCGTAAAGATAATACATCCACTGTCAAATGGCTATATAAATCATGTGCGAGAAGGATGCATACGCTAATAAAAAGGTGTATGAGCAATCCAAATATGCGTGTGTGTATAAAAGATTCCAAACATCACTTACCGCTCGTCGCCTACCACCGGCTGGGGACATCATGGATGATTTTCCTCCCATCATACTGCGTTCATGGGCACCAGGACCTGCAGGAGCTGCGTGTGTTGCACCATAAGCCAAATTGAATTTGTCCACAAGATCGTTCATTGCATTCATTCCTTTGGTGATGGTTGTCAAATACGCTGCTAAAAGCACATCATTCATTTCCTAAAGGGATAATTGAGTATTCGATGTATGAGATGGCCATCGTTCCTTACTGTAGAAAACTGTGCATCGAATTCTGGGCTTGTTGTCAAAGGTGCACGTCGACATACGCTGACGATTTGTCGTATGATATCATGATCCATAGGGATTTTACCATCTTTGGTATCTTGCAAATATTGATGCAGAAACTGGATGCGAGAATGCAGCATAGCGATGGCGTTACGTTGTGTAGTGAGATGCGAGACCACTGATAAATATTAGTATCCACCCTCTATTTCATATTCAGGTTGACTTACATGCACTTGTAAGACTCGAGTCAGCTCCTGTAGTACTTGGTTTGGCAACATGATCCACAGCCACACGTTCGACCTCATTGGTTTCAATCTTGTAAGAGGACTTTACAAAGACCAATCGTACTTGTTCTTGGATCATATCCATACTTGATTCATAGATGGTGACAGGAAATTGTTTGGTGTTTCCAGCGGGATCCAATTGTAGATAAATGGCTGATTCATTCACTTGGAGGAACTAGATCAAATACTGCTGTTAATGCATCCACACCTTACATCGCCACCATGCACTCACTCACCTGCTCATGCAATTTGAGATCAAGCTCACTAGGCTCTGTGCCAATCGAATACCATCCCATAAAATCAAGATTTGGAAACACTTGTTTGACTAAAGAGAATGCATCGTTATCATCATCATCATCCATTGCACGACGTTTCATTCACATACGTTGCTCGGTCTTGCTGGCAAGATAAGTACGATCCACCTGGCCGTTACTATTTGGTCTTGGCAATTCAAACGAGTTGATCACATCGATATCTCGACCCGATTGCTGAGCAAGAAGAGCACCATAGATACGTCCTATTCGCCAAACACACACACACGCGTAAGCTACATACTTGTATGGTGAAATGCCTTTTACAAACCCACCTCCATTGGCGAATTCTGGTTCCTGCAACTTGGTGCGTGTGTAGTGATCGGAAATGTTGAGTAGAACGAGAGGATGTCTGTATTCAATCGTAGTTTGTCTATTAGGTACAACGTGTCCCTCAAAAGAACGCCTCATGCAGCTTACATGGAAATCGAAAGGCCCGAACTTGATTGGGAGTTGGACACAATGGTTGTTGTCTGCACGTCGTCTTCGCTAGTGTCCATCGCAGTGCTCATTATGCAAAGGTGAATGTGTGTAGGTGAAGTGGTATAAAAGTAGGAAGAGAAGCCTTGTCCGCTCGCTCCACTTTCAATGCAGCCCCCCTCCCACCTCCACCAGCTAAACCTCAAATCACTTGGAAGTAATGGCACATCACTAAATCTTAAATAAATGTTTGCTATCATGAGTACAATGGCAATTGTTTCGTGTATAAAGTAATAGTGATCTTTGACGTGATAGCAATCACGTGCCTATACCTTAGATTGCATTGCACAACTTCGCATGACGCACCTTCCTAGTAAGCCTTGTACCCATCTACGTAGGAATCATGAGACAATTCATTGATGTCGATTGGGGATCATCTTACAACCTGTTGGTATGATGATAATAAAGTACATAGAAACAACAATAGCAAACATGAAAAGTGTATAATAAAAAGAATGGTTGAATCCATTGTTATATGTTATGTATGAGCGACGGAAGAAGAAGAATAATGTTTTATCTACAAATGCAATACTACTTTTTGGGGGGATGAATCTAATTCTTTTTTTCGTAGGCAGCGTCGTGAGCCTTTTGAGCACGACCGGAAGGATCTTCAGGGCAACCCCAGTCTGCTCGTGGAATCCATCGGACAACGCTAGCAGTGCAAGCTTCTTGTGGGAACCATTCCTCAAACATGACACGATACATGTAAGCTTCCTTGGTAGTAGGAGTATCCTTTGTCCATCTCTCGCCAGCCTTGGCAAATTCCTCATCCGAAACCTTAGTCAAGCTGACCTCCTTGAGGGTATCAATCCAACTGTAACCAACGCCATCTGAGAATTGCTCCTTTTGACGCCACAAGATGTTGTCAGGCAAGTAGGGCTTGACATCAGGCTCATCCGATGTGTCAAATGCCTTACGCAAAATGTACTTTTCCATACGACCTTCCTCACGGCTAGGACGCTTATCTTCGGGACGAATGTTCATGCACACTTCCAAGAATTCCTTGTCAAGGAATGGCACACGAGCTTCCAAACCCCATGCCATGGTAGACTTGTTGGCACGCAAGCAATCAGCATAGTGGAGGTTCTTGACACGGGTGACAGTTTCGGTATGGAAAGAGGCAGCATCAGGAGCAGAGTAGAAGTACAAGTAGCCACCAAAGACTTCATCAGCACCTTCACCACTAAGAACCATCTTCACACCCATAGCCTTAATCTTGCGAGAAAGAAGGTACATGGGAGTGGAGGCACGAATGGTAGTAACGTCGTAAGTTTCAAGATGGTAAATGACATCGCTGACGGCATCAAGAGCTTCTTGGATGGTGAAAGTGAATTCGTGGTGAATGGTGTTGAGATGTTTGGCAACATCACGAGCGGCGATCAAATCGGGAGAACCCGGAAGACCAATAGAGAAAGAGTGCAAGCGGGGCCAAAGGGTGGGGCCTGTCTCATCAATACGGTCATCATCTTCGCTCTTGACACCAGCAGCAATCTTATCCGTTTCACGAGCAGCGATGGAAGCAATCAAGCTTGAATCAAGACCACCGGACAACAAGACACCATAGGGAACCTCAGCCATCAATCTCTTGCGAACAGCACGCTCAAGGGTCTTGCGAACCAACTTGTAATCAACGGGAGTTTCAGGGACACGCTCACCATCCCACCATGAAGGCACAAACCAACGCTTGGTTTCACCAGTCTCAGAATCATAAACATGACCAGGAGGGAAAGCAAGGATCTTGTCACAATCCTCGTTAAGAGACTTGAGTTCGGAAGCAAAGTAAACGGTGCCAGGCATCTTGCTGTTCCAGCCATAGTACAATGTGGTAATGCCAATAGGGTCACGGGCAGCAATCACTCGGTTGCGCTTGACATCAAGCAAAACGAATGAGAACATACCATCCAAATGTTGAACAAGCTCAGTGTCCATTTCGTTGTACTATAAACGGCAAAACCAGTCAATCAAATCTTGTCCACATGCAATCTCATCTCATTTCAAAATTTGATAACATACCAAGTGCATAATCACTTCACAGTCAGAGCCAGTCTTGAAGTTGTACTTGTTCTTGAGACCGTTTTGAAGGTGCTTGTAGTTGTAGATTTCACCGTTGACGCAAAGAACAATGTTGCCATCTTCGCTGACAATAGGCTGGGCACCGGATTCTGTCAAAATCGACACCCCCCATCAATATACTGTTTTGCATGACCTAGCATCATCAAAACTTACCAACACCAACAATAGCAAGACGCTCATGGCTGAAAATGTGGTTACCAGTGGTGTAGCAACCGGACCAATCGGGACCACGATGTCTGATCCTATACAAGATTGTGAGCAAGTGGTGATCCCGAGATAGAGAATAGTGATTTGGGACACGTACTTTTTGGAGAGATACAAGGCACGTTGACGATAGGACTCGATATCGCCCTGATAGTTGTAGACAGCAAAGATACCACACATGGTGAATAGTGTTGAGAAGAGAGGAAAGGAAAAAGGGAATAAAGACCAATGATGCCCTTTATAAATGTTTCCTTTTTCCGGGGCGACGCACACACACTCGCACACACGGCCACACTCGATGCAGGTTAAAACCGATCCAACACAACCCCGCTTTCTTTTTCTCTACTTTCCATGGTTGGGTGTCTTTTGACAGCTTTTGGTTGGTTCGACTTTGTAAGGTCATTGGTGTCACTCTCTCAATGATACTTTTTCTTGATTCATGTCAAATTCATATCATCCATCATAGTAAATAATGCATGTTAGGATAATTCAAGGGGGTGAAAAAGCAAGAATAACGGTCCGGTTACGAGTGAGTCACCGTGACGGAAAAGTAAATTCTTCAAGATAGCGTTTATGATCACCTGAGTGTCAACACTTTTTAGGCAAGTACATCTCTCTCCTTTTCTTGCTCCGAGATTTACTTGTGTCACCCCAAGCCTATACTTTTATGCCCTTGTTTGATTCGCCCATCCCGGATCCCCCTTTGATTCCCTCTTGTAAAACACACATACACCCTCTTGTTCAACTTGTACTCATCCCGTTGATAAGATAGGCTACTTTTATGATAGGCTTCCCCAAGTTGGTCATTGAACAATCCCTACAAATGGGGTCCGTGCGACAAGGATAAAACTTTTTTATTTCAGCTTGTCTCTGAATGACTCATTCAGGGCACTGGTGGCTTGCGACTCCGCATGCTGCTACTGCTGCTACTGTGTTGCTGGTTCGCTTGTTGGATACTTATTCTTGGGACACACATACGTATGCAGCTGCCCTTGCTTTGGATCAACCAAACTTACAAACAAGTCCCATTCCCTCTATCATGTCTTGTTTCTCCTGATGTATCTATCTTACAGAACATAGACATTGTTATCAGCAATAAACATAAACATAGGGCGCCACATGCATATACAATACGCCAACAACAACTATATCGCTTCAAAAGGGAGGAGAAAGAGAGAGAGAGATCCAAAAACACGCCATACGTTGCACTTCGTTTCATAAATGGTCACCGTATTTTAGTATGTGTATGTATCCTTTCTGCAAGTATCGGCTTACTGTATAAACAACTGCATCCCCCACCCATAAGTCAGCAATAGCACGTCAAACTTAGCACCATCCCATTCTTTATACTGATCTCAATTTGGACATTACTATGCATCGTCTTTTTATTGTGTGCTTATTAAACGCTGAAGGATTGAATCACGTGGCTATGATATGTTAGGGAGCGTTGCTTGGATACCATCATGGATACCATTTCATAAAAGAGGATCATCCCATGATGGTTAGGATTGAACATCTTGTAACTCTCTTGAAGCATATGTAGATACCCTTTTAGCTGCATGTTGTTAGGGTGATAATAAGAAGCGATTCATGCGTGTGATGGGGGATGATGGTATGTCACTGGTAGAGTTGTCGGTGTCTTATTCCCTCTTCTTGGTCTCTGCCTGAATTACTTGTTCTTTTTACCACATAGACACACACCCACACACATCCCGCGACATGTCCGAGAATGCACCCAGCCAAACCCTCTACCTCAGAAATCTGCCATACAAGATCAATATGGATGGCAAGTAGATCAGTGGTCGATAGCTCGATCAAGGCAAACACAACTAACATCCATCTTTCACTAGAGCTAAGAGCCTCATTGTACGCACTCTTCATTACACACGGCACGATCTTGGACATTGTTACCAAAAAGTCCAGCGAGATGCGTGAACAAGCCTTTATTGTATACGACAACGTCGCGTCTGCTACTGCTGCTTTGAGAAGTTTGCAAAATACCAATTTCTACAATAAGCCTATGGTAAGCAGGATGCTGCTATCTACCTACGTTTCTGTTGCTCGTGTACTAATTGGTATCTTTCTCTTGCTAATAGAGCATTGAATATGCAAAGACAAAGTCCAATGCTGTAGCCAAGCTCGATGGCACCTATCGCCTACCATCACTGGACAAGAACAAATCATCCACAGCCCTTGGAAAGCGTAGTCAGGCAGATGAAGAAAAGGAAAACAGCACTCCCATGAAGATGGCACGGCAGGATGAGGATAGCGATGATGAGTAGAATAGTGGGTTCTATCAATTGCATATAAAAAAAGGATTTTGATGTGGTATACACTGTTATTGATTGAAAGTGGAAGAGTGGATCATTCACTTGGGATGAGGAGATCCGTTGCTTGATGGTTTACGTGTCAAGCGTGAAGATGTATATACATTGAGCTATTGACTGCACCCATAAGTAAGATCATTGATCCAGCAGCAGTTATCTCTTCCAATGGGCCATCCAACATCCTTGTTTATGATCGAAATCACCCATCACGTATATAAAGGTTGGCTATATAGAGTCGTGCTCGATCCATGGTTTCTAGATCCCATATAACTTATGCTCCCTTTAACATTTGATAGAGGCATTATTGGTAAAACGAACATACAATCAAATGTAATGCGACGAACAATAAAGTAAAGCGAACAATCCATCGATCTTTATTAGGGCATATGGGGTAGCAACAGCAGCCTTTTGGCCACCAGCGAGAAAGTGTGCACTGCAATGCATGTGTCTCAAGCACCAAAGCATATGATTGGCTATCGATTTGAAAACAACTGGCTGAGGTAGACTGGGATTTCAAGTGCTTCTTTTCCTTTGGCAACCCACCCACCCTCTTCTTCAGCAGCACCTTAATATGGATTTTGGAGGAGCATACGGCAGCTTGGGTGGTCCCAACATTACCATCAACAGCCTCACAAGAGACAAGATTTCTTTTATTCTAAGTGATACCGATTTAAGGTGAGGACCAGTGGCATTACGCGTATGGATCATGGGAGAGAGCGAGAGATCGTCTTTGACTAATGCATCCTCGACCTAGTGTTGCCAATGCGTTACGTCGAGTCATGATTGCAGAGGTGCCGACTGTAGGTCTGTATTAGCAATGACCATACGAGCATATGAGATATGGATATCATCCTTACGCTGTTTTCTTTGTGGTATGTTAGCCATCGATATGGTCGAATTTGAGACGAATACAACTGTTCTTGCCGACGAGTTCCTTTCACATCGACTTGGTATGGTGCCTATCGATAGTCGCGATGTCGAAAAGTTGAGATACACCAGAGTAGGCCCCTTTTTTCATTTTATCTATGCATTGGATGATGCTGATACGGGTTCTTTGTTTAGGATTGTACTTGCTCTCAATACTGCCCTGAATGCTCTGTTGAATTGACAATGCATGTCAAATGTACCGATGATCGAACAAAATACGTCACGAGTCGAGATCTGATATCATCCAATCCATCCTTTGTTCCTGTTATACAAGGTCAGTTGATAACAAGAATGACATGAAGGCGCCGATTGCTGACAAATACATGATGAAATAGATAAGGATGACCCAGGTGTATTGCTAGCCAAGTTACGCAAGGGCCACGAGCTTAAACTCAAGTGTATTGCAAAGAAAGGAGTAGCAAAGGAGCATGCTAAATGGAGTCCGGTCTGTGGTGTGGCTTTCGAATATGATCCTTACAATAAGCTGCGGCATACCCAGTATTGGTTTGAGGAGAGTGAAAAGGAATGGTAAGTATTGGAGGAGGAGGATTGAAAAAAGAAGGGGAGTCATTCATATCATGGGATAATATAGGCCATTGAGTCACAATGCAAAGTATGAAGATCCACCCGATCCTGAAGCACGTAAGTATAATGGAAATGTGTGGATGGCGTAGGGATAGCAATGTCTAACTCAAACAACAAATAATAGCCTTTGATTACAATGCAAAACCCGATCGATTTTATTTTGAAGCAGAGGTAAGACAAAGAAAGAGTCGGATGACAAAGAGACTGAGTGCTGTTGTTGTAGACTGTTGGATCATTATCACCTGATGAAGTTGTGACCATGGCACTCAAGACGCTGGTTGATAAGCTGGCCTATGTACAAATGCAGATTCAAGAAGAGGTGGATACGAAGGATCAAGATAATGTGAATGCATGGAATTTCTAGATGATAAAAGGTTGATGTTGTCTCATAATAAATGTTGTCTGAAATTGGGATATTGGACTCTTTTGGATCGACAGCTTGTGTCACCTTGAAAGAAAGGGAACCGTTATTCGCCCTCAAAGCATTTTATTAATAGAACTTGCTCTCTTTCTTTTCCTCTCTTTACTACCCAATATTATAACCTAACGTTTGGCCACGAGCGATGGCGAGGCTTACTATAGACACCCTAGAGAACACCACTAGACCCTTTGTCTTTTGCTTTTATGTATCAGGCCATGGTAAGCCCTAGTCCTTTTTTATTCAACGCACTCCTCAAGCTAATGTAGAATAAAAGGATGGGGACATGCCACACGGGCCAACCAGATCATTACCGACATTCTTGCTCTTCCAGCAAAGCACACTGTCCACGTCATTTCCAATGCTTCCGATTTCATCTTTCAAGGCGTGATGGAGGTGGGTGCCATATACCGACAAGCTGATATCGATGCTGGCGTGGTGCAACCTCTTGCTTATACTGTGGATCGTCACCAAACGATAAGCAACCTACGACTCTTCCTGGAGCGACGACCAGAGACCTTGGAGGCTGAAGTAGAATGGCTCAAACAAGTGGGAGCAGATTGTGTTGTGTGTGATGCTCCTTTCCTTCCTTGGTAAGTTACAATTGGACATAGATGGATATATGCAGGTTTATTGATACATTCGTTTCCAATCATCATCTAGTGCGGCAGCTGCCATGGCAGGTATTCCTGCTGCCATAGCAAGTAATTTCACTTTCGATGAGGTGTACAATGGACTATGTGAAGGAGACGAATTGGATAAGGAGATCCGAGAAATGGTGGAAAAAACGATCTTGGATTATCAATGTGCCGACTTGCTGATACGTCTACCAGGTGCCATTCGCATCCCATCATTTGACGACACCGAGAACCTGGTACCCCGCACCCCAATTACTGGATCATTTCCTGTCCGAAAAGGCGTTGTCAATGGCAAGATGCAGCTACCATGTACAAGTGCATCCAACGTAGTCACCAGTGATAAGAAGCGTCTTATGGAACGTCGCATTGTGGATATACCCTTAGTCTTTCGCAAGTATCGGCATGAGCGGAAACAAGTACTGGAAGGATTGGGGATTCCATCGTCAGTATACGAGACACACAAGATCCTTCTTTTGTCTTTTGGTGGTCAAGCATTAGGTAAAGGTGGATGGGTGGATCCACTTCCTCAAGGATGGATTTGTATCGTTTGCTGTGCTCCTGATGGCGTTGAATTGCCCCGCAACTTTTATCGTGCATCACGTGATGCTTATGTACCGGACTTGACCAATGCAGCCGACGTTGTCCTTGGGAAACTTGGATATGGCACATGCAGCGAATGTATTGGACATGGCACACCTTTTGTATACGTTCCACGACCACAATTTATTGAAGAATATGGACTTCTCAAGTTAATGCAAGATCAAGGCAGCGCTGTTGAACTAAAGCGAGAGGATTTCGAAGCTGGATATTGGGGTGAAGCTATAGAAGAGGCAGCTACTTTATCCGGTCGATGCGAGGAACCAGAAAGATTGGTAGCACACAATGGTGGTCCTATTGCAGCAAAGACATTAGAGCAATTTGTGATCGAATGGCGACTTGCATCAACACGTCAATTACACAATGTCACTGAAGAATGAACCCTTAGATATACCCAACCCTTCCTTCCTTTCCTCCCACCCCCTGTTTTGTCGTCATAAAACAATTCCTCATAGATCAAGACACGCTGTTCATGTTTATTGGGGGTACCGTAATGGGATTTGCTTGCCCTTGTTGGTGGTGGTGGTGGATGGTCTGTCATTTCGATAGCGATCATATAAAGTATCTAGGAAGGATGGATCGTTCTATATCATATCTTTAGTGGAATGAACCTTCACTCTCTTTTATGGGACATTTACCTTGACCATGTTCAAGAATTGTTGAATAAATTCAGGCTTGGAAAGTGTAGGTTGTCCTTCTTGCATACGACGATCCAATTCAGTTTGCGTCAAATCCATAACTTGTTGCGATGTCAATGGTGGAGCATTGCTTAGAGGCGATGAATAATTACCACCCACAGCAGCAGCACCAGCAGGTGATGGCCAAGGACGATTACCCAAAAGATATGGCGAGTTACGAGGTGATGATGTGGATGAAACAGGCACAGGACCATTCGAGCCACCTCCTTGAAGAGCTTGTAAAAGTGAAGCAGTCTTTTGTGGAGATGCAGCAGCAGCTGGATGAAGCGATGAACCAGGGAATAGTGATTTGGCTAATTCACCATCAGCAGTGGAAGATGTAGGAGGTGGTGGAGGTTGAGTTGGCGGTGGTGGAGGACGCATAGGCGATGATTGATGCTGTGGATACATCATTGGATACTCATTAACATGTGCTGCTGCAGCTGCCATATCTTCCATAGGATTAGGATAAGGATGATGAGGATGAGGATGATGATGGTAAGGCTGTGATGGTGGTGGAGGAGGTGGAGGAGGATGTCCACCAAACATCATTGGCGGTGGTTGTGAATAATGATTGTTGCTATGATTCATGGGTGGTTGAGGTGGTTGTGGCATTTGTTGTTGTTGCTTCACACCTTGATCATCTGTTGCCTTGTTGGGTTGCAATAACTTCAATAGTTCCGATGCATGTTGCTGTTGCTGATTCTCGGGTTTTGGTTCATTTGCTGGTGATTGTGGTGTAATCGTTGTTGCCCTTCCGAAAAACTTGAGAATGTCGACTTGGTCTTGTTCTTGTTTGCGTAACCTAGGATACCGGCATAAAGCAATCAATCATACATAGTAATTGGATCAAAGGATACTTACTGCAATATACGATCCACAAATCTTTGCCTGTCCTTCTCTTCAAATAACCATAAACCGCATGCCTTGCCTAGCATATGCCACCAACATGTTAGGGCAAACGCCAAAAGGAGATAGTAGCCACCTCTTTTCCTTAAAATCTCGAACCTTCACTCGTCTGGCACATGACAAATTCCTCATTCAAACTGATATCCACAATGTCGCTTAAATATAGCCAAAAGTTATCCATGCTGATCCGATTAAGTATGCATAATGCGTATTTCGGTGACGTGTCTCTATGAATGAAAAGGCCCATTGTTCAGTATCCAAGACCATCATGATAAAAGGATAGTTACCTATGCACTAAGAATAAGACACCTTCCATTCCCATCTTGTCCTGCACAAGAGATAAATAAGGCGATCCCAGTCGATGAGAGGAATGGGATACTTACCCAACCGTTCTTGTCTCTTATGAATTTATAAACAACAGCATGGGGTGATTGGTCGCAAATGTCGCTGATGGAAGGGTCGTGTCGTTTAAGGACGGTGAGATTGAGTTTTGCACGTTCCTCCAAGTCCATTGTATATGTGTGGGAGAGGGTGAAAGAAACAGAGGAGAGAGAGCAACGCGTGTATGTGCGTATTACACTCTGGCTTTAAGATACCGCTTCTATTATTGGCTAATTGCGGACGTGTGCTGGTTCTCGCGACCGACTTGTGCAGTACGACCTCCAAGTTGTAAGCTCCTTCTCTCTTTTTTCCCGACAACTCATCATGCCAAAGGGCAAGTAATCATTTCCAATATCGAAAGGAGGAGAGGGTGGATGAATGGATGAATGAATGGATGAATAGATGAATGGATGGATGAATTACGATCAAGATGAACATCGATTAACACCTCTTTTATTATCCCTCAACAACAGTTAGCATTTCCGGCACCAAGTACCGCATGACTCTCGGTTTGCCCACTGGCGCTGTCATGAACTGCGCTGATAACAGTGGTGCCAAGAACCTCTACGTTATTGCCGTCCGCAACATCAAGGGTCACTTGAATCGTCTTCCTGCTGCTGGCGCTGGTGACATGATTGTCGCTTCCGTCAAGAAGGGCAAGCCTGAATTGAGAAAGAAGGGTAAATAGCATCCTACCAATCATAAGCTATCTCTAACATACCTACTCATTCTAGTCATGCCTGCTGTCGTTGTCCGTCAACGTCGTGCCTGGCGCCGTCGCGATGGTGTCTTCCTTTACTTTGAGGATAACGCCGGTGTCATTGTCAACGTAAGTTTCCTTGGATACATGGTTGCTATGATATGATACTCAACTCTTTTTATATACTATAGCCCAAGGGTGAAATGAAGGGTTCCGCCATCACTGGTCCCGTTGCCAAGGAATGTGCTGATTTGTGGCCCCGTATCGCCTCTGCTGCTGGTACCGTCGTCTAAAGTACACATCTCATTCGCTCATCCCATGTTGTCCTCTCTTTTATAAAAAAAAGTTGAACACTTTTGGCTCCCAAATACTGTTTTGACATATGAATCGACTCGACTTTGTGATGCAATCTTTTGAGAATAAGAGTGATACGACGAAAGCATCATCAGCAACAAACGATTGACAGCATACGAATGATGATTAGGATGGGGGTGATAAGTCGTTTATTATTACAACATTCAAACGAGCAACGCTGACAAAACTGCAGCTGCAGCCAAAATGATATTCTCGGGAGATGTCATCGAAGCTGATGATTCTTCATCTTCTTTGCTCGAGGAAGCTTTGTTGGAAACTGATGTTGCTGTGCTCGATGATTCATGTGACAAGGAACTTGATGATGGGTTCTTCTTAGAGGAAGTGCTGTTGGTGGATGATGTATTGGTAGCCTTGGCAAATGTGGGGAAGGTCACGGTCTTTTCCATGTAGGGATGAGTGATGTTCATGCACGTGGCAACATCAACAACATGCTTGTAATTCTTTTTGATCTTGGGAAGATACTCCATAGCGAGATTCATGGTCGTAGCATCAATTTCATGCTGAAGAACAATGTTGCCATGCTTGGCATAGGTGCCATTCTTGCCCATCTTGATGAAATCTTCATAATGCTTCTTGACAGTGGACATGGGTTCTTCAGCACCAGCAGCCCAATCATCGGTATCGAGATCCCAAAGGATAGTGGTCAAGTTCAATTGAGTGGCAATCCAACGAACACGATCATCAACATCACCAAAGGCCTATATCCCAATGATGGAGTTGATGTTAGTATACGTTTCAAATGATACATTACTATGATCACTTACAGGTCGCCAATGACGAGGCGTAATACCAGTTACCATCTTAATGGCCTTTTGGGTGTAATAGAGTTCAGCAAGTACTTCTTCGTTACTCAAAGTAGTCATCATTTGGTGAGACCAAGTGTGTTGGGCGATATGATGACCATCCTTGACACCACGCATAGCACCATAAGGCCAATTAATTACGTTGGATCCGATGTAAAACATGGTTGCCTTGAGCTTCATGTCTTGCTGCAAAAAGTCATAGAACGCATTGTGAGAGCAATTAGGGCCATCATCAAAAGTCAAACCCCAAGTTTCTGGTTCAGGGCAATGATAGATATCAGCATTGATACCCTTATGCTTTGGCTTGGTGCATGTAGTAGCTGACCACCAGCAATCGGGATCTTCAGGATTATAGCCGGTCATGTTGACGCCACCATCAGGTGTCAATTGACGCACTGGGATATCAGGCATCGATTTCCAAGGGATTGACTTGTACAACGCAGTAAATTCGGCACTCTTGTCCATGCCATTGCTAGTGGCTACTTCCCATGTGGTTGGCCATTCCTTGGGATCGAATTCAAAGGAGCTAGATGCATCGTACGCTGTACATTGTGTGGTTTCATCATGCGAGGTGGTTTGCTTGATCTTAGGAAGAGTGATTTTGGTAGGATCCACCTTGGAGGACCAGGATTCCCAATACTCGGCAGCGTTCGCCATTGGTGCTGCCACAGCGAGGGCAATGGCAAGATACTTTGCAATCATGTAAAGAATGGAAGGGGGTAAACGTTCAATTGATAAATGAAAGGAAAGGTGGTGGTGATGGTGGTGGTAAATACAACCTGTAATCAAATGATAATGATCAAGATGCCCGCCTTTTATTGAGGAGCGGAAGTAGTGGTATACCCGGTCAGCGCAATATAGTCTTGTGTCACGGTAACGTAGCCGTTTACCAGGTACAGTGCTACTGTCATTTTCCTACTTGGGATAAAAGCGACATGTCTTTTACCATACACGTTCTTTTTTCCTTTGACTCTGACACACAGCCTGCCGTACCACGCGTACATATTATCAAAATAAGCTCAATGGAATTCCAATATATCAAATTTTTTGATTGATCTCGTGTATACAGCGCAGATTTGCCAGAAAACGGTAAATTATGTGCATGGATGGAATAGTAGTGGTTGCCATGGTAACATGAAATGGGTCGTAATAACACAACATCATATCTTAATACAAAGCTTGGTGTGTGTATGATTGTAAATCCAATCCATCAAGTTTGCCTGCCATGTGTCCTTTGGACAATGAGCTCTACCATTACGTGATGGCGCCATTCATTCCTTACATAAATCAAGCATGTATTAATGACGTCAAGTTCTGCCCAATAGTAGCTCGTCGACAACGTGTATGAGAAGGGATGTCTCATTGTGAACAAGCCATGGCATTTTGTGTATACGATACAGCCCTTAACCCTGTTTGGCTATGGTCCGTGCTAGTGTGCATCACCCTAGTTTGACTTTTCGAATAAACGTGACATGTAAGGTTATGCTATCAATGATGTCATTCGCAGCCCATAGAGCAGGTATGATGTCCATATATTGACAAATGCCTCAAAACCATTACCATCCTCCTCCAGCTGATTGATGCAAACGTTTCTAATATGCAGCTGCATGTATTCTAGTGAAGAAATGAGCGAGAACAAAAAAGGGGATGGGTAAGCAAGAAGGAAGATGTCTCGATAAGGCAAGGACCTGCCATAGGCCCGATCGATAGAATGAAGAAAGAGGTAGAAAAAAGGAGATTGAGAAGAGGATTGTGTGTACATAAATAGCTGGTACGATCAAAAGTGGGGGTTGTTGTTGTTGTTGTTGTTGTATGCAAAGAGAGAGAGAGACAAAGAAATCGAGTGGCTGGTGTATGAGTTACATCGATGAATGCAATATCCCATGGATATGATTTTGTATGTGCGTTTAATGATATTCGATGACCTTGTAGGGGTTGCCGGTTTTTTCCAAAAGCGCCCTCCAGTACGATTCAATGTCGTATTTAAAGTTGTAATCACCACCATACTCGCATTCAAGCATGTTCTTGGGGATGTAATCACCAATGTGCACCCATTCATTCTTCAAGCCCTTGGTATCATCTTTGGTACGCTTTTCATCATCGTATACAAACTTGATCTTTGCTTTGGTGACAGGATCCATAAAAGGCGAGATGAGCTTGAATGTGGTGAAGAAGAACCATGGGGCTAACAAGCAAACAAATTATGAGCATACGCTTTTGAACCAGCAACCCATTTTTATTCCTACAAACGCCCAAAGTCACTTACATTTAACAACAAACGCAATGCCGAGTCTTTCAGGATAATGATTGCTGAGGATATCCAAGAACTTTTTGCATGTAGCCACACTTGGGTTGTGTGCATAAGCAGAATCCTTGAAGTCAACGATGATAGCAATGTTTTCAACCTTGGCAGGCATAAGACGGATGCCACGTTCCAAGCAATAGACAATGTGCTTGACTTGGCGCTCGTTGTCCTTGGAGTTTTGAAGTCGGGGTCGCATGATCCAAATGGGACGACCAGCATTGTCGAAACCATCAAAGTACATTTTACCCGTTTCAGCCTATATGAGCATAAACATGACGTTGAGTTGACTCCCAATTTACAACTTGCCGCCAAAATCTCACGCACCGCACACACTCATTTTATCTCCTAACCCCTTGCTTTTTACCTCTGGCTTAATGTATTCAGGATCCAACTCGTCTGGGCGATAATCACGACGCCACTTGATGGTATTCTCCAACATGTTTTTTGCCGCCTATTTTACCGCATGAGTATAGGTACAAAGCTTGGGATTCAGCGTGCATGACCAAATCGAGGTTGTTATTGTTACCTCATAATCCCATTTACGTGCTCGCATATAGCGCTTCAAGGTGCCATCAGTGACAAAACCTCTCTCACTCGGGTAATATTCATGATCCTTGGGAAGCATGATGCCTTCAATATACTCTCGCAATTGGTCAAGCTTTTGCTGCTGCGACTCATCCAATGCTGGTGGTAGGCTGGGGCTATAGTCAGCTGGCGGGGTAAGGATGGGCTCGTGCGTCACTGGTCCATTATCGACCACTTTGGGCTCGCTATTGTTAACGTTTGCAGCAGAGTTTGACTTGAAACGGAATACGTTCATGGTATGTGAGTGAGAGAGAAGAGTGGAAAAAAAGAAGAAAGGAAGGTGGAGATGCACTAGAAACCCTCTCGGGTAAAAAAAAGTTGAGTTTTCGGCCTTTGTGACGATCGGCACCGGGCCGCCCATTATCATCAATCATAGCTTCAATTCGGTTTGCTAGTTTACCCGTGTTTGGAAAAGACCGTGGTTTACCAGGGCACGAGGCTGATTGTTCTCATTTCACCGGCGCATGGCGCCGAAACAATTAGAAGAATGTACTTGCTTTCCAGCATCAAAAGCTAACATTCCCGGTATATCATACATGTGTCAAAATTGTAGGAGATGCTATGGCCTGCATAAAACTCCCTTTCTTTCAATCCTTATCTTTCCCCCTTTGACTTATCTCAAAGCTGCAACCATGTTAGCAATACATCCAATCCATCACGAGGGGTAGGTGGGTTGTGTGTGTGCATATCATATTGACTTGGGATCATGGGTACGGCAAAAAGGCATTTCCACAACATGCATGAATAGGTTGTTGTAAGACTACAGTTCAACAAGAAAAACAAGAAATGTGTGATGATACTGCTGCGGATGGAATTGCAAGCTCCGGTTTCCCACAATGATAGTTGTCTTTGTACATATACCTTCTATCGTTATTTTCTTTCTCTCGCTTAAGGAAATTCTCATTATTGCGGTTTATTTAAAACCAGTAGCCACGTGGGCATTGCCATGGGATGCATAAATAGGGTGGGTGTATCATGGCAACCGTTGTTGAGATGTGAATGAATAGGATATGATTTTATTATCATGGCTATGTATATGTGTGTCAGATGCAATGTGTAACTGATGATAAAATAAGCTAATCGTGTTGGCATGTGGCAAGTGTCTTGTAGAAGTAATTCAAGCACATGATGGGCAGTGGGTGGCATAACCGAGCAGGGGCGACCCTAGTATTGGCGGTATTCGGCAGTCACCGTGCAAAACAGCCTTAGAGCGAAATTTGCCTTGTTCTTGTATTCGTCTCCTTCATTCCTTATACACAATGTTGAGAAACGCCGTTCGCGTGGCACGCCCCCATCTTCTTACTAAGAACGCACCTGCTGTGAGTACATTAGCCTTGTCCCTTTTCTCAACAATGCGACGTCAAATCCACCATGAACCACTTGAACGCGTTTTCCTTGCAGCTCTTTCGAATGACACTTTCGCTCATGGACGTCTTTGATTGTAGGTTGGTCTTGGTGCTTTCAGAAGCTATGCTACTGCCAAGGCTTCTACTTCTGAAGTCTCCTCTGTTCTTGAGCAACGCATTCTTGGTGCCGAATCTGAAGCCAACCTTCAAGAGACTGGTCGTGTCTTGTCCATTGGTGATGGTATTGCTCGTGTTTACGGCTTGAAGAACTGCCAAGCTGAAGAAATGGTTGAATTCTCCAGCGGCCTTAAGGTATGTACATGAAAAGATAGTAATTGGATCATAGAGATGAGGAAGGAAACTTACATTGTATTTGATTATTAGGGTATGGCCCTTAACTTGGAACCTGACAACGTTGGTATTGTCGTTTTCGGTAACGATCGTTTGATCAAGGAAGGTGACACTGTCAAGCGTACTGGTGCCATTGTTGATGTCCCTGTTGGTCCTGGTGTCCTTGGTCGTGTTGTTGATGCCCTTGGTAACCCCATTGATGGTAAGGGTCCCCTTGAGACTGTTGGCCGCTCCCGTGTCCAAGTCAAGGCTCCTGGTATCTTGCCCCGTCACTCTGTCAACGAGCCTATGCAAACTGGTATCAAGTCTGTTGACTCCATGGTGCCTATTGGTCGTGGTCAACGTGAATTGATCATTGGTGATCGTCAAACCGGCAAGACCGCTGTTGCCCTTGAAGCCATTCTTAACCAAAAGAACTGGAACAATGGCTCTGATGAGGCCAAGAAGCTTTACTGTATCTACGTCGCCGTTGGTCAAAAGCGTTCCACTGTTGCCCAACTTGTCAGCACTCTTGAAGAACATGATGCCATGAAGTACACCACCGTTGTTGCTGCTACTGCTTCTGAAGCCGCTCCTCTTCAATACCTTGCTCCTTTCTCTGGTGCCGCTTTCGGTGAATGGTTCCGTGACAATGGCAAGCACTCTTTGATCATCTATGATGATTTGTCCAAGCAAGCTGTTGCCTATCGTCAAATGTCCCTTTTGCTTCGTCGTCCCCCTGGTCGTGAAGCTTACCCTGGTGATGTCTTCTACCTCCACTCCCGTTTGTTGGAGCGTGCTGCCAAGATGAACAAGGACTTTGGCTATGGTTCCATGACCGCTTTGCCCATCATGTAAGTTGAAAAGAAAAGGATCAATGGGGAATACACGTGTTTTAAAAAGTAACATGTATTAATCAATCTTTGTTGCATATCATCATAGTGAGACTCAAGGTGGTGATGTGTCCGCTTACATTCCTACCAACGTCATTTCCATTACCGATGGTCAAATTTTCTTGGAAGCCGAACTTTTCTTCAAGGGTATTCGTCCTGCCATTAACGTTGGTTTGTCCGTTTCTCGTGTCGGTTCCGCTGCCCAAACTAAGGCTATGAAGCAAGTTGCTGGTTCCCTTAAGCTTTTCTTGGCTCAATACCGTGAAGTTGCTGCTTTCGCCCAATTCGGTTCCGATTTGGATGCTTCCACCCAATTCTTGCTCAACCGTGGTGCTCGTTTGACTGAATTGCTCAAGCAACCCCAATACCACCCCTTGGCTATCCAAGTTCAGGTTCCTATTGTCTTTGCTGGTGTCAACGGTTTCCTCGATAAGCTCCCCGTCAACAAGATCGTCGACTGGGAAAAGGACTTTATCAGCCACATCCAATCTGAGCACAAGGATGTCCTTGAAGAGATCCGCACCCAAGGTGTCCTTTCCAAGGATCTTGAAGGCAAGCTTCGTGACATTTGTGACAACCACGTCAAGTCCTTCCAGTAAATTATCCCGTTTTCTCTCTCTTCCACAATCGAGAAACGCTGAAGATCCAAAGATCTTGTTTTAAAATATCAACACACACACAATCTCGCACACTCACGCAACAACATATACACATTTGAATACACATGCATCTGATCCGAAATCATAAACGTGTTTTTACCAGTGGATGGGAATAGTGGTTGATTGGATTTTGTATTATGGATGGAAGTGTCAACATTTCTTATGTATCGTGCATATAATACTGGGACCATTTCAATGACGTTTATTTGGCTTGTGAGAGGAATTTTAGGGTCATCAAAGAAAGGGATGGGATAGCTTACCTTCCTTAACGTGGCATCACATTGTCTCTGCATTCTTATCATCAGACAGAGTGGTAGTTGGAGCCATCCCAAATACATCGACACGTACATACGGTGAGCTTCCCTTCACGCGACAAACGGAAGGGTTCGATTTAGTTACGTACAACATGTCAGGCGTCAGAAGGTATGGATGACTATAAACGAATAATGGGAAGAAGTGGATACATGGACTTTCGTTAAGATGCAAGCAAACGGTATGTATGCAAATCAAAGCATGGGTTGCTGCTCTCTTGCCAAGATGATGATGCTTGATGAGTGGCACCAAAAAGGAACCAAGAAAGATCCCATTTTTTCTATTATTTATGCCTTGGATGGTTCTCACAACCACGGCGACTGTGTACGATGATGAAGGCAATGTTGGTGGTGAAGTAGGTATAGTAGACGAATTATAGGATCGTTCATTACCCCTAACCACGCTTGGACTTTGCTAGCTTATTCCCTTGTTGCTTGCTTGTGGATGAACGTAGCTTAGATGGAATAACAATAAGGGTGGTTCGGTTGTCGGCCTTGTAAGAAGTATATGCCTTTCCTGATACAATAAAGAGTGGATTGACCTTAGAAGAAAAAGTGATCCTTCATCAATACAGGTGACCAATCAATATATGTCACTGTGGGGAGAGAAGTGTCACCAAGCATGATGTCCGTGCGCATCAAATCGAATTTGATTGTTGTTCGTTTATGCAGCTCCACCTCGTACATCCAAACGTGATATAGAACCACCTTTCGACGTACACATATTTTGAGATGTCTTCATTATTGAGTGTTGTTTACTTACACACCTTCACCATCATCCATTTGTACAGCAACTAGTAAAAGCGTGCGTGTTGCCACCATGTGGCATTTCAACCAGCTCTTGTCACCTTGCTTATAGTGCCCGCGACACCATCCATTAGGAAGAAGCAGCTCCATCATGCTTACAGCATAGGTAAAACATAAAGACGCCCGTATCTCAAAAGTTTTACAATCAAGTGTGGGATCTATATGAGAACGATATTGCTCGGTGTGGTCGAAAGCGCCTTGTGTGAAAATACGAAGTTCGAGATGAGCAATCTCAAGGTTATGGACCGTCCACCCTACTTAAGTTCCCGCCCGGTCATCATCGTCGCTCCCGTTTCAAACTTTCATGATGAAGCGTGTGGTTTCTCTTTGAATAGTGTTGATGACCATGTCCCAGCGAACCATCTGCCAAAGTTTCATGTTTGAAATGGAGAATCCCAAGGTAATTCATAGTGTTTCGATAAATCATGAATCCAGGCACAGACGCGATTTCCGGCTTACATAGTAAATCCCACATAGTACCCTCCCATTCCAATTTTTATAATGAAGGATGAGGTCGTTTTTAGATCAACGGGATCAGCATGACCAAGAGCACCTGTGTGAAAAGATTCAGGTTCGAGAGGGGCAATCACAATAACAAGGATTGATGTAAAGTGTTCATGCATTTATACAAGAGGTGTCCGACCTATTTAATTTCCACTTCTTCCACTCCCACAACCTCTTGTCTCCTCCTCCCCATTCTCAACTATTGCCCCATTCAAGTACAGCTACCACCACTGCGAACAATTGTCCTGCTTCACTGCATCATGTCGATCCTACAATTGCCTTGATCCGATTGTTTTGGTTTGAATGGCAAGTGCAAGGAGTGTACACAGCCTTCTTGCCACTCTTCTACAACACACGAGTCTCTTGACACTTCATCTTCTCTTGTACAATCCTCGACCACAATTAAACGTAGCAGCATGCATTCCAACAGTTGCCATTAGCAAAGTATTTACTGCATTGTCTCAAACAACGTTCACAATGTTGTCACTTTACTACAACACACGCTCTTGCACACTCGTATACTACAACCAAACGTGACAGCAGCTGCTATTAGCAAGGTCACCGTTGTCTCACGTTACTTGCAGCAACCTGCCTTTCAGCCCTTTTGCGTGGACAGCAGATAGCCCATTGTGTACAAGCAGCTTTATTACGCGTAGCAACTTGGTTGGTGCATACGGATTCCAATGGATGATGCCATATCAACTATCAAGTGCCTGCAATACAAGGAACCTTCGCTTGGTTGAGATGCAATGAAAATGACCAAGGAAGAGGTAGACCAACATCCGGATGGAAAGGAAGCATATCAGCAGCGATAACGTGGCACTTTTCAACCAACATATTGAATTTGCAAGATCCTGAAATGTCGTTTTGGTTGTTTAGCACGTCGCCAGCAGGGAAGATGGATCATGTCACGTGGATACGGTTGAGGATGATGATGGATTGGATGCCATGGGTAAGAGGGCTTGTATCTTTGGCAAAGGGCGGTTTGCCGCCATGGACGATCTTGGAATGTTGAAGTCAAAATACGCACAGCAAGTAGTTTGCAATCACGGATGAAGATACTTATGACGGCATCAACCAACAATGCAATGACACAATGACTCCCGCTGATCCTATGTGGTCCACTGGTTGGCTTTTGGAATGAAGGGCAGGATAGAAATTTGAAGGCTGGAAGGCGAGATTGGATTACCTACCTTATTGTATCGAGATGCTTTTGTTCCTTTTTTTCATATTATGTCATATTACAATCATTAAAACTTCCTTATTCATATACTGATAGACGATAGGCAGTGGCAACAACGGATTGTATACATGTGCAAATAGATGCTTGTATTTCGAAGATAATAAATCCATAGTAATGGTACCCAACAATAGTGCTTGTTACAAAAGCTGGTCATTGTAGGCTTGAGTCATTACGTCTAAGAGCGAGCGAGCTCTGATACTGTACAATGTGGCACGAGTAAATGCATATGCTCACCTATGAGAACTATCAGCATGCGCTACCTTGTATGTGTAGCCTTGTATGCATAGCCTTGTATGAGAACGAACCCTGGAGACAAACCATACCATTACCGCCCATAGTCTTGGATGCACTGATCACTTTGGCTAGTTATTCATACCATGGTTCATCCGAAAAAGTTTCACCATAGGCGGACCTTACTATAGGGGAAAGTGTCAGTCATGCACACTCCACCAATAAGGATCCTTCAAGCCCTGCCCCTCTCGGTTTTATTACTGTACACAAGCGAGTCCCTGGGCGACTTTCGACTATCAGAGTCATACTAGTTGACAATGAACAAAGACCTCTTTTCATATAGCATCACGCTTACAGCATATGTAAAACATAAAGGTGCTTGTATCTCTAAACTTTACAATCAAACGTGGGGCCTTTAATAGAACCGTGTTGCCCGGCGGGGTGAAAGCGATCTTGTGTCAAACTATGAAGTCCATCGTGGCCAATCCCAGATTTCGCAATGTCGCCACCAGCCAAACTGGATCCGGGGGTCAACCTCTTCGACGACGACGACCAAAAAATATTTTTTGGGCTGTTTGCGACATTGAACGTGAAACTTTCACACAAGGTGCTGTTTGCCAAGCCGAGCACATTGCTCTAATAAAAACCCCACGTTTCATTGTAAAGTTTGGAGATACAGGCACCTTTATGTTTGTAAGCGTGATGCTATATGAGAAGTGGTCTTTGTTTAATGTAAAGTAGCTTGACCCTGACAGAGCAAAAGATGCAGAGGGTCGTGTTGTGTAACACAGCTACGTTTGCATGAATGAAAGGGTCAATGTATAATTACTTTATGGATCATCTAGGAACAGGCGTGTATTGCTAGCTAACGGCCACTTTTATCCAATCATCATTGTTGCGAGATCCACTGCATGGGAACGATGCCCCTGCTCCAGACATTCATTTCCATGATTAAAGTAGCTTGATCCGAGCTGATTTGACTGAGCTGCGGTCAAAGAGAGATTACATCACTCTGGACATAAAGCACGCTCGATGTAGCTCAACCGATGTAATCTTGTGTGAGCGTAACTCAACCAAATCAGCTCGGATCAACCTACTTTAATCATGGAAATGAATGTCTAGAGCAGGAGCATCGTCCACCTACAATAGAATGCACAAAAGTTGGGAATGCACAACAGTGGCTATTAGCTGCCAATGTATGACACAAAAGTGAGGGTTGCGTACCTATCATGCATTGTCCCTGAAGTCCTGACTTTTTAGCTGAGTTACACAAAGAGGTCCCTCTGCATCTTATGCTCTGCCAGGGTCCACCTACTTGACAATGAACAAAGACCACTTCTCATATAGCATCACGCTTACAAACATAAAGGTGCCTGTATCTCCAAACTTTACAATGAAACGTGGGGTTTTTATTAGAGCAATGTGCTCGGCTTGGCAAACAGCACCTTGTGTGAAAGTTTCACGTTCAATGTCGCAAACAGCCCAAAAAATATTTTTTGGTCGTCGTCGTCGAAGAGGTTGACCCCCGGATCCAGTTTGGCTGGTGGCGACATTGCGAAATCTGGGATTGGCAAGCTTGATCGTGAAACTTTCACACAAGGTGCTGTTGGCCAAGCCGAGCACATTGCTCTAATAAAAAACCCACGTTTGATTGTAAAGTTTGGAGACACAGACACCTTTATGTTTGTAAGCGTGATGCTATATGAGAGGTGGTCTTTGTTTAATGTAAAGTAGCATGACTAATAGAGCAAAAGATGCAGAGGGCGTATTTGTGTAACTTGAGTCATTCAGCACAGGCGATGCATGATTCTTGTACACTATTTAGGAATAGTTCAAAATGCCAGCTAATAACCTTAGTCCTCCCATTCTCCATTGTTGTCCAATCTAATGCATACGAACGATTGTCCTGATCCAGCCCAGCATGCCCATCATCCAATATCAGAAGAATCAACTCGGTAAGTTATTTGTAAACTGCCACTTGATAGCCCATTCCTCCCAATCATCATTCTTGCCCAATCCAATGCATGTGAACGACTCATCTTCTCCAGCCCATCATGTCCATCCTTCAACTTTCTTGATCCGAGTGGATTTGGTTGAGTTACGCTCAAACACAAAACATCATCCAATATGAGAAAGATCATTTTGCAAAGTTAATTGTAAATTGGCAGCTAATAGCCCATCCCTTCCATTCACCTTTGTTGCCCAATCCAATGCACGTGAACGATTGTCCTGCTCCAGCCCAGCATGCCCATCATTGAACTTTCTTGATTCGGACTAACCTGGTAGTATAAAGGCAATGACTGTTGTTAGATCATCATTATCATTTAAAGTGTAAAATGACACACACCCTTTTGCTATACGTGAGGATCATTTCTTTTATTTACGTGTATCTATTGTCTATCGTGAGAGTGGTGATGATCATGATGGGTGGATGGTGTATGTGGGGTCATTGAGTGGCCTCAGTGTAACAGCAGTAGGGGGATTTAAACTTGGGGGACGGTAGCTTCACGACTTGAGACAACGCTTTCTCTTTCTCCCTCCTACTTTGATCCCATTCATGACATCCCGATCAAGGTAAAGAGTGCTCTTGTTGTTTGTGAGGCATTAACATAGTTCTGAACATGCATTGTCAGGGAGTGGGCGTGGTAGCCATGGCGATGTCGTTGCTATTCCCGCTCCATGCTTGGTGTCAACAGGTACATTCAGAGTCCAATGTTGCAGCACAACTTGTTCCATTGACGCGTCAGCTTGTATAGAGGGCAAGTCTGGTTTCAAGACGTTGGTTGGTTTGGCGTTTTGTTTCGGCTCAACAACACTACACCATGGTTTTCGGTTTCCAGTAACCAACAACAACGGGTCTTTATGTATATGGAAAGGCAAGTGCAATGAAACAAACAATGAAAAAAGGGCGTTTATTGTATGTGTGTGTTAATAATGGATCGAATAGGTTTCTTTGATCAGGTAGTGCAACTTGGGGCACCATCACCTCTTTGGGTTCGACTCCCAGCCTGTATCTTTTGGACATCATCAGTACACATTGATACAAGCTCTTCTCGTGATATATCTGTTGGTGATTACTCTTTGCGGAATGGATGGGTGAGGGATCATTACTTCTTGCTGGGAAGAATGAATGCGAACCATGAGCCGGGGTAAGCTGCGAATGTGATGGTCTTCCTTGTTAGGATCGACGAACTGGTCATGCAAGAATCTTCCAGTGCTTTCTCAAGAGATCGAACCGGCCGTAGCTTGTAGCTCGTGATTTGATTATGTGATGCCTGCAGATTGCCTTCTTCCGATACAACAATGATCACGATATTCACAACAATGGCACAGACAAACGTGGTTTACCTTTCCCGTGGCAAGATGTTGCTTGATGAAGTCTCCTCATATCTCGATGGTATTTAGAAGGATGCATCCAAGAACCCATTCATATATCATTCTGCTCAATTAAATATGATGCTATTACCTATGTGTGAATGTAAGGCAGGGCACTTAACAAATGTTGTCAATGGGCAGTAAGGCGTATGATGGTATGAAGAGTGCATAATATGGTGAGGTGAGGTGACAAATGCCTTGTGGGCCAACATTGATATTCAGCAAGACCGCCTGAGACGAGGGTGGACAAACACGGCTTTCCTTTTTTCTTTCTTCCAAACAAAACAACAATGGCTGAGAAGAAGCTGAATGCAAACACATGTTACAACCTCTCTTTCTTCAAAGGTATATTCATTGCTGTTCTCGACATATGCATTGCATGCAGGGAGCTAACTCATGGGAATCTTTGAATTGGGTGTGTAGATATCATGAAGGAGCTTCGTCGCGTTGACGATAATATTATCCCTCGTCTCAACACCACCGATACTCATTCTGAAAAGGCATGTGGTGAGTTCTTTGCTCAGCTTGCGGATTCATACAAGAAGCGCGAGGAGGCTGTAGACTACTGCCTCAAGGTAAGGGCGCAAGGTTTAGAAGATGTTACTATGTCATATTAAATGCATTGGTAGGTGATGGATGAGCAAATCGCCAAGAAGACCAAGTTACTCGAAGAAGATCCTGATGACTATGATACGCAATCCAGCTTATTCTCGGATGAGACCAAGGTAAGCGATGATGTGGAGGAATAATAGCGGATGGATTTTATTAACGGCGTATCCATGCCAACAGCGTCGCATGATCGCGAATGAATTGGTGGTTGAGGATATTGTTCGTGCTCGTTCCCTACAAGTCTTCAAGAACAAGTGCAAGATATTTGACACCTCCTCGCTAGAGCTCAAGTCATGATCGATTACAACTATTACCACGATAGATCCTATACACAAAAGTGCATTTGTATTACCAACACGACACGCACACGCTAGCACGTCAGTGAAGTCAATTCCAATACAATGCAGAGTCAATACAGTCTTTGGTATCTGGAAAACTTTATTTGAATAAGGATGATCTACTTGAGTTATGGTGGGATGGTGGGGTAATTGCTTCGGTTGGATCGGATCTTCAGATGAAAGGCTATGTGCTCTCTGTCTATTGATGTCCCTGATGAGATTTGAAAGTACCAACGATCGTTCCTATGAAACATGCCGATTCAGAGTTCAGGATAGAAATCAACATCGTTGCTAAGCATATTCGAGCAATCGCTGATTACAATAGTAAATTACATCTTGTGCTTTGCATCCCGGCAACGATCGTAGCTTATGATTGAGTAGAAGGTTGAGCAAAAGGCGGTCTTTATGTTGTGATGCGACGTGTAAGCGAATCCACCTGAAGTTGCATTCGTTGTCAAGCGTTTGCATAGCTGTATAGTTGTTTTCAAAGCATGTCTACTACATTTGTGCTGCGTTTTCCATATTTTCATTGCTATAACTCAACACTGTAGACTACATGAAGACTGTAGTCAATGGATCATCCCAACACTTACATCGAGCCATCCGTTCCCACTAGCTTTTCTCGCATATGAATTGTCGTGCCGTGTATCCACATGCCAAATGAACAAGATGTTTGCGCTCGCATATTTTCCCCCATTGTGTATAGCTGTACAGGCGGGTTTGCTTTTATTATACGAAGTGTGGGTGTTGTTGTTTACTTTTAAGCAAGAGGACTAATGAGCCTATTTCAAGAATAAGGATATGTAAGTATCCATGATATCAGCGACACCATTTGTATCATATACTTACTTGAGCAACGAGGGCTTGGGGTTGCTACGGGTCATGCCAAGGTAAATGACGACGGGAATGAAACCCCAGTGCAAGACTTGCTTGGAAAAGTCGATAACCTATGGCAATTGCGAGAGACGATGAGTACATTGAAAAGAGAGCAATAGTGTCATGGCTAATTCGCACCTTCCAGATAGATTCCTTTGTAGAGTCGTTCATGGTATGAAAACAACAGGTAAAGAATTTGCGATTGCTGGTGGAGCTAAAATATGGACACCGACCACTGAAGGGATCCATGTCATCCACAAGGCAGTAATAGGCTGCCAATCACTGCCACCGTACATTCATTCTCTATATACAAGTATCAACTTTTTTTTTCTTATTGCTACTAGCACTTTGCATTTGTAATGATCTATTTTCCTCCATCAATAAAGAAATGTTCTTTATCCAATCCTACACTTCACTACAGCCTGCACTGAAATTACAATAAGATGCAAGTCAATATGCATTGACAACATATCATCCATCGAGTAGTACTCATCCACATGATCGACTAGCGGCACAAAAAAAGAATGCTTCATTCTCTCCTTTTAATGCAACTATATGAACGATTCGACAAGGGGGAGTGGGATAATGGAGAATGGCGTTGATGTGGCTACAGGAAGGGGTAAACAACATGATATTTGTAAAAGTGATGGCGAAAAAAGTACATATCATAGCTTGAGTAATAAGACCAAGAGCACAATGTACGTCGCCATGGTTACTGCTGTGGTGAGAATGACCCAGTCGCCACTTGTTTTGAAAGGTATACTAAGGTCGAATACATCGCCTGCCGTTCGCCGCCTCCAAACAGCAATAGCCAACATGGCCAACCCAAACACAAAGAACGTAATGCCAATCTTGTAGAATTCACGAGTGAACACCTTGAGAATGAGCAACCCGGTCGAAAATGCTGCAAGAGCAGTACGCCAATAAGCACCTTCAAACGTCCGTTGTCGAGCTAATACCTTGCATAAGTACACTTTGCCTGCAGACTTTCTTTTTGACAATGCCAACCTCGTAAATCCTGTAATTCAGTTTGCGTCAAGAGAACCGATTGTTCCCGATGTCCTCGAACCATGCGTGGCTCTTTTTTGCGATGGAAATGCATAGTGTATAGTATTAGTTGAAGGAGGAAAAAGAACCAGTGAGAAAAAAGGTATGTATCCCGCAAGCGTTTCAATTGCATTGCCGGTCATTTGATGAACCATTTACACCGCTCATATCATCATCATCGTATTCAACCTTGTCTCCTGTCTCAACTCTCACTCGTCCCCATTCTTATTGTTTTCTTAGTCTGTTAGCCCTAAATAGAGTCGACACAATAAAGGCAAAAGCAATGGTATGGCATCTTGGGTACGTTTAAACTGCTTTACTGTGAGCTGCATGCATATGAATTTGAAGAAATCACTACTGCTCTTGATGGTTGCAAGGGGTAAAGGTAGATAAAAGTAGCGGTAATTTATATATCCAACATCGAGAAAATGGTGGAGAGGAGGAGTGTGAATGTGGATGGGGAAAAGGGGTACAAAGGCATGTCCTACATTGGTGATTTGATAAGCATGTGCACGTGGTACTATACCGAAAACTGCCAGGCCAATATCCATCATGAATGCCGTTAGCATGAAACGCAATTATGTCAAGGTCTGCAGTGAAGGAACATGTCAATGTACTTTTGGTGTTGCCTAATGTGTGTACAACAGAGAGATTAGATACGTTGTAGAAGCATGCAATCTCTTTTTATCGTAACCCTTAATCCATCTTATATGAACCCCATATTGCTTTGTGAGGCGGTGCAATACATTGGATGGAACCCAGATCAGGTCTTTCTTTCCTTTGACGTTGTGTTTTCTCTCCTCTCTAAAAATGGCGTCAGTGACACAGCGAAGTAAAAAATAACCTCATTGCCTTGATTGGGCCATACGATATTTTTCCAAGGTTTCTGTGCGTCTATTGATTCAATTACAACAATGAAAATGCACCCTCCTCTTTCTTCTTCCTTTTCTTTGTTCCCATACCGTTCACTATTATCATTCATCCATTGTTACCACCCTTTTACATTCCTTGATGCGTTGGCTCTTGATCTTCCTTATCGTTCTTCACGTTGTCGTCCTCGTGTATCCACAAGAAGTAGGTGGCGGTGCTGATCCTTCTGGAGGCGGCTCTCAACTACCTTCAGCAGACCCACCACCACAAGAAAGTGATTCACAACAACCACCTGCAACCACACAAGCACCCGAACCAACAACAACAGCTGATAACAAGCCGCCAGAACAATCGAGCCAACAACCTGAGCCAACTCCTACTACGCAAAATCCATCACCTGCAACTTCGTCTAATCCCCCTGTTGAACAACCTTCCTCATCCGAAAACAAACCTGCTACCACCAACAACCCAACACAACCTACATCCTCAAATAACAATGATAAGCCAGCACCCAGCTCATCAAATGATGCTAATAAGAGCAAGGAATCGGATAAACCTACAACCAGCAATGGTGATTCGACAACCAGCGATGATGCTTCGAAAACTGGGTCAGCCACATCTAGCGCTTCAGAGTCATCAAGCGATAGTGCAAAGAAGAAGGATGATGGTGGTGATAATGATGTCCCTGTAGGCACTGTAGCTGGTGCCGTTGTCGGTGGTGTAGGTAATGTACCTTAATGAATCTACCATATCTGGTTATCCACTCGTGAACAACCCATATTGACATGTTCTCGTTTCATTTTTCCACAGTTGGTATTGCCCTACTTGGCGGCTTGATTACATTTATCAATAGACGTGGTGGTTGTACTAAGAAATCCCGAAAGCCAAACAAGAACGACTACCAAGACTTTGGCATGTCTGAAACGGATTATCCCCATCATCGTGGTACACCACCAATGTCATCACCTGTATTGCCTACAACCACAACAGCTGCTGCAATGGGTGCTGGTGCGGGTATGGGAGCAGCAGCTGCAGCTGCATCATCATCGCCACACATGGATAATCATGCTGCCACTGCTTACTACGAAGGCCATCCATCCAATTACTACCAGCAAGATCAGCAGTACTATTATCAGGATCATCAAGATATGAATGCTGCTGCCGCTCAAGGTGGTTATTATCATGATCCATATGCTAATCCCACTGCAGCAGCTGGTGCTGCAGGCATGACATCACCTGTAATGGGATATACTGGTCAACAATATGCGGATCCCAATGCTGCATACTACTATGATCACCAGCAATATCAGCAACAGCCCCCAACAACCGATCCTGCAGGCTATTACAAACCCGATCTCGCCGATCTCCAACATCGATAGAGACAAGAAGCAACATTCCCCAACGTATAAGCTCTTTTCATCCATTTCATCGGCACTCACATACACAACCACGTCATCGATGTGCTTTTTATATATATATTCTCATTGACCATCTAAAAGCCCATCCTATTCACACGATCACATTCCCTTTGTATAATATCGCCTACTTGTAGTACACACAACACCTGGAGACACGCGTAAATTACTTGGTGATAATATAATATGGGATCTTTTACACATTGATATAAATACAAAATGATAGACATGGTATGGTTTTGGAGAACGAGAGGGTGTGTGTGTGAGTGTACGAGCTTAATGATACAAATATTACATGACAAGAGTAATAGAAGCCTAATAGAAAGAAAGAATAACAAATACAAGGTAAATGAATACATAAGAAAATGATAGGGAAATGTTGCTATGGGGATGGTTGCCATGGAGATGTTGCCATGGGGATAGGAATGGAAAGAGGATGGGACCGGGTATATTAGTTTGTGTAGCTTGATGCTGAGGAGGATGCTGTTTCTTCACGTTCCTCTGATGGTACGATATTATCCACTATAAACAGGATCATTGGGTTAATGAATGTTGTTTGATCCACAATGACTACATACCTTGCGTAGCTCGGAAGGATCGTTGGGCACTTTGTAGCTCCTCATCCGTTGCAATACCGTCTTTGTGATATTCTTCTACAATAACAAGCGCATTCTTGACCCCCAACTCACATAAACGTTTCCAATGGAGAAGGGCTTGTGATAGATCCTTGGTGGTACCGATTCCGTTCTCATAGCAACGAGCGATTTGTTCCTTGACATCACGTTGAACATCATTATTGCCGTCCCTCTCAAGCTGCAGCAGAATCTCAAAACCCTTCTTAGGCTTATGCTCAGGAGCATACCATCCGTATAGATGATACAAGGCAACCATGATTTGTGCATTGGCAGTTGAATAATCGGTCTGTGTATCATTGCTGCTATCAGCCATTTCTTGATTCTTGATGTTGGCAGCACGCTCAAAACGAATAAAGGCTTCTCGATGTAAGGCAGGAGCGTGATCAGCCATGGTATGGAATAAACGACCAATGACGAATTCGAGAACAGGGTTGGTCGATTGTGCACCACCAGCTTTTTCATAGAAAGCGAGCGCCTTTTCAAGTGGACTATCTTCTTGCAAGCAACTTGCTTCATAGTAGGAGCCAAGCATAAGAATGGATGCCTTGTCATTCATATCGGCTGCTTTGCAAAAGTAATCAATAGCTTTCATGCGATCTTGCGTAACGGTAAATAACTTCCCAGTGCGGTCAAGTTCGGCAAATCCACGATCGTATAGGAAGCCTAAAGCACGCAACGCCTCGACAATGCCTTGTTTATCGGCTGCATCTTGAAAACATTGCCATCCCTTGGGATAATCACGAATTTGCCAATAGGTATCAGCAAGCTCGTATGTTGCACGTGGATGACGTTGAACCATTGCCTTGCTTAGATAGGATGCTGCGGCAACCGAGTTGACGAGTAATCCGCCACGACCATACTTGTGGAAAAGGCCAACTTGGAATTGAGCCTCACTATCACCTTGTTCTGCTGCTGCACGTAGCCATTCTAATACTGAATCATCTTGTTTCTTCTTGTCGTATAATTGTGCCAAGCGATGCATAGCACTGATTGCTCGCACACTAGCCAAATCAGCACTGCGTGTGTACCATAGGATAGCTTTCTCATCATCTTGATCAATTCCTTGGCCACGTTCAAAGCATTCACCAATACACTCGCACGCTTTGCTCCAGATGCGTCTTTCGTATATGCTTGAAGAAGGTGGTTCAGTGGGTACAGCATCACAAAGTGTGGTAAACCATGTACGTTCAGCATCTGGTTCAAGCTGTAGACCATAAAGCGCCATACGAAAACGTGCAATCCAATGATCTGGTACTCGTCTAAACCAGTCGAGTGCTTCTGTAAATCGTTTTAATCCGTAGCACACTTCACCAGCATAGACGCATGAAAGTTTATGTTGTAATGCACCAGCCATCTTGTATAACGCATATGCTTCGAGCCGATCAGCAGGAAATTTTTTGCCTAGGCCATGCTCGTAAAGTTGTCCCAATTCAAACATGGCTTCAGTGTCTTGCATGTCGACCGCCTCTTCCAGCAAGTACTTGATCATATCAATATTGCGTTCATCATCATCGTCGTCATCATCGTCATTGTTGGAGTGGTCGTTTTCATTGCCGTCAACGTCTTGTAGCAACAACAATGCCAACTCACGCTTGCTGCTTGCATGACCCATCACATGACCTTGACTAAATCGATGCTTGGCCTCGCTGTGGTTTCCTTCACGCATAGCTTGCTTGCCAAGCTCATACATAGCTCCAGTATGGCCTTGTGCAGCTGCTTCTATTAACCAACGCTTGGCTTCTTGTGCTTGATTTTGGTGATGTAATAAGAGATACCCTGATGGGAAAAGTGAGTGAGATCATAAGTATACATAAATGTATGTGTAATATGAGGCTTACCCAAATGATAACGTGCTTCACGGGCTTGAGTAACGGTCTCGGAGGAAACGTGGCCTTTCATTTGATCGAGATACGGCTCCACTAAACGTAGCTGTTGCAACGCTTCATCGTGCTTCTCATGGATGATCAATAAGTGTACAAGGCGACATCGAGTACGAGCTTGGTCTAAGGCGAGAGATGTGTTGGCTGTAGGGATACTCAAATGGGTAGCTTTGGTATACCACGCCATGGCCCGAGTGATATCACATTGGATTCCCAGGCCATTTTCACAGCAAATGCCTTTTTGTACAAATGCACATGGTCAGTGTTTTTTTCTCAATTATCGTGCGTCTTTTTCTTTTTCATTCCACTTACCAAGCAGCTCAAATGCTTCAACAGCGTCAGCTTTGTCTTTGTGTGTTTGCACCATTTCACTAAGCGACCGATACGTCTCTTGCTCACGGACCACCTTGTTGCTATCGGCACTATTACCACCAGCACCATGTAAGACCTCAAGGCGATGTTTGGCCAAAAGAGCATGCCAGCCATAGGGGTGAGTAGTAGGATCAAACTTTTGCAAAATAACATCGTATTGACGCAAAGCCGATGTCCATTGTGAACGCCTCTCATAAAGTAAAGCAATCTCAAAGCTTGCTCTATAACATCCAAGGTATCGTGCACGGACGGTATGAGAAAATTAATGTTTTGGCGGGAAAATCTAAGCTCACACAAACATACCTGATATAGCCAAGTGCCTCGGCTTTCCTGAGACATTCAAGGGCCTTGTTTACATCAGGCTCGGCTTCTTCACCACTTGAACAACACCACCATCCTTTTTCATAATACTGCGACAACGCATACCAAGCACGTGGATCATTGTGTTGCTCATCCGTAGCTCGTTGGAGCCATTCGTATCCAGATTTGTAATCACCATCCGATTCATAAATGTTGGCAAGTTCACGCATGGCACTTGTATCATCCTTGGTAGCGGCCTTGAGAAGCCAATCAACAGCTTCTTTTTTCTTGTCCAAAGATGTCTTGAGCAACACTTGAGCAAGTCGCACCATAGCTTCTGGAGATCCTTTCCTCACGGCACAGCGTAACAATGACTCTGCTTTTGGAAGGTCGACCTTGGCAACAGGCTGAATGGCTTGTATGTAATAGAGTGCTTCACACAATTGTGATAGTGCATGACCTTGAGCAGATGCTTTGGTGTACCAATGATAGGCAGCTACACGATCCTTGGAAACGCCGAGTAATCCATTGGCTAGCATATCAGCAACATGAAATTGGCTCAACATGTGGCCTAGCTCTGCAGCATGTAAAAAGTGTTGAAATGCTTTTGGTGACTTTTCAGCCTTCCACCATCGACCAAGCCAATAATGTGCTTCATCAGGTACACCGGATTTGGATGCGAGTGCTTCAAGACTTGTGCGATCTCGTTTATGCAACGCTATGCGAAGTTGAGCTGTGCTGCGATACACCTTGCCAAGATCATCTTTATCAGCATTGGCAACACGTTCAAACCAGGGCAAGGCATCATCGATACGACCAAGTTTTTCGAAAAGCATGGCAAGTGCAAGTTGAGCAGGGACACAACCACTATCAGCAGCACGTTGATAGCATTGGATTGCTTTGGTGGTATCACGAATACAGCCACGACCCCATTCGTATTGCTTTCCAAGTGAGCCAAGTGCAAGCACGTCACCTTGAGCGGCCGCTTTTGTGAATAAGGCATGGGCTTGGTGTTCATCGGCACATGAAAAACCGAGACCTTGTTCGTACATGGTGCCCAGAGCACGCTGAGCTTGAGCATGGCCAGCATTTGCAGCACGAGTAAGGTGCATAATAGCGCGCTCGTGGTCGGTTGCCAAATCGGTAGAATCATTTAAGAGGCTGTGGTTACGGAAGCTGATGCCCATAAGATAATGCATATTGCCGTATTGGGGATCCGATACAGGTACCAAACGCAGGTATCTTTCATAGTACTCAAAAGCAAGTCTCTTATTCGGCGTCACCGTATCACCAGCACCTTCCTCGTATACGTAGGCAAGTTGCAACAAGGCATCAGCATTCACATGTTCCTCCTATAACATGATACAAATGTAAGTAACGTATCCATGGATACCACTATGAAAAGAAAAAATCTTACCTTATCCGCTGCAAGATGTAGCCATTTTAATGCTTCCTGTGGTTGACGACGATCCAACAACAATGCCCCAAGAGCAGCTTGAGCCTTATCATGTCCTTGTTCAGCAGCTAGCGTGTACCACTCAATAGCCTGGTCAATGCTTTTTCGTGGCTGTTCGGTTTTGCTCATGGCGATCCCGTGATGGTGATAGTAGCCCATCATGTAGCGTGCAGTAGCATGCTGATTTTCGGCTGCTGCTTTAAAGTATTGGGTTGCTTTGATGGTATCAACTCTCGCAACGCCTTTGCCACTGGCCCACATTTCACCAAGGTTGTATTGTGCATTGGAAATGATGCCTATAATGCGTTCACGTTGCTCTTGGTCTCGACACGTTTGCAACAACACCATGTTCTCCTTGGCCGCTTGTTGAAAATACTTGTAAGCAAGCGGGTAGTTAGGCTGTCGTGATGGTGACAACCCATAGTAGTGGAATACGGCATATGGGTAATAGGCCTCAGCTACCACTTGACGATCGCTGATATCAGGTTGCATTATCCATCGATCAAGCCTATTGTATGCTTCATCCATGCGTTGGTTCTCGTCATCAACAACCGTTGCCGTTGTGGGTAAAGTAAGTGTTGACGAAGATGCAGTATGGGAAGTGGTGGTAGGATGATGGTGATCAAGAATGGGCAAGGTGGCATCATGTGCTTGTTTGATATGGATAGATGAGATTGACGATGCAGTGCTCGACAAGGACGATAATGTGGAAAATAATGCTGTGCGTGCTGAGCTGGCAGATGACGAAGATGTGATGGATGACATGGTAGGTGGAAGGTACAATGGTTGGTCATAGTTGGATAATGATGGTGATGATGCGTTACGTGATGATGTGCTTGAAAATGTACTATCGCCACCACCTACAACAGCGGCAAATTTGTTCTTTAGCAAGATGCTCGATTGTGAATCCATAAAATCGATTGATAGCCGACGCTGCACGTCATCATCATCATCTTCATCTTCGATAAGTAACGGCTCGGCTGTGTATGCTGGTTGTGGCGGTGATACGGGAAGATGTAATTGCGATTGTTGTTCAGGAACAAAATGCTGTGATACGGATTTTTGCTGTTGCTGCTGCTTTAGACTTGCGCGTTGACGCTGCTGCTGTAGTTGTTGCGATCGTAAAGGTTGGCGAGTAACATGATGATGTTGCTGGTAATGCGACTGTGGTGGCGGAGGTTGATGCCTTGTTGATGAACCATGGTGAGCTCGCCGCTTATTTTGTTTGCTTTGATGTGCGCCCATGTCGTTTTTTGTTTACGACATACACAAAACAAGGATGGAAAAGGTATATGGAGAGAGAGAAGCGAAAGGAAAACACACAGATCTGGGGATCTTCAGTATTTGGGTAATGTATTTTATAATTTCTCAAGGCGTATTTTGTGGGATCACACGAGTCATTCCTAATTTATATGGTTGGGCGGTAACTTTAAAACCATACGCACACGCGCATTCCAGGGAATGAGAGTAAATGATAGCTACTTGCCTGTGAGTATAAGTTTCATGACGCATACGTTATAAAGACTATGCATGGCTTGCTCCTTAAAGCCCCTTGATGCTTATGATAGCCACCAAGACATTCGTTAACCACATATTGGGATGTTGCTGTGAGTGTTACTGTGGCCATTGCGCAGCGGTAACGCAGCGATAGAGAAAAAGGAAATGGGGGGAGGGATTAGACGACAAGGGAGCTTGGTTGTGATTGTGTCACGGTAACCACGAGAGCACCATGGAATAAAAAAGAGGGCATTTATGCCATTGAGATGTACTGCTTGGTAAATGGTTTTGTATAATGAAGCGTATGATGTATGTCAAGTGAATGGTTAACTTTCAATTCTTCGTTCCATAATCGAGATCTTTTTTTGGTAAAGGCAGTAGGGGATAAAAGCAACACGCAAGCAAGTTCCCAGCTTGTGTACTACAACGTCAATGTTTGAAATTGATTGGTCTTGGCAGGACATACCTAATGTTCATATGACAATGCAAGGTGATGACGATAGCGCAAAGACAGGCGGGCGACAAACACCACTTACCAAGCGTATAGCAAGATGTGTACGCTCGCATAGCACACGTGAGCAGCAATGCACTGCGCCCTTCTCGGCAAAACCTGCATAAGTTGAACAAGAGTTACACACATTGATGAAAAAAATAGAAAAGGGGAAACAACAAGCGGCTACGCTTTTGTACACAGGCTATGCCAAATGTGTGTGTGACAACTGACATTGTGATATTTCATTCTCTCTCTTTTTGCCAACGATGGTTGTATGTTCATTGTTGACTAAATCAACAACATCCCCCTTTTTGAATCCGCTTCAGCAGCAGCAGGGGGTTGTCATATGGCTAAACTGCATCAATCGAGATTCATATGATGTGGATTGGCTGGTATCTTCGATGCATGGCAAACAGCAACAGGTTTCATTTTTACCAGGGCAAGGCCGTCTACATTACATGTGTATATCAGCAATCGATTTTGGTGCATAGTGATGCGCGTGAACCACATGATCTTGATGATCTGGCGGGACAAGAGGAAATAGGAGGGAAGAAAACATTCGTCATTCTACCAAAAGGATGCATGTTCCATGATGATCAGCATCGTCAACAATCATTCATCATTTGTGCTGGCAAATGGCGTGTGTGGTCATGAACGAAATATAGCCATGAGAATGACAAAACAAGCATATGTGAATTACGGCTATAAAAGTAAAAGAAAAAGGGTCTTGGTAGTGGGGTAATAAGGCTTAACGTAACGATGTTTGTTTGTTTGTCTCATCTTAATTGCGCGCATGCAACGCTGTTTGCAGCCAGGAACACGCACATCTACAGAGCAAATTCAATTTTTACCGTGGCAACGTATTCACTCCTCTTCCAGCCTTATATCGAGATACACTTTAGCCATGTTGATGCTATTTCAACAAGTGCACCTCCCTTGCCATCGACCCTCTGCGAACTAGTACTACCACACAGGTAATATATATGTGGCGTTTGCATCTAGAGCAATGTAACGTGTGGCAGAGGCAAGGTGATACAATCCACCCATCCACGTTTTCAATTCGAGTGGACGCACGTACACCAATGATTGCAAAGGAGAGCAGGTGTTCTTGTATGTACATGTCTTTTTCTTTTTCATGCAGCCATTTTTCGTATCAATAGTGATTGTGTGCGTGCGTGGGTTCATGTATGTGCGCGCATGAAAGAGTCTGCTGTTGACCCCCATTTCCCGTCCCCCCTCGAGAAAGTGAGCAACTCGCTTAGTCTATGGCAAAAAAGGATCCTAATGTCTCCAGGGAAAAAGATACATGCGTCTCTACGCTTGTTGTTATGTGTTTCACAATCGACGTTTTGTCTGCTGCAAGTCATTCTCTCGTGCATAAAGCGACATCAAGGAACCCCCAATCCATTCACACACCTTGTCTTGTGTCTGTGTTTGTGTGCGTGTGCATATGCCAAGTAAAAAAAGCATCCATCGCCAGTAATTATATCCCCCATCACCTCGCGTACATATGTATGTGGAAATAAAGAAGGAAGGATCTACAGCACATTATCCTTTTTTTCTGATAAAGATGAATGACAAGGTCTAGAAGGAGATGCAGCGTTACATGGTCGCGCGACTTTCAACCCCCATTCACCGTCATGTGGACAGTCGTTTGACTCCTCTCTCCCACCTCTGGCATTAAAAGGTCCATTACATATATACACACAAGAACAACAACAACCAAACAACCACTTTTGTTCCCCAAAAAAACGTCCCTTTCCCCCATCGTATTGGTGGTCATCCACGTCAACTGATCGCATCCACTTTTCTTCCTTTTTTCTTGATACAGTATATTAATGTGTCAAAGCATACACACATGTTAGTTACCGTAATAGGTGAATGTTGGGTGTTGGGTGGTGATGACAATAATGACGATTCGAATGAGATGATGTGATATGCCAGTTGCAGTAAGCAAAACGACAAGGGTATGATACAAGAAAGTGAGTGGCCGGTATATGTGCGAATGCATGCAAGTGAATGGGATGGCAAAGGCTTGTGTCTAATGAGTGGTGGCGGTGGTGTTGGTGGTATCCAAGATTCTATCCAGGGTATCAATGATCTGAAAGGCAAAGAGAAGTGAGAAAAGCACACGCATGGTACCAAAGAAAGACAAGTCGTTGGGGTGGGGAAATAGAATGATGATCCTTACCGTTTGTATATCAGCACGCTCGTTGGGATCGGTCACCAACATGGATCTGATAAGCCGTCGAAGGTCATCGCTGTAAGGATCATTCTCAGTGGGAAACTTGTATTGGTTGTTGAGAATTGCCAAGGAAATTGAACCACCCATTTGATGTACGGTTGCTTCGAATGGATTTTGTCCATAGGCTGTTGCATATAATAGACATCCCAAACTCTAAAGATCTCATGTGCGTTAGAGCCTCCTTGTTTATGTTTATCATCCGTGACATTTACCCAGATATCCATTTTCTCATCCAGATGCTTGCCAGGTCGAACATCATAGAGTTCAGGTGCTCGATATGCCATGGTCGTATGTTCAGCTGCCATGTCCTATATAAGCATACGTTGAAAGTAAGTGAGCAAAAGGTAGAGAGGGAGTTTCCAAGTTGCCTAGACATTCATTACCTGCTGCACCATGGCGTCTTTCTTAGTCTTGATCGTGATACGAGCGCGCGTGATCGATCCAAAATCAGTCAAGATCGGGGTCTTACCGTCATCGGCGATCAAGATGTTGCTGGGCTTTAGGTCGCGATGTGCTGCATAATAATGATAGACAAGGTCAGCAACAAGAACATTCAAAGACATGGGGTGGGGGTGGGGGTGGAATGATGGTGGTTTACCATAGGGAACAAGTGACCCATCATCTTCACGGCGTCGGTACCCGTTTGCATTATAATAACTTGAGGATGTGGGCATCACAGGTTGCACGTGAGGGACGTCATCATCATCGTCAGCATTGCGTTTTGGCACCTGAGGCAAACAAAACATATGGAGCACTCGTACGGCGTAGCAAAGATTGCGGAAAAACATAAGCAAATCCCTTTCAGGAAAGTGTGTCTTGTTGAGATTGTTGGCATTGATACTATCTTGGAGGTTGCCTCTCTAAGAAACGCAAAACGTATCAGGAGTCAAAACAAAGAGATCTCATTGACAAGTGTACCTTGTAATAGGGAAGGAAAATGTAAACGGTCTTGGTCCCATCCTTCTCCATGGCGATACTTGTATTCTATAATAGCCCCGGTGCATCATCAGCCCCATCATTCATCATCATGCAGTAAATAAAACCACAAAATGGGATAGAACAACGTACCAAGACACTGATAATGTTCTCATGCTGAAACATGCGGTACATATCCACTTCTCGCATAGCTTCCGATACAGCTTCTTGGTCGCCAGGTGGGCATTGAATCTTTTTTAGGGCATAAAGCTGGTTGGTCGGCTGTGCTCGGACAAGGTAGACAAAAGCATATCCGCTATAGAGATAACATTGTATATGTCAGGGTCTCCATAAACGAGAACAAGAGCTGGCTGAAAAGTTGGTGTATTTACCCTTCGCCAAGTAGTTGAATGACGTTGAACTTTTGTCTGTTGATTTGAATGCTCGGGTTCGGAAAGCAGCAGGATGTAATGCTGTACAAGGTGTCGCGAAGGATTGACGAGAATGACATGAGAGTGGAATGCGTAAAAGAAATAAAGTCGGGGGGAAAAGAAAGAAAGAGAGAGAGAGAGAGAGAGAAAGGGAGAAAGAAAAGAGAAAGGAGCGAGATAAACAGGAGATACGAAGCTAATAATGGGCGACATGATGCTCTCCTGTCATTTTAGGATTGCCTTTACCGGTGTGACATCCTTGCCCCAATACGCACATGGTCGCATGGCTACAGCTTTCATTCTATTATGTACATGTCTCATTCATGCATCGCTTGCTCTTGTAATATCATATCCAATAAACCATTTCACCCTTCTTTCTTATGATGAATCTCATTTCAATTATGACACACATCGATGATGTGGGGGATGCTATGATTAAATATCATTCAAAGGGCTTCATGGTGGTGTCATTGATGGGATTCAAGATGAAGCTTTCTTCTTTTACCATGATGGGCTACATAGTATGAGAAGAAGCATCCTTCTTTTCAGCAAAAAGCATTGCTCATTGTCTACCATCCAAGGTCAAATGTTCCACCTTGGTTACTCAAACCACGAGCAAACGCCACTTTTAAGATCCTCTTCCTATTTCAATGACTTCATAAGACATGCCCAACACCGATAATCCAATCTCAATAGCTGCATAGGAAACCTATTGGTGTCATGTTTTGTACCAGTAATAGTAAGCAAAAAGTCATCACTCTTATGAAAAGCATGTGCTGACAAAGTCTGAACTTTGAAACGTGATGTTTTTCCATCACCATAGACCTGACACTGAACGAACACGTAGACTTAACATAAGAGAGCTACGAGATGGTTGAATAAAAAGACAAAGGAAGTACGCCGTGTGGCTGCGCATATGCTGTACAAGCGCAGCTCATGTGTAACACGACGCCACCTGACATGCATTTATTATCCTACAGAGTCGAACAAAGTAGCAACTTTTTTCTTCTTTCTCCCTTTCACTGCACACGCAAATCCACACAACGACATGATGGCATCATCAGCACCCGACAGAGTTCGATCTCGCACACTTCCAGGCCATCGGTCTGCTATGCGTATGTCTCTTGACCTCCTTTGACTATCAATGTGGGCCACTCACACTGCTACTTTTTCTTTTGCAGGTCGTGCTCAACATCGTCCATCACCTCGCTCGATGTCGTATGATCACTCACAACCACAGCCACCAACTGAAGCAGCCAATAACAACAATACCTTGAATTACGATGATGGCAATACCTCTTCAGACGACGACGATAATACCAATAGCTTAGCCTTTGCGAGCAAAAAGCGATTAACGTTGAGAGTTGTTAATGCCGACATTGACGTGTCACCATCATCAAGCGATGATGAAGCCAAAATCACAGAGAATCTTGATTCACCTTTAATGAACTCGAAAATGAAACGATCATCACCAGCAGCGCCACCATCTTCTGATTCTTCCATCTACAGCAATAATGAAAATCACCCCGACAATCATGCTTCAGAGACATCTCCTCCTCCCCCAACACCGTTGCACAACGACAACCACCTTTCCGACATTCAACAACCGATCCATCTTGCTGCCAAGAGTGCTCATTCCTCTGGTAGAAACAGCGTTAATGTTGATCATCACTCACAACAACAGCCACAAACATCGGATACATCTGAAATGGGATCATTAAAGTATCAAGTGGAGGCTGAAGATGAAGGATTGGGTCCTTGTACACCACCACCTGCACCTCCATCCATGACAACAGACGCGCGATCCATGATATCCACCACGAATGAAAGTGTTCTCGTAAGTATAGATACATGCCTATGTTCATGTAAGATGTTAAGATTCTCACATTGTGATCCGAAAATTGTATACATAGTCAGCCACCATGGCCCATGCCTCGCAATCCAAGTATAGCAAAGCATCGTTCACTTTGACCAACCAACGCGATTCACTTCGCATGTACCGGGACATGGCAGAAAAAGTGAACGATCCACTTGTCCAATTGAGCTATGCAAAGTATCTTTTGGATGTGGCCGAGTTATATAACACCAACAAAGATGATGTGAAACGACAATCCACAGCAGCTGACGAGGAAGCTATAAGCAATTTATGGGTGGATATGGTGAAGCGTGCCTCTGGACGTGCTAATTTAGCGCGTGGAATAGCACCATTCATCAAACCGGAGATGGATGCAAAAGCAAAAAGAGAAGCATTGGAGATGGAAGCTATCACGTGGATCAAGCGTCTTGCAAAGGAACAAGTAGGAGAAGCAGCACACATGCAAGCCACGTGGATCGACAATCAAAAGTATGGATTTGCTCCAAATCCGGAGAAGGCCTATCGACTCCATGTCATTGCAGCTCGATCGGGGAATCCATATTCCATGTACGCTGTAGCTAAATACTTGGAGCATCAAATACCATCATCATCGTCAGGTGAAGATGTATTTGAGTATTATCAATCGGCAGCAAACAAAGGGTATCTTCCAGCTTTATTGGTAAGTGAATGATTTTGTGGATTGAAACAAAAGATGCAAATCGATTAAGAGTATGTACAATGATGTTTCTTTATACATAGAGGGTGGCCAAGATATACATCCATGGCCAATTTGGGCAGCGGCAAAATATCAGCAAAGGTCTTACCTTACTATCCCAAGCAGCTGAAAATGCTACAGAAGAATACCCAGAGCCCATCTTTGTGTTTGGACAAATGCTTGCCAACATTTATCCAGAAGCCGACATCCCAGCTGAGCTGCTCCAACACTATGGTGGTTCGAATGCTATACTGCGAACGTTTGAACGAGCTGCTGAGCTTGGTCATACAGGAGCACAAACACAATTGGGGTCGATGTATGAACATGGTAGCTATGGTGTTGCCATGGATATGGAAAAAGCCCATCATTACTATAGCAGGGCCGCTTCAACAACGGGTGATCATCATGGTGGTGATCCTGTGGCAATGCTTGGACTTTGTCGTCTTTACAATTGTGGTATCCATGGGCCAGAGGATAATGAGGAGCCCCAACGATTGGTACAAGACGTCTCGGGATGGCTGGCTCGTACAGGTCGGGATGAAGATGAATCATTTCGATGGTGTGAGAAAGCTGCTAACCAAGGACATGCCGATGCCATGTTTATGCTTGCGTAAGCCATTGAATGACAGGAAGGATTATGTAAGTAGATGCATTATTGATCCCCGATTCAATCATAGGTGGTACCTTGAGACTGGATTTGGAACGCCCAAAGACATTACGCGAGCCAATTTGTTTTATCGACGAGCAGCAAGCAAAGGTAACCAAGCAGCAAAACAAAAGGTTAACAACAACCAGCATACAACTTCTTCCATGCCACGATCTACCGGTGTAACAACATCATCACCTGTTACTTCAAGGACAATGAACGGTCGTCCAAAGAAGACAAAGAAGCGCAAAAACCTTTGTATCATTACTTAGAAGAATCATTGTATTTTACTATACGTCATAAAAAGACCGGGAAGGCGGGTAATTGGGAGTTTGACTACTATCGCACTTTACTCTTTTGATCATGGTGGAGATGCAGGTACCTTGATAGATTACCCTGATTGATAAGATGGCAATAAAGAGATGCACGTTTAATGTCTAATACCATCCACTCTTTTGGATCACGATTCCCCGGAAAATTGCATTGAGGTTAGCCTGAGTGAGTTCTGTGGGTGAGATTGATTATGTAATCTTGGTATGTGCTACCTAGCGGATCGTGATTACATACGCCTGGGACATTTGAAAGTGAAAGAATCGAAATGATAAATGTAAAGAAGATATCCCAACATGATAGAAACATGTAAAGATCATTTATGTATGCATACAGAGATGGCGTAATTATGTAGTAGTGTAGCTTTTATTTTATTGGTATATAGTTGATAGAAAAGTGGGCGGCGTTTTACATGATGACAGCAGCAAGGAGACATGTTTCCCACAGATGCAGGAAGAAAAAACGATGGAATACGGATAAGGGGGTGTCATGTGGAGTAAGAAGATGCGTATAAAAGGACATCGTATCCGGTACCTTTTTTTCTTGAATGACTTTGGCGGTATGATGACATTGTCGTTTCCTTTTACTGCGGCTTTCATGCTGTTGATCACGGCATGGGCTGTGATTGTAAACGCTGCTCTTGATACCGGTATCCACAAGCACCCTTCCTTGGACACATGGTTCATGGTGACGAAGAAATCGACCTATGTGGTTGGAGCTTCAGCCGATGGCTATGTGGTCAATCTCCACTGGGGAAAGCGTTTGACACAACTTGACAACCTGAATGCAACGGTGACTCCCAATACTCTCTCACAGAATCCACCTATTACCTATGCCATGGAGGAATTGCCGGCCTTTGGAGGATTGCGTTACCGGGACAACGTTCTCAAGGTTGATTTGCCGGATGGTACTCGCGAGCTGAATTTGCTATATTCAGGGGCAAAGATCAAGGACGATAACCTTCTTGATATCGAGCTACGCGATGGCAACCGCACCGATTTCAAAGTGACGCTGCATTATGAAGTGGACACCGAGAACGACATGATTCGGCGATCGTATACGGTGGAGAATGGACTGAGCGATCGGGTCAATCTTGATATGGCATTGTCGGCTGCATGGCATCCACCCACGGCGCTTAATGTTGACGAGAAACGAGAGCTATTAACATTGGCAGGCGAATGGTAATGTGGGCGTCTAACAATGGATGGCATATGCGTGTACAAGGGTTGCTGATATGCATATGGGGTATTAGGAACAACGAGGCACAAGTACAATCGACCGAGTTGAAGCCTGGAGTAGCGCATACCATCGAAAGCACCCGAGGATTCACTGATCATGTGTCATTTCCATACTTTGCCATTCGACAAGTACCAAGTGAAGTTAATCCTGGCACGGAGGTGTACTTTGGCACTCTTGCATGGGGTGGCAGTTGGGAAATCACAGCACATACCAACACCTATGGCTATACTCGTATCATTGGTGGCATGCATCATCTCGACTTTGGATGGACACTTGAACCTGGAGAATCATTCACAACCCCTGTGTTCGTTGCTGGATTCACAGATGAAGGCCTCCCAGGCGCACGTAGACGCGTACCACGCCATGCTCGCAAGTACCAGCAATCAAGTCTGCAAACACAAAAGGATGATAGCGTATATCACCCTGTTCTTTACAACTCCTGGGAAGCTGTTACCTTCGACGTCACCTACGACAAGCAAGTTGAATTGGCGGACAAAGCTGCCCCACTTGGTGTTGAGCTATTTGTTATCGATGATGGCTGGTTTGGTATGTGAATAGCAACAACAACAACGTAACCATGCTAGGGTGGGCTCATTCATTTTCTACCTTCAATGTAGGGGATCGTGACAACGATTCTGCAGGATTAGGAGATTGGTATCCCAGCAAGAAAAAGTTCCCAGATGGTCTCAAACCCCTTGCAGATCATGTGCATGACCTCGGCATGAAATTTGGCGTGTGGTTTGAACCCGAGTCGGTAGGTCATTCTCATACACCCCTTTCGTTTATCATTATTAACGCTTCCTTTACAGGTCAATCCAAACTCCAACCTTTATCGTGAGCACCCAGATTGGGCCCTCTACTATGATGGTGTCCCTAGGTATGTGCTTTGACATAACAATATGGCTGACATGAGAAGTTTATTAATGATGTATGTTCGTTTGCAGATATGAAGCGCGTAATCAGCTTTTGCTCAACCTTGGCAAACCAGAAGTACAAGATTACATCTATGACCGAGTGAGCAGCGTTATTGAAGAAAGTGGTATTGATTATATCAAGTGGGATATGAATCGACCCTTCCAAGGTATGAGGATACGGATGATACATGAAGATGCTTTTATTCATCCAATTCTACTATTGCGTATCAGGTGTTACTATGCATGATTACGATCGAAATCCTCGAGAAGCATGGGTATTGATAGCTCGTGGATACCACAATTTGTTGGCAAAGCTCAAGAAACGATTCCCCGATCTGTGGATTGAAAGCTGCTCTAGTGGTGGTGGTCGTATGGATCTCAGCGTGCTTGAATATGCGGACCAGGTGTGGACTAGTGACAATACAAGACCCGATGCTCGTCTTACGATTCAATATGGTGCCTCATTGTTTTTGCCTCCAAGGGCCATGTATGGTAAGTTACCTCCCCCCCCCAATATCAGTGCCTAGGATGTATATTGATTTGGGTGGATGCTCATAATAGGTTGGGTGACTGATATGGGAGAGGATGACAATGTACACATACCATTGTCCTTCCGGTTCCACGCTTCTTTCATGGGTGGCCTTGGTGTTGGTGCCAATTTGAACAAGTACTCAGAGAAGGATATGAACGAGACCACGGGATGGATTTCATTGTACAAGAGACTTCGACCAGTGATTCAAAATGGTGATTTGGATTGGTTGGTGCCACCTTCCCGAGAGGGCGAATTCATTGCTGCATCGCAAACCACATCACACGATCAAAAAGAAGCGGTCGTTTTGTCATTCCGTATGAATAGTCCTTTCTCAGCCGCAATCAATCCAGTACGACCACGCTATCTCAAAGACGACGCACTCTATAGGGTTCAAATCTGGTTGGAGGATCCATACAAGATTGCTGAGGAATACACCATGTCCGGAGCGTTATTAATGCACAAGGGCATTAGCCTTGTTGCATTGAATAATGCCATGTTCAAAAGTGCAGTCATTTATTTGAAAGAAGCATCTAATTAAACGTTACAATGGGTATCATTTATTATAAAGGAAAATGTTGTCAATTGGCTCGGGAAGACAAAGATGCCGCTGGCTTTGGAGTGGAAGCTCACTTTTTTTGGGGGGGAGGAGAGGAGGAAAAGGAAATCAGTAAAAGGGATGCTTCTATATCCCACGCCCATTTATTTCTCGCAGCAATTTAGAACATGTGCTCCTACGCGTATGAGTCAGGTTGGATACAATGGATGGCGTAACCGATGATGATAGCTATGGATCATGACATGTGCGTCAAATACTGCGGAATCCCAATGAAGTACTAAAGCGTGAATAAATTTTTTTGCTGGTGCTTGCACTTCTTTCGGTCTTTGTTCGCGAGCGTTTACCGAAAGGCGACATTCTCGATAACGGCCAACCACCCAATCTTGTTCAACCCATCCACTAGACAATTGACTTCCATTACAGCATTCACCACCATTTGTACAACGCATTGAGACGTGTCGATTTGTCCTTGTCACCTCTCGAATTGGATCCACAGCCCTCATCGTTCAGCTTCGATCGCAATCCACCCACCCTGTAACATCTCCCATTGGACACCAACCACCACTAGAGAACGTATATTATCATATCAACCAGCATCATGGAAGAACAAATAGAACAGGCAGTCCTCTGTGCCTTGAGTCCTCAAGTCGACCCCAACATGAAAGCTCAGGTAAATGATTGACAGGTGGACCCGGTGTGCGTGTGTGTGTGTGTGTGTGTCTTTATCGATCATGCGTGGATTGGGATGATGGAGGCGCATGAGACCATGTGATAGCACACATGTACACACAATCGATCATCACAATGGATCGCCGACTGATTTGATCCCTCGCTCCACGTAGGCTAGCGCTTATTGTGAACAAGTCAAGAATTCGCCTGATGGTTGGCAAATGTGCTTGCAATTATTTATGCGTCAACCAAAAGCGTAAGTATCATGGTTGGATCGGATTAAAGCATGATTTGGTGCTCATGTGGGTTCTTTTCCAGTGCTGCAGAAGCTCGTTTTTTCGCTTTGCAAGTCATAGAGAATACATTGCAGAATAGGTGAGTAGTGGGTGTTGATGATGATGGTGGTGATGGCAATGGTATACTTAATCTATGATGGATAGATATGAATCTCTTGACAACAATGCAGTGGAATACATTCGACAAACCATGATGGAGTATCTTCGCCGAGAATTCGTCGACAACACAGATGGTGCTTCTGAAGAATCATTTATTCGCAATAAGGCTGCTCAATCGGTGACACTGCTCTTTGCTCATGTATACCCCACAGTGTGGCCGACCTTCTTTAAGGATATGATGGCTCTTGTCAAGACATCTTCAGGCAACAATGAGAAAGCAGCTGATTTCTTTTTACGTCTTTGTCTCACTGTCGACGAAGAAATTGCTCGCCTCGACATCCCCCGGAATCGTGATGAAGTCATTCGCAACACCAATATCAAAGACAACATGCGACTTGGTGACATTCAATTGTTGGCATCATTTTGGTTCGAGCTATTGCAAGAATTCCGCTCACGTAACCCCAACATCGCTCAGCTTGCACTCAAAAACATTGGTGCCTATATTGCCTGGATGGACATCTCACTCGTTGTAAATGATCAAGTCATGAGTGCATTGTATGAACTATTGAGCGACGCCAATTTACGTATCGCAGCTTGTGAATGCTTGGCAGATGTACGTTGAGTCATAAGGATGGATGGATATAGATTAAGGTACTCATGGTGATATGCGTAATAGGTTGTCAGCAAGGGTATGTTGCCATTGGATAAACTTCGCATGATTCAAATGCTCAACCTTACCGACACTTTGGGAAGATTGGAATTGGTAAGATTGAAGGAAGGATGAGAGAGCCTTTGGATAGGTCATGCTAATACTGGGAATAGTCCGATCCCGATTTCGTGGAACATGTCGCTCGTTTGACTAATGTTCTTGGTATCGAGCTATGCAAAATCTATTCAGACGGCATTCCTGATGACGCAAAAGGTATCATCTATCTGGCAAATGGGAAATGGGAAATGGATCATGTTACTGATGATAGCGTTTACAGTGACAGCTTATGGTCTCATCGAACAAGTGCTTCCCTTTTTGCTCAAATTCTTGGCTGACGAGTACGATGACACTTCCACCGCTGTTTTTGCCTTCGTCAACGACATTTTGACTATTGTATGTATATATTGATACGCGATCTATTATGATTCAAATCCTAATTTTACATCATTGTATAGCTCAAGAAGCAAAAGCGTACTATGCAACCATACACCCAGTCGCAGCAGGAATTTTTGGGTTCCTTGTTGAGTGTTGTTATCATGAAGATGAAGTATGACGACGAGAGCGATTGGGGTAATGATGAGGATGAGCCTGAGGAAGAAGCATTGTTCATGGAGCTGCGTAAGGTGAGTGATCAGGGAAAATCATGCATGAATTCATTGTGCTGATTGATTGTTACACAGAACTTGCGTATTTTTGCTGATCACATTGCGGCAATCAACGAGGAACTCTACATCAATTACGTGCACTCGGTGGTGATGGATACTTTGAACAAGTACAAGGCTGGTAATGAGCTTGATTGGCGTACTGTGGAGCTTTGCTTGTACGTTCTTTTCACCTATGGAGAAGCATTGCCCAAGGGCGCTATGCATTTTGTCAATCCAAACGATCCAAGCGTGTTGACTCCATTGGGTGAAATGCTTGTTGGCGTTGTTACTTCAAGTAAGTTTTAACAAGGTTGAGCTTATACTCTTATTGACAGGGTAATTGCAATAGACATCTCGGCCTACCCACATCCATCAGCAGCACTCCAATTTTTTGAAGACATTGCTCGCTATTACCAATTCTTTGATTATCGTCCCGAGCATCTTCCTCAAGCCCTTGCAGCTTTTGTTGACGCACAAGGTCTTCATCATCCATCCAAGCCAATCAGATCACGTTGCTGGTACTTGTTCCACCGATTTGTCAAGAATCTCAAATCTCGCATGAGCCAATATGTGGATACCATTCTCAATTCGATGGGTGATTTGTTGACTGTGCAAGCCGAACCACCTGTACAGGCGAACACGGCTGATGGAACCCCAATGCCCGCAGCCTCCTTATTTGATAGCCAATTGTATCTCTTTGAGACTGTTGGCATGTTGATTTCACTCGAAGGAATGGATGTCATGAAACAAACCGAGTATCTCAAAATTGTGCTTGGTCCTCTTGTGGAGGGTATTCAAAAGTATATGGAACGTGGCTACAATCCAGATGACGAGCTGTACCTGCTGCAGCTGCATCATTACGTCATGGCTATCGGCAGTGTAGCAAAAGGTAAAGTAAAAAAGATCAACTTGCATATTGTTCTTGTGCGCACAGACTCATATTTGGATGTCAATAGGTTTCCCAAATGCTCCCAAAGAAAGCGAATGCACACAACCTTGGGCTGCAGTGTTCAAGCAGGCTACAGAGATCATCTTGAATGTATTGCAAGCATACAATCGATTCGAACAAATTCGTGATGCTGCCCGATTTTCATTTGCCCGATTGGTCAATTGCCTTGGATCAGCAGTGCTTCCCTACTTGCCCACATTGATCAATGGCTTACTCGTCGAATGCCAATTGACCGAGCTTGTCGACTTTTTGCCCTTCATTGGTCTCATCACTTTCAAATTCAAGGTAAGAAGGAGATATGAGAGTAAAGAAAAAACAATGACATGGGTCTAACATTGACATTTTAGCCAATGATCCAAAGCATTATGGATGAGTTGCTATTACCACTTGTGAAACGTGTCTTTGATTTCCTGAACGTGGCTCCCAGTGGCACAGATGAAGCTGTACTCTTGATCGATTTGCGGAAAGCATATTTGAACTTCATCACCGGCCTGTTCAATGCAGATGTTTCAGTTGTGCTCTTCAGTGAACGTAACATTGGCTATTTTGATACCATTTTGCAAACCATTCTTCACTTTGCCAAGGACAATAATGACCCAGCAACACAAAAGATGGCATTTGGTGTATTTCTAAAGATGGTGACTGCATGGGGCGCCAGTGGGGCTACTCCAGGATTTAGCCAGTTCGTGTACAATGAGATCGTTCCTGCCACATTTACAGTGCCCATGCAAGCTACATTTAACTTATCCGATGGACAATCCACTTTGGTATGTGTCACTGTGTCATGGAATAGCTCATTATTGGGATCATCTAATCATTACTTGTATGTAGGTGTTTGGTGAATTAACAAGTATCCAAAAGATGCTCTACGAAAAGCAAGGCAACGAGTTTCTAGAATACATCAGCAATGTGTTTTTGCCATCCATTCAATGCCCACCAGAGACAGCATCCAATTATTGCCAAGCATTGCAGCAATGTGATGCAAGGGCCTTTAAAAAGTATTTCCAGGTATGGAATTGCAACGTGTTTATGTGTGTTGCTTTTATGTTGTTGACTCTTTGCCTTTGTAGACATTCATTCAAGAAGCCAAAAGCTCATAGTTTAATACCTCTAATCACCCATCCGTTTCCCCAATAACCTTCACACAGACCCTGATATATACACTCTCGCTCTCACTCACGCCCACTGCACAACACATACACGCACATACAACCCCTTACATAAAACAATAAACATTCGAAACATCATATATGTATATCATCGTATCCTTTGTTCCAATATTTTAACATGATCAGCAGGAACAAGACCTGTCTCTCCACTAATTTGGGCTGTCAACCATCCATCTTGATTCTGGTGGTCTTTGGGTGATCCAAGAATTTCAATTTCCTGGTCCTTGTGGAAGCTGATATCTCCAACTCCTTGTGCATCATAGTCTTCCAAGGCAATGGCATTACAACGCCGAGGCGATTCATTTACGTCGATAGCGGTGCTAGGGGTGATACCAAGCCCGATGGCTTCGCGACATGGTTGCACATCACACTCTGCATGATGAGGAATAGTAGTACTACCAGTATTGTCACTAGTGTCATCGCTCGGGTGTTTAGGTGGTGGGATGGGTGCTCTAAACTCGGATGGGGGAAAGAGTTGAAATAAATCAAGCGAGTTCATGATATGAGGGATCTGAGCGATATGCTGATAGTAGTCGTCAATGATGTTTTCGTGGATGGTAGAGAAGTCAATGACCTTGTGAGCATGGTCCATGTATCGTTTGTAGATCACACATTGGATGTGATGTAACCTTGCAAAAAGGCTACGCACAACACGTTCCACGTCATCAAATAGGATTGGCAGCTCGGATTTCAAAGCAGCGTTGTAGTATTCGTAGTCATGAGCAGATGTTTCTAAAGACGTATCCTGTATTCAACCATCAGAATAAAAAGATCATTGGATTATGATCCTTGTATCGTGCATCTTACTTTATCCCCTAGCTTAAAGCGATCATAGTCCAACTTTTTCCTATTGCGTTTTGCCATTGTTCTTTCAGCTTGCTGCAGCACCTGGCCCATCTCCGTTAATGGTACAACAATAGTGGTATGCATACGATCCTTGAATAAGATCATATCGATTAGAAGGGTATGTGTGGTGAAGATTGAAATGCATCATACCAATTCCTCACCGACATGTTGTCGCATTTCATCCATGTTGTTGGCATATCTTTCCGGTAATGACTCCTCAGGTAAATCGGGATCATAATAGACGTCTGCAATAAGGTCGGCAAAGTGGCTATGGCGATAAAACATTTCTATACATAAGGCTTAATCTCCCTGCATGTGATGGTTTCCTACTTTTTTTCGCCACATGTACCCAACATAGCCTCTTGCATCATCCATATCAACACTTACTAACCTTGTACCGCATCTTTGTATACGGCCAACTCTTTTTGCAACCGCATAATGTAATACGCTACTTGGTTGAACCGCACTTGGAGCTCATGATACTCGTTGTCAATAGGTACTGTGTTGCATGGCAACAGCACTTTAGCATACTACAAATGAAGCGCCTTGTAAACCCAATGATGACATACCTTCAATTCGCCCCGTCTTTGCCTTGACCTGATGTGGCAGCCTTGAAAGCGCCTTTGATAATCCTTTCCTGTACAACGATGTAAGGTTTTAGTTACTGCGCCATTTTTTGTGGACTATTCCCGATCGACATATCTATCGACTTACCAGCTCATGTGAATATAGGTAAACAAAGAAAAGCAAGAGCGTTCAATATTATTGCAAGGGAGGCACAGATGTAGAAGTCAAAAGTAGTTGACAAGCAAGGGTAGCAAAGGGTTTCAAACACCGGTTCCTTCCAATGGGTATGCGTTTAACTTTAGTCCCCTGCTGCCAATTAGTGTCATTATACTTGGTTTCATTTGACATCGTTTACGGAGATTACTTTAACCGCATGAACGATCGTACAACGCTATCACGTTGCATTTACCAAGCTTCGTTCTATTACACTGCTCATCATGAATGGAAACGTAGATCATGCGCACGCTGTTGCTTATACCATGCATTAAAGCGGATCATGTCGATAAAGCTTGTTGCTGTAACTGGATGGGCCATTCTACTATCATGCGACATACGTCGTAAACGAACTAGTGGACTTGTTCAAAAGCATACTGTAGGCACTCATTTGATGTCGAGCATTCTAATGATCTACGCTGCTACTTTGGATGAAGCGTTTACATTGCACCCTCCCATTCAAAATTGTTAAATGAAGTGTGGGTCTTGATTAAGACAAAGTTAATCAGAATGACTGAGAGCATCTTGTGTGAAAGTTTCAAGTTCGAGATGGGCAATCTTAAGGTCAAAGGTAAGTTTACAGTGTGGATGGATTTTGTTTGACAGTGTGTGGCAGGTCTAGCTATTTGATTTTCCACCTCTTCCACTCCCTGCTTCTTGTCTCTTCCTCCCATTCTCAATTGTTGCCCCATTCAAGTATACAACTACCACCTGCAAACGAATGCCCTGCTTCAACCCATCATGTCAATCCTACAGCTCTCTTGATCCGATTGCTTTCGGCTGAATGGCAAGTCCATGGCTGTACACCCCCACTACAACACACGAGTCTCTTGACACAACACACGCTCTTGCACGCTTCTCTGCCATGACCAAACGTAACAGTAGTCGCCATTAACAAGGCCTTCACTCCATTGTCTCATGTTACTTTGCAGCATCCTGCCTTGCAGCCCTTTTTCTTACGCGAACGCAGATAGTCATTGTATAGAAGCAGCTTTATTTACGCGTAGCAACTTGCTTCAATACATGCAAATTCGTATGGATATGGATCTGAATATTGCTTTGGATGGGAGGATATGGATACATACAACGGTCTAGAAAATGGGGTCTAGAGCGTGGGTGTAGTAGGTTTTGTTGGGCAACATCAATGATGGTTTGGGGTTTGCAATATGGCCACCTTGTGATTCACGATGATGGCGCCATCCGTTCCAAAAACATAATATAACCATGCATAGAGTATATGTTTATAAACTCGACAACATAAACGATGTTTGAAGTTTGTTTGCTGTTGTCAGGGAGAGCACGTGACAATACCACCTTTGAGACATGAGGGCGTCGTGTTAGCGACAAACATCACATGATACAGCGTTTGCTAACTACTGAGCCACAGGTTGGTAATCGCACGCGATACAGGGATCGCTCAATGCATGAGCCGAGGGAAAAGGTTGAATAAGGAGTAAGCATGTGTCTCATCATGAGCCCTATGCGTGATGTAAATCGATCCCAGCTGCTATTGGCTATCCTTCGTTTTATGGAATAGGATGTTCTTTGTTCTAGCCATCGATAGCTCAATTCATAATGACGCTAAAAGCCTTGTTGAGAAGGAGTCATTGGAAAGGGACACAAAGCGGATGGTTCCGGAAAAATGAACATAAAGACGACTTTTTCAACAATGTCGCACGGCCGTACAACCTGTCATGTGCATGTCGTCATTCCTCCCCAAATTACTTTTTGCTTGCCATTAGCTGATCCATTTTCAGAAAGTGCATGATGGATCGATATGCATAAAGCGTCGCACCCAGCGGATACCTTTTTCATGTGGTGCTGGCGCAGCATGCCGTACAATTGCCACATGCGCATGTTGCAGAAACGGGCAACGTATTATACGACTCATATTCGATTACATTATTCTTGTCATTAGTGAACACGAGATAACGCAAGTGCATGAATGTAAAAGTCCCAAGTCATTTGGGCATTGAAATGATGTTAATGATCGGAGAAGGCATTATATATCATCTGTTGCAACGTTTGACTTCATTTATGACAGTGGAAGTGAGAATGGGTTAGGAAAAATGACATGATCCGGTTCCCGTGATGAGCCCTTTTAGTCCAGCATGCTCACAGACGCTTATCGCAAAATGGATATAGATGACTTGCATTCCCAAAACTTATAGCATGCATCGCCATATGTATACTTTCGGCATATTTACCCCACCACCAGTATTACGATCAGCCAAAGGTACATTGATTTGTAGAACCCATTACAGATTTCATTCGTTGTTGGATATCAAAATCAGCAACAAATCACGTACATGTAGTCATCATTGCTCTTTTACTCAAAAGTGCTAAAGGATGATTCTTTATCGTGTATAAAGTTTGTGAGCAGACGTCATTATCAAGATGAGCTGAATCTATTCTGCAATGTTCATGTACAATAGCGTCAATCCAAAAGCATGTCATCTGCTCAAAGGCGTCATTTGGCGTAAGCTAGTATGTATAACCCATGTATCACGACGCACATTGTGGGATGGGTTAATCGAAAGGTAGTTTACGCAAGAGACGATGATCGATCGTAAAAGAGAATGGATACGGCTACATACAAGTAAATGGAAGGGTAATTTCGTCATATGCATAATAGAGCCATCGTATCTTGGCAACGCCAATGATGATGCATTTAAAGGTATGACGAATGATTTGCTGTGAGTGAATAGCAAGCTGTCATGCATTGACATTATATGAAAAAGCGTCCGTGCTCCTGCTGCTTTATTCCTATGTACACCAGCGTCATAATGGGAGATCACCTGTGATCGTGTGACACTGATCCTCCAACCTCGGAAGATACTACCGGATGTTCCCTTACAGTAAAGGTATCCCGCACAAAAGGCTCATCTGCCAAAAAGCAATTGTTTGGATTTGCCTACGTTTACGGAGTAAAGATAGGGTAACTTGAAACTCGAATATACCGCGTGTTGGATTGTTTGTATACCATGTCTCAGGCGAGAGGAATGTGTGAATAAGCACCACCAGCTCTCTCACTCGTGTGTGTTACACGACCCAGGGTAAACAAAGGGGAAGTTTAAAATGGCTCAGTGTCGTCATATGGGCAACCAAAAGGCAAAAGACATATGTAACCTGTGCTGCCATATAAATCCAGGTGAATGTGTGATGTTTTTCTGACACACTCTCTTTTTTTCCTCTTTCCCATATCTCTTTTATAGCGTGGTTCACGTTACCAGATTGCAGTAGCCTATAAAAATGTTGACACGATTCAAGAGCATCTTTCGACCACGAAAACAACATCAAAAAGAGAGGTCAATGCGTGTTGTTGCCTATACCAAGGATATGAAGCGTATCAGTGACACCTCCGGCCCAGCAACAACCACTGCCAACACTGCTACTGCACATTCGGCAAAGGAGAAACAGTCATCTCGAGTGCCTGCAGCCAAAGAAATCTTTGAGCATGCCGATTCTAGCGAAAAACAACGAGCTGAGGAAAGAGCGGCAAAGTTGGTTGAGGAGGAACGACGTCGTAAACATCAGCTCCCTGCCTATGATGGCTTGGAACAGTACGAAATCATTAAAAAGCTTGGCGAGTATGTATTGTTGTACAACCGTAAGGGGGCCGGGGAACAATAGCTGCAGGGGGTCACGATCCTCATCTCTTTTGTTCTTTAGTGGAGCATTCTCCAACGTCTACAAAGCTCGTGACAAGACATCAGGACGCAAGGTGGCCATCAAAGTGGTGCGTAAACGTAAAAATGAGGTATGTGTGTATGATGCATTGTCGCTCCTTTGATATTGATCCCGTGCTCTTTCATAGCCTGAGCAAAACAATCACCTGCATCCAAGCATGAAAAAGAAACCCAGAGCAACGGAGGTATGTAAACAACGCTGTATTTGTATCTTGTGGCGATATAGCCCATCCTCACATGTTTGTATTCATTGTGGCGTTTATCATCAATAGCGAGCCAACATCCTCAAAGAAGTACAAATCATGCGTAATGTGGACCATCCCAACATTGTACAGCTGATCGATTTTGCTGAATCTGATGAGTTTTATTATTTGGTGCTCGAGTTGTGTGAAGGAGGGGAGCTATTTCATCGCATTGTCAAGTTGACCTATCTAAGTGAGCCATTGGCACGCCATGTCATCACTCAAGTAGCACAAGCGGTGCGTTATTTGCATGAAGAATGTGGTGTGGTGCATCGGTAAGAATAATCAAAAGGAATAGGCCCACAACGCCAATCCCGCCAAAAGAAAACAAACGCTAACGACACGTAACATAGCGATATTAAACCAGAGAACATTCTATTTGATCCGATACCATTTATTCCAACATCACCACTACATCGACATCGATATCCATTTGACGAGAACAAAGAAGACGAAGGCGTATTCACCAAAGGTTTTGGAGGTGGCGGTATCGGTCAAGTGAAAATTGCGGATTTTGGTCTCTCCAAGGTGATCTGGGACAGCTCAACATGGACGCCATGCGGCACAGTGGGTTATACAGCACCTGAGATTGTTCGTGATCAACGTTATTCAAAGTCAGTCGATATGTGGGCTATGGGATGCGTCCTTTATACCTTGCTTTGTGGATTTCCTCCCTTCTACGATGAATCGATCCATGCTTTGACAGACAAGGTGGCTCGTGGTCAATATGCTTTTCTAAGCCCATGGTGGGATCCTATTTCGGATTCGGCCAAAGACCTCATTAGTCACTTGTTGTGCGTTGATCCCACCAAACGATATACCATTGATCAGTTTTTGAGTCATCCTTGGATCACTGGCAAAGAACCAACATTTGTTACTCGCTCATCATCGATCCCATCACGCCCTTCACCTTCAACTACCATATCCACACTCAGCGATCTCGACTCGCCAGATTCAGCACGTAGACGAAAGGATGCTTTTTCACCAGGTGTCCCATCCATCAAGGAGATCCTCGATATTACTTATGCTGTGCAACGCATGGGCGAAGAAAAAACTTGGCGTGGTGCTACTGTCAATGGTTTGGCTGATCAACCGCATTATGAAATGGACGAGGAGGAAGAGGATGATGATGATGCTATGCTTGCAGACAGCGCCAACGCCATCATCACCATGAACAAGGATCGTAAGCATCGTCGACAATCGATCGAGCAAAATACAAAAGCAGCAGCACCAGGATCGTCGTCATCACAACAACAGGCACCTGTACCATTACCGAATCTTGCTATTGCACCGAAAAAGAAACAAGCCATTCATCGATATAGGCAACAACAGCAACCAGCTGGTGGATTCCAACTCAACATGGATAATGCAACGCTCCTCAAAAACAGACGTCAGGCTGTATGCTGATTCACCATATGATATCCATAGCGAAAAAGAATGCCCAAAAAAACATCCCCATTCTATCATTTGCCATGTTTAATGCATCTATTCCTTTCTCCCTCCCTCTCTCTCTCTCTCTCTTTTTCTCCTTCTCACCCAATTGTGTATATAATAATGTCGCCTTTGTTCTCTCCATCACATGAGGCAAATGTGTAATTGTGTTTTTGTATTTGGGGTTGATTGGTGGAGTGGGAGTCGTTTTATTTGTTGTTGTTCATGGCGTACAATTGGGTATACATGCGAATCATACTCTCATAAGCAAGCTGATCACCACAACGCAAGAGATTGGCAGCATCACAGTTGAGTGGCGAAGATGGTTCAGGATTGGAAAGCAATAACGATACGGCCAAAACGGTTGACTTCAATGTCCATGCAGGGGACCATTCTGTTTTTAAGATATCCAAGCAGATCTCGCCTGTCTAATTGTATCAATGAATGTGTGTCAGCTAACCCCATTCTATGTGTGTGGGAATCACCCCCCGGTGCCCCAAAATAATACCTTGAAATGGACGTTGGGATGGCAAATCTTGGTTGTGAACTGCATCGTTGGTGGGTGAATAGGGTAGTTGTGTGGGACTTGTATCGTAAGGTCAAAGACTCCACCTAAGAAAGGCTTGGGTGTGAATGGAGGTGGTGGTTGTGGTGGTAGATCAAGGAATTGCCAAAGTTACCTTCATAAGGTGTACCGGATAGACCAGCTAGCCGTGCTTTCCAATGCGTCAAGTCATGGTCTGAATCGGGTGATAGGTCGAGGATCTCGGGATGAGCGTTTGCTTCTCGTTGGAAATCTCGTAGCTCTTTGATTAGTCGTCGGGAGACGGTATCCATATTTAAGCTGACAAAAGGTAAAATGCAGGAAAGAGGTATAACTCCCTCCCCGACTATAATCAAATGCGATGAAATACTGTGTGGGGTTGTCGGAGAGCTAAGTCCAAGTGTGGCCTGATGCATATGCCCCCCTTGTTGCATGCATTTGTCAATGCTTTTGTTCATCCTAATACAATCATGCGATCATCATTATATTCTACAGAGGTGTTGAACTATTACACGAAAGCGATTTTGTCATCAACATGCATATACAAAACATATGATCCATTTGCTGCGTTGATGCATTTTTCTCATAACCAAGGATTAGACGGGTGTATCTAACAGAGTACATACTGATAGTCGTTCCCTGGATATATAGTTCTTGTACTATAGCAGATAAGGCTATCAAATACGAGAGGTGGCACATCATTTTATATCATCCATCATCTTGTCCCCTAATGTCAGTCCGCGTTGCCATGGATACATGGCTTTTGTATCCTGATACATTGCGTACACCAATACTTGATCCAGAATGAAACCCACAGTCTCTTAAATCTTATACCAAATGACTACGTACGATATTTACATGATGGGAAAAAAAGACAGCTGCATTTTGAAATGAAAAGTATGTGTGTGTGTTTGGTATAATGTTTGTAAATCTTGGGGATATCGCGTTGACGAATAATGTATGTAATACGTTATTGACGTCAGGAGGTATAAAAAGAAGCAAACGAGAGAGATCTAGGAATGGCTTTATATAGATCTCTTGGTGGTATGTGCGTTGTGATATATTGGAGTCATCAGTAAATAGATACGTTATTGTACTTTTCAGGCTTGTTGTACACATGGCACTATAAAAAGATTCCAAGGTGTAAGATTTCTTCCACTACTATTATCTTTAGAAGGTCACCAATATTACCTTGTGGGCATGTTTGTACCATAAGATGTTGTTACGGCGTCGTTTACTGTTACAAATGGGTACATACGTCTCGCATTGATGACAAAGACCTTCAATGACACCTTCAGCGTTGAGCCTTTGCTCTAGTGGTTCTGCAAAGTGCTTTCCAGAAACAGAGGAGATGCCATGATAAAACTGCTTGTGGTACCAATACGCGCTGTTTTTCAATTGAAGCCATCGGCCTTCAACACAAGTATCGCAATAGCCTTCTTTAAGATGCCCAGAGTAGCGTACCCACTTTGGGCTATATTCGTCGTCTTTGTAGCGTGGCTTTTGCCTTCGTGGCATTGCATCTTGATCCATTTGCACTTCCGGAAGCCATGTAGGTGGCATGTTGTTAGGCGGATGTCTATAAGGTAGTGATGGTGGATGCTCTAGCACACCGACTGCTTCAGGTTGTTGTTGTTGTGTATAGCCTATTTGCTGTTGCTGCTGTTGTTGATGATGATGATGTTGACATTGATGATGATGTGATGATGGTGGTGATGGTGAAGCCGATGAATGATGATGATACTGTTGTTCTCTTGCTGGCGTCGTCAATGGCTCACTGAGACTTGATGCTACAATCACATTATCGTCCACATGTTGTGATACCCCTGGGCTCAGTAATGGCTCTTGTTTAATCTGTGCTTGTTGAAATTGTGCAAAATCGAATGAACCTTTACGGCAAGATAGCATGTTGATGCAATCACGTAAAGTATCATCAAATGATAAGGGCTCTGGAGACATAAAATCGTACCAAGGCCCTCCCGTAGCGGCTACTTTTTCGTATATGGTTAACTCACTCCTCCCATTAGGTGTTGTTTTTTCTCTCTCTCTTATTACCTTGAGATGCAGGTGGGTTAGGGAGCGATGGTATTGAAGATGGAGTTGTGTATGCCGTAGGAGATATAGGCATCGTGGCAGTCGTTTTACTGGTAGCAGCTACAGTGGTCATGGTAGGGCCAAATACAATGCTATCATCGGTTGAGCTGGATGGTGCAGTGAGTGGTGTTGATAAAGCTTGTTGCACAGGGGTGGTGGTTGTGGTGCCGTTGGAAGGAAGAGAGGTGTTGACCCACAAAGGAGCTGCAGCCTCTTGCCATATGTGATGTTGCTGCATGTCTTGTTGATCGGTGTTGTGGTGGTAATACATAGCAGTGAGTGAAAAAGAGACACACACGTATACACACAAAGAAAAAAAAGAAGAATGAAATTGGAGGAAGAGGAAGAAAAAGAATGGGGTGGGCAAGTGAAGGAGCTTTATAAATGGGAAAATCAATAACGATTCGTTGTGCAATAGAGCTTGAAAGGGGATTGATCAACAGCATCCAACGAGTCACACAGAGGGCAACCAAGGACAAGATCAATGGCTTTAAAAGAAACTAGGTGCTGTCAAACGAGAAAAAATGTGGGTAGTAAAAAGGTGATGTTGTTATTCTGCGAATGTATGTCAACCCCGTGCTATGTTGGCCCCATGGTTTTCGGCTTGAAGTAAGTTTTGGAAAAGAGTGAATGGTGCGCCGCATGAGTGGCCTTGTTATCGTCAAAGAGCAACACGCATGGATATTCGATCCAACATTGGACCCTGTGGTTGCGACACAAAGACGCGCTTCTACTGCGTGATCATCGCATGGGCCTCTTTTTTTTATACTTATCAGTGCAACAATACACAACCTTATTGCAATGTCATTTTTTGCTCATTTCCTTTTACTGGCCCGGTGCACGGTATAATAGCAATCGACGATGGGGCCATATTATCGGGTAAAGAAGGCTGCGGTGATGGTGGCGGTGATGGAAGCTGGTGTTGTCATGGGGGGACGGAGCAACAGGCAGAGGTAAAATATGTACACACACGCACACACATACACATACACATACATACACATACACAATATAGGCACCGGGGTCAATATTAATATTTTGGGTGCCCGCGTTCTTTGGCTGTTTCTTCTCTTCATCTGTGTCACCTCCCCTTTGAGCACGGACATCTTTTTTTTCATTGGATTGCAGAATAATAAGGAGAAGAAAGAATAAAAAGTCGTCTATATCATTCATTGTATGCTTATAAGTAGATGTTGGATCGGTCTAGGCCGTTTGTTGAGTCCTATTGTTGTTCCGGTATTACCCCATCAGGAAAGGAACAGAAGAGTTAGGATGAGTAAGGTGAGCGGTTGTAAAAAAGTGGGAGGAGTGCACACATACAATGTGCGTCAATAGAATCAATGGCATAAGGGACGCGTCAAATATCAGTGCTTAGTAGCCGGGTCGATCCCTCTCGATCACTTAGGTATCCTCCGCAGCTTCTTACTAAACTCACGGCCGGTGCAAGCCGTTTTTGTGGGCTTGCGCTTAAGCCCTTGGTTGTATAGAAACATCCCTTGTTCAGCTAACTCTCCCCCGATCTCTCATTCATGGGACAAAGCGCGTATTACGTAGCACCAACTAAGAGTTTCTCCTTTTACCTTTCACACACTTTAACATCGGCTCACGTCGTCTCGAGCCTCGATCGCTTGTTATTTTTACCAGCACACATACACACACAGTGAGTATCACCCGCCACATTGACGTCTGAGAAATGGTAAACACTTTCACATACCCCCATTCTATATCATCACATGGACGCGTTCATACATAAAGCCTTGATGAACATGATGATCATAGATGCTATTTACTGCTACGTATTATTGTTCGTGCTTGGGAACATCAATCAATTGTTCAGCGCTGCAAAGTAATAGTGGCAAGTGCCGCGGAGTTGCGAGCTGCCTGTGTTTTGTGTATGTGCATGCGTAACATTAGAAGCATCTCTCATTGCCGATCCAACAGACGGGGACCATATTGTGTAGCGGATAAAAACAACCTTAATCACCTAATACATTCATCATGTTGCTTAAAGAAAAAACGCCATCATCGCCTACCCTTCCATTTAGTAGCATAGCAACCAATGCGCTCTTTGTATTGCTGACATAGACTTGCATAAGGAGAATGACCCCGTGCATTGTTGCAGAAAAAGGGGATGGATTGAGTTTTTGCATGAATACAATTCCGACGTGGTGATCGCGAGAGAGCGACACATAGCTCCGGGTCATTTGTTGAGTACTGTGTTTCATGTTGGTTTTCTATCTGCAGCAGCAAAACAACCCCACGAATCCAATTCGATGGTCATCGTGATCGTACCACATGCGAAAGTAAACAAGCCTAAAGTTACGGGAAAAGTGGTGTGAGCGTTATGGATATGAACTCGATAATATGGATGTGTTTGCATTTGGCAAAAGGGCACACGGTGAGGTTGTGCTTCTGACACCTTCCCTGGAGCTTGGACAAATAGGCTCGTGCGCCGCTTCTCTGGTGACTTTTTTTTCTTCTCACCCCCAGCAAGGAAAGAGTATACAAAAATGACAATTCTTCCTGTGCATGGATTGAATGTGTCAGTTTGCCATTATGTTCTATTTTTTTACTATTCTACCCTAATCATCATCATGCCGTTTGTGCTTCTCTCGCTAGCCTGATGCGGATGTAATAGCCATGCAACGCTTTGTCAGCATCTCAAAAACTTTTTGTTTTGCAGCTGTCAACAAGCAGTGATTAACATTGCTGGGTAATACAACTTCAGTGCACAATTTGCAATATGATCGTAAGAGCGGACCACTCACTAAAGGGTAAACGGATCAGCAAGCAAGCGAATATTTGTAGGCATTCATCATACACCTTCCCCTTTAGCAACAACCAGACATATGGCTAGCATGTGTTTACGTGTGTGTGTGAGAGACTTGACAAACAACAAAGAGGGTTGGTTGCAAATGGGTTAAACACGAGGATTTGACACGCTTGAGTTATAGTAGCTCCTACTACTACTTCATCTACAGATCACATCACGGTCATGAGACACCCATCAGTCGCAAACTCTAATCATCCAACGGCGGATTAACCGCGACTTTAGAAGGTCAACAAACAAGCTGCCAGAAAAACATCTCAGCATTCACATGTACAATCGCCCTCGCCGATACGCGTACTTCTTTAGCCAAAGGCCATCAATCCCTTTCAGCGTATTAGCTCCGTGAGGACACACAGAGTACAAATTAAGCACACATTGATTGCTTTAAGAGATTACTTTAATGATGATACTATCTCGGCCTTAATTGATTTATCTCTCGGCCACACGCACTTGATGCTTACTTTATGCTCTTGTTTCACCAGCTCTTTGTTACACACAAATACGGTTGTTGGACAAGCATCATTCATGTGAGACATCCCCATCACCAACATCATGATAAATGGATACCATAGCCATGTTGAGAAGAAAGGATTTTAATTGCAAGATATGGAAAGTATAGCCACAGAGTTATAAGGACACCATGACCGATTAATAATTCTTGTACCGGCAAAGAGGGAGTAACATGTAACACATCATTGTTCAAGTGACCGAAACAAGGTATAAACCTCTTATCATAAGCGCTTTATTCCATATTTGATTCATTTTGTAACGAGGACAATGGTTGCTGCTACTAGGCACCCAATTGGGTGGGAACACAATGCTCCTTTTCAAAACGGGTGATGGTTTGGCAAGCCTTATTGATGACTGCTTCAGGGGTGATGCCAAAATACTTGTAAAGATCATCCATGGGACCTGAAAGACCATAGCTCGTCATCCCCACATAGGCGTCTGCGTAAAGTTCCCATCCGCGTGTTCCAAGCGCTTCGATTGATATCACCGGGACACCAGGTAAAAACAACGTCTTTTTGTACTCATCGGGTTGTTCGTCGTACAATTCTGTACACGGCATCGATACTACACGTGCTGAGATCTCTTTCTCTTGTTGCAATCGGTTTGCTGTTTCCATGGCAATAGTAACTTCCGAGCCTGTAGCTACCAAAATCACCTTGGGTGGCATGCTTGGGCTTTCTTGAATGATGTATGCTCCCTTGCTAACGTCTTTAGCAGATGATCCCACTAGTTGAGGAACGTCTTGTCGTGAAAGGCAAAGCACGCAGGGTCGATAATGATGATGATGACGATTTTCTTGCTTAAGAGCGGCCATCCATGCACCGGCTACCTCATTTCCATCGGCTGGTCGGAAAGTAAGAAGATTTGGCATTGATCGTAAAAGCGCCACAAGCTCTATAGGCTGATGTGTTGGGCCATCTTCACCGAGACCAATCGAGTCGTGTGTCATGACATAGATGATGCGATAACCTGTTAAGGCTGCCAAGCGCACTGCAGGATAACCATAACTATGATTTAATAGCAAATCAATCAATACATTATTATATCAACAACCTGCATGGATGGCATGCTTACCTCAAAAAGTTCAAAAACGTAGCACCAATAGGAATGATACCACCATAACGAGCCATGCCGTTTAGTATTGCACACATTGCATGTTCACGTACACCATATCGGAAATACTGCCCGGTGTAATCACCCAAGCCCGTGGATGGCTATGCGATGGTAACAGAAGAGAAATGAAAGAAAATTCGAGGAGGTTAATAATGCTACCTGCCGATCATGCAGAAGATACGAGATATACCACCACCATACATACATGTTGAAAGTCGCCTGCATCCTTCCACTTGTTGAGCGTCGAATTGGTAATGTCGGCACATCCACTAGTGAAATCAGGAATCACACTTGCCAAAGCATTCAGCACAGCACCAGAGGATTTACGTGTTGCAGTGGGTGGATCATTTGCATTGAAATGCGGAAGAGCGTTTTCCCATCCATCAGGTAACTCTTGTTTGAATCGTCGGATAATCTCGGCTGCCTCCTCATTGTATGTCTTACTATATTCCTCAAAGAGCCTTTTCCAAGATGCGTGGTGTTCCTTTCCATGTTGCGCTCTTGCAGCATACAAATGACGTACCTAATAGATGGACATCGGTGAGCATCTCCTACCACTACTAATTTTTCCCTCGGGATACTTGCCTCATTGGGTACCACATACGTGTCCTTGACATCAAATCCAAGTTTTTCCTTGAGCTGCACGACATCATCGGCTGATAGCTTATCATTAATAAACAAGTCATTGTGTCACTTTTTTTCTCCTCCCACAATCAACAACAACCTACCTGTAAGTGGATGACCATGCACCTTGCGATCGTTTTCCATGAGAGATCCGAAACCTGTTTGAAAGAATTAAAGGCCGATTTTATGATAGAACACGTTGTTGTCATACCAATGGTCGTGTTGATCTTGATCAAGGATGGCTTGTCATGCATAGCACGAGCTTCCTCAATAGCCTTGGCAATTCCTTCAATGTCATTGTTTCCATCCTTGACTTCTGTAGTGTGCCATCCACATGCTTCCAAACGCTTGGCAACGTCTTCGGTAAATGCATATGCTGTGTCACCATCATCTGTCATCTTGTTGGAGTCATATAGCACAATAAGTTTGCCAAGCTTCCAGTGGCTATAATAAAGCGAATGAGCCGAGAGCATACCTTGCACATGGACACGTGATGTAAATTTGCCTTACCCTGCCAAAGACACAGCTTCCAAAGTGACACCCTCTTGAAGACAGCCGTCACCAACGATCACGTAGGTATAATTATTGAAAATGTCATAGCCAGGTCGATTGTATTTAGCTGCAAGATGGGCTTCAGCAGCTGCCAAACCCACAGCTGTAGAAATGCCTATTGACTTTTTGTCAATGCCAACTTATACCAATAAGCGCAATTCAAATGACATACCTTGTCCTAAGGGCCCTGTTGTAACCTCGACACCAGGTGTGTGGAAAGCCTCTGGATGACCGGGTGTCCTGTGACATTGGTGGTTACTTTTCATGCATGAAAACCAGCATCAATGAAAGTTCATACTTGCTGCCAAGCCTGCGGAAGTCCTTGAGATCCTGTACCGTCATATCAAATCCCATGAGATGCAGCATTATATAATGCAAAGCGCTCGCGTGGCCATTCGAAAGGACAAATCGATCACGTGCAATGTAGTCAGGATCTTGAGGATCGACATTCAAGAAACGTGAAAAGAGCGTGTGTGCCATTGGAGCACATCCCATTGGAGCACCTACATAGACATTTACGTGAATGATTTGTATCATATCATCATTGGTAGCATAGCTTACCAGGATGCCCAGAGCCTCGTAAATGGGTCATGTCGCCTGCAAGAACACGAATAGTATTTACAGCTGCTTGGTCGATAGCTTGTACCATTGATAGGAATGAGATCTTGTAGCGATATCCCTCCACGACGATAGAAGGGAGTTTTTGTAGCCATGGTGAAAAGAAAGTTGAAAGAAAAGCCGAGCTCAAGCTTTGTGATTTTCCCATAATAAAGTTCAACAATCTACACTCTCCAATGTTATTGATTGAGGCGACCCTTCATATCATGACCCATTACCTATAGGATAGGCTATGGAAGCTTCCGCCATTTTCATGATTGGATTATTGAGAGAAGCGACTGGAGCGGTCCATTGCCATATTGGCGGATATGCAGTCTCGATCATTGTCATGTAACACAAAGCTAAAAAGTGGGGCCTTCATGCCGCTCATGAAAGAAAACTGCGACATGGCAGAAAGCCGCGGATATACAAAGTTTTGCTCATACCGAGTACACGGGTCGGAATATCCAAAAGCTTGTTAAAGGGCTTCAACTACATCCACCGGAGAATAAATGGGAGTAATACATGAGAAGCTCTTCTCAAGATGAGAGCACATGGACAAAGAAAGTGAGGTAGTTGTAGGTAAAGAGGGTGTATGTATATACAAAGAACGGATGTGCGTGTGGAGATGGGAGGGGTTGATGAGTTTCAATTGGTGAGCTGAACTTTGGTGGCCCCAGGTGTTGTGGCTACTTGAAATGCTTGAGCTGCTTGTGACAATGGGTAGCTATAGCAACAAGATGTGAGATTTTATGCAACCAACAACATGGACATGTCATTCTTACGTGTGTGAGATGAGTTGATTCACGTCAATGCGTCCACTAGCGATGAGCTCGATAGCGCGTGGATAGGTATGATGATGCCTGGTAAAATTGACATGATGATGATGACCTTCTTAATATAATTGCTTCGACAATGACGTAGTCCATTTTAAACCCTTTACCTGTGAACACCACGTAATGTTACATCACGTAAAGCGAATGCACTGACAGGCACTGTTTGGTCCGCTTGTCCAATTCCCACCCGACAACATGTGCCACCAAGCCTGGTTGTCATGATTGCGACCCGCAAAGCCAGCTCTTCTCCACTACAATCAATAGCACAATGCGTTCCACCATCAACGCTTGCATGAATCTTTTGGACAATTTCTTGCTCGCTCCACTTTGGATCCAATATTTGGGTATAATCAGCACCTAGATGGATGGCCATATCAAGAGGATCGCCTGGTGCACCCGCCACAACCACAGGACTGATACCAGTAGCCTTGGCAACCATCAATGTCAATAATCCAAGCAAGTTGCATCCGGTAATAAGCAGCGACTCGCCAAATCCAATCCTTGCACGATCGATTCCTGCAATGGCCACTGAGAGTGGATCCAACATGGCTGCTTCTTGAAACGTGATCGTTTCCGGTAATCTTTTCATGTTATTAGTAGGCATCATCAAACCATTCATTTTTCCTTTTTCTTATACCTGTGCAACCAATCCGCAGGGTGTGTGACATAGTGAGCACCTATTCCATCGTAAGGTGGCATTCCTCGAAAACAGAGTTGCGTACACAAGTTGTATCGGCCATCCAAACAAAAGTTGCATTGCGAACAGGGTATAGCTCTTTTCAACCATGTTAGTTGTTGATGACGCCTTTTAACATACTACAAGGTACTTACGCTTCAATGGCTACACGATCACCAACCTGAAACCTTTGCTGCACAGCTGAGCCTACTGCCGTAATAATGCCTGCCCCTTCACAACCGAGTAATTGAGGTGCGAACAATGGCATGTTGCCTGTATGACCTGTTCTCCATAGCTGGATATCGGTGCTGCTTATGCCCATGGTCTTGATTTGTATCTGTACTTGATCAGCTTTTGGAGATGGTACGTCGAGTGTCGCAAGTCGTAATTGCTGTACGCTGTCAAGCACTAACCCTTGGTTCTTTGTCTTTTCATGTGGGATCTCGTACTCTGGTGGACGATAACAGCTCAAAGGCATCACGTTACAAAGGTGCGTAGTGGTGGTGGATGATGTGATGGGAAGAAAGAGAGAAAGAGGAGAGAGAGCGTGAAAAGCACATTTGATGATGGTGGTCGTTATCGATTTGACAAAAACAACGGTGAATGCCTTATCAAATCCAATCAATTCGAATACTGCAGAAAGTAGAAATGTGTGTTGCGTACAGGATCAGATGACTCTCACTCGGCTCTGTTTTAAGTTTAGCTGGTCAACCTTGCTGTATTTCTTTGTTTCTTGTTGCTCATCGTGTTCACAGGTCGTTGTGATGCTGTATCTTCCATTATTGTCGATCTTTTTCATAACACATGGAGACAAAGAGAAAGAATGAGAGGAAAAAACATCCGACTGGAGTATGTTGTTTATTGATGATGATGATGATGATGTTGATGCAATGTCTACGCGTGTTGACGAATAGAATCAAATGCAGTTGGGGGAATCCTGAATCGATGAATGCTGCTGCTTTGTATCGAATCAATCGACATGCATATAGTGTGCTTAGCTATGACGCACATCCATCCGTTGACGCACATCCGATAACTCAAATATCGATAGAGTATTGCTGGCCAATGGGGCTGTCGTTGTTGCTATTGCTGTAAGCATCATATTGAATACAAGGTTGACAGGTACATGTTGGGCCAATGACGAGGTTGGCAGGTACTATGATGGCCAATTGAGACCAATGTCGAGCGCATGAATGGGTTGCATTGTGAAGTTGAGAATGAGACGGGGCAATACAAAGGAAGGAAGGAGGAGGAGCAAGTTGCAGGGTTGGGTTGAGGAGGAAAATGCGGAAAAAAGAGAGGGCGTGTATCGGATCAAACAAGGGAAGCTACATGTTTAATGTCAAAGATGGGGGATATCGCATATACACTCTTCCGATCGATCATTATGCTTTTGAATACAATGATATCCTGGTAACCACCTATGCCGACAACTGAACCTATTCCCATTGTAGCACGTTTTTTACATCTCCTCTTGAATGATGTGTCACTTGATCCGGTTCCTAGAAACGAGAGTTTGTTTCTGTTTTCTGCGTTGTTTGGGGGAACATGCCCGTCATATCTCCTCATCATCTTGATTTTCATCCAACCGTGAGAGTAATGCGTGAACAGTGATTTACATACTACCACTTTAAGCAAACGAAGATTGTTTGGGTTGGGTTGGGGGAGGGAGAGAAGGAACGAGACAGCTACTTTCTTCAACGTCATAATCTGCTGGATATGGCTAATCCAAGCAAGGAAAATATCCTGAAAGTGATATCACTGCATTATCGATAAAAGGGGTCGGAGGAGCAACAAGAGGCGAGATACGACGATGATGATGCAAATAAAACCGTGCAATTCAAAGCAAGACCATACCCAGCACTACCTCTTTTTTTCCTCCTTCTTCTTTATTATCATTATTCTTTGTTTCCGAAACAACAGCAACATGTCAACTAGTATCCCACTTGAGGTGATCGATTGTATCCTTGACCATGTGGATAATGCATCCTTGGTTCAACTATGCGGAACGACCCGTAATTTTCGTACAGCAGCATTACCACGTCTAATTCGGCAATTCCTCTCTGGTATTCATATACGCTTATGGATTGAGCAACATGGCCTTATTGGTCATCGACCGCTCGATTTTGTATGGGAGGCCATTAGCGATGTCAATAATCGGCTTGTCTTTATTCCGAGCAAGCGATCGCAGGAGACCATGTGCTCTTTTTCAACATACGACAAAGATACCTGTTCTCCAAGCCCATCACCCTTGATTGATGGCCTGACAATGGTTCTACCTGATACCAAGACAATGAAACGCAAAATTGAAAGCACGGCATACCAAAAAGATGACCGGATATCTATCGCCCTGATGACTAATGAATATACAAAGAAGGAATACCATGCCACAGCTAAACATCCTTCTTGGTCGTTGCATTATACCACTTGGATTGATCCCATTGACAACAAGCAAGTTCTTTGCCCTCAATCATTTGAATGTGATTGGAGCCTACCATTGAATATGTCTCTCAAGTCATCATCATCATCATCATAGAACATCCACATGCATGTCGTCATCATAGAATAAAGAAAAATGTTGATTATCCAAGATAAAGTTTGGCACGCTTTGATGTGCGTGTGTGCGTGTGTGTGTAGAGTTTCATGCGGCTTGACCCGATACGCCCCCACTCAACAACCTTCTCTTTCTTTCCATAAGCATCACCCACCTTCACACCCACGCACAACCACCTTGTTTCTCACACACACACAAACTCTGCAATGAAGCGCATCGCAACACACGCTGGCACTTGGTACTCCAATTCACGTATGTCTCATGTCACCCATGGTGGTGTCTGTCGGCATAATCTAAAGTTGTCATTGACTACTAGAACAACGTCTACATCAACAGCTGGATCGATTCCTTGCTGCTGTTCCCGAGCAAACCACCCACGGCGAAACGTTTCCAGTCGCAGGGACTCGTGCCATTATTGCACCGTATGTTGTTTTCTTTTGTAACATAGAATAATGGTATACTTTACTCATTACGCTCATTATCTTCACTTAGCCATGCAGGATACAGCTACAGTGGCCCTACCGCTGCTTACGCATACAAATGTGTGGACGTCACCAACATGTAAGGAAGGGATCTCGATAAACATCATCGACATGAATGACATTGACACTTTGGATAGCAAACGTGTATTCATCCTTGGACCATCACATCATGTGTATCTTGAATCCTGTGCATTATCGCAGTGCGACAGCTATGAGACTCCGCTAGGCGACCTGGTGCTTGACAAGGAAGGTATGGGTCATTCAACATGGTATTGTGTGAGAGAGAGAGAGAGAGAGAGCAAAAGTGGGTTCACATGTTTATTTGCTCTAGTCATACAAGAACTTGCCGGCACAGGCCATTTTTCTCAAATGTCCAAGAGTGTGGATGAGGATGAACATAGTATTGAAATGCATTTGCCATACACAGCCAAGATCTTTGAAGGGTAAGTGAAGGAGGTAGAGAGGATCAACAAGGATGAAGATGATGGTAGCTAACAAAGACGTTCAGCAAACTCGATCAAATCAAGATTGTACCGATCATGGTTGGATCCATCAACGAAAGGAAGGAGCGATTGTATGGTGAATTACTTGCCAAGTACCTGGTGGATCCTCAAACATTGTTTATTGTATCATCTGATTTTTGTCACTGGTATGTATCCTTTGTTCTGCAAAGACGACATGTTTATTGACGACAAACAAAAGGGGTCTTCGTTTCTCGTACACCGAATATCGACCTGAACCACGAGCACCACTCACCTCGTTACGATCACTACGCAACGCAAGCACCGCAAGTGATATGCCTATCTACAAGTCTATCAGTGATCTCGACCACGAGGGCATGGAAAAGATTGAAACACTCGATCATGCTGCGTTTTGTCAGTATTTACGGGACACCAACAACACCATTTGCGGTCGTCATCCGATTGGTGTTCTTATGAGTGCCCTTGAAACGATAGACAAGGAACGACGTATTCGATTTATCAAGTATGCCCAGAGCAATGAATGTCAAGATGTCCGGGACAGCAGTGTCAGCTATGCAAGTGCCTACACCTACATTGCATTGTAATACAACGGGAGTCTGGAATGCATCATGAGACACAATTCACACACCCACATCGCTACTTTTGATGATTGTCATACGTGCATTTGGATGGCGTGTGACTGACTATACAAGATGATCGCCCCCTCATGGAATAAATGTGCTTTATCAAAAAGGATCATGATATATACAATGGAAATGTCATCAAAGGGTGTAAATTGATGTACATGTGACAACAAAGGGGTACTCGTTGAGCAGTGTAGTATAGAGATGGGTAATGTATGTGCAAATAGAGTGATAATCAAATCAAGTGTCAGACATAAAATCCATGTCATCTTCGTCATTATTATCATCCAATGGATATGATTCAGTCATTTGTTCTTTTGTCCTTGTTAAAATGGTCATTTCAATAACGTGATCATCAGAAGAGGACGACACCATCATGAGTGCCGCTTTCAGATCCTGCTGAGCCTCGTCAAATAGATCAGACCACGTCCTTCCAAAGTAAACATCTTCATCGCTGTCAGTGGATAGTATTTGGTTGAGGTATTCTTGCTCTATGACTTGTACACCACCCGAGGATGGTGGCTTTGTTATTGTATCTTTGATAGGTGCGGCATGGATTGTTGTCATGGAAACGAGCAACACAAGTGGGTATAATATGTGCATTATAATGTTGTATCGTGATGATGGGAAAAGGAAGAAAGAAGGATTGAGAGCAGCATAGGTAGCTTTATTTATGCAAATCCCCTTTTTCAAACACAGGATGGGAACCCACAATTTTACCAATGGCATCACGCTGTCAGATAAACAACGTTCACGGTTGTGTGTGTGTGTGCGTGCACCCAGATCACTTCTCCCACATTTATGGGTGATTTCCCCTTCATCAAACAGCATCAAAACGACCAGTGGCACCCCGGGATTTCCTCTCTTTGTTGTTCCTTTTTGTTTGCCATCTTGTTCCGCACGCAATGTAGGGTCACACAACAGGGCGTGCGATTACACATCATGCAATTTGTAGTAGGGAAACATGTACGAGATCCCAACAAACAGCAACGTACCTTGTACGTTCGATTCACCAAATAGAGTGTTTTCGGCATATTTTTTACAACTTGCATGTATTGAAACACCACACGACTTTACAACACGCTTTGCATTATTGCAGTAATAAATCGCATGTGCTCTAACGTCATGCTGCCGGATAGCTGGTTCATTGCATCATGGTTCGTTTGGCCGTTGCCAACCCCCTTTTGCGATTGTAATTGGTGACAACAGCCAAAGATGCCATGCTCTTTGTTTTCTACCATGTTCAGGTTCCACATGCCTAATTGGCTGAATACCGACTTTTGTAGTATTGTGACACATATAAGGATTGAATCCGCGGTATAGAGTTTTCCACTGGAGGTAAATCCGAGGAGGTGGGTAAGAAGGAGAAAGATGCACACGCTCTATTGTGTGCTTTTCTTTTTCTTTTGGCCAACAATGATCATGGCATGGTCTTCGTCCCTGCTTTACTCCCATCACATGAGCATAACAATGATCCATACATTGACAGGGCACCTTGATTTCTACACCAACACTACTCGTTGACCAGCACCAAAAGTGAGGGAGTCATGTGTACTACTCGTAGATGCAACAACCTAACAACCGACATGTTTGTTTATCTACACCATCCAACTACTACTCCTTCCACCATCTCGATGTGCACCCAGCTCTTATCAAGGTTCAAGGGTAAATGATAGCTTCGAGGATAAGCGGGTTCTTCATTTTAAGGAGCATCTATTTTCCGTGCAAAAGAGAAAAGAGCTTAAATCAATGTTTACGTACATAGCCATGCAATGGAGGTTGATCAACGAGTGGTGGCAAAAGTACTCTCACACATATCACCCATGACCAAGTGCTATATTCAACTCAAAAAACAGATGCATTCTTAGGAGAAATGGGAAGTAAGTAAACTACTGACAATCCAGCCGCGGCATACATAGCGCGGCATAGCGCGATATCTGACAGTAGTAGGACTTTATGCATCATCATTATCATGTGCTGCGACTATCATGTGTATTTGTCATCCTCACATATAGAACACCCAGGCGTTGTTATACGCATAGTTAGCACCCCAATTGTCATACATCATCTTTTCATGATTACGATTTGGGTCTATCGCCCTTTCGAAAAGAACTTTTGGCAAGGAATCGAAGCTGAGATGCTTTCATGGTTCATCAAGTGATGGATTGATCAGATGTCGTGGTATTTTAGTTACCAAACAAGACCTATGGTGTGATGCAAAAACGACTTTTTATACATCTATTTGTGCCGTGCAAGCATATGATGGTGCAATCAAAGCCGGAAAACATCGCGTGGGACTAGGCGGCGACTCGAGTGTGATGCCTGTTGTGCCCGAAGAGTTCTAAGGATGTCATAAGTTCCCGGATCTGATTTGCAGTGTGGGTTGGACAAAGCACGAGCTTATAGAATTGGTAGGGTGGGAAATATTGATTGTGGTAGTATCTGGAAAAGAAAAAACAATGAAGCATCATGATGATGAGAGACCATTTCTTTATTCTTTCTCTTTCTCGTTTTGAATAATGAAAGGGGAGACTACATGTAACGCGGCAATGATTATATCCGTGTGAATGGAGAGATTCTTTATGATTTTTTTTCTTGTAAAGTATAGGGGATGGCTCTGGAATCTGATCGGTTTAACGATTATCCTGGATTAGTGATTGGCTTTGTTTAGGTCATTGGGTTCAGCCGGTACACACACAGCTGCTTGGAAAAAGCGGCAAACTGTAGACACACGCACACACGCACACACACACACACGCACCCAGAGAGGCCCAAAGAAAGAAAAGCTCAGCACCCTTTATGCCAAACCTTCGTTATCCCACTCAACCAAATTATTCTCTTGCTTTCCTCTTAAACAAAGAATCAACCTCAATGGCTGAAGACGATCGCCAGAGCGCTTCCCACCCTTCAAAACGTCAACGTGTCAGCAAGGCTTGGTATGTCTCTTGAGAGTGCACATGGGGGGGGTTGATAATGTTGACTGATCGATGATAAAGTGAGCAATGTCGAAGGAAAAAGGTCAAATGCGATGGTGGTATACCCCAATGCAGCAATTGTCGAGGACAAAAGCTAGAATGCAAATACAACGAGACCACAAAAAAGGTGAGTGAAAGAGGCGGGATGATGATGGTGATGATGATGTGTGTATATCACTGATAGATCTGACATGCATATGATATGATAGCGAGGACCACCCAAAGGCTATATTGAAGCTATCGAAGGACGTATGCAACGATTGGAGGCGTTATTAAGTAGCGTTGTCCAAGAAGATGATCCAAGGTCGCAGGCCATTATGGAAGAATTGAATGCACCTTTGCATACGCCTTATGGTGAACTTGTTCGACCCAAACTCCTTGGACGTTCACAAGCGGATGATGCATCACCGATTGCAACCACCAACACAGCAGCAAGCACATCATCGCAACAAGGATCACCCTCATCATCAATAGCATCCAATAGCAACTCACAACAAATGCCTATACGCCCACCCCTACCACAGCCGGAGACTTGCGTGATTGAAAATCCAGACAATTTGGGCAGCCAATATACCGACGAGAACGGGCCAGTGCGGTATTATGGAAAGGCATCTGGTTATTACATGCTCCGCGACAGCAAAAACTACAAACAAGGCGTGTTCAGATTCAACTCGAGTGCATATCGAAGCAACAAAACGAGCAGCTTACCGTACACTGTGGATGCATTCGCGTTGCCACCCAAGGATCTATCAGATCATTTGATCGACCTTTATTTCAAACACTTTTACCCGCTGCTTCCCATCATGCACAAAAGGACGTTTATGGAATCCTATCAAGGCATCAATCCCAATTTACCATCCATTCCTTTGCTCTTGCTCAATTCCATCTTTGCTCTCTCGGCTCGCATCTCACCAGATATCCGTGTACGTGCTGATCCATCACAACCTGACACTGCTGGCGATGTCTTTTTCGAACGTGCTCGCTTATTACTCGACAATGAATGGGAAGATTTCACTGTATCCACCGTGCAATCCCTGATCCTCCTCAGCAGCCATCAAACGGGTCTTATGAATACTGTACGTGGGTGGTTGTATAGTGGTTTGGTAAGTATTACCATCAAAGGAATACTCTTGAAACATGATTTAATAACATGGATGTATGTATCTTTAGGCTTTTCGAATGATGCAAAATTTGGGAATGAACCGCAACTGTGACAAGTGGAACATGACCGAGATTGAACGCGAGAATCGTAAACGATGCTTCTTTTGCTGCTTTGTGGTGGATCGCTTATCATGTGCCATGTTTGGTCGTACACCCATCATTGACGAGCGTGATTATGATACACCTTTCCCAACCGACAAAGACGAAGACGATCCAAGTATTATTGAAAACTTTCATCAATTGATCAAATTGAGTGGTACATTGGGATCCGTGTTACGCCAATTTTACACTGTTTATGGTCGACATCAGCTATCAGTCATGTCAACACCTGATCGCGTTATTTCGGTGTTGGATAAGGAATTGAATGGTTGGATGGCTAAGCTACCCCTGGAGATTTTATATCGACCACCCAACACACGTGCTGGTGAACGTGCTGAAGCACCATCTATTGAACGATGTCAAATGCATATGCTCTTTTATACCACCCTCATTCTATTGCATCGCCTCTTTATTCCCGGTCGCTGTCAATCGGTCAAGCCATCTGTGTTCCCAGCTAACGCCATTTGCACCTATGCCGCCAACAAGATACTTGATATTTCAGTGTGCCTTATGGAAGAGGATCGGTTACAGCACATTAATTGCTATGCATTGTACTTCATGTTCACTGCCGGCACTATCTTTATCAATGATGCCCAATCACCGGATGAAATGGCTGCGTTTGAAGCCAAGATCAATGTCAACAAGATCATGCGAGCCATGGAACATGTGGAAAGTGTATGGAAGACATCAGCACGTCATTCAAACATCCTTGGTGAATTAGCTGGTTTGCGTGATATCAACCTTGAAGAATGTGCCACTTATCAACAACAACAGCAGCTGATACAACAACAATCACCTAGCTCCTCTTCAGCAGCTATCGCTGTGCCAAGCTCACCGCCCATGTATCCTGCTGAACCACCCCAACAACAACAACAGCAGCCACAACAGCAGCAACAGCAACAACAAGCCTATGCCCAAACGAGATCACAACCTGTATTTGATTACGCTAACCCTGGTGTCAACCCATATGATCCCACTGCAGAATCACCTCCCGATGGACAACCCTTTGATCCTATTAGTATGGCCTTTTGGAGTGTGCCAGGGTCGTTTGATCTTAATGAGTGGAATAGCTATCTCAACAGCAGTAGTCAACAACAACAAGAACAACAACAAGCCCAGTAAAAAATACCTTTAGCTTTGATCATTATGTTGGAATAAAGTATATCTTACTACGCATCGACCTTTTTTTATGCCATTGAAAGTGTTAGAGTCCTTTAATGTTACTACCCACCTAATAAACGGCTTCGATGATGATTGAAACAAACGCTTTGCTATATATCAATCAGCAATTGTGGATGCTTGCTGTTCCAATGCCCTTATTACTGCTTCATGCAAAGACGAGGGGCCATTACGCAGCGTGTACTTTGACCTCTTAGTCTACCTCTTCAGCAATTATGTACATTAATAATGCTATTCGGTATGGGGCATTATAGAAGATAGGTTGTACCATGTAGGACCTCCTTTTGTGAAAGCTAACCAATCTTCCTACATGCATCATATGTGATAGGTCAGCCATATTTCTTCATCACGAGACTACGGGCGCAAACAATATGGGCCTTATCGGATTAAAATGGCTTTGGTGTATGTTGATTGCACCAAGCAGCGCCTTCTAATCATGCGCACGTTGGATTATACCACCATCCTAATGATCGAATTATACATCCAATATAAACCATCGCCGAACCTAAACGCACGTGGCGGTAAATCATTTACACTTTATTGCAAAGAGCGCTCATCGCTCGAGGAAAGTATGTATGCTATATACACGAAAATCGTCAACCAGAATGTTCAACGCAAGAAGATAGGTAATTGCTGATGAATGTTGCTATAGAAAGTCATCGAAATAAAGCGGGATGGATCATGCAAGATGCTGTAAAGGGAAAGCAAAAGGTGCGTCCCATTGGATCAAGTCAAGAAAAGAGGACATCGCAAAGTTTTTCCATGTCTTTGGGCAACAATGAATGGACCTCTCGGCATGGAGCTTGATGTTGTACAAAGATACTTCTTGTCAGCGAGAGTTGACGGAAAGACCGGAAGGAGAAACCACTAGAAGATTGGCCAATGTCAGCACTGCTGTGATTAGAAAAAAGCCAACATCGTTTACCATACTTACAGCTTACAGCTTTTCATTCATGGACATGCATGCCTCCCAATAATGTGGATTCTGCAAGACCTCGGGATGATTTCACGTATCTATACAATGCCCATTGTGTTACAATAACCGGAGGCTATCCACAAGCGATAAGGTGAAAAGTAACCAATTTCGGCAAATCTAGGGACTTGTTCCACAAAGGGTTCCATCCGCGCTATTTCTTCCCCACGCACTCACTCACACAGGTTCCTTGCCCTTCTTCTTTTCAATATACCATGGAACCAGAAAAGAAATTGCCCGCCAAACAACTCTTCCTTGTATGCGCAGTACGATTTGCAGTAAGTGGGGTTCCATAATGGAGAGGATCAGTGGGATCGAGAAGGTGTACATTGCTGTCAAACGGGAATGGGCAACAACTCCCTCAACGATCGTCCTCCATTCTTCAATACACCGCGTGATTCACTCAATGGCCCTTTGTTTAGGAACCTGTAAGCTTCTCAATCCATGTACCGTTTATCTACTTTGTAAGTTTTGTCGTCGTGCACTCTTATTGCTATCCTTTCACTCATGCATTATGTCATGTAGATGGTGCGTGATTTCCACTTGGGCAAAGAGTCTGATATTGGATACTATGTGAGTCTCATCACGACAGCGTTTGCCATTTCACAAGTCATATCTGGTAAGGGATCGTTTATTCGAAAGGGACACATGACGTTGTTGTTGTTGATCTGGTGATTGATGGATATGCATGTGTGTTGTTATGTAGCCATGCCGCTGGGGATGATCTCGGACAGGGTGGGACGAAGACCAATGGTATTATGTGGTTTGGCCGTGGGCATTATCAGCATCCTATTCTTTGGGTTATCCAAGACTTATACATGGGCGTTGATGACCAAGATTTTGTCCGGGTTACTGGTACGTGAGTTATGCAATTGGATCCTTTTGAATACTCATAGCGTGTTGCCAGGACAACAACATTGCCATCATCAAGAGTATGGTATCAGAGATCAGTGCTGGATATTCAGAGACCCAACGTGCTCGTGCATTCTCCTTGCTACAAGTTGTATTTGGATTGGGAAGCATTGTTGGTGCATTCTTGGGTGGTAAGGGATCACATGGCTAAAGGGTAAAAGGGCCAATGCTAATTACATGCTTTTTTGGATTAGGTTACCTATCAGAGCCTGTGCAAAAGTATCCCAGCCTCTTCAACAATGCTGGCCAGTTGACCGATTTTTTGAACGAATACCCTTACTTTTTACCCTGTTTTGCCGCTGCATTGATTGATACCGTGTGCTGGATCGCCGGCTTCTTATTCTTGGAGGAAACACTTGTCAAAAAAGAGGCATCCGACAATGAAACGACTCGCCAAGAACAAGAGAATGCACCTTTGTTGAATGATGTTGATGGCGAATCATACAGCACATTCAGTGGACAAGAGCAGCAACAGCAACAACAGCAAGAAGTGAAGCCGAAGAGACCATTCAGCGATGTGTTGACACCCGCAGTTATCACCATTTGTGCCATCTATGCCATGACTGCATATCAAAACGTCTTTTATGATGGTAAGTGATCTTTGTAAATGCGTGCTATCATGTACCGGAAGCTGATAAAAGGATTGATTGATAGAGTTATTACCTACATGGTCAGCTACAGAAAGGGATACAGGTGGTCTTGGCCTCAATTCAAGTGAAATTGGCACCGTGCTCTCTATTGGAGGATTCGTGACACTCTTTGTGCAATTCTTTTTATACCATCGGTTGACTGAGCGCTTGGGCACAATTCGTCTTTTCCGCACGGCACTTCTTTTGAGCATCTTTGTGTATGCGGTACAAGGATGTGTGCGATATTTGGCTGATATCCCTGATTTGCACGGCAATTCAACCAAGACATGGCTCTTTGCTGGTCTCATGACTGAAATGGCGCTCAAGACGATTTGCCAAACGATTGCCATGACTGGATCCATTATCCTCATCAACAATGCTGCCAAAAGACAGGACTCTTTGGCTACCATCAATGCTCTCTCACAATGTAAGTTGAATGAATCAAGATGGACGAATGAATTGAGACTCACCATGTGGTTTTGTTGCACAAATTAGGTTGCTCAAGCGCAATGCGTGCCTTGGGACCAGCAACATGCGGCTTTATTTGGTCAACGTAAAGTGTCATCATTCACCTACACCACGTGTCTCATTGTGAATCTGACAATGAATGTGATTTTACCTTTGTAGGACTATTGCTGCGGTATGGCTTCCTTTCACTGTGCGAGCACATCTCACTTGGATCATCTTGGCATGTATTGCCGTCACGACATTCTTATTCAGCGTAAAGCTCAAGCCCGAATACTATGTATCCAAGGCACGTTGAACACGTACGTATAGAGAGAGGGATGTAATTTATTCTTGTAAATTTGATTGTGGATACGAGTACAATAAATTAGGAAAATGAAAAAGTCAATGGTTACGTCTTGGGATTTTGAGGAGGAGCTTGCACTTGTGTCGAGGACATCATCACTGGCTGCGGATAGTAGACCATGATCATTGGAGTGGAAGGAACGGCAGCATAGTAACATCCATATTGTGGTTGCATGGGCGGCGCTTCTTGTTTAGGTGGATTCGGTTCCGGAGGTGGCGTTGGCGCCGACTTGAATGTACGAATGCCAAATGGATCGGTGAAGAGATGATGTGTCATTGTTAATTGGATGATGAAGAACAACAATTCGACCCATTGACCTTCGACATACACCACTTTTATATGCGTCCTGATTCCGCGGGTGGTGCCAGCTTTGTTTATGTCATCGACAAGGTGTATCATGGAGGATGAAGAGTGTGATCAGCCAAGGAGGACCAATCGATGATGAAGGCTGGGGCGATAGACCGATGAACATCACTTGAAGGAAGCCATCAATCACGATCACAAGGCTGTGTAACGTGCTGTGGATACGTTTCATGGTCGTATTGTGGTTCCGTTTCACACGATTCCAACTTGATTCGACAAAAGGCGCCACCATTTGATCATTGATGTGGTTTGCGCAGCAAATTGTGGTGCCCTTCCCAACATCACGTACACCGTCAATGGCGTCTTTTCCTAAAAAGAATATTCTCACCTTCGACTATACGCTCTTTCTCAATTCATGTTGTATACATCACTCTTGCCTTCAATTTATCGATAACGCTCTACTACCAGTGACGCTATAGAAACGAAATAAAATCAGGGACATTGGTACCAAAGTGCTCTTCTTGTGTTGGATAAAAAGGAGGTGGCCGTATCAGCGTGATGATGATGGTATGCGTTTAAGCCTTTATCACAATACCTGAGTTGATTTTCTCAGGTTTTTGTCAAAACGAGTATTATACAAGGTTGAGACAACAGCTTTTTCTCCTCATTTGTCAATTGATAAGTGGTGACAATCCCCTATGCATAGTGTAGCTGAAGGAAAGAAGAGCACAGAAGAAAAGGATAGTAGTATTGTAAGAAAGTTTAGAGCATCCAAGTCAAATGGCAGGTCCATGCATCTGTAGGGGGTGGGAACGTTCACCTGCTACGGGAGACTGATAGAGACTAACGCTTGGGATGGGTGGCAAGAGTTTACATACAAGGTTAAGCCTGTGCTCCCCTAGTTGTCAAAAGCCTTGTGTCACCGTATCACTCAGGCACTGAGCGCTCAATGCACATCGCTATTTCAATTGTTCCCTCCCCACGAATAGTGCCTTATTTGACATCCGATTTGACAAGTTGATTCGAGGCACTTGGAGATGCTTGCTATAACAGGCTCCCTGCTCCCTCCCTATTCGCTCTCTCTTAACCATCATGCAAAAATCCCCCCATCCTCTAACACCCATTTGCCACTGGTGGCAAAAAAAAGGGTGAGGATCACTGCTAAGATCGATCAATGCGTTTGTTATGCACACAAATCGACATCTTTTTATCAAGCAAAGTAAAGCATGATGCGCTTGCTCTTTTTTTTTATCATTGAGCATGATCTATAATCCTTGAACAATGACATTTGGGTTATAAACTTTAACAAAATTCTGTAGAGCGGTCCAAGTGAATAGCACGACCGCTCTTGTTGCATATAAGAAAAAAGGAGCCGGTTGAGAAACGACAACACAGGGGGTTATCTGAGTTGCCCTTTGCTCTCTTCTCTTCGGAAGTATTTGATCGCGAGAATACTTGAAGAAGGGGTGGATGTTACCAAAGGGGCAAGAGCCGCCACCCATTTGAAGCTGGTCTGCTGTCCAAATGTTTGTCAACAAAGCATGGCAAGAATGAAGGTGGTTATGGTGTTTGTTTATTGTTCATAGTATAACCTTGCATCATCCGCATATGATACATGTACATCCTCTACTGCATGATGCGCAGCAGCCTTTAGATACGCCCATCATTGAACATTCGATCAAAATGCGAATGGATGTATCAATCCGAGCTGCATCCGGAAGAAGGAGTCGGCTCTAGACAAAGTCCACATCATCTGAGAAGAGAATTACTATACCAAAGTTGCCATAGCCTGGGCCAGAAACAGGTTTTCAACAAGTCTTTGCATCAACTGACGCTTTGTGCAAGGAGCATTCAGCTCTGCGTTTGACGCTGGACACACTCAGCATACAGGGGGATGAGGATGGGGATCCTTTAGGGATGCTCTTGTCACACACAAGTCATGCATCCACAGCCCGCTATTGTATCACACATACACACATACACACACGCCTACGCCAATTGCCTTTGTATCCATTCATATTGTAAGGAATCGCTTGATGCGCAACATTGATGGGTGAACCTTGGATCTATGTGGGTGTAAGCCACAAAACATACATGCACACAAGACGCATTTTGCTATGTCCAAACATAAAAGAGAGTAGCTTATTAAAGAAGACCTCATGTGTGTGGCAGTGGCAACATAAAGTTTAACTTGGGTCCATTATACCTCTTTTTTTTCGTTTATCTCTTCTTACACGCATCAAACGATCATGTGCATATGTATGCAAACGAATGCACAACCACAGAAAGTGGTACTTTGATCATGCTGACAAACGTATCTTGGTATCGTGACGCTCGATGACTTGACATGATGCATCCATTATCAACCGTAAACTCACAAACCAAAGAAACCATCCTCCTTACGCATGCGTAAAGTTCAATTACTTGACCTCTTTTTCTAAGTTCTGATTTGTGCATGCGTTCTCGACCTTTATCTTAACGCTCGTACATGGCTGCTGATCGATCGTTTTACATAAACAAATCAGCAACTGACTACTAGCATCGATCACATTATCATCTTTTGATGGTGGTATCGATATCCATATGAGCACATTTGCCACTTTATTGCCGAAGGTAGCTTTATGGAAGAGGGGTTACAACAAGGAGATACTATTTGGGGTTTGATAAAGATATCAAACATAGGCTGCAAGCGAGCAATCGAGGAGGCATAGCGGGATGGCACCTTGCACATTAGGGGAGTGAAATGTGCTACCGCATTATAAAAACTCAACCTTTCCGAATCACAGAATCTGCCCACATCTCTTCTCTTTTTCTTTTACACACATACAGCATGAACACACAGGTGGTGTATGCATTAATCACTTTTATGATTGCATTGGTTCTCTATCGGCCATTTGCCACGCGCTTGGATCATGTGCGATACACTATCTTTTGCTTGCTTGCTTTCGTTGCACCCATGTCCTCACAGCTTTTCTATACGCCATCTTTCTACGGGACTGACATAAGCAACCTCCACAACAATCACACCATCGACCGGCTTTCTTTGATGGGCGCCCTCGGCTCAACACAATACCAACACCATGAATCACAACACCTATTTCAAAACGAGCTTCTTCAAGATAACATCATCCTCGCTTTGCTCACAGGGACAACAATAACAATTTGCGGAATCCTTTCTCGCTGGGACTTCCCCATTCTGTATGTCAAGCCTGAAGCCCACTACATGGTTGACATTGTTTATCGTCACGTGCCTTCGATCTGCTTAGTGATTGCTGCTTTCATTCATCGGTATGAGCATATACATTTTGCATTCACTACCATTTCTTTATATTGAACCTGCTTATTATAGCAACAATCAAGGGTACCAAGAAGTGAATGATAGCATGCAACATCAAGTTGCTTGTTTCCTTGCACCGTTGCTAGCTGGTGTTTGGTACTTTGCTGGCACCTACCTTTTTCGGCGATGGCACATCACCATGGCAGCATCCTTCATTCCCGCTACGATTTGGGCACTTTCCAAGAACCCAAATACCCAATCAATTTTTTCTCAATGGTCATTTTATGACTGGTTTGCATGCACATTGATGATCACAAGTGCAACGCTGATGCTTGATTACTTTGACGCGATCCTCAACACGTATCCCTACCTTGTCACCAACTCAGCCAAGCAACGTGAAGCTATCCAAGATCCTGCACGTGCACCCTATTGGCTTGCACTAGGCGAGCTCATGCTGTGCCTTTCTTCTGAACGTGAGCTTAATCCACTTCCCATACGTGACATGCAAGAAGCTATCATGAAATTAGGCCACTCGGGTCGTTCTTGGAAAACAATGTCGATCCTTTTCCCAAGCAATCTTCGACAAGAAATGTGCATGTTGTATGCATGGTTTCGCTTATGCGATGACCTCGTGGATGACGCTGACGAATACAAAGAAGGCCGATTTGCATTGAATTTGATCCGTACTTTTTTGGATGAGGCATTCAATGGTCCTGATGACGACTTGAAAACTTGCACTAGCGAAGCTGGAAGATTGGCTATGCAAGATCCAAGCTTACCATTCCTTGATTGGGATTACCTGGATAATCATCTCACTTCGGATCGCCTTGCTGTTTTTCGTTGCTTTGCTCGTCAAGCTTTCATGTTGTGTCCCAAGGCTGCTAATGCACTTACCGATGCTTGGGCAATTGATCTCAAGAAAAAACCGCTCAAGACTGAAGAAAGCGTCAAAAATTATGCAAGCTTGATTTCGGGGCGATTTGCTGAGTTGTGTACCTGCGTTATCATGTACAAGACAGGTCATGGCAATTGGAATGGCGATGACTTTGAAGCACGCGATTCAACTGTGTTACATCGTGCTCGTGCTACTGGTCAATGTTTACAATTGGTCAACATTGCACGTGATATCGTGGCTGACAGCCATGAGGGCCGATGCTATGTACCATTGAAATTTATGCACGATCAATCAATCTATACAACTCTCAAAACACGTCGTCCCGATGTCGTTGGCTCAAAAGTGCTCAAGGGCTATGCACTCAACATTCTTGGCCTTGCCGATAGCTTGGTGCCCCAAGGCCATCTTGGTATAAATGGTCTTCCTTTTGAAGTACGTGATGGTGTAAGAGCCGCTTTTGAGATTTATCTTGCCATTGGACCTGCATTACGTGAGGCGGAAAACTTTCCCATTCGTGCCAAGGTTCCAAAGTCTCGACAAAAGATGATTGCCTTCAGCTGCATCTATGGCTTGTATGGTTTGCGGCAAAAGTCAATGGGCGCCATTCGTAGCCTTGTCCACCCACTTGGTCTCAGCTACTACCAAAAGCCAAATCCCTCTTTTTGAGTCTTTTCATTCTTCATTCGTAATAGCCACATCATCTCTTCTCATGTAATCATTTATCCCATTCTAGTCAATGTTGCTTTTGTGTATATCTTTTTTTTAATGTATAAAGCTTAGTCTATCACCAAATTTACGTCGTCTTTATCACTGGGGAGCTGGTGGGGATTGTGTGGGGAAAACGGATATGTTGGGTTGATTGTCGGGGACAATCAAACAATGCTCCACAATCATCAGCTGATGATGGCTATCATGTAAAGGACCTTTTGTTCTGCCTTAATCATTCCTATTTACATCCGGCATCCAATCAAAGTTAAAACGATGGACCTGTTTGAGCAGCGTGTGGCACATGTAGATCATTTTGCATCATAGTAAATCGGCCCTTCAGTCTTCTTCTTGCTTCACAAACCAAAAAGCTTTAAACTTTCTTTGCCATTGAGCACGAGCTGCACAAATGATATGTGCTACCATGCTGCTTCAGATGTTTCAGGTCATGCCTTGTTTTTGTTTGCTCATGCCTTTATATTTACGATGGCTTTTCTACAAGAGCGAAACGTGAAAACAACCACCCATAGATGTTCGTGAGCAAGGAGTGGGTGTGGTGTTTTGCAAAGATCACGCTGTTGCCATTACCTTGTCCCGCACCAGTCAAAATCCAGCAGCGGAGGAACCAAGAGGTGCTTGGGTGTCCATGGAAACACAAGCCCTTATTAGGGTACACACCCCGCTTTCATTGCTCAAAGGAGGCATAATGAAAAAATAACGAGACACCACCACGTCTCCAACTTTATGAATGCAATTAGATAACGATGAACATAAAGAAGATGTAAAGAGAAGTATGCAAGATGCATTTGTTTGTATGTGTATGCCATTTGCGTGTGAGCATATACAATGGTCTCATTTGCTTATTTACACGTGCGCTCTTATTTTCGTTCGCTCACATACGCTTTTGCAAAGAAGTTATTTTTATCAGCCGCAGGACCATACATAGCAATCTACGGCTGTCAAATCATCAATCACCACCGAAATAACTGCTATATAAACAAATAAACCTATTTGCAGAGGGGGACTCCTTTCTCGCATCTCTCTTTCCATTTCTCTCCCTTTCTCTACATACCCATGCGCTCATCGTTTATCGTCTCCGCCTTTGCAATTCTCTTTGCATTTTGCGTTGCTGGATCGATTGCTCAAGAAGGCAACCCTGATTCTCACTACTTTAATGTCACCAAGCCTACACCCAATTCGCCCTATGTAGCTGGTCAAAAGTTGCCTCTTGTATACCGTGTCTCGAGCGATAGCAACTCCAACAGTGAGTAGTCGACCTTAATGGAAGAATTCATCGTTAACAATGATGATTTGCTACTACCTTGTAGTTCTTCAATTGTCCATTACTTTGGAAGACCCTCGTAACGCCACCAACAGCGCTGTGCTTGTGGAAAGCGCTGACATTTCGCAAGGCTTCAGCAACAAGGTGGATCAAGATGGTGCCACTGTCTATGAGCACCAGGCCAACGTAAGCTACTTTTCTTTTTCAATCTCATGTGTGTCTTTTTGCTTACACAAAGTGATGTAGTACGACATTCCAACCACCACCATTCCTGGGTCGTACAATGTGAGTCTTCTAGGAGAGAGCAAATGGGTGCAAAAAACCTCTTTTACTAACATGTAGCAATAATTAGGTCGTCTATACCAACCATGCCACCGCTCATAATGTCAGCATCCCAATCAGCATTTCGGCTGCACCTGCCTCATCGAGTGCTGCTCCAAGTGCCAGCTCGACTGAGTCTGGCAAAAAGAGCATGTGGGATACCAGTGCGTCCACCAAGGCCGCCGCTGCCCCTGCATGGGCTATCCTTTTGCTTTCTCCTTTGGCTGCAATCGTCTTGTAAAGAAACATGCATCCTCTCTTTCTCAATACTCTTTCATATTCCTTTGCACATTACTTTCTTTGTCTTACCTGTACTCACTAGATGATAATAAAACTTGCACCACATCTGTAATATGCATGTGCAAAACGATCATTATACATTTTGCCTCGCTGTAAATCTGTATCCTTGTTTGATTGATTGTATGCGTCTAGAGCGGTCGACTGCCTTAGTTTTCGGTTGCTGCACCCCCTTGTTTTGACCCATTTGAATCTTGCAGAACACCCTCTGATAAACATTTTTACCGTAAAATGGCTGCTGTTTGCTGCCTCATTTCTACATACACCATCAGGTGAGAAAATCTACCACAATATGCATCCCGTAGCCTCCTTGAATCTATACCTCCTTTTTTGGGTTGAGTTGGTCGTTTGCATTTCTTGTCAACGTCTTGCTGCCGATCATTTTATGTATATAGAGCCCACGGATGATCAATCAAATGCGTTTGGTTGAGTCCTATTCATGTGGGATGATTTGTAAAATAGGATCATGTACGCGTGGCAGCATGTAAGCTTGTCGTCTACATGACAGAAATTTGTATCAGAAAGCATAGCGGAAGTATCTGGATGCACCTGCATACTGGTGCGGCAACATCAAGCACACTTGCTATTCGGCATCATAGGTGGTCTAGGCATGCATGTTCACCCCCATTTACATAAATCACAATGCTTTTAAAATTGGTAATCATAACGCGCGTCATTCGATGGTGGCTATGTAGCTTCCTCTTTATGACATTTACACCATATCATCATTAATAGAAGAAAGCATATGCATCGACCCACCAATGCAATCGAAAATGATGATCCTGTCACGAAAATTGATGCCATATGGCTGCATGAACGAGCTTGTGCAACGAGATAACTCTTATCAATATATGTTATCTGGACCTTTAATGAATAGCATGATCGCTTATAGTATTAGGTATTATGTGGGGTGGTGCAACTACAAGAGGGCGGTTGGCATGGGCAGCATGGTGGACGTCTGAGACCAAAATCGGCATGAGTTCGCGATACACGAGTCTTGCATTTGTTCCACACTTCAACCACCTTTTGTCACATTCAATTCTACTACGCCTTCACATCGGGACCAATGGAAGCTTGAAAACAACATACATGGCAACCCATACATCGCTTGTAAGCACAAGAGGTTTATCTCCAACGGATCGGCGTCAACTGATTTTGCACATTCGACTTGCCAGCATGAGTGCAACCGATCTCGATACATAGTTGTCAGCGTTGCACCTCCTTCGACCTCCTGCTCTCTCGTCGACTACAAGCTCCCACACCAAACGCACATAGAGCAAGGCTTGCTGTCACAAAGGTGATCCCGCAACTCTTTTGTCAAGAGGTACGTGTCAATGGGTATGCTGTGATATGATATCGCATAATCTAGAACGCTCATGCATTTGATCCTTGTAGTTCTTGGTTGCTGCTTATTCTTGTATTCATTGTTCTCTTGGTGGCATTTGATTGTATCCCCTTTGCTGAATTCTTTGTGGTATGTATGATTATCGTTATTCATGATTGGTATAATGACATGTGTTTGGATAGTGATCCACAGCAGTATGACGAGAAGTTTCTTTGTCAGTACAAAAGTAGGCCGTCTTCATATTCAATCAAGCAGCAGCATAGGTGATGGCGTTGTCGCATTTTCAGAAAGCACAGCATATCAACATCGTCCTCAAGATATCGACAATCACAACGAAGGCATGACGTTGGATACTACCAGAACAATTTCGCAAAGAGGATATGGCATGAGAGGTGCTCAAGTGTGCTCGTCGCAAGCTGAAGCTGAAAAGGAGGATTGCATATGTACGGATTGGTGTGGAGCCTGTCGATGGCCCAACAAACAACATCAACAACAACTAGATGGCGTTAACAGCTGAAAAGGACTTGCATTTATATATTTGCCTGCGCACAAGGAAATGGAGATATGGGGGAGCTGTTCGAACAATGAAACTGATTCAGCATTTATATCCATCTCAATTCCCTCCTATGTCGTATCCTGCAGAACACACCAATAAGGCTTTGAGGAAGAGGAACACCGATCCATGTTGATAAGTGATCGTCATCATTGCTCTGTCGACAAGTATACGTTCTCAACAAGGCACGGGTTTGCCACCATGGCGGATCATGATGTTTCAATGCAAAGAGGATCAGCATTCACGAACCTTGAAAAGTGCCTGTTGCTCCACCATAACTCCGCAACTCGGTTTACCATTGATAGCCTTATCATACCATAGCAACCATCATGGCAACCACCTTAATCCATATTGCTTTGCAAAATAAAGATGAATACAACCGAATCAAGAATATCACACATATGCTGTATTAATCCCGTTTTATTATCATTATACAAAAAGACTCAATGGCCTTTTTAAAAAGTACGAATCATGATGGATGCACTTATTTCTTGCCAGCCTTTTGGGCAGCCTTGGTAACCTTGCCAGCCTTATCAACCTTCTCAACGGCCTTGATGACACCGACAGCGACGGTTTGACGCATATCACGGACGGCGAAACGACCAAGAGGAGGATATTCAGTGTAAGCTTCAACGCACATGGGCTTGGAAGGAACCATCTTGACGATAGCAGAGTCACCACTCTTAACAAACTTGGGTGAATCCTCGAGTTTCTTACCTGTTTTGAATGAAATGGAGAGTGTTTGGATTAGCAAATGATGAAAAAAGTAATCGAGAATGATCAAGGAAGAGGATTTGAAGCAAAATCAAGAGATTAAGCCCCAATACCCATATCCCAAATCAAAAGATTTACTTACCAGAACGACGATCGATCTTTTCAAGGAGCTCAGAGAACTTGCATGCAATGTGAGCAGTGTGGCAATCCAAGACAGGGGAGTAACCAGCACCAATTTGACCAGGGTGGTTCAAGACGATAACTTGAGCGGTGAAGGAAGCGGATTCCTTGGCGGGATCGTTCTTGGAATCAGAGCAGACGTTACCACGGCGGATATCCTTGACGGAAACGTTCTTGACGTTGAAGCCAACGTTGTCACCGGGAACACCTTCAGCAAGTTGCTCGTGGTGCATTTCAACGGACTTGACTTCAGTGGTGACGTTGGCGGGAGCGAAGGTGACAACCATACCAGGCTTGATGACACCAGTCTCAACACGACCAACAGGGACTGTACCAATACCACCGATCTTGTAAACATCTTGAAGGGGAAGACGAAGGGGCTTGTCGGAAGGACGAACAGGGGGATCAATGTTGTCAATGGCTTCAAGAAGGGTCTTGCCGGTCTTGGCACCAGCCTTAGTCTCCTTGTTCCATCCCTTGAACCAAGGCATGTTGGTGGACTCCTCCAACATGTTGTCACCATTCCAGCCAGAGATAGGAACGAAAGGAACGGACTTGGGGTTGAAACCAATCTTCTTGATGAAGGTGGAAACTTCCTTGACAATCTCGTTGTAACGGGCCTCAGAGTACTTGGTAGAGTCCATCTTGTTGATAGCAACGATCAATTGGCGGACACCAAGGGTGAAAGCAAGCAAAGCGTGTTCACGGGTTTGACCATCCTTGGAGATACCAGCTTCGAATTCACCAGTACCAGCAGCAATAATCAAGATACCACAGTCAGCTTGGGAAGTACCAGTAATCATGTTCTTGATGAAATCACGATGGCCAGGGGCATCAATGACGGTAACGTGGTACTTGGGAGTCTCGAACTTCCAGAGAGCGATATCGATGGTGATACCACGCTCACGTTCAGCCTTAAGCTTGTCCAAAACCCAGGCGTACTTGAAAGAACCCTTACCGAGTTCGGCGGCTTCCTTCTCGAACTTCTCAATGGTACGCTTGTCAATACCACCGCACTTGTAGATCAAGTGACCAGTAGTGGTGGACTTGCCCTGCAATCACAAAAGAGTCAATTTCCTGCAAACATGGCTTCCCATTGTTCAATTGAGTACTTACGGAATCGACGTGACCAATAACGACGACGTTAACGTGAGTCTTCTCCTTACCCATGGTAGCTACAAAGAGATGGATTAGATGGATGAATGAATGGATGGATGGATGTGGATGTTTTACAATGACAACTTACATGTTCTTTATGTGAAAAAAGGGAGCGAGCACTTGGACGCATCCTCTTCGATCCCTTTTCTCTCTCACTCGAATCGCTCTTCCAAATTTTTGCAAGCCATCATTGGTCCAATCCATGTGCGGAATCCCAAATCGTCTTAGCAGGTGATCGATCCATCATCACTGTAACTGTTTTTCCAAGAGCATCCTTATCGTCGCCGCCACCACCCATACCATCTTTTATCATCATACATACACTGTTAATTTATTGACAACATAGTCATGCTTCATTGTAAAATAAAAAGTAGACCCAATACTAATGAGATGCATAAAAACAATGACTACCACCACGTGGGTAATGTAATAAAGGGACAAAGACATATCATTTTCTTGTACATTGAAAGAGGAAATGAGAATGGCCTCGGTAAGGTTATTGCTATAGCCGTCATTGTATTAAGCTACATACGGGGAGCAGAGGAATTTACCGAGTGGGTTGCAAAAAGGACACGTTGCCCACCCATTGCCGAGCTCTCCCAAAGGAAAGCTCAAGACAATGTGCAGCAAAAAGGCTGCTCAACAACATGCTTCCTGCAATCCGTTCTTCTTACTGACATGTGAATAGCAACGCAAATGGATGTTATGGGCTGACTTCTTTATAAAAGATAGCATCACCCTCGCGCACTAAAACCTGACAGTGTAAAAAGTGTAAGAAAACAAACCCAATACCACTTGGACACCTCTTTTATAGACAAATCAAGAGTAACACAGAAAAAATTTTGACTTTTCTGATGGCATGGGCACTTCCCCTTGGCTGCTGTGTTTTCCAAGAGGTCAATGTTGGTGATGTAGACTTGTTTGTGTAACGCAATGCGGAACAAGAAAGAACGAAATGAAACACGAGTTTTGGTATATTCGATTTGACAATACAAGAAGGGATCCATCATGGAAGGGTAACAAAGAAAGGTAACATGGTGGAGGGATATGTATAATGCGGGTTGATTCTAATATCGGTGAACGTGTGGCGTGCTATCCATCTTTTGGTATTCATGTTGACTGGTTGGCACGATTTCAGAGATTGGATGTGGTTGATAAGGTCGTGCACCCGTAAGTTGCTCGGTAAGGAATCGATGTTTTTCGTTTTCGGCTGCTAGTCGTTTCCTCATGCTTTGGATGCTCTTGACCACGTACCAGATCAAGAGTGAAAAAATGAGTAGGCCAAGCACGACAATGATGATAAAGTGGCTGTGACGCTCGAGCCAACCTTTTTCCTCTTCTTGGTGCTCATTGTCACCTTGTTTAAATCCAGTATCATCGGCTAATACGACCGCCATAAATAGGATCCACAACAACAATACAAACATGTTGCTTCTATTGCTGAACACAAACAAGTCGAGAAATTAAGGAATCGTATGAGCGTGTATAAAAAGATGGGTTTATGCAAATAAAAGTGAAAGAAAGGAAGGGGAGTATGACAGAAATGACGTTTTGTGGAATAAAAAACTAGCTACTGCTGTGGTTGGCTTTTGCGTGCTTGAACTTCATCCAAAGTAGGTACGGAGTCCATTGATCCCTCGCGTTCCACAGCTATGGATGCAGCAATATTAGCTTCCTCAAGAGCGTTGTTGACTCGTGTAAAGTAGTCCTCCTCCTGATTACGCACAAACGCCGCTAGGAAAAAGCCCTAAGCATCCTGTTTAGTATCCCATTTCCTGCTGTACTCCTTTTCTCCTTTACAACAAAAGGTCCGACTTACCACAAAAGTATCGCCAGCACCTGTTGTATCCTTGACCTTGACCTTTTGGCATGGGACAATAAAGTCCCGGATGCCACCTCCCGCTTTTTGGAATTTGGCCACCACACCTTGTGAACCAAGAGTGACAACGACACCTTGCATATTGGGAAAACGCTTCAACAATTCAGCAGCCAGATCGAGACCCTTTCCTTCAGCCTTTTCACCAGAGATTTGCTCATACAAGAAACGAGCCTCGGTTTCATTAACAATGAGAATGGCGACCTTGTCAAAAGGAAAGACATCAATGATACCAGGTGTCATGGGTGCTGGATTGAATAGAATAGAAAGACCACGTTCAGAAGCCACACGCATGATATCGCCTCCTGCACTGATTTCATTTTGCATCACAATCCAATCGCCAGGACCAAAGTTCTCGAGCACTTTGCTTGCATCTGTGGCGTTGTAACATTCATTGGTACCAGGGAAAAGCACAATACAATTTTCACCATCATTGCTCACTTGGATAAAAGCGCGACCATTGCCCTATCATCATCATTCACTTAATCCAATTCATCCTTGTTGCCCATTTCCCAAAAAGGACTTACCACAGTATCAGAGATTTGGCTATAGGTCATATCCACGCCACGTTCAGTCATATAATCCTTGATCTATCATGCACAATACATGATTAAGTGTTCCTCATTCCCCATTAATATCCTCTTCTTTCAGACTTACCCAGGAAGCGTCATGGCCAATGACACCAGCATGATAGACCTTTCCACCACCCTATTTACATCCCTTATTAGCTTTACACGATCTCGCTTGATCCATTTAATGATTTACCTTGGCCAACGATACGGATTGATTTGCACCTAAAATAGGTTGATAAGAATGCGGGGTATGGGGGAAACAGCAGCAAGTAAAGGACAACTCACCTTTGCCACCGGCGCGTTGAGAGAAGCCTGTAGCAGACAATGTCTCACCAGGTTCGACAATGTGAGGCACTGTGAAGGTCTGATCGAGGTTGAATGAACCGTAGTTGAGAATCTTGCCGCCCATTGGGTTGTAGAAAAGAAAAGAAAGAACAGGTGATGGATGTGTGTCTCTGGGGTTTCCCACCAAATCAAAGCTAAATGTCAAACACAGGGTCCGAAATACATTTTCCGCCACCTTCCACAGAAAAAGGCGGTATGTATACATTTCCCATCTACCCCGCCTCCTCTACAACCACCACATTACATGTATCTTTATCATAGCCGATACTATTATTGATCACCCACTCAAACATCTACGCATCGGCTTTATTTCGAGACGTCCTATGTTAGAGTTTACTGCGACAAATTCTTGTGCTACCATACACAGAACGTTGCTAGGCAACCATTTCGGCACCGGCACAATAAGTCCTTCCGGTACATAATCTACTTGCTCCCATATGGTAAGGAATCGTCATCCATATCCTAATCTACATGGATCGTCATTGCAAAGCCCCATGGGGCTCATACAGCATATGATCATGGATGCATAACGCGATGGAAAGTATATAAGCACCTCGACAACAACACATACTACTACAGCAAACTACACTAAAAGTCATTATAGCTTTTACTTTTGCATAATTATCACCGCTTCTCCGATCGAGTAACTCTTGTATTCAAACCACTACCATGAAGGCCGTTCTTGTTGAAAAAACCGATGATCGCTATCACCTCGCTTATAAGGACATACCAATCCCCACTCCCAAAGAAGGTCAAGTCGTCGTCAAAAATCACTTTATTGGTAAACCATTACTATCACCTTAACATGTACCAACAATGATAGCTGATGATGATGCTTCATGATCTATGTATAGGGGTCAACTTTTCAGACACGGTCTACGATCACCTTTTTGCAGCACCTCCACCTTATGTGCCTGGATGTGAAAGGTAAAGATGGGGTACCATGTATGGAAGGGATCTCGATCTCATTGTATGTCATATCTGCAGTGCTGGTGAAGTAACTGCCGTTGGTGCGAACGTTCATGATATCAAAGTGGGAGACCGTGTCGCTCACGTGAGCTTCACTGCTTACTCTGAATATTCAGCTTTGGACGCCAACCAAGTCGCAAAGATTCCCGACAATGTATCATACAAGGACGCTGCTGCTGCAAGTGCTCAAGCATTGACCGCATTGACATTGGTTCGTGATGCTCACCATGTGAAGAAAGGAGGTAGGTACTTTTTGAAATCAACAGGAAAGAGAAGAGAGCAAAACAACAAGGTTGTTAACAGCGTACATCCGTGATAGATTACATTCTTGTCTTAGCTGCTGCTGGTGGAGTGGGATTGATGCTTTGTCAAATGGGTCGATATCTTGGTGCCACTGTCATTGGTGTGGTGAGCTCATCCGAAAAGGCTGATCTTGCAAGAGAATATGGTGCGGATCATGTGATCAACTCAACCAAAGAAGATGTTGCTGCAAAGGTGAAGGAAATCACCAATGGCTTGGGTTGCCATGCTGTGTTCGATGCTATCGGTAAAGCAACGTTTGAAACATCCTGGGAATGTGTACGACGAAATGGCACCTTCGTTTCCTATGGCTTTGCATCGGGTGACACTGATCCAGTAAGGGGAACATCCTTCTTCATGATGATATTGAATATTGATTGTTGTATCCTAGCTACCCCTTATGCGATTAGCTGAAAAGAACGTGACTATAAACCGGCCAGCACTATACCAACATCTCGTCACCCGAGAGGAAAGAGAAAGATGGTGGGGCGAATTGTTTGATCTCCTTGGCAACGGTCACATCAAAGCACACATTTACAAGACATACGACCTGAAGGATGCAGCTCTGGCACATGCGGATATCACAAGTCGTAAAACCACAGGCAAACTTCTCCTCAAACCTTCTGAAGACTAGACTATTTTTTGACGTGTAGTAATAAAAATCTTCTTCCTATGTATGAGATCATCCCTTGTAATCTAAACAACCTTTGCTCATAAGGAAAGGTTAACATTCATGATGACAATGAATGTAAGCACTTGTCTTTCGGGTATTAGTACGTAGCTCATCCAATAAAGTTATAGCTTTGCAGCCACACCATCATCTTGTACACCGCCCTGGTGGCGAGGATTATTCTTAATCTCAGCAATCAACCTGCACGTTTGCAGAAATTGGAGAATACAAGGATTGTAAATCTGAGTTGCACATACATACATACGCATGCATCAGCGCACTTGGCAAGGCACAAACATGAGCATCGGTGGAAGCTTACATTCATCATTGAATAACAGACACAAAGAAAACGTGGCTCTTTTCTTATATTTATTGTATGCCTTGTATGGTAGTATTCCAGCACAGCGCAAATAAAAGAAGGGTACATGTATGCTATTGGAATGAGGGTGGCGTAGTGTAAGCACCGAATTATCCGGTAGTGCTACAACGCCGTGCGGTTAATGAGCCATATTGGAAGATGATTTATATATTTGCATGTAAACAATCAACAGCGTGGTTGTATAAATTCTCTCTCCTTATCCCTTTGTTTTGTGATACTCGGGTCCCAGTAATGTGTATGCATTGATGCACGGGCTACAGCAATGGTGGTGGTCTTGCCGCGCTGTTATTGTCCACACGATACCAAGAGAAAGCGGGGGGAAGCAAGGGTCTAGTGAATGTATGGCATAGTACCGTTAAACTTGTTTTCAGGCACAAATGATTTTGTATGGAGATCAAGCACGAGGGCGGAAAGTCAAGGTGCTGTGGTACATTTCCTTGTTGTAGCATGTTGTATTTTTGGAGACATTCAATTTGACTTGTGCCACCACCTTATTTATTTGACTGGATTAAAAGAAGCGCGGTTTTCCCTGGATGCAATTGCCTGGAACCCGATCAACAAGCAGCACTCAACACACCTCTTTCCCACTTTCCGCTCGTTTTTCCTCCATCACCTCTCCCCCTTTTTCTTTGCTGCACGCTCTTTATCGATTCAACCATGCAATTGTCCAAAGCCTTCCTCTTGTCAGCCGTCCTTGTCCTTGCCCTTATCCAAACCGCTTATGCTAGTGTGTACTCGCAATTGCACTTTATGAAGGTCATCGAGCCCAAGGATGGTCAAGACATTAGAGCTGGTGAAAAGCTCAGAGTTAAATACTCCATGCAACCTCTTATTGATGGTAAATGTCATGATTTATTTATGTACTAGCATGCATTAATCCACTACTGCTAAAATAGAGCAAACCGCTATGGGCAGAGCATTGAAGTTGGATATCAACTTCCATCGCAGAACCGGTAACCAAAAGCAACAACAAATCGGTGCCATCCACAAGAGCTGGTGAGTGTGGTGTTGTATGCTGATCGTATCCAATGTACTCATCGATGGATTGCTGTAGCCCTGTCACTGCCAAGAACGACAAGTACGTTGTCCACACCAAGGAATGGACCATCCCCAAGAACACCAAGCCCGGATCTTACGCTGTTGACTTTGTCGAACTTGTCCAATTCAGACGCACTCAAATCACCGCCACCGAGACCATCAAGGTCAACGTTGTCGATTAGATAACCCAGCGATATCATCAATAACCAAATCCCCCAAACTTCCTCCGTTGTTGTAGTTGTTGTTGTTGTTATTGTGCTCTTCCACCTCTTTTGAAAAAAGGAGATACACGATCGCACATACACACATACACACACACACACATAAACACAATATCCCAACGTATAATACATACATTTCCATTGTACTTTTTTCCACCAAATCAAATAATCTGTTGCATTGCAATGCGTTCGAACCAATGAAAGTTGTATGTATATTGGACATTGTAACATTGGATTCATCTAGCGTAAACAAAACTCTTCATGTCGAGAGAGCTTTATATATCATGAATTGTTTGCGTGATGGTTGCATGATGGATGTGTGTTGTTGTTGTTGTAATACGTCTTCTTTTTAGGCATGTCCGGTAGCGAGTTTACTGGCTCTTGCTAGCCTCGAGCTTGGCGTAGAAAGCATCACGACGTTGGACTTGGGGAAGATGGTACAAGTTCCACCAACCGGCACCAGCGATGCCACCGAGAGTCAAAGCGATGGTGAGATCCTTCAAGAACAACTTGCGGAACTTGCCAGTAATGGGAGCAATCATGATTGTCAAAAGTGTAAGTGAGAGAGAGGGGAGAGACGAAAAAGAGCAAAACAAATTTACCTCGACCAGGGATGACGCGAACTTGATTCCTCCACAACTCCGCACCTTTGCTCCTGTTGTTGCTGTGTAATAGTCAATCATGAAGATGATGATGACTTCGAAGGATGATGATAGCAATGTGCGCATTGCATAGTGATCAAGGCAATGCGTTTATAATAAATGGCATGTCATTCATTGATTAAAAGTAAAAGAAACGGGCCCATGATGACTCTTTAATCCATAAAAAAAGGATGTCGTAGGAGATGATTATATGCTTTACACTTTAAAAGACATGGTTGAGATGAAACTACATGCTATTCTTTATAATTCAAATGGCTACTATTGGCGTCTAGGAATGTCCATATGCTATTTAAGATGGTGGGGGAACAAGATGTACTTGCTGTAGTAGGGTCAGCCTGCTATTCACAGTCACCTGATTGACAAAATAGGAGAGAGAGGTTGTCAATGGGGTAATCCTCCTCTTTTTGTTCCTAGGTAGAAATCACATCATCCATGCCATCGATTCATGCATCCATCGACTCACCTATCCATCCATCCATGATAGGTTCTTTAAAAGTCCTCGAACAGCATATCAATCAGCATGTCGAAGCGAGAATCCAAGGAATTGTACTTTGAAAAGGCAAGTAGCTATACGAGACAATACATGGTAATACATGGCATGCATGCTAACATGGCCTCGTTTTCTTCATCAATAATAGCTCAAGAACTATCTTGATAGCTACAAGACCGTCTTCGTTGTCAACGTTGACAATGTCGGCTCCAACCAAATGCACCAAATTCGTCACTCTCTTCGTGGTGAAGCTGTTGTCCTTATGGGTAAGAACACCATGGTCCGCCGTGCTATGAAGGGCTTCATCCAAGAGCGTCCTGAACTTGAGAAGCTTCTTGTTCACGTCCGTGGCAACGTTGGTTTCGTCTTCACCAATGGCGACTTGAAGGAAATCCGTGAAAAGATTCTTGAGAACCGTGTTGCTGCTCCTGCTCGTGCTGGTGCTTATGCTCCCAAGGATGTCTTCGTTCCTGCTGGTAACACTGGTATGGAACCCGGCAAGACCTCTTTCTTCCAAGCTCTTGGTATCCCTACCAAGATTTCTCGTGGTACCATTGAAATCGTTAGCGATGTCAAGGTCGTCACTGCTGGTGAACGTGTTGGTGCTTCCGAAGCCTCTTTGCTTAACATGTTGAACATCTCTCCCTTCACCTATGGTATGAGCATCACTCAAGTCTTCGATGATGGCACCGTCTTCTCTCCCGAAGTCTTGGATGTTGAGGAATCCACCCTTGTTGCCAACTTGGTTGCTGTTCTCCGTGATGTTGCTTCCATCTCTTTGGCTGTTGGTTACCCCACTGCTGCCGCTGTTCCCCACTCCATCATCAACGGCTACAAGAACTTGCTCGCCGTCTCCGTTGCTTCCGACTACACTTTCGAAGGCTCTGAGAAGATTAAGGAATTCTTGGAGAACCCCGATGCCTTCGTTGTTGCTGCCGCTCCCGCTGCTGGTGGTGAAGAGAAGAAGGAAGAAGCTAAGGAAGAAGAGCCTGAGGAATCTGATGAGGATATGGGCTTCGGTCTTTTCGATTAAACTCGTTAATTACTCTTGGTTTCCCATCATCACGTAATAAAAGCCATTGGATTGGTTTTGTACAAAGTATTATAATTGCTCTGTTGTTATGGAAGGATAGGGGATATTTACGATTACATGATTACATTAGAGGAGTGGCTATAAACAAAGACCAGTGTTCATGTCAAGATAGCTACATTCAATCAACATGTTAATCGCGTGAATGATCACCTCGTATAGACAAATCTACTCACCTTAAATGATCAATGACACTGGTGAAAGGAACAATGGAGTTGCTGCAATCATCAGTCTCAATGCCATTTGGACATACGCCTATTCAATGTATCATGCAATGAGTATTCCACATGCAGCGTTTCCTAGCAACACTAGTACTTACGCAACGAGCTGTCTTTCATAATCCAAAACTCTTCGCCGGCGTGAAGGAAACCAAAAGCACCAGGTGGAAGATGAGGTACGACTATACATACATACATTAGTAGGCGTCAGGGTGTAGACATGTCGTCGCAAGGTACTTACTGTCACGCTCATTGACAAGACGTTGGTATGGAATCTTGGTGCCAATCACGTACTTTGCAAATGCTGGTGTACCTACACGAGGTTGCCCTTGCGTATAGATTTCAATGTTGTGGTGGCCATGGTGATAAAGGTCAAGGGCACAAAGAACGGCTGTTGCACCACCCAACGAATGCCTACAATGACACACAATTAGTCACGTGCCATCCATGTTCTGTTTTCAAGTGTTTACCCAGTGACGACGATCTTGTATCCTGGATGATTATCAAGCTGTTTCTTGACCTCGGCTACAAGTTGATCTTGAACCTCGTTATAGCTATCAAGGAATCCTATGTAATAAACGACCATCATGTTGAGCATTGATTTAATGACATGGCACGTGATTAGCACCTACATACCTTTGTGTACTTTGGCTCCGTCAACAGGTGGATAATCCACTGGTACAAAGACAATATCCTTTGAAAAAGACGCAATGAATACGATGATGAGTAAAGGTTGACGAGCCAAGCATCATGCTTGTTGTAGGGGTTAACTTACTGCAATGGCGTTGCGAATTGAGTTTGTACCACGAAAAGCAATATAGATGGTCTTCTCCTTTTTGCCAACAGCAACCATGACGTTTGTATCAGTGATTAGCGTGCTAAAAGTCTTGGTGATCTCCAAGTTTGATGTGACATCGCAGTGAGGGCAACTCCAACGACCACCAGGGATCACATTTCTGCAATAGGCATTGGCTGACAACGCTGTGTAAAATGTATGTGTCTTGATCTCACTCTCGCTTGCCGTACGATAATCTTGTTTGGATGATGAGAGCGCTGATACGCTGTTTTCTTCGGGATACATGGTACAATTTTCACAATAGCCTTGGATGACGCTTACACCTTCAGGCAAAGGACCATTCATTTTCAGAGGGTATTGTTCAGGGACATAGCTCTTGTCGCGTGCATCAATTTGCACCGGCACACCCGATACACCATACGTGCAGATGGATACAACGAGTAATGATACTACTGAATAAAAACGCATCGTTTGTCAAGAACACAGCAGCTTTTGCCGACATGGATTAGAGCTACCTTTTTATAGAGGTAGGAACGAATGATGGTGATCGGTCCCTTTTTCACATCAGCTTCCGCTTTGCCCCCAACTCTCTCGCTCTCGCCCTCAAGATATCTCAACATCCCGTTCTCGCGAACCAACGAGAGTCATTATCTTCAAAAGTGGGTGTAACAAAGGAAAAATAAAGATCTCTCTTGTGCGTGGGGAAAATGCAGGATATGCACCACGCTCATGCTAATGTGCATAGTAATTGCTCTTTTTTGGTCAATGGTTTACTATTCATTGCTGCTCCACATTGTTGTCTGACATAATCTGTGATACATCAAACGTGCATGCATCACGAAGCACGATTAAGTAATGAAGGAAATATAAACATTCCATTGACAATGGCCAAGTGAAACCATGCTATGAATCCTGGGGTCGGTATAACCACTATATAGGAAAGCGTGCCTATATTAGAATTCAGGTACCAGCAAGAAATTATGGATCGTGCAACAACGAGATCACAGGGATTCACAAGTACGACAGCGACCGATCGACATGTGAAATTAATATGGCTGTCATGGAAACCAAGGAATGTTGCCACACAGGCGTTGTTACTATTCATGCTTCTTTCACATCAAAAATCCTAGTCTTACATTGTTCATCATGCGCATACACGATGCAATACCCGGATTGGTAAAAGAGTAATTTACGTGATGAGAACAACAACAGCAGTGGATAATATTAGACAACGTGTTGTTGTATACATAGCGTAGTTGCATGATCCTTAACTTTGGGTGATTGAGACGGGGAATGTAACGCGCAGCAACAATATGCACTATACAAAGCGGAGATGATCCCATTCTTACTCAAAGAAGTGCCTCCGCACGTTTTTCGTAGAGTTTGCTGTACTTTATTCTTCGTCGTTCCCAAATCTATACATAAGCTCAAGCGAAAACGATTATCCCCTTATAGCTGTGATCTGATTTTGTTACTATTATTGACCAGCAGTCAAATTGCTCGCATCTATGATGAAGGATGTATACATCAATCCATCGGGAAGTCTTTCGAGACGCCCCAACATGTATCATCATACATCTCCAGAGAGGATAAAAGTGGCGAACATTACACCCGCGGTAGAATGAGCTTTATTGGGTAATAAACCAAACCATTGTCTAATGATCTATGCAGCACAAAGCACAAAACACAAAGAATCCATCTGCTTTATTAGCTTTGCTTTTGAATTATCCCGCATTCATGTGTACAATGCGGGGGGAAGAGCTGCCACGAATGGAGCAACGTGCTGGTTTGTACTACACACATCTAGTGGCTGTAGATTGTCCTTTTTGATCTAGCGATTATGCAAAGTACAGGTGCATGAAAACAAAGAAATGAGTTGGATCACATTTTGCTATAGACGATTCCTTTTATTTACATGTGCCTATTATCTATTATGATGACGATGGTGTGAAGTGAATGGGCTCATGGTAATCCTAGCGAGGGATTTAACTTGGCGCTCAGTGTAGATGGCTCACTGGAGATATTGAATTTGGGGACCGCAATTTCACGACTTGATACAAACGCTTCATCCTCCTTTCCTCTTATCCCCTTCACGACATCTCCATCAAGGTAATGCTCTTGTTGATTGTGAGGTTTTATTATAGCTCTGATATGTATTCATAGGCAGGTGATTGTAGCCATGGTGATATCGTCGCTCTTCTTGTTCGTCGTTATGCCGCACCTCCACGCTTGGTGCAACAGGTACATTCAAAGTCCCAATGTAGCAGAAGAGCTTGTTCTATTGACGTGTTTCTCGTATAGACAACGAGGCTGATCTCAAAGACGTTGGCTGGTTTGGCGTTTTGTTTCGGCTCAACTATACTACACCATGGTTTTCGGTTTCCAGTAACCAACAACAACGGGTCTTTGTGTATATGGAAAAGGCAAGTACAATGAAACAAACAATGAAAAGAGATGTTTTATTGTGTGTGTGCTAATAATGAATTGAATAGGTTTCTTTGGTCAGGCAATGCAACTTGGGGCATCATCATCATCTCTTTGGGTTCAAGTCCCAGCCTGTATCAAGTGGTCGCTGCGTCGCTCTGCACTAGCCAAGTGTGCTGGAAAAGCTTCTTGGAACGCGTCCAGGGCTCTATAGGCCTGCGTTTGAGTTGATGGGTCGATGACGATGGGTTGTTGGAAGAGCATGGTCACCGTGTTGAGGTAAAAGGGGATTTGCAACAGCTTGTGAATGTGTTGACATCAGTGCAAACCAACACCCACTTCTCGTGATAGGCTCGTTCTTTCCCTTGAGGATTTCGTTTCATGAGGTGGGAAATGATTGGGAGGATTGGATTGGGGATCATTCTTTCTTTGGGGAGGAGGAATGAGGACAACTATGAGCCTGGACTCTACGTAAGCGATGTCCTTCCTTGCCATGGATCGAACTGGCCTTGCATGATTCGTGCAGTGCCTTCTCAAGAACAAGGGATCGCCCAACGTTGCTCGTATGGTGGTGATTTGGTTTGTGAATTCCTTCTGATTTGCTTTCATCCTTAGAGAGGATCGCCTAGCGGTATACCCAATCGTCATCATTCCCGGTATCAGATGGTCTAACTTGCCTGCTTTCTTATTTATAGAGACGACAATTACGATGACAACGACATTCACAACGATGACGATTACGATGATAACGACACCGAGATCCAAAAGGAAGCCTGCAGGATCCCATTCTCTTCAACTTGTGTGATTTTGGCATTTGCGACGAGGAGATTGACGCCTGCTGACGAGTACGAGTACGAGTACGAATGATGATGGACGACGACTACGAGGATGGTGGTAGCAATGTAGCAAAATAGCTAGATGAAATAAAGCATTGTTTATTTATTACACGCTTGGACTTTGCTAGCTTGTGGATTACATACTATTGCTTCGAAGATGGAATAATAAAGGTGGTCATGCAAGAAGTATATGGCTTTCATGATACAATAAGGAGGAGTGGGAATTGGGATGACCTTGAGAAAAGAAAAAAGTGACGTGATCCCTGCATTGAGTTACAGGATGAGTGATCGATCAAATATGTATACGTATCTTTTTACATACACAAATTGATTTGTGCAGCTCGACCTTCTCCTACATGCAAATGTGGTATACACATACCTTGAAACACCTTCATGGTTGGATGCTGTTTACTTACGTACCTTCACAAAAGGCAATCATCATCATCATCCATTTGTGCAGCAACCTGTCAAGGACGTATTTGTGTAACCATCGCGTGGCATTTCACTCAGCTCTTCATCTTTCCGTTAATGCAGCCGACACCATCCACCAGGAGAAAGCAACTCCACCACGCTTACAGCTATGCAAAACATAAAGGTGCCTGTATCTCTAAACTTTACAATCAAACGTGGGTTCTTTACGAGGACAAACCTGCTCGGCTTGGCCAACTGCACCTTGGGTGCAAGTTTCACGATCAAGCTTGCCAATCCCAGATTTCGCAATGTCACCACCAGCCAAACTGGATCTGGGGGTCGACCTCTTCGACGACGACGACCAAAAAATATTTTTTGGGCTAGTTGCGACATTGAATGCGAAACTTTTACACAAGGTGCTGTTGACCAAGCCGAGCCCATTGCTCTAATAAAAACCCCACGTTTCATTGTAAAGTTTGGAGATACAGGCACCTTTATGTTTGTAAGCGTGATGCTATATGACAAGTGGTCTTTGTTCATTGTGAAGTAGCTGGACCCTGGAAGAGCAAAAGATGGAGAGGGACGTGTTTGTGTAACATTACTATCTTGCATGACTAGAAGGATTGATGGATTATACTTTATGGCTATCAACAATAGTCCATATATTACGCGCTATCAGCCATTTCCTCACAATCAGCGTTGTTGCAAAATCCACTGCATGTGAATGATTCTCCTGCTCCAGCCGAGCATTCCTATCATTTAAGTTTCTTGATCCGAGCCGATTTGGCTGAGCTACGCCCAAACAGTGAATCTATAAATTCTTGAAAGACAGACCCTGCGAATGTCTCCGTCTTTCAAACTTTTGGACGCTCTCGTTCCAAATTTTCAAATGAAGCGTGAGGTTTTTATTTGAGAAAAGTGGATCAGCATGCTCGGAGCACCATCCTGACCAATTTGCAAGTTGGAAGTGGGCAACTTCGGGGCGGTAGGCCGTTCACTCTTTTGTTCCCGGCATCCACCATTTGGGCCGCCCCGCATTTTAGATCTTCACCATGAAGTCTGCGGCTTTAAATGAATGATGTTGGTCAGCATGTCCAAGAGCACATTGCGTGAAAGTTTCAGGTTCGAGAGGGGCAATCACAATCTATCAAGGATTGGATGTACAGTGTTCATGCATTTATACAAGAGGTATCCGACCAATTTAATTCCACTTGTTCCAATCCCAGCCTCTTCACTCTTCCTCCCATTCGCAACTGTTGGCCCCATTCAAGTATACAACTACCACCTGCAAACGATTGTCTTGCTTCAACCCATCATGTCAATCCTACACTTGTCTTGATCCGATTGTCTTTGGCTGAATGGCAAGTCCATGGCGTGTGCACCTCACTAAAACACACGAGTCTCTTGACACAACACACGCTTTTGTACTCTCATCTACCACGACCAAACGTAACAGCATTCATTCCAGCAGTTGCTATTCGCTCCATTGTCTCAAACAGCGTTCACAACTTTCTCATTCTACTACAACACACGCTCTTGCACGCTCCTCTGCCACAACCAAACGTAACAGCAGTTGCTATTAACAAGGTGTTTACTCCATTGTCTCATGTTACTTGCGGCCTTTCTACGTATACAGCATATAGCCATCATATAGAAGCAGCTTTATTTACGTGTAACAATTTCCTTCAATACATACACCTTCTTATGGATATGAATCTGGTTATTGGTTTGATGCATGGGATGGAAGGATTTGGGTATATTGACAAGGTTGGTTCCCATCGCCACGTGATGTCTAGTTTGGATGATACCACGTCAACCTTCGACTACTGCACCGCAATGCAAGCAATCTTCACCTTGTTGAGCTGCGAAAGAAATAGAGCAAGCACGTGAGTAATCATCACACGAATGGAAAAGGAAGCATATCAGCAGCAATCACAGGGGGTGCTTTCTTTCAACTTCTTGGGTTTGCAATGGTTATGGATAGAGGAATGCAATGATGGGGAAGCCTGGAGCGTTGCTATGGTTACGCGTTGTCAGCAAGGAGGATGGATCACGTAAATACGGCTGAGGATGCTGATGGATGGGACGGCATTGACGAAAGGTGTTTATTGTACAGCCATGGATCAATTGAAGTACTCGTGTCAATGCATGCAGCAGCTACTTTACAATCATGGATCAAGGATGTTTATGACCGCAGCAACCAAATACAGTGACACAATGACACCCGGTGACTCTTTGTGATCCCTCCGTACGTATTCACAACTTGCAATACTACTCCTTCATCATATTCACTTGATACACGTCCACACTATCATATCGTATTCATCGACCATTTCATTGAATGAAGATTGGATTCAGCATCATATTTGGGGCATCGCACTATCAGCTCATATGTGCATGGTCATGCAGTTGGTTTCGGGAAAGGTGAGGGGATTTATCAGTGTTGATTTTCCATCACTTCGGCTCATGCTCCAAGATGTTCGACCCATCATGACAACGATTCCCCTGCCCAATCGCTATAAACAAGACTGTTGTCACCAACACTATCATACGCCCTTTCTTTCTACTTGTATTCATATCATCATCAATGGCCTTTGGTAAGTCTCAAGGAGATACATATTAGTCATTTATGTGATTCCCAAAAATGAGGATACTCATGCATTCATCTATGATGCAGCAAGTAATTTTCTTATTGGTGCTCGTGTGACATATGAAAGTGGACTTTAATATTTATAAAGGACGTCGAGTATACTAGAAAAGCGATGTTAAATAAAACGGTGGTGCTTGGGACCTGGTAGTAAACAACGTTATTGCTGTTGGATCATATGCTGTAAAATGATCAGCAGTAATGAAACCATTATATTTACTGTTGTGTTTGCTTTTGAGTTCTACTATAATATATACATATGGTTCTAGGGAAAGAGGAAGAAAACGAGATGCATCATGGTTGTTTGGGTAATAGGGTGATTGTTTGTGGTGTGAGGAGATGAAGGGATTTTACCAAGAGTCGATCTTCATGGTACCATTCTCCATCAAGTTGGTATGCATCTTGAAGGCCTTGTCAAGCATGTGAGGTTGGTGACCACGGCCAGCTGCAAGGCAGCGCTTAGTGGCAAAGTCAAAGTAGTCCTTGAGGAGAGGTTTGTAATCAGGATGAGCGCACTTGTCAATGATAACTTGGGCACGATCACGAGGGCAAAGACCGCGCAAATCGGCCAGGCCTTGTTCAGTGACAATGATATCCAAGTCGTGTTCGGTTTGGTCAACGTGGGTAGCGAAGGGCACAATGCAAGAGATACCAGTAGGATCCTTCTTGGAAGGACGAGCGGAAGGTGTATGCATGATTGACAACTTGGAGTTTCTCAAAAAGTCGGCTGAACCACCCAAGCCATTCAACATACCGGAACCGCACACCATTGTCGAATTGGCATGTGCATAAATGTCCACTTCAACGGGGGTGTTCATGGCAATACAACCAAGGCGACGAATGATTTCGGGTGAATTGGATACTTGCTGAGAACGCAACAAGAGACGATCCTTGTACTTTTCCCAGTTGTTGTAGAAGCGATCAAATCCTTCAGGCGAGAAACGAATGGATGTGGCACTTGCAAACTTGAGCTTGTCCGAGTCAAAGAATTCAAGGAAAGTATCCTGCAACACTTCTGTAAAGCTATTTTATATATTGTAAGCATATGTAACATGGGAATGGAGCATGATGGTACGTACACAGTGACATCCTTGAAAGGAGACTTGGCCAATCCACCAATGACAGCATTGGCAATGTTACCAATGCCCGATTGCAAGGGAAGCAAGTTATCAGGAAGACGACCCATCTTGACCTCATGGCTCAAAAAGTCGATCAAGTGACCAGCAATGGCTTCAGAGTTGGCATCAGCAGGGGTGTTGGGACCAGTGTTATCAGGGCGATCACTTTCGATAATGGCGACAATCTTGTCTTGATCGATGGGAATAGCCGTCTGTGCGACAATCAAAACGTGGTCAATTGGTATGTTTCACAAGATAAGGTTGGCGTCTCATGTACTTACCGAACCGATTCTATCTTCAACGCTCATGATCAAGTAAGGCTTACGGTTTGGTGGCTTGCTGCCCATGGTCAAGTCATGGAGACCTTCGAAGGATGGAATACGAGTGTTGACTTCAATAATGACCTTATCAGCCATTTGGAGCAATTCAGGGGTGGCACCAACAGAGGCACCAGGCACAATGGCACCATCTTCAGTAATGGCAGTAGCTTCAACAATGACCACGTCAAGCTTGTTGTTGGGTTTATCCTTGGTATAGTAACCTATTTCCATTCATGTCAGCCCCATTGTCTTTATCTTATAATGGTTTTCCTTTCATTACCATAGAGCAAATCCTGGGGGAACATGGACAAGTGCTTATCGGCGAAACGAATACGGCCTTCATTGATACCCTTCTTGATGTTCTTGCCAACTTGATGAGGATAGCGACGATCAATCATGTCAAGGGTAGCCCAACGGTCCTCAGTTTCAGCACCAGTGGAGGCACCAACGAAAAGGTTGAATTTCATCTTGCCTTGAAGGTTGTTCTTTTCAACATGATCGGCGAGGGCAGTGGGAATCATCTTGGGGTAACCAACACCAGTAAAGCCGGACCAGCCGAGGTACCTATGCATCTTTTGTCAACAAAACTTTGTGGATATAAACAAACATGCAACAACATACTGGCCGTTTTGGAAAAGGGGAAGAGTCTCTTCAGCCTTCACCACCTTGTTGAGCAATTGGGGGCGACGAACACGAGACTTAAGAGCAGCACTGACAGATGCCATTATGATTGTATTAAGAGAAGGAAAAGGGTGATAAATAAAAAGAATCTACGATTGAAAAGATGATGGAAGGGTGGAATGGGTTTATATAGATCAATTGCAAACAAAAGCGGAGCCACATTTACGTAGTCTTAGAAACGGAAGCATCATTTAAACGTATATCCGGCATCATGTTTGTGGGTTGTAGATTCAGGTCCACACCTCTGTTCCTCAATAAATCGCTTGTTTCGCACATATACAACCATGGGAGTTCCTTTAAATGCTTTAGCGATTGTATCGCTTAATCATAATCAAACATGACATTCCTGATGATCATTCTACTGTTTGCCAATTTGAGAAATGGCATTCAAGCTAGGAGGCATCCATGCATTATGACGTGATACGACGCATATCTTCTTTCACCGAACCTATTTGGTGTCTTCAAAATGCATCATTTTTATCATTTACCCCATGGGGTTTGTATAATGAGCTCCAAATGAAACAAGGCTCGATGGTGAAGAAGACTAACTATTATGCCGGCTAAAACTTGAGGAGGCGGAGTTGGTTTCACTGACATTTTTGGCAGGCGGACGCACTTGCATGGAAAACCGAACAAGCGATGGCGGTGCCAAAACGTACAGCCGAAGTTGTGCTGGTACTGTCTCAATCCCGGGTTAATTAAGGGCAAACGTAACAAGACCCCAGCCCTAAAGGATAAATAAATAGGGTCGTCAATTGTCACTTATGTATGCGTAATGCATGTTTGAAGAAGCCATATTGCACTCAAACCCATATTAGATCTATATGCATAAGATCAAGAATGGGCTTGTTTTTACTGAAGCTCCTTTAAAAAAGCCCACTTGGTGCCTCTATTTATAATGTTGATGAATGTTGTTGGATCCAACCAACTTAAATTGGGATCGACCCAGTAATTGGGGATAAGTGATGTTATGGTCAACGATGCTGTCATAGCACATGATGATGGTAGTAAAAGATCGCTGGATATCCTATATATAGAGAGTGCATATGGCATCTTGATGATATGTCATAGTTGTTACTATTGCCCTTACCCCGCATTCCAAATTTGGGATGTTGTGTTTGAAGTCAGCCTCTAATGCCGCTGCACGAGACGTGGTCCGTGACCCCTTTGAGTGGTTTCCCGGTCAACCCAACCTGGTAAAAGTAGTTGTGATGGGAAGCAATAACGATAGTAAATGATCAAATGTAATGTAATGGAAACAACAAAGGGTTTATTGATAAACATTGACAGTGCCTGAAAGTGATTCATGTTGTGAGATAGGGTCATCATCAATCAATCATGTGATGGGGGGATCGAAGGGAAACATGCAATGTCACCCGTCTACTGCGAGTACTGGGTCACCAAGATAACGAGATATGAGAGTAAAAAGGGTTGATTTGTTATAGCGACATGCTTTTCTTCTTGTACCGATGATGGTTACTCAAAGACAGCAACGGAAGCGTGTTTATGGGACCCGCTCCACCACAGCTGTAAACGCTTCCCATTTCGAGCAGTATTGTTTTGATGAACACATACAATCATCCACCACCACCGCACTTTTGGTTCCTTCTCTTCCACCCTTTCATTATCGTTTATGGCATCCAATGTCCAACCCTATCGCAGACAACCTCGACTACTTTACTCAACAGCAGGAAACCAGTGCCTCGTCAAATAAACCGTTTAATCAACATGAATATCATCTTTCGTTGAGACACCACCACCATACTCGATTGCAACAAGGCGATTCCATTTCTTCTCCCTCTTCTCCCAATGAAGCAATGCAAGATTACTCGCCATTCGCATTCCGTCGACCCGATCCCTCGTTATGGCATTCGTTCGTACGTCGCATGTCTGGTGTGGTTCCTTTTCCTTCCACTATGCCTGAGCAAGACGACGATGATGATAACATAGCACCAGCACCCTATTCAGAATACACATCCCCATTTGGCACAGCAGCACAATATCGACCACCACCCATGCTAGGAGAGGATGATAACCTGCCATCCATGGAAGAGGTTGTCAACGAAGGGATTCGTGCAGCAACATCGGCAGAACTCAAAGAGAACTACTTTGAACACCCTTTCGAGTCTGATACAAGTGCCCCTGGATCAGCAGAACTTCCGCCTACAGCACCATGGGACACTCGACCTATCAATGAAGGAGTCGCTGATGCATTCGAAAAGTACGATGAAGGCAAGCTTTTTTATTATGAAGATGGTGGATTGTGACAAGAGGCAGCTGATTAATCCATGACATACACATAACAGAATTGCTTACCAATTGGAAGCATACACCATCTGTAAGTATTGGATATGGATGATATGGCAGGAGGAGGATGAAACTCATAATGGCCCCCGTTTCATACTTGGAAAATCGCATCTAGCATGAGAATCTGGCACAACATCTCAAGGTAAAGGAGAACAGAGTGGGCTATTGTGATAGAGCATTGTACTCATTTCCTTTGATCACGTGAACATAGATATCGCTCAAGGAACCTGATTTGGATCCAAAGAAGGAGGCTGATAAGGAATCGGACAAGGACAGACGCAGTATGCATCGCATTGACCTGCAATATGGTGAAATCAAGTGGACAGTGGTGCGCTCCAATGTGGATTTCTATTACCTTGATATGCGAATTGGCATGTCCAACAAGTTTCGAGGCGGCTCATTTGGCAATAGTCAAGATGTACGACCCCCTTTCCCAGCTGGTGTACGTGTGGTGGCTAATCGTACATTGGCATCGATGATGCTCAAGGAAAACGACAAAGAAGAGGAGCTACTCAAACGTAGAAGCGAGCTTGAGCAATATCTACGCGAATTAGTACGGCGATCCAAGGCGGAATTTCATCATGAGCTATCCGAGTTCCTCGAGATCAGTGATATCAGCATTGTCAGGGATATGGGATGGAAAGGAAAAGAAGGCTTTTTTGAGTATCGAGAGGTGCCCACTTCGGCCCTGGTGCATAAGATTCGGCGTACCAATTGGACAAAGCAATGGATTATCATACGAGACTCGTAAGCTTTTTTCGGTGACAAGGATCTTGAAAGCATGTAAACTAAACCATTCATGTATTAGATACATTGCCTTTTGCAAGGATGTCCATTCAAGGGTGCCCACTGATGTACTCTTTTTTGATACGGCGCTCAAAGTCAATCAGGATTTTGGATTTGCACGCATCCACAATTATCACGTGAGCTTATCCAATGCCACACGTCGTCTTGAATTCAAAGGAAAGGCAGCCGAGGGATTATACGAAAGCTTGAAAAAGGTTCGAAGTGAAAGCCCGTGGGTATCAGGACATCGATACAAATCATTTGCACCCATGCGGCTTAACGTCAAGGCGAGGTGGTTCGTGGATGGCCATGGTATGTCTTTATGGCATTTTCGTTTCAAGACACTCATTGAATTACCTTCTTGTAGAATACTTTGAAGCTGTCGCTGATGCAATATTGTCCGCCAAATCAGAGATATACATTGAGGATTGGTGGTTGGTAAGGATAACCTTGCATGTGATTATTACAGCTACGCATATCTAATCTGCCCTACATTATTATGCTTCTCCAAAACAAGACCCCACAATTGGTACGTTCAAAGATGTATGATCGGTGATGATGGATTGACATTTGATGTACCCTGTAGTACTTACGGCGACCTCCCAAAGGGAACGAAGAATATCGAATCGATCGAATACTCAAGAGAAAGGCTGAATTGGATGGCGTCAAAATCTACATTGTTATATACCGAAGCATGGCAGTAGCATTACCACTCGATTCCCAACACACGAAGAATTGGATGCAAAACGTCCACCCAAACATCATTGGTAAGCTAGCCATAACATCAGCTGGTAGAGTTACATCACTCAAACCTTCTTTCTATTAGTATTGCGACATTCGAATATAGCAACATCACCATTTTGGGCACATCATGAGGTATGATAGTGAGTCCTAGTATACATCTATTAGCTGTCTAACTTGCACATCATATAGAAAATTCTTGTCATTGATAGCCGACTTGCATTTATTGGCGGGCTTGATCTTTGTTTTGGGTAATGTGCTCATGTACACGTTGATGGTCTCTTCTCACACCTTGATATTTAGTCGCTACGACACGCATTCACATGACCTCACTGACTATCTTGCTGGAGACGAACGCAACCCTGAAATCTTTCCTGGCCAAGACTATTCCAATCCTCGAGTAAAGGATTTCACCAAAGGTAAAAGCGAATCAAGTGGATCGTTGGGAAAAAGATTTATTGATAGGATATCTAGTGAGCCGTTATGATATGGAAACCATCGATAAACGTTTGACACCAAGAATGCCATGGCATGATATACATGTGGGGATGGTAAGTGGTTTACTGTAAAAGAGGGAGTTGAATGCTAGCATCGTTATTCATGCTTATCTACCTAGGTTGGTCAACCAGCCAGGGACATTGCACGGCATTTTATCCAGCGATGGAACTTTATAAAGTCAACAACTCGAGCTCGAGATCGTGCGGAAGTGCCTTACCTGATGCCAAAGGGTGAATATGTGTCATCTCGAGATGAGAAAAAGTTCCGAGGCACTTGTCGGGTTCAAATTGTGCGCAGCAGTGCTGAATGGAGTTTAGGGATTCCACGTGAAGTAAGTATTCTTTGGTGTGTACGATACAAGCGTTGTGTATAGCCCACTTACTTGGCATTTCGTATTAGCATTCCATCTACACCGCCTACATGGAGTGTATCTCAAAGGCCAAACATTTTATATACATTGAGAACCAATTCTTCAGTGAGTACTATTTTGTATTTGCCAATGATTTCTATGCTAACAGACATCTTCTGGTAGTTACTGCTACTGATTCAGAGGACAAGCAAATTAAAAACATGATTGGCGAGGTATGATTGGAAAAAGTGAGGATGAGGTTTGGATGCCAATTGTTTTCATGATAGGCGTTGGTGAATCGGATTGAACGTGCATACCGAGAAAAGGAGAAGTTTCGAGTGATTGTGGTGATACCATCAGCCCCTGGATTTGAAGGTGATTTTGCAAGTCCTGACAGGCGATCCATGGCTTTGAGGTAACCCATTTAAAGTTAGCGTGCATTATACAAGAGCCAAGCATGCTAAAGAAAAACAACCTTGTTGTGCATTATCTAGGTCGGTCGCTCACTACCAGTACATGTCGATTTCACGAGGTAGCCGATCCGTGCTTGGCAGATTACACCAAAAGAATATCCCAGCAGAAGAGTACATCGGCTTTTACAGCTTGCGCAACTGGGGTCGTATCAAACAACCTGAACAAAGTCCCCCTGGCAGTAATATCAAAGACGACTCTCCTTTGGGTTCCATTGCTACGGTTGTAGGGGGTGAAAGCAGCAATAACAACAACAACATTGGAGGAGGAGGAGGAGGAGGTTTTCTTGGAAGATCCAATAGTGGCAAACAAAATCGCAAAAGATCACGGCATAAGAATGGCACCAATGGTGGATCCGAAGAGCAGGTGCGACGTAGCCGACAAGACTCTCTCAAAAATCGTAGCCAGTATCCAGATGACCGAATGGATTATGTCACTGAACAAGTCTACATACATTCCAAGCTTATGATTGTGGATGACAAGACCGTTATTTGTGGATCGGGTATGTGATGATATACATTTGCGCTTGCATGAATCCACAGCAATAGATTACTAACAAGGTCATGTGTTGATCTCTTCCCCCTATTTTGCTAGCCAACATCAATGACCGGTAAGTACAATGAAAACAATGACTTTATAATGAATGGAAACCCCTCATTATCAAATAAGCTCTCAATTAGGCAATCGTGATTCTGAGATAGCCACTGTCATTGAAGATACGGACCTTGTACCATCGCGGATGAACGGGGTACCAGTAAGTGTTGTTGCAAGGTTCATGGTAATTTATTTCAAGCAACTCAATTATGGTACTTTGCATTTAGTATAAGGCATCAAGGTTTGCATTAACGCTACGAATGAACCTATTCAAGGAGCATCTTGGTATAGATGACAATAGTGCATCCGTGCAGCTATCCAAAGAAGAGCAATGGAAGATCAACTTGGTCATGGATCCCTTGGATGATACCTTTTTCCATGAGGTGTGGAATAGGACAGCAAAGGAGAACACCGATATATATCACCATATCTTTCGCTGTGTGCCGGATGATACAGGTAGGTAATTGATAATGGCAGCGGATGTTTTTCCTAGAGCTGAGTATGATCATTTTCTGTTAATAGTGCCCACGTTTGAAGTGCATCGACGTTTTGTACCCGATCCCAATCGTATACCAGCAGGACATATTGCTGATCCGGCAAATTGGCCAGAGAAAAGGATATTGGATGAATTGAACAAGATTAGAGGTCATTTGGTGACATTCCCTACCGAATACCTGTGTCGTGACAATATGCTTGCCAGTATTGTACAAGAAGCCGTTCCTCCTGCAGTGTTTACTTAGAGATGTAAATATGAATGATTAAAGAGCAGCTACGTGTGATATCCATGATGCATGCAAGGAAAAACAAGAATGATAATGGTGATGGTGGATGATGGTGGGTGTCTACCCAAATTAGAATGGAGACCAATTTTAGCTATTTCTTTGTCTTGCTTGCTTGCATATCCTTTCCTTTTTCTCTTTTTCCTTTTCTTTTGCATTTAATTAAGTGGATTCAAGGTGTGTGTGTGATCGTGTGGTTTAAGATGAGCGTATATATATAACTCATGATTGCACAGGGGCTTTACCAATTCGAGACCGTTGTTCAAGTACTGAGCAGTCAGCAGCAGCCGCATTAAGGTTTCATCTTTTCAACGACCTGTCAATCCTCTTTCTCCCTTTCTCTCGCAACGACTTCCACCAACATGACACGAATGGGCGCTTTGGCATTGCGTTCATTGCCAGCCCTGTTGGGTAATGGCATCCATCGAGGTGTCATGGTGTCTATACGCAATCCAATTGAAATGGTGGTCGCTATTCTTTTATTGGCGTCATTCAGCTACTTCACACTCTACAACCTTGCTCGCACTTTTGATATCCTTTCCGGCACCAGCAATACCCGGCGACGCTTATTATACCCGGCTACAATTGTGTATCCAGCATCATCATCAAGGGCATTGAATCATAGCAACGACTCGCTTGAAAACGCGCTTCGAATCCACCTTATACAAATTGCCGTATCTGATCCATCACACAATTCAACGACCATGGCCGATTTGAACCATGCCATTATGCATCAAGTTACAGTACCAGATGACAGCCATGCAACGCGACTCCAATTCTCGTACTCCCAAGATTTGTGTTACCAGCCATCTGGCAGCAACGGTTGCTCCGAACTCTCAGCATTAACAACAACTACAAAGCGGGACAATGACGATGACACCATGGTGACACTGTGGTATGCCCTTGATGGAACTAGCTTGTTTCGTCGCGACCTTGTTCGACAATGGACGCACAAGATTCAACAATTGCCACCCATTGGTAACCTTGTGTCTCAACAAAGCCAGGAGAAAAAAGAGAATGTCTTGGCTTGGGCCTTTATTATTACCCGAAACGTGGTGCTTCGTATCAACGAGCTTATTGAGGTAGGTGTTTATTTGTTCATGGAGTCTTTTAAATCCCTTTTTACTACACGTAATGACTAAATCGATCATATTAGATGGCCGATAATGTCGATATTATGGTGATACTTGTAGGGTATCTTATGATGGTATTCACCTTTGGATCATTGTATATCAACATGCGGAGAATGGGATCACGGTACACGCTAGGTAACACGATCTTGATGTCCCTTTTTACTCCTTCTCTTGGTGATACTCAAACTTTCTTTTCTGTACAGCCACCGCTGTCATTGCCAATGGCCTCTTTGCATTCATGCTTGCCCTCCTGTCGGTTCATGTATTAGATGTAGAACCTTCTCCTGTTGTCTTGGCGTAAGTCTCTTTGTGAAACTACAAACTCCATCCATCAACAACTAACTAGTTTTTCTTACACAGCGAAGCAGTTCCATTTCTAGTGGTGACCATTGGATTTGAACGGCCCTACAAGCTTACCAAGCGTGTTATGGAATTCAGCAGAGAAAAGCCCTTGACAAGACAAGATGTACAGCACACCATTCTCCGAGCAGTGGATACGGTTGCCTCGCCTATTGCACGCGATTGTAGTATCGAGATCATTGTGCTTGCCTTGGGTGCCAAGTCTGGAATTACAGGCTTACGTGAATTTTGTTTCCTATCGGCCATGCTACTCGCTTTCGATTTGGTGATGCTGTTTACATGGTACATTGCTGTATTGACACTCAAGCTTGAGGTTGGTTGTATTGTTGATCAAACAACAAATAAAAACGCTAAACTCTCTTCTTTTTCATATGTAGTTGAGGAGGATACGTGAGATTAGTGGAGAAAAGGCATCATCATCAGGCACCACCAGCAGCACCACAAGTGAAATGAGCTTCATTCGTCGTACAATGGTTATGGCTTTGAGCGATGATACCAATGCTGGAACAGAAACGTCTCGAGATTTTGGTCTGCAGCAGCAGAAATCGGATGGTTCGGTTATTGGACGCCTTAAACTTATTATGGTTAGTGTCCAAAAGTGACAGCAATGCCGAGTTTATGTTGATCATTTTGCTTTAGATTGTGGTATTTGTGGCCATGCATGTGTTTGAATTTTGCACAGCCTTTCAATCTGGACCACGAGTGGATGTAAATGATGAACCTGTGACACATGTACTTTCCCAGCTTCAAGGATTGCACAAGGCTTCCGATGCGTCATCACGTCCCCTGGTTGTCGAGGTGGCACCACCATTGCTATTCCAAGTCCCATCTTCTCGATTGCTATTAGCCAATGGCTGGATACCAGAATCCATCATTCAGTCATTGGACACCTTATCTGATATTTACGCTGTTTATATTCAGCACCCGGTGATCAGCCAGTGGCTAGCGCTCGGATTGCTTGTGTCATTGTTCCTCAATACGTACCTTTTCAACGTTGCTAAACAGCCCAAGCAACTTGCACCAGAACAACAATCCAACGCCGATAAGCAGCATCATCATCATTCATCCACTAGAACCAGCTCGCCACCCTATCATCATATTACAAAGCGATCGATCGATGAATCCCAAAGACTACTCAAGACGACTCCTGATACCCTTGACGATGAGGAGGTGATTCGACTTGTACAGGCAAATAAATTGGCACCCTATTCTCTTGAAAAGGCGTTGAGGAATTTTGAACGTGCGGCATCCATACGACGATGTTTGATATCGCGTGCATCAACGACAAAGACATTGGAAAGCAGCATACTACCACTCAAAGGCTATGACTATGAAAAAGTATTTGGTGCTTGTTGCGAGAACGTGATTGGATACATGCCGCTTCCGGTTGGTGTTGCTGGTCCACTAAGGATTGATGGCAATGATATCCACATCCCCATGGCAACGACTGAAGGTTGTTTGGTTGCGTCGACTGCACGAGGCTGCAAGGCTATAAACAAAGGTAGCGGAGCAAGGACCATTGTAACAGCGGATGGAATGAGTCGAGGACCCTGTTTAAGTTTTCCCAATATCATACAAGCGGGAGAATGCAAACATTGGATCGAGAACGAGGGTAATTTTATTCTAACGGAGGCCTTCAACTCGACATCTCGATTTGCACGTTTACGTCAACTCAAAGTGACATTGGCTGGCAAGCTCATTTACGTGCGGTTTACAACAACGACTGGGGATGCGATGGGAATGAACATGATATCCAAAGGATGTGAAAAAGCCCTCAGCGTGCTTGGTGAGCACTTTGGCGACATGCAAATCGTATCGTTGTCAGGCAACTATTGCACCGATAAAAAACCAGCAGCTATCAATTGGATCGAAGGACGTGGTAAATCGGTTGTTGCAGAAGCTGTGATCCCGGGATCAGTGGTTGAGAAGGTGCTCAAAACAACCGTGGGTGCGATTGTGGAACTCAACATCAGCAAGAATCTAGTGGGCTCGGCTATGGCTGGTTCCGTGGGTGGTTTTAATGCACATGCTGCCAACATCCTTACAGCCATCTACCTTGCATCGGGCCAAGACCCTGCACAAAATGTCGAAAGCAGTAATTGTATTACACTTATGGACGCTGTCAACGATGGGAAAGATTTACATATCACTTGTACGATGCCTAGCATTGAAGTGGGCACGGTGGGTGGTGGCACAATGCTTCCGCCTCAGCAGGCGATCCTTGATATGCTCGGTGTTCGAGGTCCTCATCCGACTATTCCAGGCAACAATGCTCGCTATCTTGCACGTATCGTTTGTGCTGCAGTTATGGCTGGTGAATTATCTCTATGTGCTGCTTTGGCAGCGGGTGATCTTGTCAAGGCACATATGGCACATAATCGTGCTAGCAATAGTACTCCTCCTTCTTGTATCAAATCTTGATTTCATTATACGCAATACCTTTGATCTATAAAGTGTTTATATTCCTTAATAAACAAGTTCTACCCCGTCCCGAGTCTGGATCCGTTACTTTGTTGACATTGTTCTTCTTGTCCAACAGTGAACAAGAAAATAGTTCACGTTTCACCATCTGAGTCCTCTTTATACACTGTGCTTTGATAAAGGCACATTTTGAAGCACACAGGGGGGGTGTCATACTTTTGGTCACAACAAAGATGCATCACAATTATGCGTATCACTTTTAGCACAAGCTGCTTTATTTGGCATGTTAAATCATAAATGAAATGCTGTACATCAAGATGAGCAGCAACAAGATCATCAAAGTAATAGTTAAAGAAGGAGATTATAGAAAAAAAGAAGGGGATCAAACGGTGCTCATGTGAGAAAAGTAGTGTAGCATTACACTTTTTAAGGTCTGTGTCAAATGAGAGAGCGCTCAGGCTACACAAAATATCAAAAAGTCGGCTGAAATCCGAGAGGAAAAGCGCATATACACAAAGAACTCTTTATTCCAATCCACCTTTCTGTTTATCATGGGCTTCTCTCTTGCACCTCTCGCACATCTCTTTAAAATGTCAGACTCGGATTCGGACACGGCATCTCAACACGATTCCCATGCTTCTCCTGCTGTCCTTATCAAAAGTAAGTCCTCTCATTCGCTACATTGCTGCTCAACTTGATTCACTCATACCACATGAAAAGATATCGTCAAGGACTTGTTTTCATATGACACGGTTAGACGTCGACGAATCCTCGAGTTTTATTTCGTGAAGGATGCAATTCTGACAACACCCCTGATTGCTGCACATGGTGTGGATGCCATATCAAAGTACAGTATCTTACTTGCATAATGGAATACCCCCAATACGACATCCTCTTAACTTGTGACAATGATAGTATTGGCAGCATTTGGCAGAACATCAATCGAAGCGAACCCACTATCACCAACATTGTGTTTGACGGGTATGTAAATGTCATGTCGGATATCACCTCCTTCATTGCTGACTCTTTTTTGTGTACTAAACCAACCAATTTAGTCGTACAGCCGTTGTCCATTATATTCAGAATATATCGCCCGCCGTACTACCCTCTCGTTACACCCTGCGTGTACCAGCCATTACAACGTTACACTTTAAAGAGCAGGATGGTCTGATCAAGATCTACAGGCAAGATGATAGCTGGACTATGGAAGGTAATTCAGGGCAGCATCGTAAAAAAACATGGAGGCTAATGATCCATTTGACAGGCCTTATGCAATCGATCCCTGGTGCTAACTTTTGGTATAATCGCATCCTACGAGTAGCTATGGGTAAAATGGCATCCATGATTGGCGATACTTTCCAGGATACCGCATCATGGCAACAACACATGTATTCGACCGCTTGGGAGGAACAAGAGGAAATCGTTGTGGATGATAGTAAACACGCTTACTGGCAAAAGTTTGAGGAAGCCGAGGAAAAGAAACGATCCACTACCAACGAGCTTGTGGAAGGCATGATTGTACTCGAGGACGCGTAAACCCGTTTGTTGTTGTGATATACCCACTACCACCATCAACCTTCTTCCCTCCCCTCACCTCCCCGCCACCTTGTCATCTACACATTTATATCCTATCTATGTATACACTTTGAGCTGATATCTGCTATTCGCTATTTTGTTTAATAAAACCTTCACGGAGTATGCTCCATAAACTTGTGAGGATCTTTCGACTACATAGTAGCTGGATCATGATTACATATAAGAGGTAGGCTGAAGATCATGAAAGAACCTCGATCGCTTCGAGAATCTTTGACTTCCCACGCATAGCCGCTATTCAACATGCTTATTTTTGGATAAAGAAACTCCTCTCAACACTTGTCGCATATCACTCACAAGGATTGTTTCTAAATATCGTTTATATTGTTGTGTGAAACGGGAATCGTTATATCTGTACATGGCGTGTTGATAGGGAAGATCATGCTTATTCTCTCTGGATGACGATTGCACTGGCAGCACCACCACCATTGCAGACACCAGCAGCACCAAGCTCACCAGACTTGAGCAAGTGAGTAAGAGTGACAATGATACGAGAGCCAGAGGAGCTATTACAGAATGTTGAGTACCATCATTTTTATGGTCGACCTTGGCACTTACCCAATAGGATGGCCCAATGCAACAGCACCACCAGCAACGTTAACCTTGGCGGGGTCAAGACCAAGAATCTAAAAGAAATTATGTATGAGCATTGTTGAATACATTTTAAAGTGGATGAATTTACCTTCTCGTTGGCCTTAGCGACAACGCTGAAAGCTTCGTTCAATTCAAACAAGCTGATATCCTTGATGTCAACACCAGCCTTCTTCAAAGCAATAGGAAGGGCCATGCTGGGAGCGATAGTGAAATCAATAGGAGCAGTGGCGGCATCAGCATAGGCAAGGATACGAGCCAAAGGCTTGACACCCAATTCCTCGGCCTTTTGACGGCTCATGAGCACCAAAGCAGAGGCACCGTCGTTGATGGTGCTGGCATTAGCAGCAGTAACAGTACCTGAATAAGACCCCTTAGAACCATTGACAAGCTACTACCACCTCCAATACTCCATCCTTACCATCCTTTTGGAAAACAGGGCGCAAAGTGGGGATCTTTTCATACTTTACGTTCTTGTATTCCTCATCCTCCTTGACAATCACTTCACCCTTCTTGGACTTGATGGAAACGGGAACAATTTCATTGTCAAAGACACCATTCTAATAATACAACATCAATAACATGTCCCGATGTTCCCATTGTTTCCTTTTTCTTACCTCCCAAGCCTTGGCAGCACGACGATAAGATTCCAAAGCGTGAGCATCCTGCTCCTCACGACTAATGTTTTGGACCTTGGCGGTATTCTCAGCACAGTTACCCTATTCACATCAATGAGCACCAGCCATATCCACTTGAGTCAATATAATGGTTACCATGCTATAAAGAAAAAGAGGTCAATTGACATGTTCCAACAATTTTTCCCACGGAGGCAATTTACTTACTGAATCTGGTTGTAGACATCCCACAAACCATCCTTGATGATAGCATCAGAGAGTTGTTGATGACCAAAGAGAAGGTTACGCTTGGAGTAGTAGCTATTCAAGTTATGTATCAGCAACATGGGATCATGATCCATACAATAGCTTTATGTACTTACGGAGCGTTGGACATGCTTTCCATACCACCAGCCAACATGACATCACGATCACCAAGCTTGATAGATTGAGCAGCCATCATGACAGCCTTCATACCGGAGGAGCAGACCTTGTTGATGGTGGTAGCTTCAGTGCTTTCAGGGCAACCTAAAGTGAATGGATGAGTATGATTTGCGGGGGAACGGAATGATCCGGGGATAGCAATCTAATTAGTCATGCTTTTAGTTTACCCGCTTCAAGCACGACTTGACGTGCAGGTGCTTGGCCGAGATTGCCCTGAAGAACATTGCCAATGTAAGCCTCCTCAATTTGCTCGGGCTTTAAGCCTAAACAATGGTAACCATTCAGTATACTTGTGCCATGGTGACAATGCATTCACTCATTCATTCCACTTACCAGCACGCTCAATGGCTCCACGAGCAGCAATGGCACCAAGGTTGGGAGCTGACAAGGACTTCAAGCTACCGTTGAAGCAGCCGACAGGGGTACGAACAGCGCTAGCAATGACAACATCCTAATTGATATAGACATGCATTGTCAATATTATCCTATCACTGAATAAAACGTCATACATACATTGGGCGACTTGGTTGCATAGTTACGAGCGACGAACTAAAAATGGGATAACGTTTGTTGAGCTATTGATATATATCAAAGGATTATTACAAACGTACAAGGCGAGCAGGACGAGCGGCTTGTCTGGAGAACATGGTAGCAAAGAGAGAAAGATGTGCTTTTTTTCATGTGCCAGTGATCCATTAGAATTTAAGTCATCCAACTTTCCCACACCAGCTGCCAACTCCGATGATATACGAGTAGTAAGAGTGTATTGTGTATAATGTCTTTGATTAACTGGAACAAGCGAATCAAATGTGTGTGTCTGTGTACGTGCGTGCGTGTGTGTGTGTGTTTGCGTGAGGATTGGGAGGAGAATGACAAGGATAACTAGTGTTGGTAATAATAAGAATGAAACTATGACTTGTTGTGTGGTAGTAGTGTTGTTGAGTGATTGTTGAAAGGTAGAATGGATTGTTGAAGTGGAGGGTAACATGCAGTGTGATTATGAGAGTGGAATAGCGTTGCCTTCGAGCAATTTTTCGATCCAATACAAGATTATCTCCAGGATCTTGCTTCGAGAACCACCTTGTTGAGAAGCAACAGCAACCAGTGCTTGTTCCCAACTTCCAGGATGGCCATCCAGCAAAAAGGTCGACGTGACTATGCCAAAGATATACACAAGCAGGGTATACAGTGCAAATGTAGCTGTGTTGGTTACTGCTCGATCATTGGGTCGTACAAGCGCTTGATGATGTTCATTGAAGGATGGTGATGAAGATGACGCTATCATGGCTGCGACTGCATGTGCCGTTGACTAAGCCGTCTGATGTTAAAACAGGGTCGATCCTCATTTCATTGGGTGAATTCCCCTCCTTCTTACCTCGTTCAAATCTTGTATAGTACGTCGCTTGCCAGTCATTTTGCGTTTTCTTAGCCTTGATTGTGCCCACACATCACCCATATCAATTGCTGTGTCGGTCTCTGATGATTTTACAGCCGGGATCTGGATCGCAAAAGGTTCGTCGGTATAGTTGCTGGTAGAGATATCAAGCTCCTCAACATCATCTTGACGCTCCGGGAACCGCGTTCTTAAATGTGCAAGCTCGCTGACCAAAGACTCGTTCTCCAAATCCAATGCTCGTTTCAGCTGTGCCAATTCCTGATTAACTACATAAAGCGTCACTATCAATCCTAATAAAACACCCTCACATCCCTATTTACCTCGATCCAAGTCCTCCATAGCTACGCTGGCCTGCGTCTTGTAATAATCTTTTTCATTTTCCACGGACTTGAGTCGTTCCTCAGCATCCACTGGTGGCTCTTCTATTTGTCCTTCTAATTCACTATGCAATGTCTTGAACAAAACCCATCAGCTGTTGTTATTATCACTACCCACAATCCCATCACATACTTACATTTGCTGGTGAAGGTGGTTTGAATAAATCAGGCACCGCTGCATCAGGATGCAAATCATTGCGTGATTCAATATCCAATTTGAGGCTGTCAATAATGTCCTTGAGTCGCTCATTCTCGGTTCGCTGTTCTTCAAGCTGCATGTGTGTTTGTTGCGATGAAACCAATTCACGTTCAAGGCTGTTTTGAAGCTCCATAAGCCGATTGCGTTCCTCATTCAAATGCTTGAATTCATGGTTGATAGCACTGAGCAATGCTTCGGTCTTTTGTAACTCCAATTCCTTATGTCGCAGCATGTCTTGTAACTCCTGAGCTTCCTCTACAATACAATGCAAGCCACATGAATATCATATCATAAGAGTCCATGCCCATATGACTTACGACATTTCTCTTCAAAGAGGCGTTTGATCGATAGATAGATTTGCTTTTGGTCTGTTTCAGATCTTTCGATGCGTGCAATGTGTGCCTCGAGCTAACGAATTGGGAATGTAAGATGTTTGTATATGATTAAAAAAAGTATCCTTTCACGTGAAGATCTCTGATCACTTACAGCGCCTATTTGATCCAAGCTGCTTTTCTCTTTGTTCTTGTATTCAAGAATTTCACGCTTTTGTTTCACGACCTCCTGTGTCATATCATCCACCCGGTTTTGTAGCTGTGTGATGCGATCTTCATTGTCACGTGTCATGGAAGCAACGCTTCTTTCCGAAGCTTTGAGGCGCCTGGTGAGCTGTAACGACCTCCGATAATATTGAGCAACATTGACATGCTATTTCAATTATCAGTTGACATGGGTCATGGTCCTATTCCATCCCTTACCCATACACACACACACTCCTTGTCCTTTTCCCCCTGTCAACACGACATGATCCCCATAAAAGAGAGACGAAATTACCTCTTCTTCTTGTTCTTCACCCGAGAAAATAGCATCTTGGTTCATTGGCTTGGTATTTTGATTGTCTTGTTCTCGATGATCCATGTGGATAGTGTCCTCATTGTTTTGTGCCTGATGGGGTTCATGCTTAAATATTATTCGGACTTTGGTTGCTTAATTACATATCCACGTACCTGGTCGACAGGTTCATCCTTGTCGTCGTCGTCGTCGTCGTCGTCGCTGTCGTCTTCGTATAATGAAGGGCGTCGATAATTATCAGCAAGAGGTGCCGAGGTACGAGGTCGTGCAGCGTATATCTCTTCTGAAGGCGAGTTGTTGGGAAACATGACTTTGAGTAGGTTGAGGATATCTTCTGCCGTCATCTCCAAGTCAGGATTGGCGTTGCAATAAGGTTGAATGGCTGTTTTCTGATCGAGTGTCAAGAGGACAACGTCATGTTCTCGTTCGAATTCGTCCATGACAGTCAAGAGGTCTCGAGTGAAGATGACACCGCCTTGATTATGCTGAGACACGAGTCGCTTGAATTGCACCTTGAGTACCGCGTGAGGTATAGGCCGTTGTTTATTTGTTGTTGGCTATAGATAGACACTGTTAGCGTAAGCAATGAAGTAAATGGAGTGTTGGTTTACCATGGAATGGCATTCGGAAGTTGCCATGTTGACAACTCGAAATAGTAAAAGAGTGAAAGAGCGAAAGAAAGAGAGAGCGAGAGAAAACGTGTGTGTGTGAAATAGGAGGGAACGTGGGTGCTGACAAGTGACTAGTGTGTGTGTATGTGGATATGATATGAATGATAATGGGGCGTACAAGAAGAAGCAAATGAAAATGATAGACTATCCCCAATCATGTTTTTGTCTTTCACTCTTTATTCCATAATGAACAATGTGCCTTAATGGGGCATTGGGGAGAAATGGCTGATTGTATTGATTTACCCGGTTACAGCGTAGATCATACCATATCTCGGTAATGTATCGCATGTGCTCTTTTTAGTACACTACTACAATGAAAACTTCTCATCAACAACAACATCATGCCAATGATATCAATGAGCATTACATTATTCTCATCATCTCATGATCAATGACGCTATCTTTTTCTGCCCCAGGGGTTAGTCAAAAATAGGAAATCAGCTAGTTTGATGGATGCCACGGTGGATGTATTACTTTGCCACACTCTATTAAAGATCATACCTTATGCTTGTCCTTTTTCATGCATAATAGCTGATTGATGGAAGTAGAAACTATAAATGAATGGTGATGCAAAGGCAGGGTCTTGGTTAATTATCAAGATGCAAGGGGGGACACTTATTTTTATGGTAAACATGTCATTCGATAGAGCGTATGTGGAGAGAGAGAAAGAGAGATGTTCTCCTTTAAGCTTGTGATAAACTATGAGCACATGCATGAGGAAAGCTAATGAAACCAAAACACGCCATCATCTTTAGGTTATGCAACGGCGCACAAAACATGTCACGTGGTTGTTCGGTGAACCCGACGAGAAATTACCGGGCGGGGCACTATCGGCTGCATTGTATGGCGGCATCCCAGCCCATTTGTGAACCTCCTCTTTCTCGCCGTATAAGGTACTAATGGATAGCAAGGAACACTTGCAATGGGGTGAAGAGTGGATGGATGGGTATTTGGGTGATGGGATAACGATGGATGAAACGAATGATCGACACCAAAACAACATCTACGACAATCACCACTCGAACACATCCAGTACTACGCACACACACGCACACACACACAGAGAGATCCAACTTCTTTACATCGTTAATCCATCAACGTATATCGACAACCCACATGATCTACTGCAACATCATACAAAGGATGGATGGATGAACGTATGGATACGACGATAAATGTATTCGATACACCTTTAACGACAACTTGCACGATTGATATACAGCCATGCGATACAATTGGAAGGGGGGATTTTGGAGAATGGGGGTTGACAGGGCATGGAGTACTTTACAATGAGAATGGAAGATGCTTACTATCCTTATTGTATAGCAAAAAAATGGCCCACGCACCAAGAAACAGCTTCCTTGTTCCCGGCGTTGCTCGCTACAGCCGATCCAACATGTATGCCAAGAAGGCTCTTCACAAGCGTTCTAAGAAGGGTGTTCAAGCTCCTGCTAAGGCTACCGCTACCGATAAGACTGTTGAAGTCAAGGGTGCCAAGAATGGTGGCAAGCGTGTGATCCCTGCTGAAAAGGCTCCTCGTTTCTACCCTGCTGAAGATGTCCCCAAGGCCAAGGCTTCCCGCAAGTCTCCCAAGACTGCTGCTCTTCGCAAGTCCATCACCCCTGGCACTGTTGTCATCCTTCTTGCTGGTCGTCATCAAGGCAAGCGTGTTATTGCTCTTAAGCAACTTGACAGTGGTCTTTTGCTCGTCACTGGTCCCTTCAAGGTCAACGGTGTTCCTCTTCGTCGTGTCAACCAAGCCTACGTCATTGCCACTTCCACCAAGGTCGATATCTCTGGTGTCAAGGTATGGTATCTCACATGTTGTTGAGAATGAAGGATGATACTTATAATATATGGATGATTTAGATCGATGACAAGATCAACGATGCTTACTTCTCCAAGAAGGGTGACAAGCAACAAAAGCAATTCCTTGAAGGTGAAAAGGTAAAGATCTATATATACAGTGGATGATTGGGAAAGAGTACGTGTAACTGACACATGCATGATTCAACAGAAGAAGGCTGCTCTTCCTGAATCCAAGGTTGCTGACCAAAAGGCTGTTGACAAGGCTATCCTTGAATCTGTCAAGAAGACCCCCTTCCTTACTTCCTACTTGTCTTCTACCTTCTCCCTCAAGAAGGGTCAGTTCCCCCACGCCATGAAGTTCTAAGCAGTGCCTAACTTTGTTGAACGGTGAATAAAATAACATCATTTGTGTAAAGCAATGTCATTAATAATAGCGGTGAGCAAGAAATACCAATGAATGATACAGTTGAGCAGCTGGCAGGGTGTTGCAATCACAGTTTCCATAACCGCAATAAGGAGCCAGGCAGCTAAATAAGATCTTCCACTTCTCAATACATTGAACGGTTTGTAAGTATACATCAGTCCATAAGTTGGTAGCTGATAGCCACTTCTTCCTACTCCCAACTTTTTCTCATTGGATGACATGTGACGTTTCTCTTGAATCCGCCCATCATTTCCATCATTCAACTTTCTTGATCCCTGGGGATGACTCATACTGTATGCTGGATGATACTTCTGTGTTTGACCATAGCTCGCTCAAATCAACTCGGATCAAGGAAGTTGAAGGATGGAGAGCTCGACTGGAGCGGGACAATCGTTCACATGCAAAGGATTGGGCAACAAAGGTGAATGGGAGGAAGTGGCTGTTAGCTGGCAATACACGACTGTTCCTAAATAATCATACATTGACCCTTCCATTCATGCAAAACGGCTGTGTTACACAAGCACGCCCTACTGCATCCTTTGCTCTGTCAGGGCCTAACTACTTCACAATGAACAAGGACCTCTTTTCATATAGCATCACGCTTACAAACATAAAGGTGCCTGTATCTCAAGATTTCACAATGAAACGTGGGGTTTTTATTAGAGCAATGTGCTCGGCTTGGCCAACAGCACCTTGTGTGCCAGTTTCACGATCAAGCTTGCCAATCCCAGATTTCATAATGTCGCCACCAGCCAAACTTTGGATCTGAGGTCGACCTCTTCGACGACGACGACCAAAAAAATATTTTTTGGGCTAGTTGCGACATTGAACGTGAAACTTTCACACAAGGTGCTGTTGGCCAAGCCGGGCCATTGCTCTATTCAAAACCCCACGTTTCATTGTAAAGTTGGAAATACAGGTACCTTTATGTTTGAAGAGCGTGATGCTATATGAAGAGTGTCTTTGTTCATCGTCAAGTAGGTGGACCCTGACAGGCAAAAGATGCAGAAGGACCTCTTTGGGTAACTCAGCTAAAAAGTCAGGACTTCAGGGACAATGCATGAAAGGTACGCAACCTCACTTTTATGTCATACATTGGCAGCTAATAGCCACTTTTGTGCATTCCCAACTTTTGTGCATTCTATTGTAGGTGGACGATGCTCCTGCTCTAGACATTCATTTCCATGATTAAAGTAGGTTGATCCGAGCTGATTTGGTTGAGTTACGCTCACACAAGATTACATCGGTTGAGCTACATCGAGCGTGCTATGTCCAGAGTGATGTAATCTCTCTTTGACCGCAGCACTCAGTCAACCTACTTTAATCATGGAAATGTGTCAAAGCAGGAACTCATTCCCATGCAGTGAATCTCGCAACAATGATGATTGGATAAAAGTGGCCGTTAGCTGGAAATACATGCCTGTTCGTAGATGATCCATAAAGTAATTATACATTGACCCTTTCATTCATGCAAACGTAGCTGTGTTACACAACACGACTCTGCATCTTTTGCTCTGTCAGGGTCCACCTACTTGACAATGAACAAAGACCACTCTTCATATAGCATCACGCTTACAAACATAAAGGTGCCTGTATCTGCGAACTTACAATGAAACGTGGGGTTTTTATTAGAGCAATGTACTCGGCTTGACCAACAGCACCTTGTGTGAAATTTCGCGTTCAATGTCGCAAACAGCCCAAAAAATATTTTTTGGTCGTCGTCGTCGAAGAGGTCGACCCCCAGATCCAGTTTGGCTGGTGGCGACATTATGAAATCTGGGATTGCCCACGAAGAACTTCATACTTTGACACAAGATTCCTTTGACCCCGACGAGCACGTTGATCTATTAAAGAGCCCACGTTTGATTGTAAAGTTTGGAGATACAGGCGTCTTTATGTTTTTACTATGTTGTAAGCGTGATGCTATATAGAAGCGGTTTTTGCTTAATGCAAAGTAGTATGACTATAATAGAGCAAAAGATGCAGAGCGCGTGCTTGTGTAACTTGAGCCAGGCAGCACAGCGTGCATGATACTTGTACACTATTTAGGTATAGTTACTAAAATGCCAGCTAATAACCCATTCCTCCCATTCTCCTTTGTTGCCTAATCCTTTGCATGTGAACGATTGTCCTGCTCCAGTCGAGCATCTCCATCCTTCAACTTCCGCGATCCGAGTTGATTTGAGCGAGCTATGGTCAAACAGATAACATCATCCAATAGCAGAAGAATTGGTATGTTATTTGTAAACTGCCAGCTATGTAGCCCATTCCTCCCATTCACCATTGTTGCCCAATCCTTTGCATGTGAACGATTGTCCTGCTCCAGCCCCATCATATCCATCCTTCAACTTCCCATGATCCGCGAGGATTTGAATGAGCAATACTCAAACAAAGAAATATCATTCAACATCAAACTTTTAATTTTTTGTTCATCCACTTCAGCTTGTCGTCTCTTCTCCCCATTACATTGTTGCCATTAGCGCACCTGCTACCTGCCAACGATGCTCCTGCTTCAGCCATCACATGTCAATCCTGCAACTGTCTTGATTCGATTGCCTTTGACTGAATGGCAAGACCATGGCGTGTACTCAATCTTCTTATCACTCTACTGCAACACGCGAACCACTTGATCCTACACACACTCTTGCACACTCTACCGCAATCAAATGCAGCAGCGTTCATTCCAGCAGTTGCTATTAGCGAGGCCTCTATTCAATAATATAAAAAACGAAAACATTCACGGCCTTGTCACTCTGCATGACACGCTCTTGCACGCTTCTCTGCCGCGACCCAACGTAGCAGCTGTTGCTATTAGCAACACCTTTACTCGATGGTCTCGTGTTCCTTGCAGCTGCTTGCTTTGGTGCCATGGACTCCAATGGATGATGCCATATCAGCTTTCAGATTCAACCGCCTCCTTGCACGACACCAATGTCTTACTTTGCTCGCGTGGAACTTGATGAATGGAAACTGGAAGACGCTATACAACACTATAGAGAAAAGAAGCCTGACGGTGGCAAGTTACTGCTGCAATTGGTTTTGGATGATCTCAACAACTTGGTGAATGCTGAACGCAAGGGAGAAAAAGAAGCTGCTCGAAAGATCGTGAGTGCTATCGAGGTAGATATGAAGAAATATAGACGACGTGATAAAAGAAAAACTCGCTCACGCTCCCTTGAATGTTTAATGTAGGATACCTAGAAAGCTCAAGCATATCAAATAACTGGTGGCAACACCCAATCGGCAACATCTGGATACAGTTACACCACCCTCATGGCGAGGATCTATGCGTGAGCACTATGCTTGCTGATTATTGGAAGGAACTCCAATATACGTCAATGAGCAACGTCTTGTTTCATGGGAACGGCGACTGATTCGTGATAGCATATGGGTGGCATTGCTTGACGACGATGGATATTGCCGCCTTGTTTATGTCAAAATCCTGGTTCATGCTACGACAATCAATCATCACCAAGACTCTTTGTGAAGCCGTCGTACACTATGTTCATTCTAGGACCAAGCTTACGTTTGCGTTGTCTGCGGGTGGGTATCATTCTGTCAACATACAAAAAGGACTTCTGATTATCACCCTCGGTGAAATCTCTTGCTTCCTTTGATGTAGCTACCTCCTGATTTACATATGCAAAACTGAAATAGGTGGCACACCACGGCCCACATGGGAGTGACAATAAGGCATTTGAATTATTCACCCAAATGAAGCCTGATTGGCTCAATCATATACGACCTTGGGACATGAAGATCGACATCACCACCTGTGAAGTGAAGCCGCCGATGAATCAAGAGGATTACGAGCACCCTGATTTTGATTTTATGAAGCTTGGCCTGGAAGTGTGTGGGATGCTGAACAAGATGTTGGATATAATCGAAGTTGAGGACGCAATGGTGGTATTTGGAATTCTGGTCGATGGTATGTTGATAAAAGGCTTCAACTATAATAGCATTCTCATTTAATTGATTCTTATTACAGGCTACCAGGTAACTACGTATGCAACGGATTTGAAGGCACAAGTATACCGCATGATACAACTTGGAAGATGCAATCCGATCTTGGTGCGTTCCCAGCCTCGCTCCACTGCCTCTTGCACGTCAAAACTTTAGCGGCCATCGTTGCAAGCATGATCAAAATCGCTCAACTTGGAAGAGTCAAGGGAAAAATTAGCATTGATGAGAATTGGGGCATGCTATTCAAATACAGGAGCTTTATTTTTGTGTCGGCTTTCATCGATTTCATATTGGGTTGTGTGTAAATTTATGAGCAAAATCTGTATCGGTATTGGGGTTGGAAGACTGGATTCGTACCTACCAGCATCAATTGCATCATGCAGGAACCTTAATGTGTATGGAAACTTAAATACCCAATTGTGCTGTTGCTATCATTCTGAAACGGGGACAAAGGGGCCACACAATGTGAATCCTAATCTCCGTCGGCTGTAATGCGTAACACATAAACGCACGACGCATTGATCATTCATGAACTATGTCGGCTGCGGGAGCATCGTTCCCCGCTCGATCTCGCAACAATGATGATTGGATAAAAGTGGCCGTTAGCTGGAAATACATGCCTGTTCGTAGATGATCCATAAAGTAATTATACATTGACCCTTTCATTCATGCAAACGTAGCTGTGTTACACAACACGACCCTCTGCATCTTTTGCTCTGTCGGGGTCCACCTACTTGATGAACAAGACCACTCTTCATACAAGCATCACGCTTACAAACATAAAGGTGCCTGTATCTCCGAACTTTGATAAAACGTGGGGTTTTTATTAAGAGCAATGTACTCGGCTTGACCAACAGCACCTTGTGTGAAATTTCGCGTTCAATGTCATAAACAGCCCAAAATATTTTTTGGTCGTCGTCGTCGAAGAGGTCGACCCCAGATCCAGTTTGGCTGGTGGCGACATTATGAAATCTGGGATTACCCACGATGAACTTCATACTTTGACACAAGATTCCTTTGACCCCGACGAGCACGTTGATCTATTAAAAGAGCCACGTTTGATTGTAAAGTTTGGAGATACAGGCGTCTTTATGTTTTTACTATGTTGTAAGCGTGATGCTATATGAGAAACGGTTTTGCTTAATGCAAAGTAGTATGACTATAATAGAGCAAAAGATTGAGCGCGTGCTTGTGTAACTTGAGCCAGGCAGCACAGCGATGCATGATACTTGTATTTAGGTATAGTTACTAAAATGCCAGCTAATAACTACATTCCACTCCCATTCTCCTTTGTTTGCCTAATCCTTTGCATGTGAACGATTGTCCTGTCCAGTCATCCTCTTCAACTTCCTTGATCCGAGTTATTTGAGCAGTATGGTCAAGCAGACAACATCATCCAATAGCAGAAGAATCAAATTGGTATGTTATTTGTAAACTGCCAGCTAGCAGCCCATTCCTCCCATTCACCATTGTTGCCCAATCCTTTGCATGTGAACGATTGTCCTGCTCCAGCCCATCATATCCATCCTTCAACTTCCCATGATCCGCGAGGATTTGAATGAGCAATACTCAAACAAAGAAATATCATTCAACATCAAACTTTAATTTTTGTTCATCCACTTCAGCTTGTCGTCTCTTCTCCCCATTCCCCATTTGTTGCCCATTTAATACACCTGCTACCTGCCAACGATGCTCCTGCTTCAGCCCATCATGTCAATCCTGCAACTGTCTTGATTCGATTGCCTTTGACTGAATGGCAAGACCATGGCGTGTACTCAATCTTCTTATCACTCTACTGCAACACGCGAACCACTTGATCCTACACACACTCTTGCACACTCTACCGCAATCAAATGCAGCAGCGTTCATTCCAGCAGTTGCTATTAGCGAGGCCTCTATTCCATTGTCTCAAACAGCATTCACGGCCTTGTCACTCTACTACAACACACGCTCTTGCACGCTTCTCTGCCGCGACCCAACGTAGCAGCTGTTGCTATTAGCAACACCTTTACTCGATGGTCTCGTGTTCCTTGCAGCTGCTTGCTTTGGTGCCATGGACTCCAATGGATGATGCCATATCAGCTTTCAGATTCAACCGCCTCCTTGCACGACACCAATGTCTTACTTTGCTCGCGTGGAACTTGATGAATGGAAACTGGAAGACGCTATACAACACTATAGAGAAAAGAAGCCTGACGGTGGCAAGTTACTGCTGCAATTGGTTTTGGATGATCTCAACAACTTGGTGAATGCTGAACGCAAGGGAGAAAAAGAAGCTGCTCGAAAGATCGTGAGTGCTATCGAGGTAGATATGAAGAAATATAGACGACGTGATAAAAGAAAAACTCGCTCACGCTCCCTTGAATGTTTAATGTAGGATACCTAGAAAGCTCAAGCATATCAAATAACTGGTGGCAACACCCCAATCGGCAACATCTGGATACAGTTACACCACCCTCATGGCGAGGATCTATGCGTGAGCACTATGCTTGCTGATTATTGGAAGGAACTCCCATATACGTCAATGAGCAACGTCTTGTTTCATGGGAACGGCAAATGATTCGTGATAGCATATGGGTGGCATTGCTTGACGACGATGGATATTGCCGCCTTGTTTATGTCAAAATCCTGGTTCATGCTACGACAATCAATCATACCAAGACTCTTTGTGAAGCCGTCGTACACTATGTTCATTCTAGGACCAAGCTTACGTTTGCGTTGTCTGCGGGTGGGTATCATTCTGTCAACATACAAAAAGGACTTCTGATTATCACCCTCAGGTAAATCTCTTGCTTCCTTTGATGTAGCTACCTCCTGATTTACATATGCAAAACTGAAATAGGTGGCACACCACGGCCCACATGGGAGTGACAATAAGGCATTTGAATTATTCACCCAAATGAAGCCTGATTGGCTCAATCATATACGACCTTGGGACATGAAGATCGACATCACCACCTGTGAAGTGAAGCCGCCATTGAATCAAGAGGATTACGAGCACCCTGATTTTGATTTTATGAAGCTTGGCCTGGAAGTGTGTGGGATGCTGAACAAGATGTTGGATATAATCGAAGTTGAGGACGCAATGGTGGTATTTGGAATTCTGGTCGATGGTATGTTGATAAAAGGCTTCAACTATAATAGCATTCTCATTTAATTGATTCTTATTACAGGCTACCAGGTAACTACGTATGCAACGGATTTGAAGGCACAAGTATACCGCATGATACAACTTGGAAGATGCAATCCGATCTTGGTGCGTTCCCAGCCTCGCTCCACTGCCTCTTGCACGTCAAAACTTTAGCGGCCATCGTTGCAAGCATGATCAAAATCGCTCAACTTGGAAGAGTCAAGGGAAAAATTAGCATTGATGAGAATTGGGGCATGCTATTCAAATACAGGAGCTTTATTTTGTGTCGGCTTTCATCGATTTCATATTGGGTTGTGTGTAAATTTATGAGCAAAATCTGTATCGGTATTGGGGTTGGAAGACTGGATTCGTACCTACCAGCATCAATTGCATCATGCAGGAACCTTAATGTGTATGGAAACTTAAATACCCAATTGTGCTGTTGCTATCATTCTGAAACGGGGACAAAGGGGCCACACAATGTGAATCCCTAATCTCCGTCGGCTGTAATGCGTAACACATAAACGCACATGACGCATTGATCATTCATGAATCGCCGTCCCCACGCTTTTCTTTGCCATTCTTTCTTCTTTTTGTTTCATACACCACTCTTTTACTTTAGCATGAAGCTATTTGCCCTTTCCGCAGCTATCACGGTTTTGTTGGCCGTATCTGATGCAGCCATAACAAGGTACACTTTACCGATACTACATTTACTTGTTGTCAATACTCACTCATTTTCAAAGGATCCCCGTTAAAAAGACGAGAGAGACGCCTGCACAAAAGCTTGAGCGATATTCACACACCAGTGAATACTTGGCCCAAAAGTACTTTGGTTCTTATGATACCAATCAACAGCAGCAGACCACATTCCAAACCGATGCCTATGGGCAAGTTCAGCATGGTGTACCCATTTCCAATTATATGAATGCTCAAGTAAGGATCATCATTCTATGAATGCATATGGCTTAATTTTAATTCTCAAATCGAATGGCATTAGTATTATGGTGAGATTGGTCTTGGGACTCCATCACAGACATTCAAGGTCGTCTTTGACACGGGCTCATCCAACCTTTGGGTACCATCAACTCATTGCACATCGATCGCCTGCTTTTTGCATCAACGGTACAACTCTGGTCAATCGAGTACCTTTAAAGAGAATGGAACTGAATTTGCAATCCAATACGGCACTGGGTCATTGGAAGGTATCATCAGTGAGGTATGTATATCATTTATGACATGATGATGGATGACACTCTTTTTCCCCCGTTGACTCACATGACATGAAATGATATCCTCAGGATACACTTGAAGTAGGTGGCATCTCGGTAACCGGACAAGGCTTTGCCGAGTCCACAAAGGAGCCTGGTTTCACATTTGCACTAGCTCGCTTTGATGGCATCTTTGGTTTGGGCTATGATCGTATCTCTGTAAAGGGTGTTGTACCTCCTTTTTACCACATGGTGAATCGTGACCTTATTGATGAGCCAATCTTTTCGTTTTGGCTCAACGGCGATCCTGAGAATGAAGCAAATGGCGGTGAACTTGTCTTTGGTGGTGTAGATGAATCCCATTTCGAAGGTGATATTGCATGGTCGCCTGTACGTCGCCAGGGTTATTGGGAGATTGAGCTTGAAGATATCAAATTTGGTGGCAAATCGGTGGATCTAGACCCCGTGGGTGCAGCCATTGATACGGGATCATCATTGTTGGTCGCACCTACTACCATTGCTGATTTGATTAACCAAGAGCTTGGTGCTGAAAAGAATTGGGCTGGCCAATACGTCATTGATTGCAACAAGATCCCTGATTTGCCAGAGTTTTGCTTTGTATTCAGTGGCAAGGATTTCTGCTTATCAGGCGAAGATTATGTGCTCAATGTTCAAAACCAGTGTATTTCTGGATTCATGGGCATGGACATTCCTGAGCCTGCTGGACCACTTTGGATCGGTAAGTCACACACTAATATGCAAATGTGGACATCACATGAATCATTTCATGCGCTAATCCTATTTCGTATACGTAGTGGGCGACGTGTTCCTTCGCAAATATTATAGCGTTTACGACCTTGGCAACGACCGAGTTGGCCTTGCAAAGTCGGTTGCATAAACCATCACCATTTTGTATTTCTTTCTATTGCACATCACCTTGATTTCATCACTATACGATTTGATCCATACACCAGCAGATGACTATTAGCGGTATCATGATCATAGCGTATTGACAACGTTGCTCAACATCAACATCAATAAAATCTCGCTTGATGGATCATTAACAGGATTGGCCAGCATATAGTAGATCACACAACCATGGGGTTGTATGCCCAAAGAGCATCTTTCAAGACGCTATTATTCGTTCCCTTGTGACAAAGCGCTCCTTGTTTGTAATCATACAATGGAAGACGACCTTGGACCCTGAAGATGTCTATAAAGAGAAATCGATCTCACAGGCAATTTAAGTTGTTAATGCCGAGGTATCATTCATCGTTTAGTAAAACGATGATCCAACATCCAAAACAACATTCTTCAACATCCTGATTCCATTGTGATTTGAGGTAAGCGTTTTATTTTAAAGATTTGGCATTTCCCGATAAGCGGGAAAGCATTACTCACATCATGATAACCATTATCATCACGTGTGCTGACCAATACAAACCTTGAAAGGTCTGACATGGAACGTATGCAGGGGGTTGACCGCCAATGAGAGAGCAAATGATTCAAGCGGCGTCACTGTGACCAAGAGGATGGCACACCATACATATTGATTCACTCCACACACAAAGCACACATTCATTTTCCTCTTTTTCCTTTTTCGCTTTCGCTCTTTCTTTCTTTCTCTCTTCTTAACCATCCCTGATGTTTCGTACTGCTTTTCTGGGAGCAAGACTCGTAAGCTTTATATATGGACATTCATGGCATGTACAACATTGCTGATCGATCTACTACTGCTACTTGTAGTCATCGCGTGTGACATCCACGAGAGCAGCTGGTGTTGCTTCATGTCGTCGATACATGTCTTCTGAACCAGGCTCTGCTACTTCAGCCATGTCTTTTAAGAAGCATTTACGTCAACGTCGATTTGGACCCGTACCAGCATTCCCAGAGCCATCGGTCGAGGAAGCTGTCAGTAACATTTTGTACAACACCCCACCTCCAAGTTCGGCACCAGAAACCCGACACATCCTCAATTGTCTTGTGCAAAACGAACCTGGTGTTCTTAGCCGCGTCTCTGGTATCCTTGCTGCACGTGGCTTCAACATCCAATCTTTGGTGGTTGCCAATACTGAAGTCCCCGATCTTTCTCGCATGACCATTGTCTTTAATGGCCGCAACGTCCCTATTGAACAAGCACGTCGTCAACTCGAGGATTTGGTATGTGGAATCAAAGGATGGTATGTATGTGTATGCATGTATGCTAATGATAGGGTGGATAGGTACCCGTGTGGGCCGTGTTGGATTATACCAGAACCAAGGTGATTGAACGTGAGTTGTTGCTTATCAAGGTCTCCATTCTTGGCCCCGAGCACTTGCATGAACAACTTCCCACCGCCAAGTTTGATGATGATGCTGAATTCGAAGATGAAAACTTGAACCGTACTTATGATGAGGTATGTATTGACATGATAAACCAACATAGGGCCAGCTTGAAATTAATGTTATAGTAAAATAGGATTCGACATCATCCAATTCATTGCGAGAAACCTTTTCCCACTTGCGTGCTTTGACAGAGCTTACTCGATTGTTTGATGGCAAAGTTGTTGACGTATCCTCAGATTCCATTGTTGTTGAATTGGCTGCCAAACCAAGTCGTATCTCGTCTTTCATGAAGCTACTCAAGCCATTTGGTATTTTGGAAGCATCAAGAACAGGTTCGTTGTTGAGATTGGTGATGGATAGTTGCCATGGAGATTAACCATAACCCTTTTATAGGTGTCATGGCAATGCCTCGTTCCCCAGTCCACGATCATTATGAAGCACAAACAGATCATTCTTACGAAACGGAAGCTGTCGATGCTACCACCCTCCCCCCTGGATAAATTGTATACTTGTATTGTTTTTGAGTTTTGTTTTACGGCATAAAGATGAAGATGTATGATAACTATTATGTGGTTACGTTATCAAATTGGGTACACACACAAACACATGTTACTATGAATGCAATTCATATACGATAAACGACATCTTTCGCGAATCCTTTTTACATTTGTTTTAATTAAATGTGATGAAAGTTGTGTTTCTGTACATAAGAGCAAGGGATTATATGCGATAAAGAAGAGGGAAAAAGAATCAGAAGCGATGCAAGAAATGGACGACGGCGAATTGTTGGTTGCAGTGACAAAAGCGTAGGATAACAGGGATAGAGAAGAAAAGAGGTGATAGAATGGATTTACTTGGAGCTGGTGTACTTGGTGACAGCCTTGGTACCTTCAGAGACGGCGTGCTTGGCCAATTCACCAGGGAGAATAAGACGAACAGCAGTTTGGATCTCACGGGAAGAGATGGTGGAACGCTTGTTGTAAGCAGCAAGCTTGGAAGCTTCAGAGGCGATGCGCTCGAAAATGTCATTGACGAACGAGTTGAGAATGGACATGGCCTTGTTGGAAATGCCGGTGTCAGGATGGACTTGCTTCAAGACACGGTAAATGTAGGAGGAGTAGGTTTCCTTGCGAGTGACCTTACGCTTCTTGTCACCAGAAGCCTTGACCTTCTTCTCAGTGGTCTTAGCAGGGGCCTTGCCAGCGGGAGCGTCTTTGGGAGCCATGGTTAATTTGGATATAGTAAAGTGGGTGGGTGAACAGGAAACACAAAGGTGAGCGGGAAAGCAGCTGCCTTTTATACCATCCCCCAAAATTTAACCCAGCTCACACATCTTGACGCGCGTAGCGCTGTTTGAAACTTGATGCACACACGCCCATCATCCTTATCCCTTCCCACCTATTTCCTCAACAACAAGACGTGATATCACGTAAACAACACGCAATCACGCCGTTCTATCGCGTAAATTATCATTTGACATCAAGAAAAAAATTTGACTTAGTGAAGATGATCCCTTTGTTTTTCACGCCATGGGTTAACGCGCGCGTACAGAAAAATTCGAAATGGGGTAAGCACGCGTGCACCTAGCGGAGACTAAAGTTATTTTTTTTGGTCCACAGCCAACGAACGATAGGCTGGGTATATATATAAAGCCCATTCAAGCACTCTACATTGCTGCTTACTTTTTTGTTCACTTCACTTTTTACTACTACTACATCTACATCTACAACATGTCTGGAGGCAAATCTGGAGGAAAGTCTGCTGCTGGTGCCAAGTCCCAAACCCGTTCCGCTAAGGCCGGTCTTCAATTCCCTGTTGGTCGTATCCATCGTCTCTTGCGTCGTGGCAACTATGCCCAACGTGTTGGTGCTGGTGCTCCCGTTTACCTTGCCGCTGTTCTCGAATACTTGACTGCTGAAATTCTCGAATTGGCTGGTAACGCTGCCCGTGATAACAAGAAGTCCCGTATCATCCCCCGTCACTTGCAATTGGCCATCCGTAACGATGAAGAATTGAACAAGCTCCTTGGTCACGTTACCATTGCTCAAGGTGGTGTTCTTCCCAACATCCACTCCAGCTTGTTGCCTACCAAGACCAAGAAGGCTGGTGCTTCCCAAGAGTTGTAAATTGTCTTTGATTCTCCTTTCTCGCGCAAGACGTGTAACGCACAAATCATACCACACGCACCACTCCATCCAATACTTTTCACTCGCAAACCTCCTTTTCAACCTCTTGCAAGCTTTTTCTGTATATATACGTCGTTTCACCTAACATAATAAAAACAATTCATCATTGCTAAAGATCATGCATACTTCCTTTGTCTTTGTCCTTGTGTTCATTGTTCTTGATTTCCATTGTGTCTGAGTATAATGAATAGCAAGCACATGACACATCCAAATTAATTGTGTTTGCTATCATTGGGTATTAACATGTCAAACAATGTGTACCTTAAAGAACAAATATCCGATATTGCACCAGGTATCAGGAATGTTAGGTGGGCGTCGTGCCTGAAAAATACCATACCCTCTTGATAGCTATATTGTGTAAGCTTTGAATCCTAAACGGCTTTTGATTTGCAATGATTGTTGATATCACCATAGCGATACGTTGCATGGCAACAACGTTGCTGGGTTACCGGTTGTCGTCAAAGATGACCATTGTGCTATTCCTACACTTGCCATCCACGACAACAATATGGGTTCAACAAAGCCTTTGGTACATAAAGCACAGCATCCAATTTGCTACACACACGCAACACAGCGATCACCGTTACAATTGAAATCAATAGTTTCATACATGTACACATAGCTAATGTGCCTGAAGATCATTTCACCAATCGATAAATCAAAGTATCTTTCAATAACGCAAGGGTCATGTTTTTATTTACAAGTTTGCGTTGATGCTAAAACGGAAACAAATAGGCATGTATTTCAAAATATGTGTGATTATGTCGGATTCGATGGATGGGATATGACATGTAGCGGAGAAAAAGGAAGAAAGGGTGATGATATGATTTCAAGTCGTTTAAGAGCGTTCGCCACGGAGACGACGAGCCAATTGGATATCCTTGGGTTGGATGGTGACACGCTTAGCGTGGATGGCAGCCAAGTTGGTGTCTTCAAAGAGAGAGACAAGGTAGGCTTCAGAGGCTTCTTGAAGAGCACCAATAGCAGAGGATTGGAAACGCAAATCGGTCTTGAAGTCTTGAGCGATTTCACGAACAAGACGTTGGAAAGGCAACTTGCGGATCAAGAGCTCAGTGGACTTTTGGTAACGACGAATTTCACGAAGGGCAACGGTACCGGGTCTGTAACGATGGGGCTTCTTGACACCACCAGTAGAGGGGGCAGACTTGCGGGCAGCCTTGGTAGCAAGTTGCTTACGGGGGGCCTTGCCACCAGTAGACTTACGAGCGGTTTGCTTAGTACGAGCCATTGTATATGTGTATGTGTGTATAAAAGTGTTAAAGGGAGAAAAAAAGTATGCTGCGTGCCGTTGCCTTTTATATTCCATGCTTTGCTCCCTCCCCTTTTCATTCCGACAATAGATTTTTTGATCACCACACACAAAAAGACAAAAACGCGCTATCACGCGCGATAATGAACATAGCGGGATTTATGCACCTCCCAAATTTTTTATCTCTACTTTTTTTTCCATTACCAACAACCATGCACCTCATCCATTCAAACGCGCATCCTTTTTCTTATCCTACACACACTCACATACCATCTACTTCCCTATCACCCAACTTTTTAACAGCTCAAGTTGATTTGAATGAATAGTACATTATACCTTTTGAATATGGGATGAACCTTGTTAAGGGATGTGATGGAATGGTTAAAGAAAAGTAAGCAGGAATGGATACAATTTCATGTGGTGGACAATCACGCTATGACCGCGCCTGTAGCAAGAAAAAAAAGGGCACGCGGCAATTGGTGGAAAGGGCGGAGTTTTACCGAAAGAGAGAGCTATAAAAGACGGCATCAATCGCCTAAAAACGGGGAAGATTCCTACTTCTTTTTTTTTTCTTTCAACTACATTTTAATCAACAACAATGACTGGTCGTGGTAAAGGTGGCAAAGGTCTCGGAAAGGGTGGTGCCAAGCGCCATCGCAAGATTCTCCGTGATAACATTCAGGGCATTACCAAGCCTGCTATTCGTCGTCTCGCTCGTCGTGGTGGTGTGAAGCGTATCTCTGGTCTCATTTATGAAGAAACCCGTGGTGTTCTCAAGGTCTTCCTCGAAAACGTCATCCGTGATGCTGTCACTTACACTGAACACGCAAAGCGTAAGACTGTGACCTCCCTTGATGTCGTCTATGCTCTCAAGCGCCAGGGCCGTACCCTCTATGGTTTCGGTGGTTAAGCTTCATGCTTCCATTATTTTCACACACTCCTCTCCCCCACCAACAAACGCTCACACACAACTGCACACACCTCTCCTATACATCCCTCTTTGCATAACACGAATCTTATCCCTCTCGAATACTCAATATCTTGTAAATAACATAGCCGCGTTGCCCTTCGTAGTACTTTTTCAAACAACGTAACAATAACAACTTTGCTTTGCTCTACAATTGTCATTCGCTTGATCGCATTGTGTCGTAATGGGGGTGCTGTGTTTGGATTTTAGGTTTCAGATAGAAGTGGCTGCTGCGGAATCACACTTGTACTATGATAGTAGTAGTAATTGCAAAAGAAGACAAAGCTATGTACAGGATTTATTAATGCAAGTATGATCAAACATAATGGAAAGAAAAATGTAGGTGGTGGTGGTGGTGGTGGTTGCAGGTGGGGGGGGGGAATTGGGTGTGATGGCAACAATAAGCAAACTATTACGTTGAATGAAGAGCTTCCTCGCTGTATTTCATCAGATCTCCTATGACATGCCTCAATCGTGCGACTTGGCTGCGTTCTTCCCTTAAGGCCACCTCGGTCTCTTTGAGCTGAACAAGCCAATTCTTGATCTCCTCGTCCTTGGCACGTAACTTTTTCCTGCTCAACTCCAATTGATATGTGGCATTTTCACCTTGTCCTTCGAGATCCTTGATCTTGGACTTGTAATTCAATACTTGTTGCTGCAACTCATATCTTGCATCGACCGCAGTAGAAAACTCTTCTCGTGTCCGTGACAAATCTTTGAGGATGGCTTCCACTGTATCCTCCAATTGTGTAATGCGTGCAATACGTTTCTCATCCATCGATCGTGCTTCTCGTGCTTCCTGCAACTGCCCTTGCATATCACTGATTTCATTCCTTGCCACATTGAGCTCCTCCTCCATCCCATGCATCGCCTCTTCGAGTTGATCACATCGTCGAGAAACACGTTTCTTTTCCAAATCAGCTGACATTGCTTCCTCTTGTGCTTGTTGTAACTGTGCCTTTTGCTCTTGAATGATGTGCTGCAATTTCTCAATATGTGATGTTGCATCTTCCAATGTCATGGATAATTCCTCCAGCTTGCGAATTTGTTCCTCATAATCACGTAACTTGGTGTGCATATCCTCAAGCTCATGGGTCAGTTGAACAACCTTTTGTTTGGCTGATGCCAATTCTTTGGTACGTGCAAGATCCGCTTCTTCAAGCTCCTCTTCCCTACGTGCAGCTGCATTGGCCATTTGAGTGAGATGTGATGCTGTGTCGGCAAGTTCACGTGATAAGCTGGTTTTGGCTGCATGCAGATTGCTGATAAGTTCATCCTTCTCTTTGGCTTGTCGAATTGTTGCCTGAGCACGCTCATATTCACCGCGCACACGAGCTACCTCCTTTTCCTTGAGCTCCAACTGATAATTCAAATCCTCAATCGTCTCTTCATGTTCTCTCACACGTCGTGTAGCCGTCTGATTGTGTGCCAATTCACTTCGTGCTCGTTCCAATTGCTTGTTGCACGCATCAAGGTCATATTCCAAATCTCGTATCCTCTCTTCGGCATCCTTCATATCTTGTAACTTGGACTGAAGTCGACCATATTCAACCTTGAGTTCTTGTAATTCCTTCTCGCTCGTCGTCTGATCACGTCGAAGTTCATCACGTATACGCATCATCTCTTTATCCTTGAGCTTCAGCTGATGATTCAAGTCGTCAATAGTCGCTTCATTTTCTCTGGCACGTCGTGCAGCTGTTTGACTACGCTCCAGCTCATTCCTCACTCGTTGCAATTGCTTGTTGCTTGTATCAAGATCATATTCCAAGTCTCGTATCCTCTCTTCAGCATCCTTGTTCTCTTGTAACTTGGATTGAAGACGATCATATTCAGCCTTGAGCTCAAGCAACTCCCTTTCGTTTGTCGTATGATCACGTTGAAGCTCATCACGTACACGTGTCACTTCCTTCTCCTTGAGCTGTAGCTGGAAATTCAAGTCATCAATGGTCGCCTCGTATTCCTTGGCACGTTCTGCTGTTGATTGGCTACGCTCTAGCTCATTCCTCACTCGCTGCAATTGCTTGTTACTGATATCCAATTCAGACTCCAAATCTTGTATCTTGTCCTCCGCCATCTTTGCATCATGTTCCAATTCTGAAGTACGTGCACGTAGCTTATCGATCTCAGCCTGACGCGTATTACTCTCGATAGTCAATGCATCGTTCTCATTGGAAAGCTCGTCGAGTTTGTCGCGAAGGGATTTCATCTCATGATAGGATCGATTGTAGTCGGATTCTTGAGTACGCGTTTGATTCTGCAACCTCTCATTTTCCATGGTGGATTCTTCCAGCTGAGTGCGCACCTCAATCAACTCCTTTCCCATACGTTCATGCTCACTCGCAAGCTGATCATACATTTCATGTAGCTCATTATCCTGCTCACGACTCTTGCTTTGCTGTTGCTCCAATTGCTGCTCCAATTCCTTCACCTTGTCTTGAGATGCTCGAAGCTGTTCCTCCAGATAGGTGCGATCATCATTCGCATGTGTTTTATCATAAGCCAATGCTTCCTTTTCTGCAATACGGTCGACAAGCGTTTGGATCTGCTTTTGATGGCTCTCCACCAACTCATCATGCTTCTTTTGTAACTCATCACGTTCAAGCGTCATGCTGTGGAGCTGTGCTTTGAGTTCACGTGCCTGGTTGTAAGCTTCCTGCACCTTGGTCTTGGCCTCATCGACAACTGACGACGTCTCGTTGCCATTGTAATGTGCAAAGTTGGTTTCACGCAACGGTCGAAAATAGGAGCGTCTGGGTGCCTTTGGATTCCCTCGTGGTGTAGCAATGCGATCGTTGCCCCAGGATTCATCTGCATACGAAACTCGCGTACTAGGTCGAAGGTCGTGCACTTCAGGTGATCGTCTGCCTCTCACCATGGCAGTGTGCTATAGTACAATGTATATGAGATGCCTATTGCTACTTTGGAATAAATGTAACTTACCTATGAGAAGTGTTGTCAAGGAAGAGATTAATAGAAGGGTAAAGTGGCGTGATTGAGAGAGTGCGAGTGAATGGGGAATGAGGGAAAGCGTTTGAAGAAAAATAAAGTCAAAGGGGGAAAAGGAAGAAAACTGAGCACGCGTTTCCAGGTGGGTTGCACCGATTTTCAATACAGCGCGCTCTTTTGATCACACGGCCCTGGTGAACTATTCCACCACTACCATGGATATCGTAGACATGGTGACCATCGATGTCTTGCTTAATACATACAATGATGGTTACCATGACCTATGAGCAATCACATTTATCATTCACATTCTTTCTACTACGCGTCAGCCATCTATCAGATACAGGTGACTCCTTCTTATACCCATGCCCTAAGTATCCAAGTATGATGATTTGACGAGGATTTGTTATCTAAACGGTGTCGCTAGGATATCGCCCTCCTTGTAAGAATACGAACACTATCCTAATACAAGTTAAGCACAAGGAACAAGAAGCTTGAAAGACTCCATGTGATGATGAAGAGCCCACTTTGATATAAGAATGAGTAATTATCAACAAGCGAACTTTATTGCAATGAACCTTTTCATCTATAAAGAATGATATCCCAATCATATAAGGGGGATCGTGTGTACGCATTGTATCATTGAAGAACACAAAGAGTAGGTTTTAATATGAAACATATGCAGCTGTTTGATTGGTCATTGATTGGAGGAGTTGAAGCCACGGATTGCGGTATAAAGTGGAGAAAGAGACCCGAGGATTCATTCTGCTTGTGGTTGCACCTAGAAAACTTCTCTTTTGATATGAACAACGTGGTCAACAGCTTACTCAACGGCTTCTCAAGCATGTTGGCCTTGGGTGGCGACGCCCCAGCAAGTGATCAGGGTGGTTGCGCATGTGCAGGTCCAGAAGGCGGATCTTGTTGCAAGACTCAACAACAGCCCAAAGCAGCAGCAGAAAAAGACAATTGTGCATGTGGTCCTCAACAAGGTCCCACTGAAATCGAGTCCATGAAGTTGTTTTATGCGACGCTGACAGGAACAGCAAAGACGTTTGCGGCTGAACTTCAACAACGACTTGAACAAGACAACAACGTCAAGATCAAGCAACTGCAACTAGTGGAGATCACCGATTACGACAATGACGACTTGTTGACAGAGACCTCTGTATGCGTCTTCTTATTATCGTGCTATAACGTGGAAGGACCTTTAGATTGGTATGTATATGTATAAATGGATGATGCATGATGGCATTTTGACTGATTGAGAATGATATTCAAGGTTCTCCAAATGGCTCAGAGATCTTCGATACGATTGGCGTGTGGATCGTCTTGCACTTCAAAAGCTACGATATGCTGTATGTGGTTTGGGTGATTCTGCGTATGGTGAAGAATTCAATGTGGCTGCAGCACAAATCGACAAATGGCTCGGTCAACTTGGTGCCACTCGTATCTATCCATTGGGTTCATGCGACAAGAATGCAGATCAAAAGGCACAGTTTGAAGAATGGGCGGATCAATTCGTAAAGGAGTTGCACGACAAGAGCTCTTTGGAATTCGCTCCTGCACATATCGAATATGACTCGGATGCTGAAGGTGAAGAAGAAGCTGAGGATGAACAAGAGCAGCAAGAAGTTCAAATTGGATCTGAAGACGAGATGGTCGATGTGGAGGATATGGGCAAAATGGCAACCAAGTTGAAGACAGCAAAGGAGAATCGTGAACGTGAGGAGCATGAATACACAGTGGCACAAGCTAAGGCAAAGCGCACAATTGGTGTTGATGGACATACAACGGTTGTCAAGAAATCAGAACCACGTGAGATGGTATCGCCTATGCTTCACAAGAACCTTACAAAGCAAGGATACAAGATCGTTGGCTCTCATTCGGGTGTCAAGATTTGTCGATGGACCAAGGCAGCATTACGTGGTCGTGGTTTCTGTTATAAGCACAGCTTTTATGGTATCCAAAGTCATTTGTGTATGGAAACCACCCCTTCGCTTGCATGTGCAAACAAGTGTGTCTTTTGTTGGCGCCATCATACCAATCCTGTGGGCACTACTTGGCGTTGGAAGGTGGATGATCCCAAATTTATCTTGGATGGTGCTATGGAGAATCACTACAAGATGATCAAGCAACTCAAAGGTGTACCAGGTGTGAAGGCTGATCGTTTCCAGGAAGCATCCACTATCAGACATTGTGCTTTATCTCTCGTGGGTGAGCCCATTTTCGTAAGTGAAGGGATATGCTTTTGCATTATCGATTACTAATGTTAACATGTTTTATAGTATCCGCATATCAATGAATTTGTCAAACTCTTGCACGAGCACAACATCTCATCATTCTTGGTTACCAATGCTCAGTTCCCTGAAAAGATTACTGAAATGGATCTTGTTACCCAACTATATGTCAGCATCGATGCCGGTACAAAGGAAGGATTGAAGAAAATCGATCGCCCCCTCTTCCGTGATTTCTGGGAACGTTTCCTCGATAGCTTGGAAGCCCTCGCCAAAAAGGGTCAACGCACCGTATACCGATTGACACTCGTCAAGGATCACAACACTGAAGAATTGGATAATTACGTTGAGTTGGTGCGACGGGGTAAACCTTCCTTTATTGAAGTCAAGGGTGTGACCTATTGTGGCTATAGTGGTGCAAGCAACTTGACAATGGCCAACGTCCCCTACCATCACGAAGTGGTCGACTTTTGCCAAAAGCTCACTGAGAAGCTTGGTCCCGGTTATGAAGTTGCTGCTGAGCATGCTCATTCTTGTTCGATTCTTATTGCACAAACATCATTCAAAATCAATGGCGAATGGCATACGCATATCGACTATGACAAATTCTTTGAGCTTGTAAGGAGCGGCAAGCCTTTCAATAGCTTGGATTATGTGGCCAAGACACCATCATGGGCTGTATTTGGTGCTCCAGAAGGTGGTTTCAATCCGGATGATACACGATTCTACCGCAAAAACCGTAAAGTAGCCCCAGCGTCATAATCCAATCCACCTTTTTGTTTATTTATGCATAAAAAACTTGTTGTTCATATGACCTTGTCACACCTATAAATCATATCATGTTTTCCCATCATTTTTTCTATAACGCTCTTCCTTTCCATCAATGTCTGAAAAATCGACTACTGGCAAATCCGACAAGAGTCATCCGCGTCAAAGAACACGATCTTCAAAAGCGGGTCTTCAGTTTCCTGTGGGTCGCGTCCATCGCTTCCTTCGTGAGGGTCATTTTGCACCTCGAGTCGCTGAAGGATCAGCCATTTATCTTACGGCAGTACTTGAATACTTGACAGCCGAAGTACTCGAGTTGGCGGGTAATGCTGCCATTGATAACAGAAAGACACGCATCAACCCACGCCATCTGCAGCTGGCTATTCGAAATGACGAGGAGCTCCATATTCTTCTTGATGATGTCACTATTGCTCAAGGTGGTGTGCTGCCCAACATCCATACCAGCTTGCTTCCCAAAAAACACCTACATGACATGCAAACGCGAATGAAGCAATCACCAGAATTGTAAAACCCTTTTGATCCTTTATCACATACTTCTTGCGACGTTCACCTATCCATACCATTACCTTGCGTAAAGAAAAAAGAATGACCTATAATACTCCATGTTTTGGTAATACCACTACTACTAGCATTTATCATCTTGAATAAAAGCTCTTGCATCTGATCAATCAAAAAGGGCATCCTTTGAATAAGATACTATCATTTACTAATATGCACTACTACTAAAGTAAGTATTGTAAGGGTACAAAGTAACTCGACGTTAGGCGGTTGTCTTTTCGTCTTCGACTTGTTGCTTTGTTTCTTGGTTGTGGTTCTCGCCGTTTTGTCTCAAGTGAGCGAGAGGATCATCGGGATCGATACCTTTTGCACGTAGCTCCTTTTCAGCGCTCTTGACAAACATGGCCTTGGTGGAGAAAATAACATCAAGTTCTTCAAGGGATTTAGACATTGTCTCTGGATACAGTGCCCATACCACAGGGACAACAGCAATATTGAATCCAGCGTAAAGAATGAACGTAGCCCATCCAATCTTTTCAAATAGGGAGGGTGTGGATAATGTCACCAGGCCATTACCAATGGACCATCCAATAGTACTCCATGCACCACCACGTGCGCGCACTTTGAGTGGGAAGATCTCGACCTACAATCTTTGCGTGTGAGTTGCCATCCATATCCATCCCAAACGTCCTTCTCATTCATACTCACAGGATATAGCCAGGTGACAGTCAACCATGTCATGCCAAAGAATGCTGTATACAAAAACACAAACACCGTCGCACCAATGCCCATGCCCTATTCAACATGCATGATCAATGACATGTCATGCCATCAATGTTTATACAAACATACCAGCGGATTTCTTTCAAGAATGTCAGGCTTGCATAGAATACCAATACCAATAAAGCATATTGCTTGGCACACAGCACCATACATCATGATAAATCGACGTCCCCACCTATCCAATGTGATGACTGCGACAAAGGTAGATATCATGTATGTGATGTTGTTGATGCCAGCAACCAGCATAGACACAAAGGAATCAAAACCAGCCAATCGAAAGATCTCAGGAGCGTAGATCGTTACCTAGAAGATGTCATCCTGTGTAAGCGATCGTAAAGGGAAGATTGATTATGGTCATACTCACCACACCAATACCAACAAGCTACAAGATGCATGTAAACGTTGCATATGAGAACAAAAGCGACATGGCTATACCTTGTAAATACATTACCTGTTGCATAATTTGGATCCACACAGTCATATGAACACGTCGTGGGATATTCATTTCATCCTTTTCAAACAACATCTTGTAAAAGCTGGGTTCACCTCCTTGTGCCTCTTCAATACGCAACGTTTCTCGAATTTCTTTAAGTTCATGAAGCACGTTGGGGTGATTACGATCACCATCACCTCTTAAGGCAGCAAGCACTTGGATAGCTTGCTCCTCACGATTATGCTTTAATAGCCAACGGGGAGACTCAGGGAAGAAAAAGACCATGACCAATAATACCATCTGAGGAAACATTTGGAACGCTATTGGGAATCTCCATCGAACGCTGTTGTCAGGTGCAAACGTCATGGCAAATGCGAGCCAATACTATTATAGAATTAGCCTGTGAACCATCACCCAAAAACATCGTTTGCTGTACTTACGGCAACAACAACACCAAAGATGTTTAATGAGAATTGCATTGCAATAAAGGCACCTCGACTCATAGGCGTACTCGTTTCAGCCGACCATACCGGTACAATGGCATTCCTATTATGATGTCATCCTTGGCCATCAATATGATTGATGCATACACATGTACCTTTGGACTTACAAGTAGCCTGTAGCAACGCCTGTAATGATACGGGAGCAAATCATCCATTCCACATTTTGAGCAGCCGTCTGTAATGTAGCGCCAAAGATACCCCAAATGCATCCAAGGATGACACATTTGATACGTCCCAGCTTGTCGCCTGCATATCCACCAAAGAATGAACCGATCAGGGAACCGCAATAGTAAGCAGCAACAACCCCTCCACGCATTGCTTCATTTCCACCCAAGTTCATGGTCTCAATGTAATCGCGTGAGTTGTTGACACCTGCCATCAAGCCTTGATCATACTACAACATTCAAATTAAGTACGTGAGCTTTGAAATGAGGATTGTGACAGCCAACGAACAACATACACCAAATGCAAAGATGCTGAAACCACATGCAACATTGATGGCAATGATCAGCTTACGCCCATGCAGCTTGTCAGCAATATTGAAAACTGCCATATTGCTGAAATTTCGTTGTGAGTGTGTATACGCGCGAATTAGCAATCACAACAAGGCCGGTTGCTTATATACAAACACTTTTATGGGAACACAATATGTATATAGCTGATTTCCCTTGTTGTACTAAGAAGATCACTCTCATCCGGAGGCTGATATCCACAAGATATGAATTACTCAAATGGTTGTTTTACAATGGTAACTGGCTTCTTTTGGGGGGAGGGGAAGGAAAATGGATTTCATAATTGGAAAGAATGACCCATGTGTGTTGCTATTGTTGTCAATAGAAAGCAGGTACTTTTCTTCATCCTCACATGACCCATCGTAGCTGCGTATGTGTGTTTTCTGATCCATCAGAAAGTCGAGTAGATTCTGCATTCTGCTGTGTAACCATGTCAGCCTCTCGCAATAATGCAGCATGCCTTTCCGCTGCCGATTTGCCGTTCCTGGTTGGCTGTCGTTCGCAGCATTTACACAGGATCCACCTCTCGTGTTACACCACTCCGAGGTTTTGATTCGTTAAATTGATTCTTTGCTTCTTTTTAGGCATTTCATTCTACGATTTCCTTTGTTTGATACTATTCTCAATTACTAAATTCATGTTCCTTGAGTACGGCGCTGATCCGTTGATCCGATAGAGGCATGACATTCACCCCTTTAGGTTCAAAGGTAGCATCCATAAAAGGAGGGCTCGTTCACGTCGTGTTCTTTTGCAAGATTGCAGCCTGCGGTATCAAGTAGCCATCGCTTTTGTATACGAATTCGGTAATCAACGCTGTATCCCCATTGTCATTCTCCCATTTTATATAATCAAAGATCATGTGTATTTATTTGTTGTGGTGTATGGAATGGGCACGATCACACACCTTACTCGACATTCCACTATATAAACGTGATACCTCACGTATTCCTCGATTGATGCTCAAGTTAATGCGGCATTCGGCTTGGCAAACTCTAGCTAATATGGCCATGTGTGTCACGTCATAATCCTCTTGATTCAAGGGTCATATGAGCCTTTGCGCTACATCATAAGCGATCCCAAAGTATTACGTTAATACATGTAATGAACATGGTTGTTGTAATACACTTACTAGTTGCAGGCACAGCATATAAAATGTAAGAGCTAGTCCTCATGCAAACTCGAGAACTCGGCATGTAAATGGTCCAGGCTTGCTGCACGCCGATTTGACCTTGCAATTCTCATCTTAAATACGAGCTTGCGTTTGCAGTACTTGCAACAACTTTGGTCTTCATTGATACATGCTTGATACGCCTCCTCAACGCACGTACTTATGTCACCTACAAAGGAGTCCCAAATTTCCCATCAGATTGAGAGGTTGCCTTTTGCCTACAAGTATACCTACCACGAAGGGTCCATCAAGGAACGCAGCCAAATGCCATTAGGCAGCAATGAGCGCACCAAGTTATGGTAAAGCAAGGGAGTGAGCTACATAGATGAATGCATGAGTACCCTCACATAAAAAAGGACTATCCTTGAGACTTACCAAGGGCCATTGATGATGATATGCATACAAGTAGAAAGAAAGGGTGTATGATAGTGTAGGTGCAAAGAGCCTTGTTTATATGTGAGTGGGCGTGGGTATTGTTGTCATGATGGATCGAATTGATAAAGTGGTCAAGCATCTTGGAGTATGAGCCGAAGTGACACAAGTATGTCCGACACAGCACATTGGCTTCTTATTCACGTGACAAAAATGGGATTGAGGCATGTGTGTGGGTGATCCTCGTCGTTCTCTTTTGTACTTTTCCTTCGCTCTCTCTTAAAGACAAATGCTGCAGCTATACGATCCGACAAAGGCATCCGGTCATAGAAACGAAGCAAGCATCGGTTCCTGATTCTCATAATGGTCGCCATGTCCTTCCCGGTTTGTTGAATCAAGGTCAGGTAGAGAACGATTGGGACGACAGCCTTCTTGGAAAGGGTTGGTCTTGCTGACAAGTATGAAGGTTCCAATGCACTTATGGCAATGTTCTTGAAGTTGTAGCTCTTGTCGTTGGTACTCGCCTTTTCGCGTCCTTCCTTCATACGGGTCTTGATCGTACTTCCGCTGGCGCTGGTGTGTTTGGTGCTATGAAAAAGATGATGCCGAAGGATAATGCTTGTATATTGATACTGGAGGTACCTTTCGACCTGCTCGCATCCTTGCTACAGCACATCGCTGTCATCTTACGTATGAAGAAACACTCGACAGCATTGCAGATGTTCGTGCATACAATGGTGATGCATCAAGAGGCTCTTCTCGTTCAAGCGTCAACTATCATATCCCAATCACGGTATGTATTATTCACTTTGCAAAAGCGTATCTCTGACAACACTTTGTCATCCATATTTGCCGTCCTTATCCTTGACAGTGGTATTGTTTATATCGCATGGATAACTTTGGGTCGTGAGGAACCAGCAGCTCGTCAAATGGTATTTATGCATCAATTACAACGGCTTGCCGATGAAGTATGTGTGGATACAAGTGTGCTTATCATTGTGTGTTAAGATGATCTTCTCACCCATCCGGATTTCAATTTATAGTTTTGTGTGGTAGCCATGACAACCAACCATGTGGTTGATCAGCCTGATGGAAGTTCGCCATGTCCAGTTCAGTCCCACAAAGCCAGTCATATTATCGCGCATGCACCCACAACAAGGTACACCAATTATTTGTTACGGTTCTATCAATACTATCGTTCACGCATTCATTGTCTATATTGCATCTCCGTGAAGGTCTCGAGGTAAACCGCCATTGCAAAGTCTACAAGTCACCATCTTTACCAGAAAATGAAGCATGTTTGCCATCTCCAAGGATGATACCATTGTTGTGAATGAATTGACTAGGAATCCTACCAGCAGCAATTATCCATCGTCGCCTATACAATCTCTTACCTACCTTTACTCGCATGTTTTAACGTTATAAATGTCAATACACTATCATGTTATGGAACCATCTCCCGATCATTGTTGTCATTATTGAGTCGTCGAATCGATGAATAGGGGTATGTGAAGATGTCTTGGTAGTAGAGATCATTCATAAGATTTCTTATGTGCGGAAAGTGTATCATCAAATGACCCTTATTCATGACATGGTACTCGTAGTCAATCATATTATAAGGTAGAATAATGCGAGTGGTATTTATTATACACAAATAGTAGCAATGTTTACATCTTGGCACCCATAAAGGAGGCAATCTTGGTCGATTGACGAATACCCAGCTCAAGCATAATTTCTTCGGATCCACCAGGTACACTGTAAGCACGGACCTCACGATTCAAACGTTCGATACGCTCTCCTTGACCACCACGTGTATATGACAATCCACCAAAGATTTGAGCAGCTTCACGTGCACAGAATTCGAATGTACGTGTGGATTGAGCCTTGCACACTAAAGGCAAAAAAAAAGCCAACATCATTAGTGAAACATGATCATGGTACACCTTCACTATTACGTACAAGCAATGTGGCCACCAAGACGCAAAGGTTGAAGATCCAAAGGCATATGCAAGGCCTGATAGGCGAGAATCTCCATCCATGCATGTGTCGCTTCGATTTTTCGGATCATGTGTGCCATCTTGTTACGAATCACAGGGTGGTCAATAAGACGTTTGCCGAAAGTCTTTCTCTTGTGTGCGTACTACAAGAATGGACGTGGATGTGAGCTATACACTTTTTCATTACTACTATCGGGGCAATCAAGATCTTACCACGATGGCATCCTCAAGGCACACACGTGCAAATCGATTAGCTTGAATGACAATACCCATACGCTCAGCGTTGAAGTTGCTATACTCATGGATATCAATACTTGTGTCTATAACATTCCACAGCTTTCTCTTTCACTTACGCGACAATGTAACGGAAACCCTGATTCTCTTCACCGATCAAGTTTGCCTTGGGTACCTTGACATCCTCAAAGGTGATATAAGAAGTGCCAGACGACCAAACACCGGAACATTGCATTTGACGTGTTGTAACACCTGGCATGGATCGCTCGACCAAAAGGAATGAAATGCCTTCAAATCCAGGTCCACCAGTGCGACATGCCACTGTAAAGTAGTCTGCAAATACACCATTGGTGATCCACTTCTTTTCGCCGTTTAACAAGTAGTGATCGCCCATATCCTTGGCTTCAGTTACTAGATTCGCTACGTCTGATCCTCCAGAGGGCTCAGTGATCGCCAAACAAATGAACTTCTCGCCCTTGAGTACATCAGGAATCACCCTACGCTTGAGTTCTTCCGATCCAAACTATAAAAAAACCCATCGACTTTTGTAAGCATGGTGTAGTTGCAAGACGCAAGTATTCATTGTAACTTACCAATCCCACAGGGGGAAGACCGATACCTAAACCTCCAATAAGACCCCATGTAATCTGGTTATAGTGTTAGGAACCATAAAGAAGATATCAAGAAAGAATGGAAATGATACTCACACCACCGGAGCCTGAACGTGATAGCTCATCAACGACAATCACATTATGGAAGGAATCCCATTCCTCAGGCTTGATACCAGCAGGATAACCATAAGGGAGCAATTCTGGGGGAGCGTGATGGCATGCAGCTGCAAGGATACCAGCCTTGGCAGCCTTGGTATATAGCTCAGCTGGAAGACGTTTGGCTTCATCCCATTCGTGTGCATAAGGAATGACTTCCTTGTCGACAAAATCACGCATAAACTTGCGCAGCTTACGATGCGAGTCGTTGTAGAAAGGACTGTAGTATAGCATACAATGAATAAATCAATCCTTCATTACAGTCCATCTTTGGACCTTACCTATACCAATCTTGGTACCTGAAAGTTACAAGAGGCAAAAGTCAGATGTTGTTGTTGCCTTGTTTGTTTGTGCTACTTACCACATGGGATCGCCAAAAGGCACCATATCACCAAATGTCTCACCAATCTGCAAGGGGGACTTTTCATCTTCTTCTTCCTCTGCTGCTGAAGCTTGAGGCTCACCGGTGCCCACTTCACCAATCAAAAATTTAGCACCAAGCTTGTCAAGCACAGCTCGATTATGGAAGGCGTCGAATTGCTTTGTAGCATCGGTGCCTGATGCTTTCAACAACACCTTTTTTCCGCCTGTTTACGAGATACGCATAATCGTCAGTACTGCACGTATTCGCGTGGCGTCTTTTCTTACCAGGGTGGTCATTTAGAAAGTTCGAAACATCATACACCTTGCCATGAACAATAATCCAGCTGAATAAAACACGTATGTGTAAGCCAATATGCAAGTCTATTATGATCCTGGCTGATTTTACCAGTCGTTCTCAGACTTGTGCTTGGCGACTTCTTCGATGGTGAATTGTTTGGACATGATGGAAAAGAGTGGGGGTATGTGTGTGTGTGGTAAATGTAAAAATCGGAAAACGAGGGGGTTGGACAACGGGAAAGAGAGGGAAAGAATATAAATAATGGCGAGGATGGGGGTTCACATGCAGATTGCCCTTTGCTTTTCGCATCGTATGACCTCATCTAATGAGCACGCTTGTGGGATTCTGCACATGAATTTACCACACACATGCTCATGTAATATTATTCCAAGAGACAGAGCAAGCGAGTGGGTGATCGGTTCTGCGGCTTGCATATCCCATGATGCTCACGTACATGAGCTGTATTTTTCATGTGAAGTATTGCTGTTGTAGGAGCCGCATTGATCTTCAGTGGCCGATGTTGCCTGCATTTGTATTATATGCATATACAGCCAATAATGGTGAATGCGTCGGCATTGCGACGACGAGATACTTTTTTTGTGGGGTAGCTACGAGACAGCAAAGTGCCACAATGCCGAAGAACAAAGGTTGTCGTAACACCCACGTTTCCTTTTCCGGTTCATAACACTGTAGTCATCAAACCTTCATTCACCATGAGAGAAAATTGAGCCGCGAAGTCGTGTGCACGTGCCACAAACACCATCCACGCATGAACCAGATGTTAGCTCTTCTCTTGCTGCCACTGTTGCATTTTGCGTATGCATATTGCATTTCCCAATGATTGATGGTGTCAATGATCTCGACTGCGACTATTAACAACAACGTAAAACCTCACGCCACTTTCAATATGGGCGCAATCAAATGTTTATTAACCCATCACAAGCACTCGATAAACCACTCCGATAAGTAGAACGAGATCATGATAAACAACATACTTATTGTTGGTAGCGTGCCATTTGCAAAGAAAAGACTACCCAATCCAGCTAATTTACACAATCCCGTTGGTGACGTCGGTGGTGGCCTTTTTCTCTTCAGCATCGGTAACCATGCTCCATTTGCCCAATGTGTCGCTGCTTCTCCAATGCGCCTCTTTATCATCCTTGCCAAATAAAAGGCTTGTCCGAACCAAAAGCTGCCTCAAGGATGGGATCGAAATGTTGATATGCAAAGATTTCGCCGAAAAAGGAAAGAGTGATAACAGCGGATGCGGCCATCTTGGAGCAAGTACCGAGGTGTTGGACGACCATGGTAACTGATCTACTGTTTGGAATACATAGGAGATCACCAAGTACTCACTGTTCAATTCAAATCAACCCTGTTAACTCTTCTCATCTTCCTTTGATGCATCCTTGCCTTACGTTAGAATCATCGTTCTTCGACCTGCTGCTGGCTGCTGTGACGATAGGAACCTTGCACTGTGGTATGCTGACATGCCTATCAAAGCGTATCAAAACCATTGATCGTTCATTCGAAGGAACAACTTACTACCATTATAGCGGTATACTCATCATCCAAAAGCGCTTAAAGACCATACGAAAGTGGCAATCGAAATGCAGGAGAAAGGTGGTAGATTGTGCTGAAGGTTTACAACGCTCGTTGTCGTGATTCCAGGTAATCGTGCAGTGCGTGTGTAGATGGTTGAGAAGCTTTTCTGATTTGCTCGTATGCAGTTGGCAGTAAGGACACAGGTGATTCAATGTTGGATCTCAAGATGGCGTGGTGGGTAAAAAGAGGGGGTGTCTTTCACACGAGCAACTGGATGGAGATGACCAGGACAATGCGCCGTGTCAATTTCAGCCGCCGATAGTAGATTATTATGCCGCCGAATCCAACATTCGCAGGACGATGCATCATGAGAGATAGCTCTATCGAACGGGATGTGTGTTAGTATTAGCATATGATTCATAAGACATCCATAAAAATATGATCAATTACAAAGAGTCCAATACCACAATGAATGCATGAAGACAATGAACCCCTCACAAAAGGTCAACACTCATCATCATCATGTATCATACATACATGGTTCTAATCCACAGGCTTTCAAAAAGGATTATCCACCATACCCAGAGAGATTTGAACTTTGAGAATAAAAGTTCGATGGAAGAAGGAGAGATGTGGCGTGTGCTAAAAGACAATCTTCTTGTCTAATGTGCACCTTGTTGGGCGTGTTGTGGGTGTCTATTCCCGTGCAGAGGTGAGGAGAGTGGTAAATCTCTGCTGGTAATGTTGCAAGGATGCATGGTTTAATAGGTTGTGCATGGCCTCATAAGATGGTGAGACATCCAAAACCAAGGTTAAATTTGCCTAGTATCCAAGTATGATGATTGTTCATGCATAAATCGTCTCCGGACGACATGGCCAAATAAGTAGAGTGCGATAATATCCATCGCCAAACAATAACATCAATACCCGATACTTTCTTAGTCATTCATCATTTGTTATCCCCATTACTTCATTGCCATCAAAAAGAGGTTTGCCATTGTCAGGCTATGTTTAGGCTTTAACCCCGGCATGGCTTCAATCAAACACGACCTGCCATTATGGTGCAACATTTGGGATCAAACGAAAGAGGCATTATGCACACCGAACATGACCGTGTCCTGTGCCTGAAGACAACCTCTCCAATGGCGGACCCAATGCTTAGTTGGATGAACTAGACCTAAAGCGGATCAATAGAGAATTTCAATCCTTTTTTGGAAAACAAAGTGGAGCACGATCTCTGGGACAAAGGCACACAGCACTTTTTCATGTTATCGCTTGTTTATTTGTATGATCATAAACGTAGCTTAATAACCTCAATTCTAATCTGGAGCCATGTTGCTGCTATTTGACCATTGTGCAAAACCAATTGAGCTTGACTATTAGGGCACCAAGAGATCATACTATCACCTGTTCCAGAATGCTTCGAAAAAAACAAAGATGCTGGTCTTGGAAATCGTGCATGCATATCCACCACCACAAACACCCGATAATAATTGAACAATCCATTGGCGAATAAATTATTACTTGTAAGCTGTATAGTAAAAAGAAAGGACAGGGATTAAATGGGACAAGGTATACGTGATATTCTTCCTGATTCGGCGAGAGTAACGAGATCCTTGTAATACATTCGCACTTCATCCGTTTGAAATAAATCCTTATCAACCTGCCATTGTCGTCCATCAATCAATTGTCCATGACTCATTTACACGCAAAACAAACCTGCGGTCGACATCGCAAAAGTGTCTCTTGTGCTTCGGATGGATTGAGCTGGTATACTCGTAACAGGTAACAAATAGCTATGGCAGCACTCCTTCCACGACCAGCTAAAGTGGTGGATTTTGTTAGTCTAGCACGTAATATGCATGTCCCATCGTATATATACCTTTGCAATGAATGTATACGGAGCCTTGGTCATCTTCTTGTTGGATGATTTTGAGTATAGAGTCAACACCTTGTTCGATATTGTCGTATGATGGAATAGTAAAGTCGCTCGTGATCAATCGGATTTGTTGAATGCCCAATTCATCGTATAAATGATGGTATCCTGGGAACTCTGCACATAGATTGATGATGCCAACCACTCGTTCACGCGACGTTAGTTGTTTGATGTGGGTCGGTGTTGGTAACGCGCCTATTAAAACATGCTGATCGATTCTGATATGCAAGAGACCACATGAGCACTCACACACATATGTACGTTATAGTTGTTTCTCTCTTTACCTATTGTACCATGACCATCCATTCATACAACCAAAAAGGCCAACCATGATCTACCCGAGACAATGAGTCGTCTTCAATAAGATGTATTTTATCTATACAGACCTTGTTATAATACAATGAGATATAGAAACGAGCCCAAATGAAAAGGTTGTCTGTTTCAGAGGCCTCTGGAAGTGTCTCGTCTCGCAATGAGGTCTTGACTCTGGAATCACGCTTTGAAGCAGTGCCTGAGGGTTTGAGAGCTTGACTGATTCCAAGTGATGACTCTTGGTGAGTGCAGACGGGGCGATCCTCTTCATCGTCGAATGAGTCGGTTGTATTGATACTCGTGGTCATTATGCGCGTGTGTGGGAGAGAAAAAGAGAAAGAGTGACAGATAAAGAAAAAGAGGAGGAGGAGGAGAAGAGAGTAGTAATAAAAGCCAATGTCAGCCGAATGAAGTACTCTAAATATCGGGAATTAACATTACAATACACCCCTCTCGATCACACGCAACGACACGATACACATACACACATACACGCTCTCTCCCTCTCTCATCCTTCTCAATTACATCATGTCCATCTGCATCAGTATGTATATCGGGATGCAGTAGCAGTAGGAGCTAAATGAACTATTTGGTCGTTGTAAAGGGCTAAATCGATCGGGCGATGATTGATTATGCATGCCCCAGTATCCCCCACCAATCACACCTTGGCCTGACAATCACATCGATTTCTCACGTTTCAAGTCAACAACCCCTTTATGAATTCTGACAACTTCTTTTCCGTAAATGCAATCAACATTTCATCCTGACTACCAATATCCAACGATACAAAAAACTGCATCCCATACTTGGAGGCTACAACGGTATCATGCTTTAGTATCTCATGATGGATAAAAACACCACCTCCTCCCCTTCCCCCCTTATTTACCCAATCTTCTGCCAATATTGCGACTTTGTTCAGAGACATCTTGTCCAAGTACGGTGGTCACTGCTGGATTGGCCTATAGGAGACGTAAGTGATACACGCCATTATGGTATACCTCCTTGACTCACTTGGCTGCCAAAAGCAGGCATGGCAATGGAGAGATCCTTCATGTTGGCTTGCTGCTTTCCCGCCCAAACAAAGAGCGACTTGTTCATTTGCACTGCCTGGAAGTGAATGGGTTCACCCAAGTACATGTGTGTTGTCTGATGGATAAGGAAGCGCGGATCGGTGTCGTCAGCCATAAGCGTGTAAACGTGTGTGTGCGTGTGCGTGTTCGCGAAAGAGGAAAGAATAGCGGAGTAAGGAACAAGTGGTTGATTTTATTGGCAACATTATAGAATCTAGCGACCTTTGTATACTGGCTTTCTCTTTTCCTTGAAAGCACGCAATCCTTCTAGTCGATCTTCAGTAGGAATAATTTGTGCATAGTAGGCTTGTTCAATCTCAAGACCAGCATCCCTAATAAATCATTGATTCCAATGTCAACACACACGTCTCTTTTCTTTGCTGCTTTTCAATACTCACATGTCCATCATGGCTCCACGATCCACTGCCATCTTGGCTGCTCTAAGTGCAAGGGGTGCCTGAGGAAGAATGCTCTCTGCAAGGGTCACTGCACGATCATATGCATTATCCTCTGCTGCATAATTTACAATGCCTACAATGTACTTGTCAATGCCTGCAACCTCCAACATTCAGCATACTCCCATACCATATTCATGTGCACGCTTGTTATCCAATGCTTGTGCAGTAAAGATCAACTCTTTAGCCTTGGAAGGGCCAATCAACTTGGTCAATCGCTGAGTACCACCAGCTCTACATGCACAATAAGTATACACATATATACACCATTGCTCCCTCACTCTTCCTTACCCTGGAATGATGGCAAGCTTAGTCTCTGGAAGACCAATCTTTGCACCGGGACCTACACATACGTTCAATAAGTACCCCATATTGTTTTGTCAAGTGGATGACGTGTTACCAGCAATGCGCATATCACAAGACAATGCCATTTCCAATCCACCACCCAAAGCAGCACCATCAATAGCAGCAATCGTAGGGATAGGAAGTGTCTATAATATCGTCATCCTCAATATCCAATACATCAAATCCTTTTTCTCTTACTACCTACCTCAAGGTCGCGATAAGCTTGACGAAGTGAATGCAAGAATTGAGTAACCTGAGTGGGATTCATGGTAGCACGTTCCTATCCAATCACCATGTACGATTAATCCATGTATAATAATGATCCTTGCTTGCTTCCCCAACCACCCACCTTGAGATCAGCACCAGCACAAAACACACCCTTGACCAAGCTCTGAACAATAAGCACACGTGCATCACTATCCAACATGTTAATGCATGAAGCGCGTTTCATCACACACACAACCTCCTTTGTACCTAGAAAATCGGATCTCTTCGAGAGCTTCACGGAATTCACGAAGCAACTTGATAGATAATGCGTTGCGTGCAGCAGGTCGGTCGAGCTTGAGAACAGCAATACCCTCTTGGTCACCTGTCAAACGCTCAATGTAGGCTTCCTTGGCACCAGCTGATTCGGCGTGAATGCCACGGGCAATGGTTAAAGGACGCGTAGCAATGGCAGCGGTTCGTGGCAAACGGCAAAAAGTACGCAACATAGTGAGTGTGTGAGTGTGTGTGAGAGAGAGTGAAAGAGGATAACGAGATAATGAATGTGCGAGCGGCCGCGTTTGACTATGGCTACCGTGGGAAAATCAGTTGTAACCAAGGAAATTAAACACCCCTTGTTGTCAACCAACAATTGCATGAATTGATCCAACTCCTTTTAATGTAATACGCTTTACGCTGGTTTATGTATTCCAACTCTTCTAAAGATATCCAATGGCTTACATACTGGTATCCACTCACTCATTTAGCTTCTTCTTGTATTTCAGGTTCCCCCGCAAGTTCATAGCCTTCCATACGTTCAATCATGCGCATTGTAACAAGATCTGAAAACCCGTAAAACTAATAAAGGATCATTAGCCTGAGATAAACCATACACGCCCATCATCATCATCATCATCCATCACTTACCAATGGCCCGCTTACGCGTGTACCTTGTGATTTGCTCTTTTTGCATGCCTCAGTCCACGGTGCTGTTGGTGTTGCTCCTTCAAAAATAGTCTTGCTCTCATTCACTTGAACCTATCATTATTCCATCAACATGTCAATAACAAGAAGATGAGGATGAACTTTTTACGTTACCTTGAAAACGGGTCCATCCTCACCCTTCTCAATGGCCATGTGGTATGTATTTCCAAAATGTTGTTTTGATGCACGAAATCCAATTGGATAAGGATGTCTGTATCGGCACTACGGTGTCCTGATTGAGTGATATTGCCGTATTGGATCCATTTCATACATACACCACGTCCACTCCAGTATTTTGATCGTCCTTTTCCCGTATATAACTCTCCCAGAGACCAAATGGTGGTTCCTATCGATACTATGTGACGAGAGTGTGTCATTTTGCCATGCAAAAGGTATAATGACTTTTGGGATGATTACCTAATGTCACTGGAGCACTAATGACAGCTGGGTCAAATGGCTGTTGTTCTTCGGAAAATTGGACCTTTGGTGCAATAGCAGCTTGTCGCATCTTGTCATTTTGATCCAGGAACGCTTCGATATCGACCTAGAATACACGTCAAATAGTGGACTACAACAGAGGAAAAAAGAGACTTACTGTGTCATCAGGTGCCTCGCCTTTGAGTCGTCGTGAAGTGCGCATAGGTGCAGGAGGTGCTTTGGATAACTTTTTGGGGTGCGAGCGTGCCTTCTTTCGAGGAGGTGGGTCATCGCTCTATAGTCCATGGTCAATGCACTGAAGCAAGCCAATGTCATGGGTAGTTCTTTTTACCTTGTGACCTGAAATGGGAGCGATCCGTTCATTATCGCCTGCAAGTCCAAGTTCTTCCAGGAGCTTCTTGTTCTCTTCAATGAGTCGTTGTCGCTTGAGCTCATACTCGCTAGAACAACAGAATGAGTCGTGTTTGGGTTGAATAAAAGTGTGCAATAGACAAGATACAAACCTCACTTCAGATACGTTGCCCAAAGTCATGGTGATTGATGATGGATGTGAAACGCGAGATGCCGCGTGCCTACAATTCCCAGCAACGTGGTAGTACTCACAACCACCACCAGCAGTGGCTTGTTCATCACCAGCACCACTTGCATGATAATTGGTTCTAACAATAGACACAGGTCCCGTTTACTCCTTCCGAGACAATGTCCTCCATTAAGCTCTTTATGAATCGATATCATGTGAGGATTGCTTACACATTAAGTTTGTAATGTTGTAGGGGAAGGCCTATCAGCTATGTAACACCAAGATAGTGAAGGAATTCCGGCTCATGCGCGCGCTTCATTAGTCGTTACTGTTCCCACGGCAACTTGAAATCAGATCAAAGCTATGCATGGACAAGGCAGCTTACCCTAGCATTTATCATTGAATAATGATTACCATGGCTTGTTGTGCGTCATTGTGTCGCTTTTACGTAGCAATGATGAAGCAATAAAAGGATTATACTATGTGCAGGACTTCTATATCTCCTTTTGACGACGATAGCTGACGCTTGTCAGCATGTTGGACAATCGTCAATTTCCATAGCCAATGAATTAAATGCCTTTTGAGATTTCCGATGCAAGCATCTTTGGGGCAATACAACGGCATCAAATGCACATGTTATATCAAACAATCAATGATGGAGCCAGCTTGTGGAGGAGGACAATGAACGATGGTGGTCATTACATATAATAAAACTTGATTGATTGTTCACCCCCATCAGAGTGAGTATTATAGCGATGTATATGCGTTATGGACGAGTGTGTGTGACATGGATTTTCGGTTGCAGCCGCCGTGATGATGGATTTCTGACACGGTCATGTGGCCATAGGCAACCCTATCGCTTATTTAATGCGATGCATCCACAGGGTGGAAATTGTATCAACGCGTCTTTCTTTCACTTTTCTTAACATGGTTTCTAATCCTACAATGCAAGTGGTTTATTCCCCCGATGGCATGTTGCATGATCCACCCACCGAGGTGACACGAGGAGAAGCAAAACCATACCTTGGTAAATGCACACATTCATATTCACCCGCCTTGGTATTGACAACCTTATTCAGAATCCCCTGCACGTCTTGCTTCTATCAAGGCCTTCATTGACAGCCAACCCAACCAATTCAATGTCATTTCACCCCAAGATTACTCATTGACCCCCATTGTCCAAGTCCATGAGCAAGACTATATCGAGTTCCTTTCGACTATCCATCAAGACTGGGTCAAGGATGGTATGCCTGCTTCAGGTACAACCGGCGAGGCATTTGTTCTTTCCAATGTGGTGGGCAAATTGGATCCTGCTGTGCTCAAAAAGAATGTCAACCAAACTGCCACGGGTCGCATTGGCTATTACACATTTGACATGTCGGTTGCTTTTATGAAAGGTATGATCTATTAAACGTTACATGATCATCAAAAAGCTTATGTGGATATCAAGATACTTGGCGTGCTGCCTATGTTTCGGCACAGATTGCCATGACCGCCGCCCACAAGCTTCTCAAGGAACAATCACCCTCGATCTATGCCTTGTGTCGACCCCCTGGACATCATGCTACATGCAATGTTGCAGGCGGTAAGTGATTTATGCAAGGTTGATTGATAGGGTGTGCTCACGTGATGTCGCATACAGGCTACTGCTTTATCAACAATGTTGCTGTTGTCACGCGATTTGTTCAAGATTACACAATTGAGGAAATGGATACCATGGTCAAGGCTCTCGAATATGATGAAAAGAATTCGCTCATTCCCAGTGCTCCCAAGCCCTCAGCACGTTCATCATCCTCATCGAGAAAGAAGGTGCTCATTGTTGATATCGATCATCATCAGTAAGTTTGGACAACTACACGTGTTGATGAATGGATTTTAACACACGACTTTAAGTGGAAACGGCACACAAGATATCTTTTATGATGATCCCTCGGTGATGTATGTGTCATTGCATGGCTATCCCGATTATCCCTTCTTTACCGGCAGTACAGAGGAGATTGGCGAAGGAGAAGGAAAAGGCTACAATATCAATATCCCATTGAATCCCAAGACGACTACCGATGAAATTTATCTCGAGAATCTTAAAGGTGTCTTGCAAAGCCAGGCTGTCATTGACTTTGGTGCAGAGTTTGTCATTGTCTCCATGGGCTTGGATACTTGGCATGAGGACCCTGTTGCTGGCATGAAGGGTATCAAAAAGGTGGAGACTTACTTTGAGATGGGTAAATTGATCAAGAATAGCAAGAGTACCACAGGTCGTCAGGTGCTCTTTGTTCAAGAAGGAGGCTATACTATTGAAAAGTTGGGATTATTAGCTGGTAGAGTATTGCAAGGTTTCATGGAATAGAATAAAGACGATTTGGATATATGTATCTTTTGATTGTAACGAGAAGTTGTCATTGTAGCATAGACCTACCCTATTCGGGCGGTATAAAGGTCATTACGGTATGATGCTCTTGTCTGCCAGCACTATATGCATCATTATCATGTATGAAATGACTCCTTTTACTGCTTTACGCAATAATGGATCCTTTTATTTACAAGTAGTATTTGTATCATTGTGGAGTGAGTGAGATTTAACTTGCCGACAGCCCAACCACGGAAACTAAATTTGGGGACACAACGCTTCACCCTTCTTTCCTTTACCCCATTCAAGGCAACCCCGTCAAGGTAATGTATGATAAAAGAGTGCTTTTGTTGGTTGCGAGGTATTAACATACACTGAAAACCCATAGGAAGGAGTGTGTGCAAGTGCCGTTGCCATAGTGATATCGCCGCTCGTGTTCTTTATTATGCCACTCCACGTTTGGTGCAACCGGTACATTCCAAACCCAATGCAGCAGAAGAGCTTGCTCCATTGACATGCTAGCATGTATAGACATCAAGATTCGATCTCAAGGACCATGTTGGCTCATTTGACTTTTGTTTCTCCTCTGCTCGACTACATCATGGCGTCGGTTCTTTATGTATACGAAAAAGGCAGGTGTAACGAAGAAACAATGACGATGTTTATTGTATTTATGAATGTTGCTATTATTGGACAGGCTTTTTGTTGGAAGAGCATGGTCATCAAGAGGGTAAAACAGGGTTTGCAAGAGCTCGTCATCCTTCCCGTCGTATAGGCGTTTTCTTTTGCTTACGGAGACGATGGTGATCGCGATAGCGATGATAACGACGACTACACGAGCAAGGATCGGATACTTTTTTCTTCCAATATGCTGCTTGATGAATCCTATATCTCGTTGACATACAAGATTCCAATGATTGTTATGATGACGACCATCGATGGTTGATGATTGACGATGAAGACACCACTTGCACCAGGCCAGCTTATACATGCCATCTTCTTGCTGTAAATCGTAGCCTGGATTGTTTCTTTATGGAAATGAAAAAAGGTATTGGTATCGCATATTAAGATGGATGGATACACAATGACTAATACGTATGATTGCAGCCATTGTTCTCTTTGTTGAGCTCGTCAGATGGCATGAGTCCATCGTTTTTTGATACTCAAGACACCAGCATACCATCCATGATGCTGCAACAACCGGCCCCTGTAGCAGATCGCATCCTCTCGGTGTGTGATGAGATGCATACCATGATGAGAAACCTGAATGGCCTGATGCAAGTGGTGCAAAGGCAAGTCGACACGTTGGCTTCAACAAGGACCTCCAATGACGACCCTTGGATGCTGAAGGTCTCTTCAGCAAGGCCACCTTTACACCTCGCAGCATCGCGAGGTTTACCAAAGACAAGCATGGTAACGCTATGCGATTCATTTTACTTGGGAAACATTGTGGCGTCTATGTCAGGAGGGAACAGGCAAGGTGCTAAGTGAGGATGAAACGCGGCTCATCAAGAGAGAGATCAAGGATCGGCAGTTGGCTGCTTGCGCTAAGTCAAAGGTATGTTTTGAGCACAACCTTGATCCTGTTCAACGTAAGTATCATTAAACGTTTCCACTTGAGTGATTTATTGATACACATTTATAATAGGTCATCAGCTCGCTCAAGTGTCATATGTATTCATACCTCGACAGCAAATCTCATATCAACATTGATATCCATGATAGGCACTGGTCATTCGTCGACACCAAAAAGGAGTGGTGGCATGAGCAAGATAGCTCCCGTCGCACCCGATAGTAGTTTTTTCTTTCAATAAAGCGATTCTTTCTACGAGGTCTTCATTATTATCCGGTATATGCAGTGCACCGTGTATGCATAATCATACAAATATACATGCTATGATTGAGATATTACGTATAAAAAGAAGATGATAGAGAAAGTGAAAGTACGTTGAGAATCAATATACTGTATCCAACTGCTGTTGCCAGCTACAACTACAACATGTCTTATATAGGTTTCTAGGATGGTTGTGTGACGATGATTCGGTGTCCTCTTGCGGGATGAGTGTGGTCGTTGTGATACCTTGGCTTGTCACCTTGTGCTTGATGATGGTATTGGTACTTGAAATACGACAATGATCTCAATTGCTCCTTGTTGTTCGCCTTGCTCATGGTTACAATGTGCCCACACACTACAACATAGGTGTTCTACATCCCCTCAACGTTTATTCATCCACACGCAAAATAAAAGCTCAAGATCACGTGACCCCACAAAACAAGAAAACAAAAAGCTTCTAGATTCATTCTAATCAATTGCCTAATTTAGCTGATGGTGGTTTCGATCCACCGGCCTTTGGGTTATGAGCCCAACGCGCTTCCTCTGCGCTAATCAGCTCTTTATTTAATTGGACGTGCAACTGACAGGTAGGTTTGTAAATTTCCAAATTAGGAAGGTGATCATAGGATGATAGAAAAAGTTGTATAATGTAGCTGAATTGGTATAGAATGTAATGATGAGAAAAGGAAGTGATTTGGGAGGGTCATTGTAGCGCAATTTCAACTACAAGTAGTTTAGTAGATGTATTAGTCAGAGTGAAGTGGTAGGCTAGAGCCCCACCGGAGGCAACGTTCATCTCTTTTATACACGGCCCAATGTTTTTGGGATGTGTACGACGTTCTCAAGAAGTTAAAGGAACGCGTAAACACAGCTACGTCCATTCATCTCCCATTGAGCTGTGGGGCTTTTGAAAAATTCATTTGGTTTGTCCCCGCTGAGCGGCAGGACTTGATCCCCCACCCACTCATTCCTACCCCGCTGAGTGGTTGGACTTGGAAAGATCCCCCTTTTCCTGCTACTGCATACACACGCGCTTTATTTCACACTTACACCAACAACACCTCTTTTATGTTATCCTTTTCGGCTATACTTGTTTGTTTCATCGGCTACCTTTTAAAACAACTATTGGAAACTATGAGGCGCGTCAAATGGGCGAGACAAAACAATGCATGGCGTGCATTGGAGCTTGGGAAGGTGAATGGCAATCATATGCTATGGTATCCAATATCACACCAACTATTACTCAACAGCACACGGCGCGTATCTTTATAGCAATATTGGCCGAGAGAAAAAAAAGACAAAAGGGAGGAGATTGGTGGTCAATGCAGCATGGATGGCAGCCTTGCAACGATGAACGGTTTATTCAACATGACACGCATGGGTGGCCCTGGAGTTGGTTTATAGTGTAGCACGCACATACACAGAACAGCAAAGGGGGTGAGTAGCTGGATACTAGCATGTTCATGGCAACGTTGGCGTGAAGCATATAATAACTACGAGCACTGAGTTAGACAACTGAATGGGCGCTACTCGTGGAATTGGAAAGGCGAATACTTTACTCAATCATAAACGATGGATCAGGATATTCGCAACAAAGGTAAGTAGAGAAAGCATGGTGAAGAGGATGGATAGCTCATACACGGCTTTTATTTTTCCAGGAAAGTGTGAGCTGGGTTTGAGATGGAGAAGGAAGCATGAACGTGGAACGTACTGGGTGCTTTCCAACAAGGATCAAGATGACCACGAGAAGGACAAAGGATGTCTACTGGCGGTGACAGCAGCACAAGGGCAAAATGTGATGGGACACAAGGAGGTAGGTAAGTCCAGTAATGAGTATGAGAAGATAACAAGAGGTAACTGACTAGTGGTTTATTGTTGAATGAGAGCTAGATATATATGTGTGTGTGCAATGAGGAGTGTCAATGATACCAAAAGGATAACGAGCATACACGAGAACGAAGCAATAAAGCAAAGAAAGATGATATCACAATCGTTAGCCTCTGGTGCAGACTTTTATCCTTTTATATATAATAAGATATCATAGCGATGCATGAACGTGTTCCTACAGCGTGTTGAATGCAAGCATACAATAGAAATAGCGATGATGAACGATAAAAGAAACGAGGTAGTCTTTGAAAACCGCGTATCAGGAGATGCCAAAACGAGCTCTCATGCAAGTGACACGACTCAGTTACACAAGATCGCCCCCACACTTTTATGCACTTGTCATCCCCAATCGGCATGGCCGCAGTCGCCACATACATCGTTTTCATGAGTGATTGATCTTTTAAATCCCTATTTGTTGTTTTAGGTGGAGAGTGCTCGTGATTTATGTATCGGGTGTACATCATATAAAGATAGCTTTTGGCTATCTCGCTTTTGGTGATGGTAGTGTCGATCCCAATAATACTACAGATCCTTGATATCAACATTGACTTTGGGAAACATGTATACACAAGGTGAATGCCATACATGATTGGCCACAAGTGATGTAATAACAAGCTTGATTTCCACTGTTCTGGTATCATCAATACCTCCTATATCATTGCTGGAAGATTCCTCTCTTTGAAAAGCCAGGTGCTTCGGTGTGAAGGTTTCAGATTTCTTTTCCCCCTCTTCTTTCTTCTATCACGTTTGAATATGGAGTCAGGTATGCTTGGTGTAAAGGATCTGATCCATACAATGTGTTTAACGCAACATCCCTTGCAAATGGTGGATGCAGCTGTCATCAAAACTTTCGTTCAAGAAGTAATCACCAAAAGGCGATCCATTCGTCAGCAAAGACACCTTGAGGAAGATCATCCGATTTGGTCAACATTCAGCCATCAGCATTATGCTTTATTCAACAGCTTAATACAGTCCCCTTTGACATTCTCACCAACGTCGCATGCTACAGCCTTGAAGAAAGTCAATGATCAATCGACACCCACTGATGATGGCGATGCTGCCACGTTTTACATTCGCATGGCATCAGGTGATAGCGCTGATATTGAAAGCTGCGTTCAACGTTACAGCAAAGCTTTCCCTGCAGATGTCGAGTGGTGCACAACTTTACTCGATCACATCGACAATCTGAAGAATACAAACTGCAAGATCACGCTATTGTATGCCGGGATCACGCTAGCATCCACAGCTTTTGAACGACATGCCAGCGACGAGCGTGTCGGAGGCGGTACAAGAATGCTGAATTGGGTTACAACGAACGGCGCTCTCACATGGTCGATGTACGAGCTATGCAATCTTCGACTTGATAACAGCTCAACAGTACTTGAATTGGGATACATCGAAGATATCATTATCAAATCCATCGGGGATGTTGCACTTAACTCGGCCAATGGTGGATTTTTTATTGATTACACGCCCTCAGTTGACTACCGGCAGCTATGGAAAAAGGTGGCATCAGACATCGGATATCCAAAAGACATTGCATCTTGTCCACTTTCACAGCAAACCACTGAGCAGCTGGACAACCATTACAACGACCTCGTTGATTTCATGAAGCGTACAGCCAAAGATGGTCTTACAATCATGCCAGCACCATCTAAAGCATTGATCAACACCTTGAAGCGCCAATCAATAACCAACGCTTCAGTAGCTGGAGACACTGTGAATGTCATGATGGGTAAAGACATTACCTTCAAAGTCATGAAAGCAGAAGAATATGGATTTTTCGAGGCTGGTGAGATATGCAATGCTAGTCATTTCATGACGAGCATGTTTGACATGCTGCACACTATTTTGGATGCGCCCACCTCTCGTGATTTATTGCCACCATTTGTCGATTTGCACAGCATCCACCCGAATCAGCCTCTAGTGCCATCAATATTATATGCATCACGTTACTTGAAGGTGGTGAAGCCAATCATTATTACAGCGATGTCAGCGAAGGTGTATACTTTTTTCCAGCTTGATGCGTTTGATCCGCTTTGGAGCAACCAAGAGGCGAGAGACCGATTCTTTTCCGACTTGTCATCTCCCGATAATTATGACGACATGACGGCCATGGTTGACGTTGAACATCCTAGCACTGCATTTTATCGTTCGTATGGTAGTCGTATTGGGGATCTCTCAATTGTTCGATACGGCGCCGGTGCTACCGACTTTGCTCTACTATTGCCAATTCGAGATCCAGGAGCATTGAAGTATGATCCTCGATCACAAGTCATCAAGTGCAATGAAATTTTTCTTTCCTTATGCGCCATGCAAGTGTTGGAGATGGTAGTTCGGAAGAAGTTCAATGACAGCACACGACCAAGTGATGCCACCAAGTTGATTGATTGGATGTGTGATATACGATTGGATTACAACAACACTATCAGCAAATTGGGCATCAAAGAAGAACTTGACAAGGTGAAGAAATCGATCAAGGACCTTGACCAGCAACAAGGATCTTCGAGAATGACATCATCTGCTGAAAGGAAAAAAAAGGCATCGAAAGAAGTTGATCTCATGGAAGAGAATCAACCACCAACAAAGTCGATCATCACCATGCGTTTCATTGGTGGCCCTGACAGCGTTGAGAGGCAACATCAATACGACCAACTTCAAGCACAGCATGAGAGCCGCAAGAAGCGTTTCATCTCCATTAACGACACGCCAACACCAGCAGGTATGCAGCCGTTCACCGATGAATACCTTGCTTGGTTTATGAAAGGATCAGCTGGAAAAAGTATCTTTAAATCAGCAAACGCTATGGGCAACAATCCAATGACTGGCTTGAACGAAGATGAGAGAGAAGAATACTTGAGAAAACGGCGTTTTGGAGTATACAGCGACCGAGCAGATCGTGACAAGAATGCAATTGCTTTGATCAAGGACATGGGCCAAAAATTGGGTGATTTTCAAAAGTGGATGGCTATGGACAAGTTACCAATCATGGCGAGATGCCCCAGTTGTGAACAACGTTTCATCAAGCTACACAACACAGTGCACCATTGCAGCATCCTGGACCAAAACATCACATCACAGCAACATGGATTGCAGTATTTCCGAATATTGTACCTACATGACATATTTGAAGCACTTCACTTGGATGAGCATATGGAAATACAACAACACGATGCAGCTATTATACTCAATCAACACCAGCACCAGAACATTTCAGATCGCGTACCTGGATCGCTTGGGATGGTATATGGCACAGTCGACACGTCGGATGATTTCTTATTGCTAATGGCCGTGGACAAAAGCATCATCAATGATGGCCGAGGTCGTGGCGATCCCCCCAACAACTTGAGCAACGATGCCTGGTTTTTCGACAGTAGGGAATTGATGAATGGCATGATCACACATTTCAACGATAACCCGGTGAAACAACTATCCGAGGTCTCATGTGCCGTGATTGAACCTTGTGAATACTACAGCATCCGGTATCCATATCGCAAAGGAGCCAATTCACCAGTGCAGCACAAGCACAACAGAAAGAACAGCAAGTGTAATTTCGGGGTTACGTATACATCATTCAATCATTTACCTTGCATCGTGAGACGCTATCTGTGGATGTCATACCGAAAAGGCAAAATCAATCGCAATCCAATGACATGGGAATTTCAAGCGCAGTAGTAATAGATTCTCCCACCTCCTTCATTTACCTTTGTATCGTAGTCATCATCATTATTGTGTTCATAAAGCAGAGACGACATTACATACATGATAGACACTTTATGTATGGTAGTTGGCAAATATGATATGAAAACGGGAGTATTTATCGCCATCTTGGGAAGCGTTACATATATAGACGCTGACCACAGACTTTGAGAGCACGTGATATGTTGGTTATTGCGGGCAGGGATAGCGTGGTTGGGGTCGTGGCAGTCAATAAAATTGTGAGGTACTATGAATAAGAATGCTGAATAGTAAAGCTTTGGCCAATGAGAAAGGGGGATAGTAACCAGCAGCTGGTGCAACGCTGTTGCATGAAACGCATTAGGATAGCGGTACAACGCGTTTTATAAAAGTCGACTTCTTTATTTTCATTATTTTTCACTTCTGCACTGGTGAGCAAACAGGATGTTCAAAGGGGCAAAGAGCAATCAGGGACATGAAGCTCGCCATCCAACAACAAAGGAATCTGGTACACGATTGCTGACATCACCTTCCTTTCAACCGGCAACGCCCAGCAATTCGGTCTTGTCATTTCCCACCACCTTCAACTCCTGCCCTCATGACGAATGACAACACCAATGACCAACCCATTAGAGATATTGAAGTTGAGGGACCAAGTGTACCACCATCCGGTTTGCTTGTGGATATCGAGCCTTGTGCAATCACTACGAACAATGATGGTGTAGACGACGTCTGGATGATGATGATGATGTTGTTGATGATGATGGCGCCATGGACCAACAAGGAAGTTTTGTGGATGATGATTGTGGTGAAGAAGCTGCTCAAGTACAAGGCCATGTGAAAGGATATCTGCTCAAGATGCAAGCAAGTGGTTGATGAGGTGAAGGACTATGGTGGTGAGCTACAGCAATACAAGAACAAGTCCTTTTGGATGTATCCTATCGATGCTTTCCTTGTCTTGTGTGGTAAGCTTGATCCAAGTATGTTGTATTTGCTACGTATATTCATTTGGGTATCACACATACTAGTGAAACAACCAAGTGACTAGAGAGCGTGTTGGCATGGGGACGTCCTTATATCACCCCTAGTTAGTGGTGACTTAGAAAAATCTCCGATTATGCAGCCTCGACTTAGAAAATCTACTGTCACCAAGCTCCTCCACCTCCAACAGCTTGTTTTTCTTCACACCCCTCTTTATTCTTCTTGTACAACTACTCGGTTCACGCCTTCCACCTCTTGTATACGTTCTTAGCACCATTCAGACTTCTCCATTGTCACCCTTAACTCCATCTGGAACTCTCCATCTATATGCATCGCGTGTCTTTGGCGGGTTTCTTGTCACCACACGTCCTTCTCAAGCAACACTTTTTACAGCACTCCATACCACCCACACGTCATACGCCTCTTCACTACTGTTGCAATGCACTTTACAAACACATGCTCGTCGACCTCATTGGTTCCATCTTGCTCGCCGTCGTCAACGCCTTGCCACCAAAACCTCACACAGCGTACCAGCTTGGGTTAAGACGATAAACCAAATCGAGGTCATAGAAGTTTTCTTTGCAAGGTTGATATCATGCTACTTGTGGAAGTCTTTATTCAAGGCGTTATTGGGCTGGTAGGTGTTGGATCACTGGAAGGAGGTATGCACAAAGGTACGGTATTGGGGATATGATGATGATACCATTGGGTTGCGTGGTGATCGCGTTTTGTTTTCTATTGCTCTTCTTTATCATCAAGCCCTGAAGCTATGTGGCGCTATGACTATATACAAGGACATGGATGGAATGGGCTGCAGCCAATTTAGGGTACGTGATAGGATTAGAATGGTGTATGAGTGAATAAAATGGCTTTTGTTAAAGTAAGCATGAAAGTACGCTGCGTTCATAAATGGTTTTCGTTGTACCAAGGATCCATTTCAATACAATAAACCCAATAATAAGTTATGTGCTTCGAGATCTTAAACAGAGGATGAGCAACGGGATTAAACATACGTCATTCAATGATAGAAAAACTGGAGGATACTTGGTTGAATGTTGTCAACCAAGAGTACTCCTCATTTGCGTTTGTCAACCAGGAGTACTCCATGTTGACTTATTTAAACCAAGTATCCTCCAACCTGAATTACTTCAAAGATGATTGCCATTGCGTAGCATCACTAAACAAGGTATGCTTAATGCCGTGGAACATCCTCTGTTTGACATTATATATAGGTTCATGCTTTATGATGGTCTTTTGAATGATTGAAAATGATTCCTTTTACCACGAAAACCATTTATGAACATAGCGTAGTTTCATGCTTACTTTAACAAACCCTTTATTCATTCCTACATTATTCTAATCCTGTCATGTATCCTAAATTGGCTGCAGACGATCCCATGCATGTTCTTGTATATAGCCATAGCATTACGTAGTAGTCTCCAGCGCTAGATGATAAAAAACGCGAGTTGAAAAGAAGACGCGACCACCACGCAACATCATCATCAATAGAGCCATCTCCATCATCATATCCCCAATACCGTACCTTTGTGCATACCTCCTTCCAGTGATCCAACACCTACCAGCCCAATAACGCCTTGAATAAAGACTTCCACAAGTAGCATGATATCAACCTTGCAAAGAAAACTTCTATGACCTCGATTTGGTTTATCGTCTTAACCCAAGCTGGTACGCTGTGTGAGGTTTTGGTGGCAAGGCGTTGACGACGGCGAGCAAGATGGAACCAATGAGGTCGACGAGCATGTGTTTGTAAAGTGCATTGCAACAGTAGTGAAGAGGCGTATGACACGTCGGTGGTATGGAGTGCTGTAAAAAGTGTTGTTTGAGAAGGACGTGTGGTGACAAGAAACCAGCCAAAGACACGCGATGCATATAGAAGGAGAGTTCCAGATGGAGTTAAGGGTGACAATGGAGAAGTCTGAATGGTGACAAGACGGTATACAAGAGGTGGAAGGCGTGAACAGAGTCGTTGTATACGATGAATAAAGAAGGTGGTAAAGAAGAATACCCTGTTGGAGGTTTGAGCGTGCTGACTTAGCCGATTTTCAAGTAGGGGCTGCATAATCGGAGAAATTTTTCTAAGTCGCCCTTAACTAGGGGTGATATAAGGACGTCCTGTTGGCATGGCAACTGATGTCGTAATAAAAATACGAAAGTCAAATAATCGATTGATGATCCCGCATTTAACTCGGTAAAGGGGGTTTCTTTTTCGGTTACATCCCCTGGAAGAGAACGGCAAATGACATTGGGTACCCTTAAACAAGCATACAAAGTTCATTATCCACTAAAGTCTTGAAAAAATCACACGTCACTATGATGTCAATGGTATTTTCATGAGGCAGAGCATCCAAAGATGGTATACTTGTATGCCGGAGCCATCATCTCGATTGCTGGATATTTTATTATGACAATTCCTGAACAATACTGCGATACTGAGGCAACTACCAATGTGATGATGAGAAAGGAGCTCCCCTACAGAGTTATGAGAGCGGAAGTCCTTGAGTTCTTTGAAGCTGTTGAGATCTGCATGGGTCTAGTCTTTGCCAATTTTGCATGGGTCTAATCTTTGCCCAATTTGTCGATTGTCGTGGGTGAAACTCTGATGGATGCACATCTTTCCACTTCTTTGACTTGCACAGCACCCACCCAATTCAGCCTTTATTACCATCAATCTTATATGCATCGCGATACCTGAAGGTGGTTCAACCAATCATTATTACAGCAACGTCAGCAAAGGTGTATACTCTTTTCCAGCTTGATGCTTTTGATCCGCTTTGCAGCAACGAAGATGCGAGAGAACGATTCTTTACCGAATTTTCATCTCCGGATAGTTATGGTGATATGGCGACCATGATTGATGTAGATCATCCAAGCACTTCGTTTTACAAACGATATGGCGACCGTATTGGTAGTCCTTCCATTGTTCGATACGGCACCAGTGCAACCGATTACGCCCTACTATTGCCAATTCGAGACGCCTGGTGACTTAAAATACGGTCCCAATCCTCAGACGGCTAAGTGCAATGCGCTATTCCTTTGCCTATGTGCTATGCAAGTGTTGGAGATGATCGTCAGGAGGAAGATGAAAGACAGCACCCGACCAAGCGACACTGCCAGGTTGATAGCATGGCTGAGCGATATACGTCTCAAGTACAACAGCACTATGGAGAGACTAGGGATCAAGGATCAGGATCAAGAACAAGGCTCTTTAAGAATGATTGCTTCATCTACAAGGAAAAAGGCATCGAAAGAGGTTGATCGTATGGAAGGACAGCCATCATCAAAGTCGATCATTACTCTGCGTTTCCTTGGTGGTCCTGACAGCGTTGAGAGACGTCAACAATACGATCAAATGGAAGCACAGCATGAGAGCCGCAAGAAGCGATTCATATCTCTCAACAACATACCATCACCAAAAGGCATACAACCCTTTACCGATGAATACGTCACATGGTTTATGAAAGGAGTAGCAGGAGCTAGCATCTTCAAATCAGCAAACGCTATGAGCAACAATCCTATTATGAGTAGCTTGAATGAAGATCAAAAGCATGAGTACTTGAGACTCTGCATCTATGCTCCTTTCAATCCAAAAACTAATAAAGTGATCCACACTTTGCACATCTAAGCTGATAGTACGATACCCATATTATGTTGAATCCAATTTTCGTCCAATAAAAAGTCAAAGAATACGCAGCACACTGTGCCTGTTTATCAATTGAATATGATAAGGGGAGAATGATTGAATAGGGTAGGTGCGAAACAAGTAGAGGCATCATTCTATCCTTGATTGCTGCCATCATAACCACCATCCTTCATCCATGATTGCAAAGTAGCTGCTGTATGCATGATTTGAATATTCCAATAGCATCCATGGCTGTAAAGCGTCTTCTTTCCTCAAAGGCATTAGCCCCTTTGTCAATTCCATCCAATCCATCACCCATCCTCAGCCGTATCCACGTGATGTGATCCTTCATCTCTGCTTACGACGTCCCAAGTAACGAAGCAACATTCAAGAATTCTCATCACTTCACTTGCTTCCATCCCTCCATCATAGCCATTGCACGTTCAATATTGCTGTTGATATGGCATCATCCATAGAAACCCGTATGTATTGAAGCAAGTTGCTACACGTAAATAAAGCTGCTTCTATACAATGGCTATCTGCTATTCACGTAAACAAGGCTGTAAGGCAAGTTGCTGCAAGTAAAGAACGCTGTTTGAGACAATGGAGCGAATAGCAACTGCTGGAATGAATGCTGTTACGTTTGATCGTGGCAGAGGAGTGTGCATGACAATGTGTAGTATCAAGGTATGCGTGTGTTGTAGAAGAGTGACAAGAAGGCTGTGTACACGCCATGGACCTGCCATTCAGTCAAAGACAATCGGATCAAGACAATCGTAGGATTGACATGATGGGTTGAAACAGGACAATCGTTCGCAGGTGGTACATAGTTGTATACTTGAATGGGGCAACAGGTGAGAATGGGAGGAAGAGGGAAGAGGCTGGGAGTGGAAATTGGTCGGACACCTCTTGTATTAATGCATGAACACTGTACATCCAATCCTTGATGTTGTGATTGCCCCTCTCGAACCTGAAACTTTCACACAATGTGCTCTTGGACATGCTGATCAACTTTGTTCTAAAAAAGACATCATGCTTCATTTGAAAATAGTGAATGGGAGGGTACAATGTGGGATTTAGTATGGAGGTCGGAAAGCAGGCCAGCGCCAGATTCATGATTTATGGAAATAGTATGTATTATCTTAGGATTCCCCATCTCGAACCTGAAACTTTGTCAGAAGGTTCGCTGGGACATGCCGATCAACTTCATTCATTTAAAAGTCGCAGACTTCATTGTGAAGATTTAAAATGCGGGGCGATCCAAATGGTGAATGGTGGGATCAAAAGAGCGGACGGCCCACCGCCCCGAAGTTGCCCACCTCCAACTTGAAAATTGGTCAGAAGGGTGCTCTCGAGCATGCTGATCAACTCCCTCTAATAAAAACTTCATGCTTCATTTGAAAATTTGGAATGGGAGCTTCCAAAAGTTTGAAAGACGGAGACATTCGCAGGGTCTGCGATTCATTGATTTTCATGTTTGCTGTTCCAGCGTATCTCAGCCAAATCGGCTCGGATCAAGAAACTTGAATGATGGAAATGCTCGGCTGGAGCAGGAGAATCGTTCACATGCAGTGGGTTTTGCAACAACGCTGATTGTGAGGAAATGGCTGATAGCGCGTAATATATGGACTAATGTGGATAGACCATAAAGTATAATTCATCAATCCTTCCAGTCATGCAAAGTAGCTGTGTTACACAAACACGTCCCTCTGCATCTTCGGCTCTATCAGGGCCTAGCTATTTGGCATTGAACAAAGACCACTTGTCATATAGCATCACGCTTACAAACATAAAGGTGCCTGTATCTCCGAACTTTACAATGAAATGTGGGGTTTTGAATAGAGCAATGGGCTCGGCTTGGCCAACAGCACTTTGTGTGAAAGTTTCGCGTTCAATGTCGCAAACAGCCCAAAAAATATTTTTTGGTCGTCGTCGTCGAAGAGGTCGACCCCTAGATCCAGTTTGGCTGGTAGCGACATTGCGAAATCTGGGATTGGCCACGATGAACGTAAAACTGGCACCCAAGGTGCAGTTGGCCAAGCCGAGCACATTGCTCTAATAAAAATCCCACGTTTGATTGTAAAGTTCGGAGTTACAGGCACCTTTATGTTTGTAAGCGTGATGCTATATGAGAAGTGGTCTTTGTTCATTGTCAGTAGGTGGACCCTGGCAGAGCAAAAGATGCAGAAGGACCTCTTTGGGTAACTCAGCTAAAAAGTCAGGACTTCAGGGACAATGCATGAAAGGTACGCAACCCTCACTTTATGTCATACATTGGCAGCTAATAGCCACTTTTGTGCATTCCCAACTTTTGTGCATTCTACTGTAGGTGGACGATGCTCCTGCTCTAGACATTCATTTCCATGATTAAAGTAGGTTGATCCGAGTTGATTTGGTTGAGTTACGCTCACACATGATTACATCGGTTGAGCTACATCGAGCGTGCTTTATGTCCAGAGTGTTGTAACCTCTCTTTGACCGCAGCTCAGTCAAATCAGCTCGGATCAACCTACTTTAATCATGGAAATGAATGTCTAGAGCAGGGGCATCGTTCCCATGCAGTGGATCTCGCAACAAGGATGATTGGATAAAAGTGGCCGTTAGCTAGCAATACATGCCTGTTCCTAGATGATCCATAAAGTAATTATACATTGACCCTTTCATTCATGCAAACGTAGCTGTGTTACATAACACGACCCTCTGCATCTTTTGCTCTGTCAGGGTCTAGCTACTTTACTTTAAACAAAGACCACCTCTCATATAGCATCACGCTTACAAACATAAAGGTGCCTGTATCTCCAAACTTTACAATGAAACGTGGGGTTTTTATTAGAGCAATGTGCTCAGCTTGGCCAACAGCACCTTGTGTGAAAGTTTCACGTTCAATGTAGCAACTAGCCCAAAAAATATTTTTTTGGTCGTCGTCGTCGAAGAGGTCGACCCCCAGATCCAGTTTGGCTGGTGGCGACATTGCGAAATCTGGGATTGGCAAGCTTGACCATAAAACTTGTACACATGATTCCTTTGACCCCGACGAGCACGTTGTTCTATCAAAGACCCCACGTTTGATTGTAAAGTTTAGAGATACAAGCACCTTTATGTTTGCATATGCTGTAAGCGTGATGCTATATGAAAAGAGGTATTTGTTCATTGTCAACTAGTATGACTCTGATAGCCGAAAGTCGCACAGGGACTCGCTTGTGTAATAAAACCGAGAGGGGCAGGGCTTGAAGGATCCTTATTGGTGGAGTGTGCATGATTGACACTTTCCCCTATAATAAGGTCCGCCTATGGTGAAACGTTTTCGGATGAACCATGGTATGGATAACTAGCCAAAGTGATCAGTGCATCCATGACTATGAGCGGTAATGGTATGGTTTGTCTCCAGGGTTCGTTCTCATACAAGGCTATGCATACAAGGCTACACATACAAGGTAGCGCATGCTGATAGTTCTCATAGGTGAGCATATGCATTTACTCGTGCCACATTGTACAGTATCAGAGCTCGCTCTTTCTTAGACGTAATGACTCAAGCCTACAATGACCAGCTTTTGTAACAAGCTCTATTGTTGGGTACAATTACTATAGGTTTATTATCTTTGTAAATACAAACGTCTATTTAAACATGTATACAATCCGTTATTGCCACTGCCTATCGTCTCTGAGCATATGAACAAGGAAGCTTTAATGAATGTAATATGACAACCTCTGGATACAGTGATGTAGATGATCTAATCTCACTTTCCTATCTTAAATTTCTATCCTTTCTTTCATTCCAGAAACCAACCAGTGGATGACATAGGGTCAGCGGGTATTGTTTTGTCATTGTCATAAGCATCTTCATCCATGATTGCAAAATAGCTGCTGCATGCATTGACTTTGAGTATTCCAATATCGTCCAGGACTATAGGGCACTTCTCTTCAATCCCATCCAATCCATAATCGTCCTCGGCCATTTCCACGTGACACGATCCCTCCATCCTGCTGACAACGCGACGAGTAACCAAAGCAACATTCCAGGATATCTCATCACTGCACTTGATTGCATCCATCCATCAAATCCAATATGTTGGTTGAAAAGAGCCATGTGATAAATGCTGGTATGCTTGCTTTTCGATCCGGGTATTGGTCTATCTCTTGCTTGGTCGCCTTCTATCGCAGCTCAACCAGGTGAGGATTGCTGTATTGCAGCGTGCTTGATAGCTGATATGGCATCGTCCATTGGAATGCGTATGCACCAAAGCAAGTTGTTACAGGTAAGTAAAGTCGTTCCTATACAATGGCTGTCAGCTGTTCACGTAATAAAGGCCACAATGGAGGTTGCTGCAAGTAACTTGAGGAAAGAGACAATGGAGTAAAGTTCTTGCTACTGCCAGCTGCTGTTACGTTTGGTTGTGGCAAAGGAGCGTGCAAGAGAGAGTGTTGTAGTAGAATGACAAGGTTGCGAACGCTGCTTGAGACAATGGATTGAAGACCTTGCTAATGGAAGCTGCTGTTACGATTGGTTGTGGCAGAGGAATGTACAAGAGAAGGTGTAGTTCAAGAGGAGACTCGTGTGTTGTAGTAGAGTGTACACGCCATGGAGTCGCCATTCAGTCAAAGGTGCAATCGGATCAAGAGAAGTGTAGGATTGACATATGGGTTGGAGGAAGTGGAACAAGTGGAAATTAAATAGGGTGGTCACCTCTTGTATAAATGCATGAACACTGTACATCAATCCTTGATAGATTGTCCCTCTCGAACTTGAAACTTTCTCACAAGATGCTCTTGGACATGCTGATCAATTGCTCTCATAAAGCCTCGACACATCATTATGAAGATTTCGTGAAACAGGTACCTGCATGTTTACCTATACTTGCTGTTGTAAGCGTGATAGAGCTGTTTGCTGCTAATTGATTGTATCGAGAGCGTACACCCATTAAATCGAAGCGTACGTCATTTCTTGCACCCTTATGGATGAGGGGTCTGATCTTTATGTTCATCCATATAGACTTTCTTTGTAATGTTACTTTCATTGTCAGGGGTCATCACTGTCTCTTGCCCTCGTGATGAGGTAGAATCTAAAATGATTGCTCGGTGGTTCACCTACTACATTTATTTCCGTAAAGCTATGTACATCGCGTGATGTATTTACAAAGTTGGATTTGGTGGCAAGGTCTATCCTCGAATGCTGAAGTTGACATGGCGTCTGCCTACCGCAATTTTTTCAGAGGTCATTTAACGGCTTCCTCTATCAATGCTAGCATTCATTTGTTTTCTTACACGCTGCATGTAATCCATCACTTTACTGTTAGGCCTCTCCCATAAACCATGAAAACAATGATGCTTATTGAAGCCACAGCCCACATTGATAATACAACCCCACAACCATCATTCCATGAAATCCGCTGCATTAAATAAACAAGTGTATTATGAATCATCATCTTCTAAAAGTCGTTCGCTAATGTAATGTTGAACTTCTTTCCAATGCAATCGTTGCTGGTCGCCAGTATCCCGCTCACGAATGGTGACAGTATTATCTTCCAAGCTTTGATAATCCACCGTGACGCACCAAGGGGTACCAATTTCATCATGTCGATAATATCGTTTGCCAATCTTGAGTTTTTGAGATTCGACCATGGTATACCATCCCTGCCTCCTTAATGACCTTGCCACGGATTCTGCTATTGGCATGAATTCTGGTTTGCCTGTGAGGGGCATGACAGCACATTTTACGGGAGCAAGACGTGGATGTAGCTTTAAAACGCTGCGTGGAGGTTTGCCATCTTCGCCCACTTGATGAAAAGCGTCGCACAGGTATGCCAACATGGCCCGATTTAGACCACAGGAGCTCTCAATGACATGTGGAACATAGCGTGCTGGAGATTCGGTTGGTAATAAGCATTCGTCAGTGTCAATGCCTGGTGTTGGTTCTACATTGTCTTGCACGACTTCAAAGGATGCATTGCTGTTCTTGATATGCTGTGTCAAATCATAGTTGCCTCGGTTGGCCACGCCTTCAATTTCGCCCCAGCCCCATGGATAAAGATATTCGACATCAGTGCATCCTGTAGCATAGTGAGCCATTTCATTGCTGGTATGATCACGTTGTCGAAAGTGCTCCTTGTGACATGCATGGTCGAGCCACCATTTGAAACGTAACTCTCGCCAATATTTGAACCAATGGGACGATTCCCAAGGAGGACAAAAGTATTCAAGTTCCAGTTGCTCAAATTCGGGAGTGCGAAAAATGCCATGTTCCAATCGGATCTCGTTGCGGAACGACTTGCCGACTTGTGCAATGCCAAATGGGGGTCGTTTGTTCATTGTCCTTGTTACTTGTTCAAAGTTGACAAAGACACCTTGAGCTGTCTCGGGTCGTAGATACACAGTCGAGGGTCGTAATACATCATCCACAGCCTCACGTACATTTGTTTTGCTGCCAGCAGTTTCAGTCGTTGTCTGAATGATACGATCAATGGGATCAATGGGATCAAGGAACGTCTTGAACATGAGATTGAAAGGTCGACTATCAGTCAAGAAGGGTGAATTGCTGTTGGGTTCCACGTATCCATGATAATCAATTGAAATGGGTTGTTGTTGATCCAAGCTGTCAAAATCAATCCGACCACCATTGCCATTTTCATCGGGCTGAACAAAGTTCTTGACATGTAGCAGGATTTGCTTTCCTTTGAGTGTTGCCATGATACCAGGGGCTACATGCTTTTCAATCGTATCCTTCCATAGCTTTGCAGTTGCCTTGTCAGGTGCATTGATAGGGATTTGTCGCATATCCGATAAATAATGCAAAGCTGGTGCTTTATCAGGTCGAAATCGTTCCTTGGTCAACATGCAGTCCACAAGCAAATCCGTAAACTCGTCCACATGACCAGAGGCTTTAAGTACAGGATGCGGTGTGAGAATACTTGTATCGAGTCCAACCACATCATCACGCCAATAAACGTGCCTCTGCCACCACGATTTCAAAATGTTCTTTTTCAACTCGACACCCAATGGTCCATAGTCGTATGCGCCACGTAAACCGCCATAGATCTCGGCCGATTGATAAAGGAAACCTCGCCGCTTGCACAAATCAAGCAAGGCTCGAAATCGTTGCGCCATGTGGGGAGTTGTGTGTGTATGTGTTGGAGGAAGAACAGGGCTTAGTTGACACAAGCATAAACAATTCAGCTTTTTGCAGGCCGACTCCCACTCACCACTCTCTTCCACCACCACCATGGACGAATCAACGCCATCCATCGACAAGTCTCAATGTCAACTCTACGAGCTCGTTCAATATCAATGCGAAGTGACATCCACCCATATAGAATGCAACCCCTTTGTGCGAGTGTTTCTACGGTCGGTTTTATTTGAAAACAAGGTTCACGAGACGCGATCTGATAGCTCCAATTGATAGATGTGCAGGGAAGCCAACAACAGAAGTGACGCCAGAGTACGATTACAATGGGGACCCAGTAACCAAGTAAGAGCCATGTTGACAGCAGGTACCAGGGCACTTCTTACATGTCGTGGTAGTGTTTTGCCCGACTTTGGAGCTGTGGGATCCAAGAAATCACCTCCCGGCGTGGTCATGATGGATGACAACAAGCACCCATAATACATGTACATGCGTATCACGGCAACTTCCTCAATGCGAGACTCCTCTATTGGCTCCACTATACCATCCAACCGTGACATATTATTATATAAAGGTTTTCTTTTTCAATTTGGCTTGATACATTGTAATGCTATCCCTTTTGGACGTGTGTGTCTTTTGTGATAGACATCAACCTAGTTGCCTAATGATTAGATGACACCTTCTCATTTAAAAGTATATATTGTATTACAAACAAAGACTTTATACATTTACAACTTGTATACATTTTAAAGAATTATCCACTATACCGAGCATGGTTGACAGCAACATATCCTCATAAACCATTCATTTTGCCATATTTGATCCATTGTGATACGCTTTTGTGGTGTGGGATCGAGCATGCGATACACCAGGCGCTTTGCACTGAATTCCAATCCTTCCAAAACATCCAGACCACTTTCCTTTGCACGGCGTTTGATAGATTCACGTGCCTTGACCATAGCAGCTTCACGATCCTTTTCAGCTTGTGGTGATGATGGCGACTGATTCTTGGCCATAGCAAGTCGTTCACGTCGTGAATTTTCCCGTTCCTCCTCCACCAAACGCCTAAACTTGAGATAGCGATCAAAGTAATCATCCTCGCCTTTCTTTGCCACCTGCCAGAGATGGTTGCCAGTACGCATTGCCATGTAAATAACACCACAGCTCCATATGTCAGCAAGGCGTGGATCATAATCCTTGTCGGTGTACATTTCTGGTGCGATGTAAGGTTCTGATCCACATACACCACGACTATTCATAAATGCGACATCTGGACTTGGTTGGAAGCAGTCAGCACCACCAAAATCACTAATCTTGAGCGTGCCGTTGGTAGTGAGCAGCAAGTTCTCGGGCTTCAAATCACGATGAGCGACACCAACACTATGCATATAGCGTACACCACGCATGAGTTGTTTAAAGAAACAGTTGGCTTCGGGTGCTTGTAATCCATTATGGGCAAAGTTGCATATAAGATCAAACATATCTCCTGCGTCACAGTATTCCATCACTTGGCAATAAACAGGCGAGGACTCGTTCAATGGCAATAGATCGAGAGTCTCAATGACGTTGGGATGGTGCATGACGGACGAGATGCAGAATTCCGAAGTAAGGCGTTTGACATACTGCTTGGTAGACTCTGAACCCTTTTTGCGAAACTCCTGCATTGGACACAACATTTTAAGACACCCAAGGTCTCTTTTTATGTCACGTGCATGATGCATTTCATACCTTGACAGCATATAGCTTTCCACAGGACCCCTTGCCGGTACCAGAAGGATCTGCCTTGTGCACTATACGCACGACACCAAATGCTCCCTTTCCAATCACTTCATGGCATGTGCCCCATTTATCAGACAAGTAGGTCGTGTCACTGGGTGTACGATGCAGCTCATTATTGATCGCTTCTCGCTCCTTTAGTATTGCTTCCAATGCTTTCTTTTCACTATTCGCACTACCACCCATTAATGGAATCTTGAAGGACTTGGTGGATGGTAAAAGAGATGCCATGTTTTGAAGTGAAGCTGATAATTTACTTGTGGGCATACATCGAATACAATGCGTATGTGTCCCATCTGCATGTTGTTCAAATCGTGGCTTTTGTGGGGTATAGACGGCACTATTACTGGGCGAGCGTACTGAGGAGGTGTGAGCCGATTGATTTGAAGATGATGAGCGTGCCGATGATATAGCGTCGACTTGTTGATTCACCATAGCAGCAGCTGCAGCAGCAGTAGTAGTCGTAGTCGTAGGCTGAGTGCACCTATGTTGGACATTATCTGCATGACGTCCAAAGAAACCGCCCAGACCCATGGAAGAAAAAAAAGCCGTTGATGTAAAGAATAAAAAAGGGAGTAAACGTAAAGAATCAACAAGAGGAAAAAAGAGAGAGGGAAAGGAAACAGAAATGGTCCAACGGGGCGGTCTTTATTGAATAATCTCCCGCTTTTCTCACTCACTCTCAGCAGCGACACATCCACTCACTCGGTGCCCGTTTTGTACAATTTGTGAGTTTTAGGTAGTCCCTCACACACATTACACACACACACACACACACACATCCACCCTCTCTTACTTCTCGTATTGTGGCTGCCAAGACTCATTCTATCACACTATTGTCGCCGCCATTATCGCCACAACTTTGTCCGACAAGGAAAAGCTTATCCGATGCCAATAAAAAACATACTTTGTTGTTGCCCTAGCAACCTGTCAGAATTTTGACGGCTGCACGTGTCACATGCATGATGAATATACAAACAAAAAGAAGCTTTCTTTTTATTATCATTGTTGTTGTCTACAAGTTTCCGAGCTCCCAATCATTACGGCACCCAAGTCCATAACGTTGGTTACACCGTCAGAGATTGCTTTCGTAACCCAGAACACAACAAATCAGCAAATGACAATGACGCCCTTAGAAGAGACGTTGGGGCTTGCCCATGGTGGACTTGAGGTAAAGGGACTTGACGTTTTGCCAGTTCTTCTTGAGCAAAGAGACCAAAAAGTTGATGGCAAGCATGATGTTGGCAACGAGTTGATCCTCAGTCATCTTAACGTGACCAACAGCGACACCCAAGCAGAGAACCTTCTTAAGTTGGAACTTGATGGTGGCACGGATGTCATCAGCCTTGGCTTGCAAGTCATCGTTGTGAGAGACAGCAGTAGGGAACTTGCCGACCTTGTGAAGACCAGGACCCAAGAGACGAGGGATCTGCTTGATCAAAGCATCGGAAGCCAAGAAAGCATCATAACGCTTGGCGAGCTTCTTGATGAGCTTCTTGTTCTTGTTAAGCTTCTTCAAATCCTCAACAGATTGGAACTCCATACCAGCAGCCTTGGCTTGGTCACAGTGGAAAGCATCACCAAGAACGCAAACGGAAAGGTTGGGACGAGGAATGTTGGGGAGCCTATACAAGTCGACATTGGTTACTAATGAGGTCCACAACAACTACTCCAATGGCATGCCAAATACATACTTGATGGTACCAGAGAAACGCTTATCACGTTGGGGATCGTAGTTCTTGAGACCAATCTGGAGCTCAACGGTCTCGGTGAAGTTTCTCTTCTTTTCCTCGGAACCGGCTTGGATGGCCTTGAGGACTTCTCTGACGGCAGAAGGGCTGACCTTGCTATTGTATAGATTGCATTAGATGATGGATGAATGGATACCTTAATGGATGGATGGATAAATGGATGTACACGTTACCTCATAATGGAAGAATAAAGGGAAGGATCAATCAATTGCACTATTCCCCTATCTTTAACATGGTCCGGTCACCTGACTTTGAACCACAGCTGGGCTTGTAATACTCATTTCCCTATTTCCATGGTTACACAATCACCCAAGTTGAGGCGCAGTTTACCTAAAGGTTATTCATCGTACTACTTTGCACCATGAATGCGCCTCAAATCAAATCAGAAAACACGGCTGTATCAATTTCTCTTTCTTCTTCTCTTTCTTGCTCTCCCCATTCTTTTACCTTCACCCCATGAAAGATCAAAAGGATAGTAATAATGAACCTTCTCAACCTTCACCACCACCACCCGATTATGACGAGGCTACAGAGGAGCACGAACAAAGGCACACAACTTTAATTCAGCATCATGATCGTTCAACAAAGGTACACTTGTAGATCTTTTCTTTTCACTTCCTTCTCTTATACAGTAATTAGGAACACGACACAGCCTTACGACGAGAACTCGCCAATATTGCATTGATCCCTGCTTTGAACGCTGCCATCACCGTTACGTTGGTGGGCGTCCTCATTTATGTGTATCAGAGCGCTGATGGTCAACCTGTTGCATATACGCTTGCTGGGATGCAAATTCAATCACTCATATCTATCATCATGACCTTGGTCAAAATGTGCCTTGCTGGTGGTATAGGATAGTAAGTGTGCACACACAACAACATACACATACACACACGCTCATACTCATGATGACCACTATAACCTAATCAGTGCTGTGTCAGAATACAAATGGGTGCGCATGCAGCATGGAGGACAATTAAGTTTGATGGATGTGTACGATGCTTGCACACGTGGCGTAGGAGGTAATAAGATGATGGTATTGGTTTAGGAAATGATCCTTGTTAAGCTTACTATCAATCCAAGGCATGATTCGAGTTATCACTGGTATCAGCTTTGATCGTGTATTGCTACCAACAATCCTTTTGCAACTTGGTCTAATTGCCATGGGACCCGCATCACAGCAAATCTTGACAGCATACAATACTACCATTTGCCTCACCGAGCATTCGGATACCTGGTTACGGCATACCAACTATCGCACCGAGGACATCGCCAATTGGAATGCAGAGCCCTATGACATGCGTGGATTGCTTGGTACGGATGCTGATTACTTGTTCAAATATCAATTTGATGCTGGAGCCTATGGTTGGGGAACTTTACAAGATCTTGGTTGCCCTTATGCAGCAACGAATTGCACCTACAACGATATCGAAGTGCCTTATCTGCAGATTTCTTGCGTACCTGGCAACTTTAATACCACCACCATCATCAGCGACCAAGACTTGTCGATCCAAACGCTTTGGAACTACTACAACCAAACACAAGGCTATGGAGGAGGGTACATTTATATTGATCGTTTGCCCAGTTTCTTCTACGCATCATCAATGCAGAATCGTACGCGATATCATGCTTACAACTATACAGCCTCTGAGCCGCTTGCAGCTTCCACCGATCAATCACCCTACGTTGGTAAACCTTCATTTGTTGCCATGATGCATCATCCTGGTATCATGTATAATGGAGGTTCAGATCCTTCAAGAGTCATCGTGCAAGAATGCTCTTTTGATACTTACATGAACAGAAGTGACTACCATATTATGGCCCGTGCTTCAGCGGTCGATCGTTTGGAGCATGAGATCTTTGAAATCGATTACAGCAAGTTTGGGAATACGTCTCTTTGGATCAACGGCGATTACGGCGAAGAAGATCGGCTTGCACTGAATATGTATGCTATGCAGCTTGGTGTATTGGATATGCTTACTACATCCAAAGTGGACTATCTAACTTTGCCATTTGCGGGCTTCTCTGAGTATATGAATACGTTCTTATCCGATGCAGCAATGACATTATCATTTGCACGACCTGCATCACAATCCATACGTCAAGGTGATGTATGCATGGATTACGACCGCTCCTATCATCTCAATCCCGCTGCCTATTACACCGTGTCATTGATGCTATTAGTGCCACTCTTTTGGTGGATTGCCACATTGGTGATTAGTTTACGCTTGAGTGGTGTTGCACGTGGCAATTCCCAAATGGCACTTTTGGTCACTGGGTTGACTGCAGCCGTCCGAGACCAATTCAAAGGATTCTCACATACGGATCAAAATGTCTTGTTTTCTCGATCAAGGCAAGTCCATGTCGTTTTCGGCGAGATACCTAGCCAAGATGGACGCAGAGGCCATGCTGCTTTTGGTCTACAGGATCAAGTCATTGCACCTATCAAGAGAAGGAAACCAGCCTCTGATAGCTAAAATCATCATACCACACACACACACCCACTATTACTATAATACATTACTACTATTACTCCATTGACACAAAAGATTTATTGGTTTGCATTCGAGTTGACAGAGCTACCATGCTTGCTTTGGTAATTGATTGAGCCATCAGCCTTGTTTTCATGTTTCTTGAACCAATCCACACTTTCAGTCTTGAGTTCTTGAATGCCACGCATGGGTTCTCTATCAGCCTTGACGTCGGCTTCACTCTCAGTAGCGTCTTTTTCATCCCACTTGGGTGCAGAGGTCATTAGGGTGCCTGATGCAGCTTGGGCATCCTCTAGTGATGGATATCAATATCACGGCTATAACGCTTCGAGATGGAAGAAAGAGTAGTTTACCTGAAGAGTCGGGAAGGTTGGTCATGTTTGGTTTATGTCTATAGAATGTCAAACAAGGCATGTTTTCTTAATGGAGGGTTGTTGCTTTATTATGAAAAGGATATTTACCCTCCCAAAGTAATGTATCGACGAGCTCCAGTGAGTCGACGAGCAATCATAAGGTTACGATTCATTGTGGGAAAAAGGTAAAGAGCAATGAAAGGAAAAGCGAAAATCTTGATAAATTCATTGTTTCGAATTGCTGCATAAAAAAGCAAACAACGACTGCATGATGAAAAACATCCTCGGAAAAAAAAAGCCCAATCGAGTGTGGCCCAGAATGACATGTGCCTTTTGTCATCATTTACTGCTTTCTCACTCCTCTCTTCTCGTTCATTCTTTGTGACAGCAGTGTTGTACTATAAATGGTTGATGGAATAAAACAATGAGCTATGGATTGCTTATAAAGATTACAGGGCATTGTGGATGATTGGGACTGCCGACGATGGCTACTGCATGATAGCATCCACCCCAAGCTCGCTCGCTTTTCTCCGCTAAAATAGCAGTGTCTTTCTCACACGCACCCACACCCACATACACCACACCCCCTCTATTCATCTTGAGGAGAGTTCCTATTCCTTTTCATTCTATACCTTTTCAACACCTGTTACTCATCTTCCATTCTATACACACCAACAATGACCGCTGTGAACTCAGTTGACGATGTCGATGCTTGGATCGCTCAGCTTTCCGAATGCAAGCAGCTTCCTGAAGCTGATATCAAGAAGCTATGCGATAAGGCATGTTGTGTATTTATGTGTGTATCAAACATGAATAGCTAACAATAGTATCTTTTTATGATAGGCACGCGAGGTACTACTTGAAGAATCCAACGTGCAACCTGTACGGTGTCCTGTAACGGTGTGTGGTAAGCAACAAATACTCGCGATCCCAAAATGAGCCCTGGGTGTTCAAGGAGGCAACACAAACATGATCTCTTAGGCGACATCCATGGCCAGTTCCATGACTTGCAAGAGCTCTTTCGGATTGGTGGCAACTCGCCTGATACAAATTATCTTTTCATGGGTGATTACGTCGATCGAGGATACTATTCAGTGGAAACGGTTACGTTGCTCGTTGCTCTCAAGTTGCGATACAAGGATCGTGTGACCATCTTAAGAGGCAATCATGAATCTCGCCAAATCACTCAAGTCTATGGCTTTTATGATGAATGCTTACGGAAGTACGGCAATGCCAACGTATGGAAGATGTTCACGGATCTCTTTGATTACTTGCCCTTGACCGCTCTTATCGAAGATCAGGTAATGTTTTCAGGAGAAAGGAGGGGGATGGTGATGAGTATGAGTTATACGCCTGCAGCTTATACAATGTGCTATAAAGATCTTTTGTCTTCATGGTGGTCTATCTCCTTCGATTGATACCCTTGATCAAGTTCGGGCTTTGGAACGCTTCCAAGAAGTGCCACATGAAGGTCCCATGTGCGATCTCTTGTGGTCTGATCCTGATGATCGATGTGGCTGGGGCATCTCACCTCGTGGCGCAGGCTATACCTTTGGTCAAGATATCGCAGAGACGTTCAATCACAACAATGGCCTGACTTTGGTTGCAAGAGCTCATCAGCTGGTTATGGAGGTAGGAGCGTCGCATGTGCAAAGGTATATTTCCAACAATGGGTAATTGATCTTTATGCAAAAATGTAGGGATACAATTGGTGCCACGATCGCAATGTCGTTACCATATTCAGTGCTCCCAACTACTGCTACCGTTGTGGCAACCAAGCAGCCATCATGGAAATCGATGAACATCTCAAATACTCCTTGTACGTATATGAACTTTTCATTTTCAGCTCTATCACTAATCCACCATGCTTTTTAGCCTCCAATTCGATCCAGCACCTAGAAAGGGAGAGCCCCATGTTAGTCGACGCACACCAGATTATTTCTTGTAAAGGCATCAATAATAGTATGGAGAGCTGCTGATTCAGCGTGTTGGCTCGTTTATGTACTCTCTTGTGTGTTTGGATGGTGATGATGGTGATGATTGAGGAAAGCTGATTAGTGCAAGGGAAGTTATGCAAATTGATATCCTTCCATCACCATTTGGAAAGAAGGGTTATGAGAGGTAGATGGATCCATGTCAACTTTGTCAATGCTTTATCGACCACGATCATCACGATGAACTTGCTTTCATAGGCGAGATACTTAGTTGGCCTATTGGATGAAAAGGCTGGTATCGTAGGTAGTTGATAATGACAAACAATGATATCATGTTTATTATTTGGCCATCCACGCAACATGTTAAAGGGTATAGTAGGATTGTTGGCATAGTAACACGATGCTAATGATATTGATGGCTGTATGGTATAAGAAATTATTGCTACATTTTCGAGATTGATGTAGTAAAGATATGTATTGGGGGAATTGACATGTCGTAAATGGGGGAGAAGGGAGAGGGGGGGGGGAATAGTAACTAGCGAGAGAGGGGCAGGATGGTGATTTGACCTTTGATTGGGTGTCCGGGCCGGAATCTCATGCATGTGACGTGGTCTTTGTAAGTGAGCTGTGTCTCTCATCTTCTCGTTGGGAGCTGGCCTTCTTTTGTTTCCTCCTGCGACAGTAAAAAAAAGAAGGTTGGTATAAGGCATATATTACTATGTGCTTTCTCGCGTGTCCTCCCATTTGGCCCACATGAAAATATCACTTTTACTTCCCCGTGGCTTCCTTTGTGTATCTCCTCAACTTTTGTTTGCCCACGCACCCTTTGTCTTGCACCTACGTTTGACACTCCACACACTCTCACACACTCTCACACGCACCTGAGATTCCATATGCTCATCACGCCATCTTTATTGGTCATGTAGCTTGTCGTAAGGCTATATTCATATCGGTATAAACAGCTTTCCGTCTACTCACGACGGCAATGAATTCTTTGTCCAGCAACGCAATGATGCCACAGCAATCGCCGAGCGGTCCCACACCACCGCCATCAAATACGGTTCCTGGAAACTTCAACAAGGATCAGTTCAATGGTCTGCTGCAGGTAAGCAATCTAGCGGCATTGACGAGCAATCCGGTATGGCATTGCTAATATCATCTCTCTCTTAGCGTGCTCGAGTGCTGCAGAGTCAGGGTTTTACTGAGGAGACCAATGCCGAATTCGCCCAGATTATGCAAATGCTGAAGAGCTTCCAATTGCAACAAAAGTTACAACAGCAACGGCAGAATATGGTAGGAGGAGGTGGCTTCCAGCAATCACCAATGTCACCTGTTCAAGTACCATCACAGCAACCAAGGCCATCCCAACCACGACCACCAATGCCCGCTCAGCAACAACAACAACCACAGCAACCACCACAACAACAGCCTATGATGGATGCACCAGCATCTCCAGGTATGCATGCATGGTTATACCTATGTACAGTAGCAATCAGGATGTTGAATGTCTACATGTGTATTATTATTAGCTGTTCCACCACATTCAGTTTTTACACAAGCCCAGCTGGGTGCTCTCAAATACCAGATCCTTGCATACAAGCTCATTTCCAAGAACATGCCATTACCACATCATATTCAACAAGCAGTGCTACAACCTTTTCCCACAACCGACGATTCATCAGCAACGACGCCATTGAATACGAGTGTTGTTGGTGCTGGTGTTGGTGGTGAAAGGACAACTGATTCAGCAACATCAATAGCAGGAGCTGCAGCTGTGAGCAATGGGATTGCATCCCCGGCGGGTGCTGGTTCTACTGCAACAACCTCCAGCAAACAGCCATCAGTCACTGCCTCTCCTCAACAAACATTGCAACAAGTCGTGCCACAGACTACACCTTCTTCCTCTGCACAAGTGCCATTACCAGGGCAACCTGCCCCTGAATACAATGCTTATGCATCACCATACAACATGCTGAAAAAGCCAATCACATCATACGCTCATGCTTCGAGACAACATCGGCAACTTATACCAAGCATTACACCCGTGGGTGTCGATAGTCAAAAGTTGTCAGAGGAGCGAGAACGGCGTATCAATGAGCACATTCAAGATCGCATTCATGAATTGGAAAAGTTATCAGGCAGCATGATTGAAAAACTCAAGGAGCAGGATATCAATGTCAACAAGTCGTCGGCTTCTTCAACGCCTTTAAGATCACTCATTGAACTCAAGAGCCTCAAGTTATTGGATAAGCAAAGAAAGGTATTACACACACGTTGCTCTCTATCTTTGGTCATGCTGACAACGTTATATAGCTACGACAAGAAATGACACATGGCATGTCAAAAGCAACACAACTCGCCACATCAGCTGATAGAATCGCATTTCGACGTCTCAAGCGCCAATCGCTTCGTGAAGCTCGTGTCACAGAAAGAATCGAACGACAACAGCGAATTGATCGTGAGAACCAAAAGAAGCAAAAGCACATGGAGCAATTGCAAATCATTTGTGATCATGGACGCAATCTTATCGCCGCGCAACGTGCTTGGCAAGCAAAGCAAAACAAATTGGGCCGTGCCGTGCTTCAATATCATCAGCATGTTGAAAAGGAAGAGCAAAAGAAAGCAGAGCGGATATCCAAGGAGCGTATTCGTGCTTTGAGAAACGACGATGAGGAAGCTTACATGAAGTTGATTGATGAGGCCAAGGATACTCGTTTGACACAATTGCTCAAGCAAACAGATGCTTTCTTGGAGTCACTCACCAAAGCTGTTGTCGATCAACAAAATGATCCCGTGCATAGACACGAGTATTTGGCCGAAGAGCCTGGCGTGGAGGAGGTAAGAATACATGTTATCATATCCAGAGAATGTTTTAGCTGAACCCTATCATAGGATAGCAGCAAGGTGGACTACTTTAAGGTCACTCATCGTATCAAGGAAGAAGTTTCTCAACCCAACATTCTCGTTGGTGGTACCTTGAAGGACTATCAGGCAAGTTTATTATGGTCATGTTATAGATTTGTGAATTGGTGCTGACATGTGCTATGTGTGTATAGATCAAGGGTCTTCAATGGATGGTGTCATTATACAACAATCATTTGAACGGCATTTTGGCAGATGAAATGGGTTTGGGCAAGACTATCCAGACCATCAGTCTTATCACCTATTTGATCGAGCGAAAGCGACAAAATGGACCCTATTTGATCGTCGTGCCATTATCGTAAGTTGATTCATGCTTATTCATGTCCGATAGAGAATTGACGATGGGGCTCTATATAATAGTACGTTGACCAATTGGGCATTGGAATTCGACAAATGGGCACCCTCTGTGGCCAAGGTGGTATACAAGGGTCCTCCCCAAGTGCGACGCAATTTGCAAATGGATATTCGTCGTGGCGATTTCCAGGTTCTTTTGACCACTTTCGAGTACATCATCAAAGATCGACCTGTATTGAGCAAGACCAAATGGCTACACATGATTGTGGATGAGGGTCATCGTATGAAAAACACCAAATCAAAGCTTACGTTGGTGCTGCGTCAGTACTATCATGCACGATACCGATTGATTTTGACAGGCACTCCCCTTCAGGTATATACACAGCGTGATGGATAATCTTTGATATCTATATTAATCTTTATGCATATAGAACAACTTGCCAGAACTCTGGGCATTGCTCAACTTTATCTTGCCAAAGATCTTTAAGAGTGTCAAGACATTCGAAGATTGGTTCAACACGCCATTTTCCAATCAAGGTGTCCAAGACAAGATCGATCTCAATGAAGAAGAACAGCTGCTTATCATTAAGCGTTTGCATAAGGTGTTGCGACCCTTCTTGCTACGTCGTCTCAAGAAAGATGTTGAAGCTGAGCTTCCAGACAAGGTGGAACGTGTCATCAAGTGCAAACTTTCAGCACTGCAACTCAAGCTGTATCAGCAAATGAAGAAAAATGGAAGAATGTACACCTCTATGAGCAAAGAAGGGTAAGGAATTCAGCAAAAGAAGGAAGCAACGTTGATCATTGAACCATTGGCTGCAATAGAAAAATGGGTGTCAAGGGTCTCAACAATACCATCATGCAGTTGCGCAAGATTTGCAACCATCCCTTTGTATATGAAGAAGTGGAAAACGCCATCAATCCCAGTCGACAATCCAACGAGCTGTTGTATCGAGTATCTGGCAAATTTGAGCTTCTGGATCGCACCCTTCCAAAGTTGCGTGAGACTGGACACAGGGTAAGCACTTTCTCTAAAACGTCGTGCTGTGGGATGGTTAATTTACACCATCAACCCATAGGTGCTTATCTTTTTCCAAATGACTCAAGTAATGTCGATCATGGAGGACTTTATGAACTATAGAGGCTACCGTTATCTGAGATTGGATGGTTCAACAAAGGTAAAAAAGATATTGGGCGCATACTTTCATCTTTTTGAATGGACATCTAATCACCTGCTTTTAGGCCGACGATCGATCCCAATTACTTCAAGTTTTCAATTCTCCAGATTCGCCCTACTTTGTGTTCTTGCTTAGTACTCGTGCTGGTGGTTTGGGCTTGAATTTGCAATCAGCCGATACGGTCATCATTTTTGACTCTGATTGGTGAGTTATAAAAGATGGGCAACAGCGTGCATGTTTTAACACTTAATGTGTAGGAACCCACACCAAGATTTGCAAGCGCAGGATCGTGCTCATCGTATTGGTCAGACCAAAGAAGTGCGTATTTTCCGATTGGTATCGGCCAACTCCATTGAAGAGAACATTCTTGCACGTGCCAACTACAAGCTGGATATTGATGGCAAGGTTATTCAAGCTGGTAAATTCGACAATCGTAGTACGGATGAAGATCGTGAAGCCTTTTTGGTAAGCTTATTGGAAATGGCATATTGAGGATGACATTTAACATGATCATGTAAATGATAGCGATCTCTCTTGGAAGACAAAGCAGATGAGCAAAATGATGTAGACGGCGAAGAAGACATAGACGATGAGGAATTGAATGAAATGCTGAAACGATCCGATCAAGAGCTGGTCATCTTTAATCGCATCGATGCTGATCGTGACCGTGCTGAATCCGAGTATTATCGCCGAAAGGGAATTCGTGGACGGATACCTGATCGCCTGATACAAGAAGATGAATTGCCCGAAGTATATCGGCATGAGGAGACACTTGTCGACGATATTTCACCATTACTGGAGTATGGCCGTGGACAACGTGTCAAGGATTCGGTACGCTATGATGATGGCTTAACCGAGGAGCAATGGGTCAATGTAAGTGTTTTTGCTTTGTCAAGGGAAAATCGAGGTCCCTCCTAATACAATGGATTATAGGCGCTTGAGGATGAAAATGTCGATTTGGAAGAACTCATTTCAAGGAAAGAAGCACGACGACGAAAAGGCAAAGAGCTTCAAGAAGATGCAAACTATCTCAAAAAGCGAGGGCGACCAAAGAAAGCTGAGCCAGAGGTAATAACGCTCACTTTGATCATGTCTCTTCATTCTGGATGCTGATTTTGGTCTTGTAGAAAAAGCGAAGTCGTGCACGTAAAGATGAGGAGTTATCTGGTCCAGATCCCCTTCCACCACAAATGCGACAACAAATGACACAGATCTTTGAAACATGTTATCGGGCAGTTGAGGATGCTGAGGATGAGGATGGCCGTAAACGAAATGTGCTATTCATGGACCTTGTCAGCAAGCGGGACTACCCTATATATTATACCATGATCAAGAACCCCATTGCAATGAAGATGATCAAGAAGCGCATCCATTCACCCTATTACAAGTCGATCCAGCAATTCCGAGCCGACTTCCATCTTATGTTTGATAATGCTCGAACGTTTAATGAAGAAGGATCTTTGGTATATCAAGATGCGGATGAGATGCAGGTACGTTGTTTATTATTTTTGCATTGGATATCCATGATAACTCATTTGGGATACTTTTGCAGAGAATCTTTGATATGACATTCGCACAGCTTTGTCCCAATGACATGTTACCACCTTTGCCCATGATGGATAATCCAATGCTAGGAGGAATGTATGGCGGCGGCAATGGCAGTGGGATGGCTGCTCCATTTCAGGCTGTTCCAGGTACCATGCCAGGTAGCAAATTGGAGGCACCAAAGAAGCAAAAGCGTGGACCAATGGAAGATGAAGATGAGGATGCTGAAGATGAAGATGATGACTACGACGATGATTACAACGAGTAGTAAATCTATTATTGTACATACGCCTATACAAAGAAAATGTTTTTACAAGTGCAGGATTTTCTTTTTGTTGCTCTTTGTTCGTATTACAACGCTTTCAATTGGCTGAGTGGGTGGTGTTAAATAGGGGTGATATTGGGATCATGCATGGTTGCACTTGTCAAGATTCATTATGCAATTTTCAGCTACACAATCCAGGAACATTTTACGCACATGTCATTACATGTTCTCTCGCCATTGTTAACAGCATACAGACGAATCATGCTCTTGCCGATCATAACAAAGGGTCTTTTATCAATGACATGTGATCGTTTATCGTTTGCTTTCCGATACGTTATGCTGTGTAATATGCTGTGTAAATTATCATGTTGAATGCTGAATATAGATATACGTGTCGTAATACATGTAAGAACGTCTGTGAGCTTTTATTTGCTATGTCACTTAGATGTTGGAGGGGTAGAGCATCTAATAAAGAGAGAGATCCATCATTAGTTATACACATGTCACAATTTCAGGAACCCCTGTATCCCATTTTTATCCACACTTACAACACGAACGGAAGCACCAAAGACCTTGGGAGGCAAGTTCTTGCGGAAACGAGCACGAACGACACCAGAGGTACCGTGAGTGCGAGCAATGCGACCCCAAATGACACGGAGCTTGGTACCATTCTTCTCTCTCTTGGCATGGTAGACATATGCGACACGCTTGCCGAGGTAGAAACGAGCATCTTGAGTAGTCTGGACACCTTCGAGCTTAATCAATGAGGTGTCGCAGTATTGGTTGTGCTTGGAACGAGCGAAGCCCAAAACGCGGCCCTTGCTGTACAGACTATAATATCGTAATCCGTTTAATCCACCCGTTCATCCATTCATCCATCCATCGTCATTGCTGTTGACAATCAAGTTGTGCATCTTCTCTCTTACCGTTCGGTCATGTCGGATGATGTAGGTTGAAAGAAGGAGGTTGGCCAATGGATGGTTCACTCACTGTATCAGGCCTCGTTACCCCCCCTCCTACCCCCCAATTTGGGCCGCCACTGTTGCTATGGAACAACCCAACTTCCCACCCCCATTTTTGGAAATCAGCGAATTGGATCTTGTTTTAGGTCTCACAAGAGTGCTAAGATCATCAACCTTCCAATGCAGATCCTATCGATAATATACATAGTAGAACAACATTGATGTTGTATTATACTTCATTTCTAATGCTTGAATACAATCATGATCACTATTAAATAATGCTTTTCTTTATATTGAACTTTGCTAATGCATACAGTGACGTATTTCTGCAAGACCTTATTGAGCGAACCCCTTGTAGTTGAGCCAACTTTCTCTTCTTTCTTCTCTTTCCAAACGATATCTCTTTGAATACAATGCAACATGGATCGAAAGAAAAAGCGGTACTCGGTTCCTGACGAAGCATTTTGCGCAACACCACCATACATGCCAGATGCAGCCTACTTGCAAGGTGAAATGTCGATTCCAAATGCCGTAATGTCGAGAGGGAAAAGCCGCATCCACTCATTTACAATTTGCTGTAGGTGGGGACCGGCCGTTTTATCAACCAACACCTGCGCCTAATACTGTTGTAATACATGATACACCGACACGTTCAAAGAATGCCTGTTGCCTAGGATGGTAAGTTGATATTGAAAGCCATGGCAATGGTATCCATGCGATGCTCATTTTAGTTTGTATGTTGTGTAGCTTAGCAGCTATGTGTTTATGCTGTGGAATTCAAGAATGCTGTACAATCTTTTAGCCAAATGCGAGAGAAATAGACAACTTCTCTTTATTACGTAAATTGATATGCTTGCTATTTTGTTGTAGAGTGCTGATTGTAGTGTGTTGTGTGTGTGTGCGTTGTGAAGGGGGGAAAAGGGAAACAATGAAATGATGGTCAAAACAGATATCTATGTACATGAGAGTATTTACATCATCGTCGATCTTCGTCTAATGGAAAAAGTAATCGCTGTTTTTGACTTGGTTGATATCAAACTCGCCTTTTTCTGGAAGCGGCATCAATTTCAAATCATCCCAAGTGTGCTCGTATTTGCGTACTCCTCGCTTTTTGGTTGTCTTTGTGGTGGTAGTCTTTTTCTTCTTTTTGGGAGCCTCCTCACTTAGGGATTCAGCTTCATCCACGGGCGTCTCCTCATCTTCAAGACCAAATAGCGCATTCATAGCACGCTCTTCATTTGCCTGCTCCTCAGTTTTACCAGCCGATTCTTCAATGGGTGCCTTAGCAAATCCAACGGACTCAAGCTCAGAGGTCTCGTCATCTTCTTCAAGGATTCGTTCACCATCCTTGGTAATCTCACGGGTAACAGGAATCTTGTAGCTCTTGTATCTTTCCTTAAACTCCTTGACAAGGTTCTCCATAATGGGTTGTGAATGCAACTCGATAAATTGATCACGAATGACCTTGTTCATTTCATCCACATCACGTGCATGGGTCCAGTAACTGTCATGCACAGATGCAAATGTCAAACCCCGCTCGTGACAAGCGACAGCGGACATGAGCATGTGCGTAGCATCAAGCGAGTGAATGAAATTGGGTGGGAAAGCAGTACTTTGCTTGAGAGCATTGACAGGGCGTGATGCTTCTGGATCCTCAATAAACACGGTTTGCAACAAGGTGGATACTTGCTTCTTGCCAGATCGACGATAGGGTTGTACAATGGGTAGACCAAGAGGTGTTGTCCAAATCACGGATGTCATTTGGTTGGAAGTGGGGTTTCTTGCCGAGAATGGTTGCTTTTTGGACGATTTGCGTGATCCATTGTTTTCTTGATTGCTCGTAGAATCCTCCATGGTGCCATCCGTCTTTGGTAAAATACCAGCTTCTTGCAATGCTTCAGCAGGAACGCTCTTGGCAATACGACGAGCTGAATCAGTGAGCCAATCTTGGATCTTGCGAGCACCATTAAACATTTCACCAAGGGAGGCAAACACCTTCTTGGCCAAATAGCCAGCGAGATTATATACTTGATCGGATGGGATGTCATCTCGCTCCTTGAGTTGCCTCTCAATTTGTGAACGTGCACCAATAAACGTGACACCGTAAACGTTGGTCATCACCGTTTGCTTGACAACCTTGCGGCTAATCTTGCCCAATAGCATTTGTGCCTCTTCAACACCTTCTTGAGCTTCCTTTTCCACAAGCTTGTTCACCATTTCAGCTACACCAGTGTACACATCAGCAGGTCGATCACCAGGTGCTAAGTTGACAGCTTGTGCACCAGCCATATCACCACCCAATGCTGCATAATGCTGAAGACCGTTACAAGTACCATCTTGATGAACGGGTATCCTTGAAAGAAATTCCTCAGGTTTGCCACCACGTATAGCACCCGCAATCTCAAAGCATGCAGCAAGACATTGCCATGGGGAATCAGCCTTCAACCACCAACGCTTTCCATTCAATGGGTTGTCAACCGAATCAAACACGTTCTCGAGGTTCTTCATGGTAAATTCTTCACGCTCAGTGAATGAATGCCTATATCCATGGATTAATACAACTTGGCTCTTTTCATTATGATGCTCAATAACTTACTTGTCGTAACCATACAAGTTAGCCAAATGGATCTTGAGCCATCTCCAACCTCGTTCGCCTAGCGGCTTGGCTTCATCAAACATCAACAAACCACGACATAAATCGTTGCCCAAATGGTTGAGTGTGGGTGGAATTGGATATGCACGGCCTCTGAAATCCATGTTGTGAGGGAAGAACATGGGCAAATTCAAAAACTAGAGAACGTATATGAGTAAAAAGAAACGCTTTTTTCCCATCTCTGATACTTACTGCTCGAGCTGTCTCCACCTTATAATTGACATCACAACGTAAACTGTGTCGGTTCTTTTCATCCGTTTGTTGTCGTTTGACGAGGTTGACCCAATGGAACTTGGCCTTGGGATCGGTATCATAATTCTCAGGCTTGGGTGGTAATGGATCGGGTTCAGAAATGGCACGTGGGATATCAGCAATAGCTTCACCAGTATTCCATGCTTCCAATACGACATTAAAGACGCCCTTGTTGACTCTCCAGCGTGTTGAGCCAAGTACATCCAATCCTGCCAAAACGGCATTAAGACGATCTTCTTCTGATGCCTTGTGCAAATACACCAGCTGTTCGGGAGAATCCTTGATACGCATACAAGAGGACTTTGCTGTCAAGTAGCCACCCGAATTATAGCTCAACCAAGGACGAGGATGCACAATCATAGGCATTAAACGTGGATGGAGTGTGTCACGTACGGGCTCACGAGAGAGCAATTCGGTGAGTGGTTCTGAAAACTTGATGATACCAACACGTTTGCCCTTGACGTATTGATACGTGTGGAAAAATGCGGGAATGTTCTCCATGCTATATATACGTATGCCGTAATGAGTCTTCTCGCTCTATTTTTTCTCTCCTAACCCAATTACTTACATCTTTTCACCTGTCTCAGGATTGAAACTAGGTACCGGGATCTTGGCAGCATCCAAAAAGATGCTTGTCAATACACTGCCAACCTTGGCACGAATGGTGCTAGGCCATACAGGTGTCCATTCACCAGTCTCTGCTGTGGTACCAGTATCGCCTTCAGATGACTCGATAAGTTCGCTTCCAATGCCCATTTGTTGCTGCTTCATCATATCCACGTGTGCACGTCGTACAGCCATGTTGAATAATTTGCCACTAGCAAAGAGAGAATGCACTTCTTGATTCTTGATGAGGCGTTTGGAAGAGGCCTTTTTGATTTGCATTGCATTGTACTCCATCTCGACAGCCTTGCCCACATCGATGACTGCACGAGCTGTTTTCATACCATCAGCGATACCCGAGGAGTTGTGCAATCTCAGCAATTCCAACATGGTGATCATCGACAAGGTCTCAGGCTTGAGTAACTTGAGGAATGGACCATAAGTCTTACGATCATGGTTTGAACGGCCTTTGATCTCATCACAGCGCTCGATTTCCTCAATAATCAAAGGAACGGTCTTTTGGTGCCAATCCCACATTGTTCTTTTCAAAGGTGTCAAATTCATTGCTTGCAATGTATCGCCACGTTCCAAACTCTCCTTCTTCATATGCTCCAATCGCTGCATTGCGACTTCATATCCTTGCTGCTCCAATGCATATTGAAGTTCATAAGGATCCATTGTGGCGGCCTTGACAGGATCCTGCAATGCAGCCAGCTGTTCTCGGAGAAATTGAACACCCACAGCTTTTGTTGGACGTGCTTCTGGTATATTCTCCATGATGGGTTCTTGAGATGCCGTTGTTGATGATGATGATGATGATGCTTCTGCTTGTTGTGATGCTGTATGAGATGCTGATGTTTCCTTGGCAACGGATGCAGATTCGGGATGGACACCATCGACGGCGGCTTCCAGTTGAGTAAGCATGGATTGTACCTCACTGGATGAGTTTTGTGGGGTATTGCGAATAAGATTGCGAAAGAGGGTCACATCATTCTCTGACAAAAAGCTCGATTTGACAAGCTCTGGCATCGTAAACGACGTCTCGGATTGCATCTCTCGAAGTAATGCACGTACAGCGGTATAGTTGTTGATCCTAAATTGAAAAAGTCAGCATGCAAGGACTCTTTTGTTCCCCTTTTTTGGGCATTGCATTCCCAGCTCCCACACACACTTGCCTGAGATAAGCCTTAATGGTAATTGCATATGTGTTGACATCTGGTGATAAGCCAAAGCTCTTCATATTGTCCACCCAAATAAGACATTCAGAACCCATAGGCATAGTTGCTTCTGCAAAGCCATTGAGGAAGGCATTGTACAAGTGGATATCGGCAAACAGCTTCATTTCCTTATTCTTGGTGCGGTGGAGCTCCTTCATGATTCGTTCAGCACGACCCATGTCACCCGATCGAATACAAGCATTCAAGATCGCAAACTGTTCGGCCAAATGGGAGGGAAGCACACGTGAATTGTAGCGGAATGAGGGTAGCGAAGGGTTTGGAAGGATAAGGTGTTGACTTGGTTGCTGTTGTGCAGTTGTTGTGGAGTGAGTGTCAACGGTCGCTGTAGCTACGGCAGAAGAAGCATAACGTCTCCAGGCTGAGAGGAGAGGTCGTTGAGGAGAGGTGATACACCAAAGCCGACTTTTATTTGATGTCGCCAACTGTCTTGCAAGTGGCAACGACATGATGTGGTGATAAATAAAGCCTTTCGGTGTGAGAAGGACGTATGCAAAAGAAAAGAGAAAACAAAGGTACAACCCCCATCCCATCACAACGATAAAGGAATGGAAATTTTTTCTGAGCTGAGCTTTTAGAAGCCAGATGTGATACATGTCAAAACAGCTACTTTTCTATGCATTCATCCCAAATAAAAGGTTTCTTAATGTATACGTCTTTATTGGTTGGGCTATAAAGGATCTTCTCCCTTCGTCTTTGTTATGGAGGTTGGCGTGTGTGAATGAGGTCGTGTGCGTGGGTATGCGTGTGTATACCCATTTCCACCATCCCCGACGTCTGTAAATTGTGTTGAAACCCACTCATGCATTATTGTCACAAGCCACAAGCGGGAACCCCGGCAACTGGGAACCGACATCACATGGTCTCAAATGCAATCACCGTATATAAGGATTGCTTCACATTGGATATCGTTTCATTCATCAAGATGGTCATTATGGATGAATACCTATAGGATGACACATTGTCGGAAGCTGTAAACTAAATTAAAACCTAATCGACCCTGCATCGTTTGACAAAGCAAATTCACGGCATAATGACATGCGTGCACTGTATTGATATACCTTGATAATATCACCAACATAAAGTATACTTGGTACATAAGCGATTCTCCTTCAATGTATGGTGATGCATGCTCAATGGTATTATACTATGTGCCTTGTTCTACCTATACTCCACAGCTACAACAACCTTGTGGAACGTGTACTATTATGCGATCCCTCCTTCATACCCAATCGATGCATCAAAGATGAGGATCATTTACATCAATACCCTTCCAGTAGCCATGGAAGCATGCTGATACGATACAAGTAATGGTGATCAATGTTATGCTTATCTTAGTAGCGGTTCAACGACCCCAAATGTGAACAAAGTGGTATGCAGGAACAGTGATCGGATGCAATCCATGATAGTGATGGAAGGGATGATGATCAGGCATTACCTATAGGATCCAGCTATTCGAATCAAAGCACTTTATTCATCCTTTCAAGATATACATGATTTACATGTAAGTGGCAAAATACGCCTATCACGTGTGTGATACGTACAACCAGGGTGTGTGTGTAAGTTGTAGCATGGGTGATAAAACCTTTTGACAATGATACAAGAAGAAAGTAGAACAAGATGTTCCATAATAATTTATCCACAAATGAATCTTGAAGTGATGGTTTGGATGGTCATGTTTCATCATGTGGATCCCAGCTCACGCCAGGGCACCAAAGAAATTTGAGGGGAGGAGGTGAGCGGCGGGGAGGTACATTGACCCTCTTTCCCTTTTCCCTTTTCTTTTTTCTCTACGACAGTGTGTCATATACCATGCTCGAGGCAACTGGCTTGTCCCTTCAACTAGACGATGGTCGCTATCTATTCAAGAATGTTGACATTCACTTGAGTCAAAACGATGTCTTGGTGTTACGAGGACCAAGTGGTGCAGGGTAAATGTCCACGCAAGTCTTCACATGAGTCGCATTCCAGTTATCTAATGCTGAATCGTGTTCCTTTTTCTACCCGATTAGCAAAACGACGCTATTGAAATGTCTTGCCGAGTTGGTGCCTTACGAGTCTGGAACTATCAAGCTACACAACAAAACAGCCAACGACTATGGAGTACCCCTGTGGCGATCCAGGGTCATGTATGTGCCTCAACGACCAGCTATTCATTCTGGATCTCCGATGGATCTATTCAACATGGCCAAGAACTTTGCTAGTCAAAAGGAAAAGAAAGCATTTGGTGACCCAGTACGTTTTGAGCAACAATCTCTTTCTCTTTAATGGTATACTGATATGCTTATTTCATTGTGTAGGCACAAATTGGTATGCAATGGAACTTATCAGAATCACATTTCACCGAAAAATGGAGCAACCTTTCTGGTGGTGAGATGCAACGTGCCTCTTTGGCTGTGGCATTGGCTTTGAATCCTGAAATCTTGTTACTGGATGGTAAGAGAGAGGGAGAGTGTGTGTGTGTTACTATTACAAGACCGTGAGTTAATGTGGCATCATCATCATTTGCAGAACCGACATCGGCATTGGATCCCGAATCGACACTTCTTGTTGAAAAGACGCTAAAGACGAAGACATGCATTTGGATCACGCATAGCCCTGAACAAGAAGCACGCGTTGCTACCAACACATTGACATTGAAACGTTTGTATGGCAGCAACAAATCTTTGGATGAGGATGATTCGATCTCGGAAAGAACAGCAGCTGATATGGCCATTCGTATGTAAACCCCTCACGTCATTATACACGACCACAACGTATCTTCTCCACGCCTGCATTGCATCACAAACACACACTTTGATCATTCGTCATCCATACTCCCTACTCTCAACTCGTATGTAAAGGCCGACTTGTCTTGTATACCTTATCAACCCCCAATGCAAATATACTCATGGCAACTGCTGATTGGTGCCAGAATTTGGGAAAATGAATTTGTGTCAGGTTCAGGAATAATGAGGTGTTAACACTACTTTTTAATGCACTTTTTTTGGGGGGATATGGTATTGGATATCTGCTCTATCAAGAGGAGGAGTAGTTGAGAAAGGAGGAGAAGGCTAAACACAGGGTAAAAGTGAGAATGAGTGAAAGAATGGGCATAATCATAAGGTATTTCTTCATATGTAAGGCGCAAATTGAACACAAAAATAAAAACAAAGGAACATACAAGAAGAAGCAAATAACAACAAGGGGCAAAGGGGATATGTGTGTGTGTGGAGATCCATAAGGTCAAGTATGTGTGGGTCACAATATGTAAGAAGTGAATAAGCGAAATATTCATACGAAGAACAACAAAGCCGTCAACGGCTCTGTGTTAGTGTGAAAGTGAAGATGCGCAGAAGAATGATATGCAAGAATGGGGGAATAGGGGGGAATAGGGTGGAGTTGAATGATGAAAGGTATGCTGATGATGGCGATGATGAGGATGAAAGAGGAGAATAAACGCACGCGGATAATAATGAAAGGGATGGGAAAGAAATGAAAGGTGTAGAATTGGATAACGTGTGTGAGTGTGAGTGTGAGTGTTTGGCTTACAGATTGCGGTAGCGACGCTTGCCAGCACACTTCATAGCTTGAATCTCAGGGCTTGTACGACACGCTTCTTCCATCCGCAAGTGGCGTTTAAGGGCATCGGTACGAGCAAATGCCTTTTTGCAGCAGAGACAAGGATATGGTTTGGCACCAGTATGAACCCGAATATGGCGTTGGAGATCATGTTTACGTGCGAATGCGCGAACACACAAGGGGCACTGATATGGTCTAGCCGCGTTGCTGTTGGTGCTGGCAGTGGATGAGGTGCTACTTTTTCGTTGTGCTGTGGTCATCGGAGCGGCAACTGTATCCGAAGGACTGGTGATTGTGGTGTTGTTGTTGTTTGTAGAAATGACAGTAGCTGCTGCTGCAGGCACGGGGATGTGGCTATTTTCGTCATGTTGATCGATCATCACTTGTTGTTTATCCTCTAAAGGTGCAAGACCCATCGATGGATGAATGTGGTGATGTTGTGGACATGCAGACTCCTCATCCATCATAGGCTGAGATGAATAAAAGAGATAGTCAAAGGGTGATGCCATCATGTCTTGCATGTTGGGTGGCGTGTAATAATCAAAGGTGCCCTCGATGGGTGATGGCTGCTGACTCAAGCTATCGGAATAAGGCGAATACGATAATGATTCGGTGGGCGAAGGTGGTAACGTATCCACATACGATAGTTGCAAATCGACAGGAGACGAAAGTGTGCTGTTGTACCACGAAGAATCATGCTCGGCATCGTTAACGGGTGATAATGCTGGTGCCCCATATGTCGCCAAAAGCATGTCGGGATCCATATACGCGCAGTAATGGTTGTTGGTGTTGTTTGGCGTAGAGCCGCAATAAATCTCTTGCTGCTGGTTGTCGTAGTCTTGGTACATCATAGTAATAAGGTATTGTTGTTGTGTGGGATATAATGTTACAAGTAAATGGCACAAGTGATTATAATCTTTCCTTTACCAACAAGGCCAAGACAAAAAGAAATATTACAAAGAAGAAGAAAATGTGGTTGTGGGGTGGGGAACGATGGTGGAATAAGGCAAGTTTATATAAGGTGCGTGTTCCTATGTGCACCCCTTGCTTAAGCTGTACCGCATTATCTGTACATCAACCTTCCACATACATGTATACACACACACGCACAGCACGCACCAAACACACATACCGCATCGTACACACTCGGCTCGCACAGCTTTCTTTTCTCCTACTTGACTCCACCACCATTCATCCCCCTTCACCCCTTGCTCATCACATCCATCCTCTATCCCCCAAACAATCACTTTATCCATCCCCTAGATAATAAGCCTCCCCCCAAAATGGTGCGTGTTGTTATCTTTTCATCCATCAGCCTATTGGGGGAGAGGGGGTTCTACATACACACTACTATGGTGAGGCCATCGTTTGCCGATCAAAAAGGGGATGTCTGACCATGCTGGTGGGACAAAATTTGAAGCATTGGCAACACAGCATCCCAAGCCGACAAAATCCCTAAAAGCACAGATCGTTCGAAAATAGTTTATTCTCTCGCTCTCATGGTCTCCCAACCTGCTCCTACATGCATTCGCCTTTTATGGCCATTATCTTCAGGAGAAAAAGATCAACCATGCGGAGAGCATTACATCGAACGGCCTCGAAAGACCAAAGTATGATGACAAGGGGGGGGAGACATGAGTACATCAGATGATTGATGTCTCTCTTAGTAAATGGTGTTCTGCATAGGTCGTGTGGTGTGTATGTGTGAATGAGCGCGTGTGTGTGTGCACATACACGGCCCATCACCTATCATTGACACTGTGCCACCTTGCCGGCAGCCATCGGCTTTTTTCTTTTCTGGTTCACACACACACACACACACACACACGCACACAATCATTTGTGAGAGTGTTGAAAGCCGCGTTTACATAATTACAACACCTGCACGAATGAGTATGCATTGCTGACAGGATGACAACCACGGGGTGCTTTTGGATCAGCCATGTATATGCAATCTTACAATACTTTTGCAAGGGAAGGGGTCGTTTCTATACTTTTTTTTAGACAGCCTAGACACTTGCGCAATAAGATACCCATAAAAACATCCATGCACGAACATCTTGTCTACTCCCCGTTCCGAAAAACGGGGGCTGATCACCCACAATCAATCTTTCGAAGGATTGGGTAGCCGCTTTTTGATGATGCCTGCAGCTCCATAAGTAGCCTAGACCCCCATTTTGCATGGCACATCATCATCATAATCCCACGCACTTGTCATTTCCCCCCACCTCATTTCTCATTTTCCCTTCTGAGTAATAATAATGTAGATTACTCTTGATCCTGGATCAGCAACAAAGATTTCCTTCAGCAGCATGCAACTCTATGCTCATTTTCTTTTACGTTCAATATGCATACATGTTGTTGTGTGTGGATAAAAGGGGGGTTAGAAACATCATGTAAACAACAACGCTGAAGAAAACGAAAAGCTTGTCGATCAGCATTGCATTGCATGCATTGACTTTTTTCTCCTTTTCTTACGACTCGACCTTATATCTCTTTACCCAATTCCGAATGCGACCAAAAAATCTTACTTGCGACACCACCCATTTTGACTCAAAACATCGATCATTCTTTATCGCTCATGAACCCTACTCTCTTTTGCCTTGTCCCGATTAGGTTGGGATATGCAAGGGATCAACTGGTTCACCACGTACATTTGACACCCACTATTAATTTATTCTGCTGCTATCGCTATCATTGAACTCTTGACGTGTTAAATGTATGTAATCGACCTATGGCATTATACGTCCATTGCCAGGCACGCATATCGACATGCAGCAAGCAACATGAGAAGAAGGAGGAGGAGGAGATGGGAGGAAGGGGAAAAAAAGAAATCCCTCGAAAATACCATATACATGGCATCTCCTACAGTGTAGTTAAGATGACTATGTGTCATTTGTTGAATGAATACTTTGCATCGGCCAGGTTGTGCGTGTATGTATATATGTTGGTGCATGCAAATATGGGTGTTTGGCCGACACTCATTCCCTGTTCGCTGTGCCTGTTGCCTTATTCTACAAGAGCCCGTCCTAGTTGTCACACAGACGATGCTTTGCACTCCCTAATTTCTTTTTACATGTCATCATCGGAATGCCCGTTCCGTGCTTCGTTCCTTGCCGAGTTTGGGGGGTCACAGGGATGATATCAAGATGTTTCTTGGGGGTACATTCGCTGAGAAACATCATCGTGTACGCGCACACGCACACACGTTTGTAGGTATGTGCACCAATAACACAACGACAAGCGTATCAGTAACACCTTTCCAAACGCACGGCCCAGCTAAATTACTAAAGGCACGATCGTCATTATGATGGGGGTATTGTTTTTGGCTTTATGTATGGCATTGTGCTGATAGATAGAAAACAACGAAAAGTTGCTGATATACTACATACTCGATATGCGATGCGCTAATATATATGTGTGGTTGTGGTTGTGTGTGTAAATGATTATGATGCAGGTGGCCTGTTGCTGTATTGGTTGGCCATGGGATGATCAGCCGGGGTCAATAATTCAAAGCTGCATAGTAATTCCTCGCTCACACTCATGAGAGCACCAAAGTTATCGAATTCGCCACAATAGTTGGGTGCTGAGAAGACCGTTACGAGTGACTTTCCTTCAAAGAATTGATATCCATCTTCCACAACCTACATAAAGGAATGGATCAGCAACAACGCCGTAAATCGAGAACACGTACCGGAATAAGAATTTGCTTACTTACCATGTGTGCTCTACACACAAGATCTAGATCGAACCGAGCGAGGAATTCCTCAATAACCTTACGCCCAAAGCAGTACGAAACGCCACGTTCATTTTCTTCCCATTCATCGGTGGTTTCGGTAGGATCGGACCATAGTAAATCATTCAATAAGCCATAATCTGGTACATCGGTCGGTCGCTCAATGCTGCGGATCTCATCCATACTGTGCAACGAAGGCGATAAACCCCCATGGACACAAAAGATCTTGTTGGCAACCAATGCCGCAATCGGTAATGTGTTGAACATGTCCACAAATGTCTTCCATATCTTGGGGCTCAAGCGTCGTTTGCATTCATCATAGAATCCATACACTAGCAAGCGACGTAGTAACAACGAGGAGGAGTTATTAGATGATGATGACATACATGGAATCCATGTCCAAATTTACCTTTGGTTACATTAGCACACTCATGGTTTCCTCTCAAGATGAAAAAGTTTTCTGGGTACTTGATCTTGTAACAGAGCAACAGTAACATGGTTTCTAAACTTTGTTTTCCTCGGTCCACGTAATCGCCCAAGAAAAGATAGTTGCTGCTCGGAGGAAAGCCGCCCATCTCGAACAGCCGGATCAAGTCGGTGAATTGACCATGCGTATCACCAACAATCTTGACGGGTGGCGACAACTCCAATAGGGTCTTTAAAGAAAAGAAGCAGGGTTAATAATAAAGTTCAGCAACAACAACAACAACCCCCTTTTCCTTCTTTCTTTTCCTTCCTTGCTGCATAACTTACAGGTTGACTCATAAAGATATCCATGGCCATACGACAAATGGTGACGACTTCAGATGCTCTTAAGCACAATTGCTTGGGAGTTTTGTTGGAATAGCCGACTTCAATAAGGCGACGAATGCAATCATCAATCTGCAGTGGCATCCCTTTCATGCTATTCACGGTCAATTGATTCATCGAATTGATAGTCAGCTGATTGTCCTCGACGGCCGTTGAAGCAACCGGTGGCCAATAATCAGATGATGCTGATAAGTGTTTATGCTGGTGTGGATGAGGATGTTGTTGTTGTTGCCCTCCTCCTTGTTGATACATTGCATTGTATTCTGCTTGTGACATTGGCGGTTTGTTAGGTGCTGTTCCTCTTGCATACCCCGCCTTTTCCTCTTCAAACGAGTCCCTTGGGCGATTGCTTGAATACTCTGGGTTGAGATGAGCTAATGCTGAATCACCACTGCCGAATTGCTGCCGCGTTGGAGAGTTGATGAGAATGGAATTGGATGAATGAGCAGTGTTGGTGCTGTATTCGTTGTCGTTGGTGGTTGTATGGTGTGGCGGTTGTGATGGATTACTGTAAAGGGGTGGAGGACCCACCATTCCCCTCTGCTGTTGATTACGCTTCTTTTTGGATACACTATTTCCCATGATGATGATTATGTATGTGAGTAGTGGTGGTGGTGGTGCCTTGATATAATCGCGTGTGAAGTGGAATGAAAAGAAAAGGAAGGATCAATGCACTAGCCCAAACATGAATCAATACATGCGGAGGACCAAATCGCACTTGCCTTGTCCCTCCATCGTCATAATTATAGCATGCTCTTAGTCTACTGAATCATCATCCAGTAAATATTGGTACTGTTTCATCGTCGTTGTTTATAGGAGGATCATCCGCTATGAATAGCTGTCAAGGGCAAATGATAAAACAAGGAACAAGGCTCATTGTTATGGATATTTTTGGAGGAGGGGTAGTAAAAGACTGAATTAACATCTCATTTACTGCTGCTGTGGTAGTGTACGTAATATGCGTGTCATTCTTTTGCTCACGTTGTTCCTGACAACCACCTGCACTTGCCATGTGTGTTAAAATCATTACGCATGTAGCTTGGCTGTCGATCTTTATAGTTCTACATTGAATCACGCTATAAATTTAGACTTTCCTTCTCATGGATCAGGATGATCTACAAAAGGGATTAGCATTTTCCGCTCATATGCCGACCACTCGAACCGCGTGATCTTTTCTTTATTTGGTAATCCAAGGAGAAAGAAAAGAGGGTCCAATCTGATTTTGTGTAACGATAATCAAAGTCTTAATGCTTGCTCAATAATCACCCCCACAACACGGCCATCCTGGGATAGGTCACTTTCATACCCCCGCCATAATTGAGTACCACCCTATTTATGATCCCAGCGTCGATAATAAATAACATGTATTATGTCCATTGAGTACCACGTCCTACAAATTCAACTCTACATAACCCAGCAGCTCCTCCTGATGCAATCCAGCCAGCAGACGTTGTATTTGGACACCAGCATGTCTATTTATGTGATATATGTGTGAGCCATCATCTCATAGCGTATGTGTCCAATAATCCATACCTTTGTTAATAGCCGTACTGAATCTTTCATGTAATGGTAATACCCCTTTTCTTTCTTGCTTTGATCTTTTGACTATGGTACCCACGTTAGTACCAGGCATTTACATGTTGCAGGGGATCACTTACCATGGGCTTTAAACCATCAATGTATTGAAACGTATCTTCTTCGGGATCATACTCAAGCTTGTAGGCGATGTTTTGATATTTGGTCTAGTCGTTTGTTGTCAAAAAGAATGAAAATCAAACATCACCTCCCTCCAACATCAACCTACCTCTCCACGACGTCGTAGTACATAGGCATTGACGATCTTTAACCATCCATCCGAGCTGGTAATTGAAAGAAATGGATGCATTTCGCTTCCTGCAATTGAGAAAGACGCTGCGTTGCCTTCCACCAGTCGATTGCCAGGGCTTAGTTCACTCTTTTCCTTGGTATCGCAAAGATGCAAAATATTGTCACCATCCATGTACGAAAGCTTATCGCCGATACCTGGCCAGACCAAAGCGTACGCTATACCTGGTAATAATGCAAATACATGAGCATTGCATATCCTTTCGCACAACAAGCTGCAACCACTTACTTCGTGTACGACAATACATAATCGGATTGCGTGGATCTTGTGGGTGGTGTATGAATATGCAGCCGTCTGATCCACAAGATGCGAAGTTGACTGGATCAATGACACCGTGCCATGCAATATTTCGTACAGCAGATGCATGGACAACTACTGAGCTGTTGACATATCTTTGAGGATGATCGTCGTCCTTGTGTCCATTCATAAGAGCCCTTTCAGCATCCAAAACGGCAACCATACCTGTGGAGAAAAGAGACGCATGTAAGTTTCCATAGGTTGCCAATAGTGATCCCTGTTACCCCTACCATTTGCAAATCCACATGCCACTTTGCTATGTCCACCCCAAGATGCCACCATCGGAATCATGTTGTTGAGCTTGAGTGTGTAGCGCACCTTCTTCAATCGCACTATGACCATGATGATCAATACGTGCTATCATCCAATCACCATACTACTCACAATAAAGAGTGCCTTGTCCTCCTTCACGTTGCCTTAATGCATTTGGATGAGGTACCACGATCAGCCGTACGGTATTGTCGCCACATACGATGGACAAGATGCCGAGCTTGGGAATGTCCTTTTCAAGTTCCTATATGATTGAAAGGCACAAGATCAATACCACAATCATATTGACACTTTGCCTTTTGTCCTGTTCCTACCTCTTCATAAGCACCATAAGGGCACCAATCCAACGACTTGACAGGCCCAAAGTCGTGCAACAAACACAGATCAAGTCTTGGTTCCACAGGATCATCATTCACCGACAAATGTAGCTTCCAAATTTGAATTGCATTCTTGTATGTTCCTGTTGGGACCTCTCCTCGTTGCTTGTGATGCTCTTTTTCAGCTCCTCGGAAACCGGTAATTGCCAAATATTGCGCGTGTGGATCACTTTCAATATCAGGTCGTTTGGGCGCGAAACCAAGACCCCATATGGCACCTCCATTGTTGATCACATAGCCTGGTTTGACAGCAACATGCTTGCCTATATGGGTAGGAGATGTTAGCCTATGCGCGTATCCAAATGTGTATATGCAAGCAAGCTTACCTACAGATTCTGTACCAAGCAAAGGGATATCCACAGTCGTCTTTTCCTTGATACCAAACATCACCTTACGCGCGTTGCCTTCGGGAAGATAAGACTGTGCTTCACTAGATCAATGTCAATACCAAAGAATACAGCACAACGATCGCGTTGCATTACGTACCTTTCAGTGACAATCTCCCATTCGTCTTCGTTCGGGTGAACTCCAGAGTAATCGTCGCGATTGTTGCCTTGATCTACGTTGAATAGCTTTTGTCGCAAGGGGCCATGGAGCTCGACGTCAGCGTCATTGGGAAGTGTGGGTGGACCAGCTTTGTGGGAGGGCATGAGCAAGTGATCGTTATGCAGGAAAAATAGAGGCAGCTGGAGGAAACGGGAAGACCCCAAAGTTGTCGACTTGCTCCAACTAAATTCAATTTCATTACCCACACACACATAAATCCCCTTTCTCCTTTTCGTGTATAAAGTGCAATGTCTTCTTTATTTGTGTGGATTGCTCAACGCTCTTCTTCATCAAACCCAGGTTGGCGTTTGCCTACTATAAATGAAAGGATGACTTCAAAGGCTCCGTTTATAGTGCTATAAGGATGTTCAGATAGCATCAACAACATGAGGAAAAAATCATTACATCATTCCATGATGGGCTTTATCTTTATGACTGTAGACTTGATGTCAATCTTAGATGTCAATAAAGATGATCCATTTTGAGTTTCTAAGTGCAAGACGTAGACGCCTATAGTCAACCAACATGAAGATGGGGATTATCGAAAAGACTAGAATGACGATTAAGCATAGCAGTACCTGGATCATTTAATAGTTCCGTGTTTGCTCCGAAATCCATATTCTTGGCAAGATAGGTTCCGCGACGGAAACGATCGAATATTGCACATGTCCAAAATAGTGGAGTAAACATGAGCATTGTTCAAGAGGCCATGTGTAGGCTGCCATTGGTGATATAATACACACATAGGTGCCCTGTCACCTAATCTAGGTATATCTACGTTGTGTCTGTACATAGAGTCATGTGGAACAATGCAGTGATCCAACAACGGGTTTTACCTTATACAAGTCGGGTATGTATTACAAATAGAAATGATGAATCTGTTGCAAATCGGGAGGAGCAGGATGTGAGCTTATATTCACTTTATACATTCACGGGTAAAAGGACACTGCAATTACAAGGCATATACGTTGTATTGTGATCTCATGTTATGGATGCAGAATGAGAACAAGTACGTATCATGTATAAAAGATGGGACGACGTGCACTTTGCAAATCCGAAAACGCATTCGTTTCATGTGCGTGGTGATATGCTATGCATACATACCATTGTCCCTTTCCCCTTTGAGCTATACTTCTCCGCACGGGCAATAGTGCACGAGGTAAAGAAGCGTATTAAGAGTGGATGTTGGTATCGGCAGCAACAAGAATATGCCATGGTGGTGGTGGTGGTGGCCTATTGTCAAACACAATGTGCCACGTGGATAAAGAATTGCATGTATATGCGCATGATGGAAGTCATTGTGAGAAAACTGGGTACCCGTAGTTTGGCTTGGAAACCGATATAGCTAGTCTCTCCTATGCAGTAGCCAATTCTGTTTCTATTGTCCAAAGTGAAAATGTAATTAAATATGGTTTGGATCCACCCTGGCAAAAGTAACAAGGAATAGGGACAAAGTTACATGGCATGTGATGGTAGTAGTGGGGTATGGTGATAGTGCGTTGCCAAGGTGATTTGCTTTTTTTAATGACCACTGTTCGGCAACTCCCTTTTGCAATATCCTAGTTCATCACATCCACATACACACATCATGTCCCCCAACCCCCTTTTTTTTCTTCTTTGCAATATTTCAGCCCCATCTCAGCTCACTCTCACTCTCATTTTGCTGTTTCTTTTCTCTTTTATCCCTTTCCTTTCGTTCATTCTATTTCGTTGTCGCCCTGGACGGTGCCTATCCACTTCCTCTCACTCTTTTGCCCTTGACCTTCCTTCTTAATACTACCTGTTATTTTATACCCACTCACACACACGCGCTATGACCCAACAAGTGGTATATGCCATTCACAATTTCGACGCTGAGAACGATGATGAGATCAACTTTCGAGTTGGAGATCCCATTGTAGTCCTTGAACGAGACGACAAATATATGGACGGCTGGTGGCAGGTACATAGACTTCTTGTTGTATAACCCCGCCCCCAAAAAAGCTTCTTCCATGTCCATTGACCTGATCGTGTGTGCAATTTGCAGGGCCGCAACGTCCAAGGTCATGTTGGTTTATTCCCAATGAACTACATATCGACCGAGAAGCCTCGTCAAAACAACAACAACTATTCCTCTCAGTCTATGCATAATACGTTCTCCACCACTAGTACAACTACCAGCAGCAGCCTTAGCGATCGTGATCTCGAGCACAAGATTGACAGCACTATCACCCACGTGACGCACGCCACATCCACTGTCGGTGGTGTTGAATTTGGGAACACTCGACCTGAAGAATGGACGGTGAGCCAAGTCGCTTCATGGCTTGATTCGATAGGTCATGGTTCAGTAGCCCATTTATTCATTGGTAAATGTTTCCCTTTTCTCTTTGCCTATGGATGAATGAATACTAACAACATGATGCTTTCATGTAGAACAAGAGATTTCGGGTGACATCTTGTTGGATCTCAACATGGAAGCACTCAAGGAATTTGGCATTTCCGCGTATGGCAAGCGGTACAAGATTATGCACGCTATCACTAGCTTGAATACGATTGCACCACCTCCGCCAAAGAATCAACAACGACCTCCTTCACGGGTATTGTCTACCAAAGGTGGCAGTGGTGGTGGCCCACCATCCCCAGTTGAATCCGATGGATATCGTAGTAGAACTACAACAGCAACTACACCAGCATCATCCGATGATCACCTCTCACCTTTGAATATCGCTTCACCAACACGTCCCATCTCACCTCAAAGTCTTGGCACTTCGCCTATTGTCAGCCGATCTAATACGTTTAATACCGTTTCCTCCAAGAAATCCAATTCATCCTCTGGCACTATGCGTAGCAGCAGCGATGACCAAAACAATGGAATGATGATGCCTCGTACCAAGACTACCAGCCTGTTTTCTAAAAAGGGAGGTTATCCAAATCAGCATCAACCTGACATGGATGGCGAAGCTACTTACTCGAGTGCAACATCAAGCATTTACAAGAATGATTGGATGACCGAGGTATGTATCCATCTTATGTATCGACGTATTCAAGTTGTTGATGGTAGAAAAATTGTATAGTCCAATATCTCGAGCAGTGGGTCGTCGTTTGAAGATCATTCTATGTAAGTTTTAACTCCCCGTTCTATATTGGAGAGAGAAAGAGAGAGCAAGAGAACCCCTTGAACTCACTCTGTGACTAGGGAGCCTGGTGGATCAGCCGTTCGGAAAATGTCTGTAGCTTCAGCTGATCCCACAGTAAATCAGCCTGATGGTTTCCAAGCACCTGAACATGAAGGATGGCTACACAAGCAAGGCGACAAGTACAAGACTTGGAATAAGCGTTGGTTTGTTCTCAAGGGAATCAATCTGTTTTATTTCAAGAGCCCAAAGGTATAATATCCTCACGATATGAAGCGCGCCCTCTTGTATACTCCTTTACTAAGATCAGACCCTCTTTCTCCTTGGAGGATGTACGCATGAAAGGAATTATCAATCTTCGTGGCTATCGCATTGTCGTTGATGAATCCATCCACAGCAGCAAATATTGTTTCAAGGCCCAGCATGATCGTGAACGGACATTTTACTTTTATACCGATAGCCAAGAATCGATGCGAAAATGGGTGAATGTACTTATGAAGACCACCATTGCTCGAGATATCAGCTGTAAGTGATAGGCGCATATCATTTTTATTCCTTAACTAATATGATTTGTATAGCACCTGTTGTATCTTCCAATCCTGTGGCCACCGTGTCTTTGGACGTTGCTCGACGTATGCGACCAAGACCCCCTTCCATGATCATGTACAACAATGGGAATGGCACAACCACCGTGCAGACCAAGAATGCTCGACCCCATACAGAGTTGATGCATGATCCCAAGATGACCATGTTGCAAGAAGAACAAGAAGAGTATTCCCAGCAGCCAGCGTCAATGATGGATCCACACGTCGAGTGGGTAAACGGTCACCTTAGTCAACCTATCAATGATCTTTCCTCTGCATTCCGTGATGGTGAACGCTTGGTTGAATTACTCGAATCTCTTAGTGGCAAGCAAGTACGCCGACCACCACCACCTGAGGATGGATGTCAGAGCGACATGTATATGCTCAATACCATTGTAGCAGCGTTCAAGTTTATGGGTAGGGAAGGTGTGCAAGTAAATGGTGAATTCACCATCAAAGGTAAATGATCAAGCATCCTTAATGTGTATATGTGTATGTGTCGACTAATTTCGATGATGACAATAGATGTGTTTGCTGGAGACGTATCCAAGATTACCAAAATGCTGGATGCCATTCAGGATTGGTCGGCGCAGTAAAACTGCAACAATCGAACCACATACGCACCCATTATCCCAGCCCTGTTATACTAATTCACTGTTGTTTCCCTTTCACCTTTACGCACAACCCCCCTTGTCTCTTTGTCTCTCTTTCTGAACTCCCATTTTACCAACGATCTCAAAAGCGTATAATATATCCAGTCTTTTATCAATTACACAATGGGCTTTGGTCGTACTCCTAATGTCGAGTCATTCTCGGGTAGTCCACCCCTTTTTGGCAGCTTTCCTCTTGATCACCAAGGTACTTGACACAGCAACAACACCAACAACAACAACGAGCAACACCCATTCAATTCATATCATTGTTGTCTCCAATAGGCGAATGTAAAGACTTTATGAAGGAATACGTAAAGTGCTTGAAAGAAAACAAAAACAATAATGGCAAATGTCGACACCTGTCGCGTGCATATCTCCAATGTCGTATGGACAAGTAAGTGAAGGAAAAGTGCATTCTCTATAGGAGTTACTAATGACATGGTTGATAGGGGATTAATGGATAAGAACAATATGGACAATCTCGGATTTGCCGATCTCAAAGACAAGGACAAGAACAATGACCCGAATAAGAAATAAAACGCAACTTAAAAGAAAACGTTGTTTTTAATGTATTGTAATGGGAGAAAGGTAATATGATGTAAATGCGAACGATGGGATATGCTTGGAAGACCAGAGTTACGTAAAATTGGATCCGGGAGAATGGATATAGAAAACACAAAGATGGGATTACAGACAACATTGGTATTGGCTCCTGGTTGTCACAAGAAGGGGTTGCCATGGCGATGGTGATGATGGTGATGTTGTTATGGTAATGAACGAGTGAATGGAGGATGAGATGCGCCTAAATTTCACGACCGTACTTGTCAAAATCAATTTGAAAGAATGGATGGCGAAGTGCTTGACGAGCTGTGATACGTTTGCTTGGATCATACATGAGCATTTGTTCCAACAAGTCCAAAAGTTGCATGGTGGCTCTTGTTCTAGGATTGATGATACTGCGTAATGGCTTGAGATTATTGACCACGTTTCGTCGTGATGCATGGTGAGTGGTGCTGGTAGATGAGCCAGGGTTGTAGTAGCGTAATCGATTGTTTTCAAAGTATTTTGCTGCATCAGGGCTATGTAGGTTTAATGTCAATGGCTATTCGTGCCTGCCAAATACCCCACACCTTATAATAGTTACCTTGCTTTCCGTGCCATTCGCCCAGGTAATTTACCTAGTACCCTTTCCATCATAGCCAAATGCTCCAAGTTGTCGTGTGTTTGAAAAACGGCTTCGCCTGTAAAGAATTCAATCAAAATGCACCCAAGTGACCACATATCGCATGCATATGACCAACCAAGTCCTGTGTATGCACATCCATGTAATTAGTTTCTAATTTTGCTTGCATACAAGGCAATTTTTACCTAAAATGATCTCGGGTGCTCGATAATGCCGTGTTGATACCACAGCAGAATGATAGCCATGTTGGAAAGTAGCTGACCCAAAGTCAATGAGGACGATGTCGGTCTTGCGTAATATCCGTGTCGTGCCACGCTGTATCAAGAGAAAAGGTTAGAGAGGTCATGCCATGATGATGTGCATTGATCCTTTTCTTTCAAATACCTTTGTATGGGATGCTAATACGGTATCATAGTCATGGTTCTTGAGTAGGATGTTCTCGGGTTTCAGATCCGTGTGAATCATTTCGAGTTCGTGGATAACTAGAAAAAGAGGGTTGTTTAAATACGTGTGCTCTCTTGATTAGCCCGATCCAAGATACTTACAAGCGACACTATTCAGCAGCTGTTTTGCAAAGTGCTGGATTTGAACGAGAGGAAAGGGGGTGAAGTCGTTGGACTTGAGGAAATCGTAAATGGATTGATCCAGCAGCTCGAACACCATACACACATGATTGTAATGTTCAAACCATTCAACGAGATGGATGCATTGGCTATGGTTGCACAAATTAGTTGAGTATAATGCAACAATGCAAATGACCTTTATCATCATTCCCCCAATTGTACTCACTTGAAATTAAGCTGATCATGTTTTTTCAACGTGTTGAGGATACGAATCTCTGTTTGACTTGCTTCACGGTATTTTGGGATAGCACGGATGATCTTGACGGCACAGTAGCATTTTCTTACATGGTCGTAGCATCTTACTACTTTGCCATAGGTGCCTTGCCCAAGTACCTGGTCCATTTGATCTATTCATATTGGAGGATCGTCAACTCAATTCCTGATATGTATATAAGGATGAACTTACATCGGTTCTTAAGAAAATGACCACGTCGTACAATAAAATGACCATCAGCATCATTCATGGGTTGTGGTAAAGGAGGTGGTGGAGGTGGTGGTGGATGATGAGGATGAAGATCTCTTCGTCGTCGTTTGCTGTTTGTGTGATAGTAGCTGGTATCAAAAGGATGATGATTATGATGATGATGCTGTTGCTGCATAGAGTGTGCTGCTGGGGTATAATGACGCTGGCGCTTAGGTAGACGTTGTTGGTGGTGTGTGTGATACAATGATGGATGTGGATAGGTGGTTGTTTGATATTGGAGTTGTTGCTGGTGATAGTTGGAGATCCGGGTGTGTGATGAAGAGGTGAATGACGGCATGGAAGGAGGTGGTGTAGGGGCCTGCACGACAGTGTAATTGGAACGGCTTTGAGAACGATCGTGCGGTGTTGGTGGAGGTGAGTCTTCAATGACAATGATCTCTTGTGGATAGCCATTCCTGTAATACTCGGCTTCCCAGTTGGATTCTCGGTTCCTTTTGGTTGGCAAGAGAGCACTGGTAGCCATAACGACGTTCAAGAAAGAAAAGGAAGGCGGGAAGAAGGATTAAGAGTAAAGGGCGCGCGTTCTTGCTGCTGCTTTTGGGGCTGGTTGGGGGGTGGGATTTGTGATACAGTGTTCACTTGAGGAGAAAGAGGGGAGTCAAAAGATGGCTAAAAAGTAAAGAGAGAGGAGTGTTCAACCACAAAGCAAAGTTAATCATCCCGTGCACTCTGATGTCGCTGTTGTTTATTATCATCATCCACTACCACGGACTAGGGTAATATCTCATATCATTGCACGACACAATGAGTAGTATATTATCATAACCCTTTTTTGTACATAAACCAGCAGCAGAGATAATAATCAAAAGCCATTTCCTCCCCTTGTGCACTACTTTAAACACTATTATCGTCTCCAACACCCCTTTCTTTCACAGCCACCGAAATGATTGATCGTCTTAATAAGCGCTCAAATCGCTCCCCTTTCGAGTAGCTTTAGTATCCCATTGCTACCTGCCTAATGGTAGTGGTAGTAACGAAATAAAAAAAGTAGCACAATGCCTCCTTCTCCCCTGTATCCAATTTTGAGCAGATGGTGCGTCTTGGTAGTGGTCAGTACAACATGACATGATACAAAAGGTGGAAACAACAAGTAAGCTAGCTCTTTGAGCACTATCCACATCCCAAACATACATCAATCTTTCCACAACATATAATTCTCAACTATATTAAGTGGGACATTGAACAACCCACAGCTACCACAGAGTATCTTGGATCTCATTAATATGAATCCTTGATCATGCATCACGTAATTGGCTAACGCTTTCCTCCCGTGAGGGCAATGCGTGATAATGATACGTAGCAATACCATCAATAGCATAGTAGGTCACCTTTCGTTAGAGCATTTACCAAGATTATGTACTTGATATAGCAAATGTAACATCATGATTACTTACTTGCTACATGGATCAATCGAACAACTTGCTCTTTTGGGAGAGCAGCGTATTCACCATTTTTATGATCCAACAGGGATGGGGGACCATATTAGCGGTAGCTCAGCCCATCATGCCCAAATCCAAAAACACGGTCGGTCTTTGATTTTGATGATTTAGGTGAGGATCGGCGGATGGTGTTCGATTGATCACCGATAATACAGCTTGAATTGATGATGCATGATGATATAGATTTGTGCATTATCATGGACATTGCTCGTTTGAGTTCTTTTCTACAATGGTATTCATCATGTCATCCCTTTGATGCTTTTGCCAACAGGATGACAGAAGGCCAGGAAGCGATCAAGATTATTTGATTTGGATAAGGCGGATGGTTTGCTCATGATGGTATGAGCGCACATGGGTGATAGCAGTCGCTTGTTATAGAAAGTGATCGGCACCTTTTACAAGGGCCGCCAAATTGTCCCTGAGCAATGAGGGAGTACCCTTCACTAATGAGAGCTGAAATTATACTTTGCATTCATTTTTACCAGGTCATCATCTACATACAATGAGATGTGAAGGGAATCCATCTACTCAAAAGAGCTGTAGATATTAACCATAAATGTATGTACATCCTTTCTTGAAGCCCAGATGGCGCTCATACATATACCGCAAAGGTATCCATCATCAAGACATAAAATTACATACCACAAAGACAGGAATGGGCACAAGTATTAAAGGACTACGAAGATGATTACGAAGAAGAACGCATGAGCTATTCCTGATCCATGGAGAGTCGATGAATAGCACATAGTAGCGTGGATGTTTATCGAGTAAGTATGATAAAGGAACAGTAATGTAAATTGAATAAGCTACGGGTGGATCACATTAGAGCTAACGGGTATCATTGTGTCATTGTATTCTTGGTTGCTGCTGACATAATCATCCTTCACTCATGATTGGAAAATAGCTGTGGCGTGCATTCACTTGAGTATTCCCAATATCATCCAAACGTTTCATCAAAGATAGAAGCCCTTTGCTCAAATCCATCCAATCCATCACCATCATCCTCATCCGTATCCACATGATATGGTCCATCCTTCCTGTTCACAACGCGACAAGTAACCAAAGCAACATCATTGCATTTGATTCCAACACCATCCATAACCATTACAAGTACAATACTGCTGCTGATATGCTTCCTTTTCCATCCACCTCTTAACCATTTTCCATCGAAGCTCTAGCAGAGGAAGATTGCTTGTATTGCGGTGTACTCGAAAGCTGATTGGGAATCATTTATTGGGATCCGTATGCATTAAAGCAAGCTTCTAGGCATAAATAAAGCTGCTTCTATACATTGGCTATCTGCTGTTCACGTAAAAAAGGCTGTAACGCAGGCTGCTGCAAGTAACTTGAGACAATGAAGTAAAAGCCTTGCTAATGGCAACTGCTGGTACGTTTGAACGTGGCAGAGGAGTGTGCAAGAACATGTGTTGTAGTAGCGTGACAAGGTTGTGGACGTTGTTTGACACTAGAGTAAAGACCTCGCTAATAGAACTGCTGGAATGAATGCTGTTACGTTTGGTCGTGGCAAAGGATTGTACAATGAGATGGTGAAGTGTCAAGAAACACGGGTGCTGTAGTGGGGTGCACAAGCCATGGAGTTCCCATTCAGTCAAAGGCTTTCGGATCAAGGCATTCGTAGGAGTGACATGATGGGCTGAAGGAGGACAATCGTTTGCAGGTGGTAGTTGTGCTTGAATGGGGCAACAGGTGAGAATGGGAGGAAGAGAAGATAAAGTAGGAGTGGAAGAAGAAAAAATCTTAGAGCTTGATCTGATGTTGAATGGTATTTCTTTGTTTGAGCGTTGCTCATTCAAATCCTCTCGGATCAAGAAAGTTGAAGGATGGGAATGATGGGCTGGAGCAGGGCACTCGTTCACATGCATTGGATTGGGAAACAATGGAGAACGGGAGGAATGGGCTATCAAGTGGCAGTTTACATATTACTTTGCAAAATGATTTTTTGATGCTTGGATGATACATCTGTGTTTAAGCGTTTTTCAGTCAAATCCCCTTGGATCAAGAAAGTTGAAGGATGGGCATGCTGGGCTGGAGCAGGGGAATCGTTCACATGCATTGTTTTTGACAACAATGGTGAATGGGTGGTATGGGCTATTGGCTGCCAATGATGAGCTACTACTGAATCGTGCATAAAGTATCATCCTTCCATCCTTCCAGTCATGCAAGGTAACTGAGTTACCCAAAGAGTCCTTCTGCATCTTTTGCCTCATTATAGCCATACTAATTTTTACATTAAACAAAGACTCATTTCTCATATAGAATTCACGCTTTACAAAGTCATATAAAGGTTCCTGTATTCCTAAACTTTAGTAATCAAACGTGGGTTTTTATTTAGAGCAAATGTGCTCATTTATCAACTGCAATCTTGTGAAAGTTTTCACGATCAAGCTTGCCAATCCCAGATTTCGTGAAGGTCGCTACCAGCCAAAACTGCCGCTGGATCTGTGACGGACCTCTCTTCGGATGACGATGACCAAAATATTTTTTGGGCTGCTTATATATTGAACGCGAACTTTCACACAAAAGGTTACGCTGCCGAGCCCATTGCTCTAATAAAAACCCCATCCGTTTCATTGTGAAATTCAGAGCAGGCACCTTTATGTCAAGATAAATATGCAACTGCTATAATAGAGCAAAAGATGCAGAAGGACCTCTTTGGGTAACTCAGCTAAAAAGTCAGGACTTCAGGGGCAATGCATGAGAGGTACGCAACCCTCACTTTTATGTCATACATTGGCAGCTAATAGCCACTTTTGTGCATTCCCAACGTTTGTGCATTCTATTGTAGATGAACGATTCTCCTGCTCCAGACATTCATTTCCATGATTAAAGTAGGTTGATCCGAGCTGATTTGGTTGAGTTACGCTCACACAAGATTACATCGGTTGAGCTACATCGAGCGTGCTTCATGTCCAGAGTGATGTAATCTCTCTTTGACCGCAGCTCAGTCAAATCAGCTCGGATCAACCTATTTTAATCATGGAAATGAATGTCTAGAGCAGGGGCATCGTTCCCATGCAGTGGAACAATGGTGATTGGATAAAAGTGGCCGTTAGCTAGCAATACATGCCTGTTCCTAGATGATCCATAAAGTAATTATACATTGACCCTTTCATTCATGCAAACGTAGCTGTGTTACACAACACGACCCTCTGCATCTTTTGCTCTGTCAGGGTCCACCTTCTTGGCAATGAACAAAGACCACTCTTCATATAGGATCACGCTTACAAACATAGAGGTGCCTGTATCTCCAAACTTTACAATGAAACGTGGGGTTTTGAATAGAGCAATGTGCTCGGCTTGGCCAACAGCACCTTGTGTGAAAGTTTCACATTCATCATGACCAACCCAAGATTTCGCAATGCCGCCACCAGCCAAAAGGTCACCACGTTATAGATCGATTTGATGGGATTTGTATTATAGGTGGAAGCAAAGAGCATCAAGCAGAATGCACTCAATTATAAAGATGGATTTCAGATTCAAGAGCTCATAAGAGTGATGGCTGGTTGGACTTCTTTACTCAAACACGTGATGCAGTTCATATTCCCTCATCCACATAAACGCAATACGTTGCTAAAATGTAGTATTCATTGTGCTCATGGAAATCGTAATGTCCTGGATGTGGTAGTAATTAACAAGAGGAGCGTTTGTGCTAAAAGGACGAAGGCAGACCTAGCTTTGCATGCTGATGTGAAGTGCTGATCGGTGCTCTACCAGGCAGGAGAGCAACTAAAAACTCATTGTGCTACTCGCATGCGGTAAATATGATATCATCAGTACTGCCTTTTAGAGAACGGGGTAACCATGATGATGGCATCAGCAGGTGGTGCTGTTGCTTTGTCTATAGGTTATCACTATTGGGCTCTACCATTGTGGAAATCGAAGCATAAAGAAGGATTCATGATCAATCTGTGGGACCAATGAACGTATTGTTTGATGGAGTTTCATGGTAATAGATGTTGCCCATGATACAATGCGGTGATTCGGCTAATCGTTTTCTAGAACTCAGTTTTCTGGAACAGTATGGAACATTTAATGAGACGATGTTATGATCATTTATACATAATGACAAGTGATAGTAAGAGCACAGGTATTAAATTAAGCATGTATTCATTAACAAGGAGCTGTGCATTGACATGGGATGGATCGAGCAAGGAGGGGGGAAGATTGGACACTACCTAATACCGGGATAAGAAATGCTATTCGTTGAAAGTTTGCGGCCTATGATGTAATGTGTAACATTTGACGTAATGATTTTGGAGCAGACCTCTCTCTCTTTGTTCTCGTTTGTGCCATTTCATTCAATCCGGTACGTGGTGTGGCTCATGCTATGATTGAGACTCTATGTTGGTGTGTTACAATGGGCTAACCTTGGTTACGGTACCAGGTGAAAATCAGTCGAGGCGCTTTGACTTGAACGTATCGAAAAACTCTTAACGATTGTCAGTTTTCGAAGCAACAAAGGTACATCGAGCACGTTTATTTGTTATTACCTTTATTCTAATCGGTGCAAGTCTTATCAGAAGCAACACGAGTATCCAGTGTGTCAATCGCAGTATGACTTCAGTGCAATCAGGAACTACAGCAGGTATGTGTTTGGTTTAGTCAGCTTTTTGTGTATATGCGGGCGGGGGTTTATAGCGAAAAGGAGATGATACTAAAGGAGCTCGTTGTCATATACAGCTGTCAATAGCCCACCCATGGCAGTGTATCCTCTCAACTCAAGTTCAAAGTTGGATCAAGAACCCAATCCTTTTGAGCAAAGTTTCGCAACGAATGTAACCGGCTCAAGCCCCAGCAGCAGTAACAGTAGCAACAATTCTCAACATCAGAAAGAAAGCCTACCAAAGTTACCACCAGTAGCAGCCCTTGATAGTCCTGCTGGTGTCATGAATGCATTGCCCAAGGATGTCGCAAGCCAATTTCAATGGGATTCACTACGTGCAGGTCCTTTGTCACCATCCATGCTCACTGGTCCAGCAAGACGACAAGAACAGCAACAGCAGCAGCAACAGCAGCAGTACGACTACAATAACAACAATGCAGCAAGTCACATGACCCAATCTAGCAACAATTACGGGGATCGATCAGGTAACAAACAAGATTAATGCCTTGTTTACAATATGCTCATATCCATCATTTGTGTAGCGTACAATGCCAAACGCAAAGCTGATGACAACTCTTCAAGCAGCCAATCACCTGTGCAAAGGACGACATCTGCAGATCATTTACAACAACAAAGTCCATCACCTGAACCTGATTCCAAACCAAAGCAACAAAGCAGAAAGAAAGCTCGCCCAAAAACAGCTGAGGATGAAGAGAAGCGACGCAACTTTTTGGAGAGGAATCGAATAGCTGCATTGAAATGTCGACAACGCAAGAAACAATGGCTTAACAACTTACAAAACAAGGTGGAAGTGTTGACCAACGAGAATGAGCAATTGCAAATGCAGGTGGAGACCATGCGAGAAGAAATCACGAATCTCAAGACATTGCTATTTGCACACAAGGATTGTCCTGCTGCACAAAACAATGGCTTCAATGGTTCGATACCCAAAGGAATGCCAGCAGTAATGCATCAACAAGGTATCCGAGGACCTACACCATCCAATGGCGGACCACCACCACCACCTCCAAATGCCGTTTATTCACAACCATTCTCAGCTGCTGATCGATCACAGACCACAAGTGCTCCTATGAATGCACCTCCACAACAACCACATCACTTTCAGCAACAGCCACCACCACCACCACCAGCTATGGTTGGCATGCCTATGCAGCCCCCACAGAGTCACCCTGTACAGCAACAAGGTATGATGGCTGGTGCTTCAGGTCCATCCACAGGCGTCATACGATTATAGACGCAGCACACTTCAACATATGCCATTATCCTTCTTTTTTCTTTTTCTTCTTCCACCTCTCATCATCCATACCAGTTTCTTGCCTGTATCCTTTCTTTCCTTGTTGCATAAGCAGTTGCTAATATCCCCCCCTCGTTTTCATTCTTGCGGCTTTGCACCTCTCTCTCATTTCTTTCCCTTTCTTCCTTCCCACCACATGTTGCATAAGAGTATCCTATGGAGTGTAAAAAAAAGAATAACAAAATGATTCATTCCTAATTTGTGCACAGACCCTTGTGTGTATAGCAACAAGAGGAGTTGCATGTATGTTTGTCTATCAGGGAATTGTAACTTGCGTTGTGTGATGATGGCCCATCGTGGTTGTGTGCAACCCAAACTTTTTCATGCAGCCGTATGTACCTGCGTGTGGTACACACAAAATGTACGATTAGGATTTGGTCCACTTGTTGTACTGAAACAACCTGTGGACTCCTTTGTACGATGACCACACGGCATCAATGATGATCGACAACAACAACAACAACAACAATAAAGTACTGTTGTGTCTAATGAAAGCATAATGTTGAATGAATCCAAATGTGCGTTGGTGTCACCAATCTCATCATGCATGGTGGGACAAGATGGATAAGCATCCAAAGTGATAAATTCTGCTGTAAGATTGAATATACCAAATACGCACAATTTGTCAAGAAAGTAACGGGTCAAAGCACGCCAAGACAAGAGAATGGGCTGCAGCAAGGTGCATTCACCCCAGTTGTCGCGCGCTCGGAGAACATTCCGCTTCTGAGATTGCATACAACATCAACCAATGCATCGTCTACAGCCCAAAAAAAGATCCACTGGTAAATGTCGTGTTGCTTTACGCTATGCTGTGGCACATGAGTTAGTGCAGACGCTCAAGGAGAAATAACCTAATACCGCTTGCCTTTAAAACAAAATAAGCGAGGAGGGAGGCATTGTTGTTGTAAAAGAACGCCACCATCATCACCACAATCAATGGTAGAAAGGGTGGTGATAGTATAGTAGTAAGGCAAAATGTTGTCGATGATAGGGGTGATGGGCCAAAGACCTGCGTTGCGTTGGGGGAGAATTATTACGCCGATCCAACGAATGGATGAACAATGAAGGTGTGTGTGTATGTGTGGTGTCCTCAACTGGCGCTGCATGGTAATATTGAATGTTTGTAAGTGGAGAGGAGGCGAACTAAATAGATTTTCTAGATCTCACTTGCATAAGGCGTGTGTGTGTGCCTCCCTCCCCCAAGCATGGCCGTTGAGTTTAAACAGGCAAGACAAATTGTGGATGTAAGAGAGGGGTGATGATAAGGGGCGGGAAGTATGATGGAATGAAGGCAGTTTTATTTTTTTTCTCCATAGAACAACACGTCAATATAAAAGGGACCCCATCTAAATCCAACCCATTTCGCTATTTAACACATACACATACATACTACGCATTTGCTACCATAATACATACATATGCTTCAATCGCAAATCCTTAGTGTTCTACCACGTCGAATGCTTGCCAGCTTATGGGCATCAGCAGAAACACGTCTTACGGTAAATGTGGTTGACAATGGGGATGATGATGATGATGATGTCGTTGCACAAAGGATCGTCCCATGCTGACTTTTTCATACAGCTATCGCATTTCACCGCCAACAACCACAGCAATGCTACCTCGCCATCGTTTCTTTGTGCTGAGTTACCTGTTCGCTACATGCACATGTTGAGATTATTGTCGTCGCTTCCGCTAGATGCATTACAATCGCCTATGATTAAACACGTGTCGCATCGATATCTCCACGATTTGTGTACATTGTTACATCCATCCATGCAGAATACATCAAGTCGTGCATTCAGCGATGTGATGCGGCGGCTACGACAACGACAAGCGACTAGCTTAATCCGATTGCGATATGCATTGGCAGGGTCTACCATGTTGATGGATAATATCAATACGATTGGACTCGGGATTCAGTTTCTCACTGGTAATTATTCCACGCATATCTTTTTCCTCTTTGGCTATTGCGCTACCCCTATCGTTTCCTACCTCCCCCCATTTTACGTTTTTCTTGGCATTCTCCCCCTTCTTACATGATGCATGGATTCTTGTATGTCACTCACTCCTGTATCATAACACACTTAGAGCAACATCTTTCATGGCCCGATCGTGTTCAAGAAGTGAGGCCAGTGGAAATTGCCATGCAGGCTGCAGACGATGTACGACAAGTCTGTGCCTCCTGTCTTGGCAAACAACCACCTCCAATCTCTATCATTGACAAGGGATCCTCTCAAGAAATGCATTATGCTCCTAGTGCATTGCATCGTGTATTATTCGAATCCATGCTATTAGCTGTACGAGCTCACATGACCACAACTGCCACTACTACATCCACTTCAAGGTGGCCATCTTTATCCTTTATGCGTAAAAACAAGCAGCGACCTATTCAACTTGATATTTTTGGTGGTCCAACAAGTGTCGGATTTCGCTTGGATAGTCCAGCACCTTTATTGACAAGGGATACTTTACATGACATACCACGTGACCCTATTGGTATTCCCATTGCTCATCAAGTGTTGAGCTCAACAGAAGCCGACACCCTTAGCAAACATGGAGATGAACAATTACCCAATGCTGAATGGCATGTATGGAGTGGGTGGCGTGCAGCTAAAACAATGGCTAGCCACTGGGGTGGTAACCTTGATGCCATGTCTGTTGATGGACTTGGTACAACAATGTATCTTGCTCTTGACCGCGACTTGAACATCAGCGAGCGTTATCCTGTTTACAATCCATCACGTAGGCGATACAATCCTGAGACACAGCTTGAAGCTTTCCTTGATGCCATTTCACAACAACAAAGCACAACCCATCAATACCAACGTCCTGCCAAAGATCATTCCATTTCTCTTTCAGCAGCTGTTGCATCTGCAGTTGCTCATGCTTAATACTCTCACTTTCATGTTTCTTTGTTTCTTGTTTTCATTCTTCATTTCACCCCCATACCCATACCACCACATCTCTTTGTTTTTACATTAATTGTTCCTGTTTACTACTATATGCATCATTTCTCATTCAGCAAACAACCATAGGCAATCTCATCCATCATCATCCCTAGTCCATTTCCCTATTTTCACTCGTAGAATACGCCTATATTATGTTAGATGACCCATTTTGATGAGTACATCCAATACAGTCTTCATTATCATCTTCCATTCTTTGTCATTTGAGTGGTACCACCTTCCCCTGGTTATGTTAGACACCTCCTCCTCCTCTCCCTCATGCATTATGCACGCCCATAAATGTAGGGTGGCAATGTTTTTTTGATACGAGATGATGATCTGTTTCAAGATGTTGTGTGTAAGCAGCATTTCTTCCTTCGATGGATGAACTAATATCCAATATGAACGACTCAGCATCCGCTTCTTTATCTTTTTTCGATTATCCCTTTCCGACGTACAAGATACAGCCGCCATGGCAACAAGCGAATCACTCTCCATTACTTCCTCCAGCCCTCTTAGCAGTGTTGACGAGAACATGGTGGCCGATTTACCCATTTCAAAAGAAGCATCCACAACCAATGCGACAACGACCAACGATGCCGAGACTCAACAAGCGCAAAATGTACCATCAGCAAACGCTTCTACGTCAACGCCTGTAACTACTACCAGTACAACGACCACGCCAACCCAAAGTGCACCTGCTACAACAACCACGGCAACGATGGTTACACCTGCAGCTGCTGTTCCTGCCAACAACAATGTGCCTACTGTTATTCAGCCGCCACCACCGACATCCACCACCAGTTTTGAAGAAATCCAAAAACAATTGAAAGCAACATTGGATCACGTGGAACAAAGGAACATGGTCAGTGGATTCCAAACATTAAGTAAAGCTACAAGTGCTGTAGTCGATCATTGTGAGCAATTGGGTAAGTCAAAGGATGAAGTAGTGTAAACTCTTATTAATGGATCGAATAGGCCTTACATCGGATGACCATCCTTACAATGCAATCGATCGTGAGCAGTTTTGGGCAGGCTTGAACAATTGCTGGTTATATGCATTGGCTCAACGACAAGAACCTAGCAGCGAAGTGGAGCGGATGACCGATCAACATTTGTATGGATTACGTGAAATGGTCGTTGCATGGGCCGACAAACTCGAACGCTATGGCTTGGTGGATTATGAAATGGGATGGTGGGAAGCTGACATTTTGGCAGCTATCGATGCCATTCTTGCCATGAACTATGCAGCAGCCCAAGCAGCAGCCCAAGCTGTCGTGGCTCAAGCAGCTGCAGCTTTGTTTGGTGAGGATGTCCTCAAACAGCAATGATTACTTATATACAACACAACAACAACAGCCGCTTTGGCATGCATCACGTACATACTTTTTCTCATATCCTCTCTCGTACTCATATCTTCATCATTCACACCTCAACCCCCACCCCCAGCTCTTTATCCCATGCGTTGTTTGAAGCGATAATCGTTTTTCATTTTGTGTATATACAATAATAATCTTTTTTCATATAACATACTACTCTATTTCAAGTACTACTACATGATACAGGGGTTCATTCTATCATCTACTGCTCATTGTTGTCTCCTTCTCCTTCCTCATCCTCCTCCTCGCCATCATCAATACCAGGGAATGGGAATGTGAGGATAGCAGCGACACCACTGAGCAAGTTCAATTCTACAAAGAACGCAAACGTCGTCAATTCCAATATAGACATACACCTCATGTACAACTTACGTTCACCAGATACGTGCATACTTGAAAATACACGAACAGTGCCTCCCATGGATCGGACCGATTCAACCAAATCCACATACTTGCGTCTCGTTGCAATATCCGCTGACCGGAACAATTCATCCGTCACCAACAAGGTACCAATAGCACCATGCTCATTTGCCTTGGCCACATGAGAGTACCCGTAAAAGGCACGATCAGGATCCGCATTCATCATTGCATAGAACTCATCAAGAGCTTGTACTTCACGGGCTGCCTTGGTATCAGCAAGCTTATTTTGGATGGAAGGATCTTGCATAACCTCATTCAGTGAATGCTTATGGCCGCTGGAGCTATGGACGAGCACAAACTTGGACCGATTTTCAAGGATTGTCTTGTTCTCTGTTTTCTAGTAGATAATCATTACGTTAGCCTTCTTTGCATGCAATAGAATAAACTAGTACTTACCACAGCTTGATCAGAGATATATTGGTATACTTGCTCCTAATCACATCAATGAGTCATCTTGATGACAAGCGTGTACTGCTTAAACCACGTACCCTTACGAAGCCAGGGCTAGCAATGATAACTGCCTTGAGAATATTGAAATCAAAAAGACGCAAAATGGCCTGATAAATTTGGTCATAAAACTTCTCCAGACCCTATTATCATCCCAAGTCAATCATTGTTTGGTATCCAAAGAGTCACCTTTACCTTTTCATGGTTCGTCACAGACCCCTTTCGCTTCCTTGGGATGGGTGTTTCTATCCTTTGCTTGACAACCGTCATGTGCTCGGTAAGGAAACAAACATTGGCTAAACCTTCTTGACAAACAATGGCGGCAACGTCTGCTTGTTTAGCAATATCACATGCTTCATCCACACGCTCCAGAGCAATGATATCCCATTCAGGCTTATACAATGTAAAATTGCGGTTCAACTCGAGGTCGATCGTGTGATAGCTACCCAACTACGAGATCCTGTTCAGCATACAAATACCTGCGCCACACACATTCATCCTTCCTTTACCTTAACATAGGGGTTCTCGGATGTAACACGACCATTGATACGCAAAAGACCAACTTGAGGATCAAAATCCACGGATTCAACAGTGATAGTGAGGACCATGCGTGTGCGTTGGCTGGTTGTGGATCCAGTAGAGCTCTCGGATTGAAGTCGTCTATGCATCATATTATCAATAAGGACATTGAAGCACACTATTGGCAAAATAGACCCCCGTTTACCTAAAGGTGGTAGCCTTGATCTGATCCTCCTTGGAGATCAGGTTGTAAACGTGCCACATATCTTCCAGCTCTTCGGGATATAGAGTGACATGACCCGTTGCATCTTTCTCGACAGTCTTGTTGATGAGCTAATGTTGTTGCAAGTCGATTGGATCGTCAGTGGTGTACTTTGATAGAGTGTTGGTGTTTGTCTTACTCTCATACTGGCAAAAGAGTTGGGGGTTGCTCAAGAAAGGAAAAGGTGGAAAAAAGCCTACCACACAGCGCTCAACTCTCTTATGCACCGCGACCACACTCGTCTACTCCTCTTGTCGTAAGCCCCCGATGAAGTACTTTGAACGGGCACAAGTGTCCACCTCCCAACGACCCATTCTACAGCAATCAGAGTCGTTCATTATTCAGCAAGGCAATGTTGGGCTCTATGAACGGTAATGACATATGGTATACTTGTCAATAGAGGTTCTATGCTCATTGAAACGTTACAACCTACCCACCCATAGCAAGGAGAAGCTTGACCAATACCAGGATGGTGTATGCTACTTGACAACGCACCGCATCATTTATGTTGATAGCAGCAAAGGAGCCGAGCGTGCAGTTGAATTGCCTCTGAGTATGGTGAAGGATATAGAAACGTTTGTAAGTAAGGAAGAGAAGGATGGTGGGAACATTGGGATGATGTGTAAAGGTCACAAGAATTGACAAGAATGTTATGGCATAGAGTGGGTTTCTTCGTTCATCGCCCAAGATTATCCTTCATCTTCAAGCAGCTGATCGATTCTCCTCATCATCCTCGGCAACACCATCATCAACATCAACCACTGTACAACCATCAGCACCACTACTACAGCAATCATGGGTGTGCACCATATGCTCATTCTCAAACCCGCCCACAACCATAGAGAAATGCCAACTATGCGGTGTTCGACGTCCTCAAGATACCCCTTCCACCACCACAGACACATCAGATCAACAACATAAAGATAGCTCAGCATGTCGTGTTTGCACTTTTCAAAATCACCCAAGCATGATACAATGTGAAATGTGTGGTGCCAGCCTCGCAAATCCATCCTTATCCAATCATTCAAGCATATCAGACATGTTGCACGCAACACAACTTCAGCCTTTAGACGATGATGCACATGTACGCATCGCTTTTCGGAGCGGCGGCCTCTCTGGATTTGTATCGAAGCTCAAAGAAGCAGTGGATGTCAAAGCATGGAACAACAAGGTGTGTATACCGATATCAGAAATGGCGTTATTCCCTTTGTTAATCCATATTTTCTCAGCCTGTGGAATCTCCTATAGAGAAACCTGCATCGCCGATTACTCGTGGTGTTGGTATCAGTAAGTACAAAACGTTGATCGGTCCAAGAGAACGAGCCTATTAAAGGGAGAATGTGTTGAATAGGCGCTATCCAAGGCCGCATTGAAAAATCCACCATGGAAGCACAAGAGAGCATGGATGAGGCATTTCAGGATTTGGACAAGTTGATGGCCAAGGCAACGGAAATGGTATCATTGGCAGAATCCATTTCAACCAAGATGAACAAAGAATCCAACAACAATGACGACCTTTCTGCTTTGAGGACTACATTACTAAACCTTGGTATTTCGGATCCAGTGACGCGGTAAGTAGGTTAAGATCAAATTGGACAAGCAAGCGTCTTATGGAAAAAACATTAGTGGATCGGCTGGATCAATATATCATCAAGAACTAGCACGTGAGCTCGCCGATTTCTTGAGCAAATTCCTCGATAGACAAGATTCCATGAAACCATTGACGGATTTATACTGCGTATTTAATCGGGCAAGAGGCGTGGGTAAGTGACTATGTGGCTCATTACCAATTTTTGCTTATACACTGACAACGTACATAGCATTCATCTCCCCGGAGGATCTATATAAAGCAGCCATGCAATTTGAAGTACTACAATTGCCGTTTCGAATGAGACAATTTCCAAGTGGATTACTCGTGGTGCAATCACTTTACATGGATGATGAACGTGCTGCTCAACGTGTGCTCGAACGGATCAAGGAACAAGGCGGACACATCACATCACTGCGTCTGGCGGAATTGGAGAATTATGCATTAGCCGTGGCAACCGAACATCTCATGGTATAGTTTTCCCATGTACATCAGGATAGCAAACGTTCCTAACGTTAAGCATGGGTTGTATAGATTGCAGAGCAAAAGGCACTTGTTTGCCGAGATCAGGGGCCCAATGGTTTGACATTTTATGAAAACCTCTTATTGTCATCGTAGATCAATAGTGTACCTTTATTCCCTCATGTCATTAGAGTGCAATCTCAATTATCCAATATAAAGCAAACAATGGAAACATCCAAGATAATGAATAATCTTACTTAGCCGGGCATCTATGATAACCCCCTGGCAATTGTAGAATGGAAATTGAGCTATTATCAATTGTACTCTTTCAACGAGAAATCAAAAGTTTACATACAAGCAATGCGAGCCAATCGGGCCGCTAGTATATTATTAAAAGAGATACGTCTACGACATGTGGCTAATTCCATCGATCACCCGCAGCAGCAACCAGCTTGTTGAAGCAATCATCACGCTTAATTACATTATCAAAGTGGAGTTCCTATATACCATTAGCTATTAGTACGCAGCCTATCCAAGCTATGATTCTTGTTAACATACCTCGCCATCAACCGTGGTGATATCCAATCCGTTGGTGTGCCATACCAATATGTTGATACTCTTGGATTTCCTTACGCTGACAATATCACGCCAATAATAGTACACAAGCACGCGTGCACCTGTCACTCGTGATGTCCTAAATTGTAATCCGCTCTTTGTCAAGATAATCCTACCAGGGATACTGCCACGATATACACAGCCGTACGCTACATAAATAGGTGTCAATCAAAGGCCCATCTTTTTAGAAGAACACAATGACTTACTATCGAGCACATCCACCTCTGGGTCATTGTCCGAAACAACTGATTGTTGACTTGTTTTGCGCTCAAAGAGATTGCTGCTGTTTCGAATAGGTCGAATGCCTGTGCTATGTGCACTGCCCGTATCGCTGAGAGTATCATTGTCATTGGTAGCACGGGCCAATTGTTCATCAATGCTGTGCTTTACTTGACCAACGGCAGCACCTGCCACCATCATTGCTAGTGTAGCAGCGGTTGAAGTAGCTGGTTTTTCATCCGTAGCACTTGACTCACTTAAAGATTCAGCACTTGATGAGGATCGCCGTTTATCTGGTTGTGGTTCAGCTTCTTCAGGAAGGGGTGGCGCATCTTCGGCAAAACGATGTAATCGAATCACTTCCATGGCATATTCAGCATCATTTGGCACGCCCCAAAGCAACCAATCGATCACGTTAAAGAGACGTCGATGACGAGGATAATGAGAACGTAAGGCTTGCAATACAAAGAATTCAACACCCAAATATAGAAACAGCAATTTGGTCATGTAACGTGATGGCATGAACATGAACACAATCACCATGGCAGAGAGGATACAAAGAAGTATGCGTGTCTTTTCAGGTCGCTTCCAGGTGACCAAGCTATTCAATTCAATCATAAAAGTCAGCCACATGTTGATAGTTTTGCAAGATAATACAATACTTACTTCTTGACACGCTCCAATCGATCCACAAGATCCAGTAACTATCCATCCAATCCATTGGTGAGCAACATCACCCTTAGTGGGAGTAACCTCGACTTACAAACAATTGTCCTGTAGGTCCATACTTGCGTTTAATGTCGCCCCACCAATCATTGAGTGATTTCTTTTCCAATACATTGAATCCATAATTGACTTCAGTGGTGCCCAAATCTTGTTTCAATCGCCTCCAGAATTGCCTCATGTGCTTTCCACTTTTACCATTTTCTTGTTGTTCAGGTGATGATGACGATGATGATGATGATGGTGTGGATGATGATGATGCTGGTTGGTCCTCCGTTTCTGCATCTGCAGCGGTGGCTAATGCTTCGACACCAAATTGGGCAAACATGTCAACACGGACTGAAACAATGAAGCCCATGCATGACAAGAAGAAAAAGGTCACCAGCAGATCATAGTGCCACAAGGTCAAATACAACTAAATGTTTTCCCCAGTCATTCATATGCTTTTCCTTTTTACAACCCCATGACAATAGTAACCTACCAATGCTAATGCTCCAGTCAACCATTTGTTTTCCCATCGATACACTCTCCTTGCCGATAAAGCGGGTTCCTTGAGAGGTAATCCTAAGCCGTATAGCCGATCGACTCCGCTTCGTACAATTTTGATCGAGAATGGTTCAAGGTGATCATCCACGTGTCCACTTGCAAAAGAATTGATAACGTATTGAATCCACTAAGAAAGAAAACGACAAAGAGAATATGAGCTTATCGTTCATGCAATGGATAATGCAACATGATCCACCCAAAGGGTCACTTTTTTCTTATATCATCCCAATGCTTACAGCTTCAAAGTACTCTTTCCACCGAACACTGGTACTGCCGTCGTCATTGCGATCTTCAAACTGCCGGCGATCAGGTCGCGTGAGTCCAACAACACTGGTGCGTTTCATACCACGCACGTGGCGTTCAAGATAGGCGTAATGTAATGCCATGCCTTGCACATTGTCGTCGCGCGGATTGGAAGTTGAAGACGATCGTTGTCGAGAAGTGGCAGAGACGTCTGAAGTGGAACGTGCACGATTGCGTGTTGGTAATGGAGGTGGGACTAGTTCGCTATGAGACATTGCATTGCGTGGAGGTAGTTGCGGCGGACCACCGTTGTTATCGCTGGCGTCCATTTATTTACACAAAGAGAGAGAGAGCAAATGAAAAGAAAAGGAAAAAAGATATAAAAACAAAAGGGAAATATACACAATATCGAGGCGCAAGAAAAAGCGTGGGGCAAAATGAGGGGGAGGGGTTTGTGTGTGGTGGTGCTAAGGTAATTGACTAAATTAGGCGACGATCAGGTGGTACAAGCAATGCTAAGCTCATTGAAATGGTTGCTGAGGACAATATTGGGAGGAGGCGGATGGCGCAGTAGCTGATGATGATGGTGATTCAATAAATGAGGATGGAGGAGGTGTACAATGAATGCGAGGTGGTTCACTTGTAAAGCGCACTGATGGTGATCGACGGCTTGTTGTACTACAGCTGCTATAGGTGCTGTTATCACTATCTCGACGTGTACACCAACTAGAAGCACTGCTACTTGCAAGCGTGGAGACGCTGCCATTGCTTATTGATTCACAAGACATAGCGCCGAATTTGGATGGGTGCACGAGGATGCCCTTGCATGCATAGCGGTAGCATTGAATTTTGGGAAGGTTGGTATCGAGAAGATCATCGTCATCTCCTTCTTCTTCCTCTTCTTCGTCTTTTTGAATACAATCGTTGACATGTCGCATAAGTCGATCAAAGCAACTTGTTCTGCTGTCAGCAGAGGATGCAGTTTCTCGTGGCCAGCAGGAGGAGGATGCATTAACATGTGGTGGTAAAGTCGACATTGGCTTGTATTGGCCAATGGGCCATGGCTGTGATCGCTGTACAGGTATATCTTGAACGAGTACCATCAAGGACACTTGTTTACACAAACAAACAAACGAGCAAATGAAAAAGAAAAAAAAACGTGCTGCAACAACTTTTCCTGAAGCTGCCCTTTATTCTTCGTGTGGAGACAAAAGATTCTTCCCGCACCTATCCCATGCAAAATAAAAGTCAGGCCGAGGAATGTTTCGGTCAAAGACATGTCCTATCACAGCCATGAATCTCTTATCGGCTCCAGAAATCGATGACGATCATTGCACCAAAATCGTGTGGTTCCAGCCAAGAAAATTAGCTATCTATGCATTGGAGCATATTGGGGGACCAATAAGCTGACAGCGAACCTATCGCATGCTCTTGTTCCATTGTCATTCCATATTTCTGCTAGTTTTCCTTTTTGCTTTCCGTGGAACAGGGTGTTGTCAAAGTGTAGAGCATTCAAAATCCCTGGTGTCACAAACATGCACTCGATGCATCCTCAATCGATTTTTTTCGTTCCACGCTAAAGCCTCTATGCGCTTATAGGAAAAGCAAGAAGGCTGTATGATCTATAGGATCCCGCATATTATCTCCCCGATAAGTAGATCGTCTCAGATTTCCTACTCATCTCCTCTATGCCATCATCACACCACTGCATCATTTCGAAAGTAGGACACTCACACCCTATTCAAGAGGCGATCAGATAAACATGCTGCAAGAGCAAAGATCTCACAAAGAATACACGCTTGATGCAAATGCCGAGTGTACGATCCATGCAGTATATCTGTCATCAAAGATGTATGCACTTTCATGCAAGTAAATGTGGTGCTTTTTGACAATTAAGCAAGTCGCACAGGGGTTGCACCATTGTCTCAACCTTAAAGTTGCCTGACCCTGTCAAATTCGTGCAACGATTCAATATAGCGGTTTCAGATACATGACTCGGTCTCATCATTATATATGCCTTTATTAGGTAGATCAATTATTAGGTAACATGAGAAAAAAAAGAAAACGAATACAACAAAATGGAAAATACGGGATCAAAGGTAGATAAAAAAAGGAAGCCGGCGTAAGAAGAGGATATGAGGGGCATTTTCAGTTTTTGGTTTCTGACCAAAGGTATGGGAAGATTGTCACACAAGCAGCGTAAAGGACTGTAAAGATCTTGATGAAGCTGATATGGGCTTGGGACCAGCCGGCACGTTTGAACTCGACCACCAATGCATAGACTGCAACAGCGAAAAAGTGATAAATGAGGACGATGGGTCGTTGGATCAAACCGGATAGCAGTCCACATGGCTCTGAGATACATTTGCCACCACACTTGAAATACTCAAAACATCCTCGCTGCAATACCGCCAAATCAGAATCTATGGTGTGTGACATGATTAGCTTTGCTCACAATGACACCATTCTCTTTGTCGGGATTTTACCTTGTGCGGAAAAGAGTCGATACAAAGCCATAGCCAATACATTGATTGCTGTACAATATCGCTTTCGTGCCCAGTGGAATGCACCCATTTGTTGAATGATCACGTCCGTCTCGGTGAACGAGGGTATACTTTCAGGAGAAAGGAGCTCCTTCAAAAGAACAACATCTTGTAATGCAACCGTCATACCACCTAAAGACCCAGGATCAATAAAAAGAACCATGATGATATAACAATTTGCACTTACCACCGGTCAATGGATGTCGCATGTTCATCGCATCACCCAGAATGATCAATCCATTGTTTTGATTTACCGAGGGAGGAAGAAAACCATTAGGCATAGATCTCAATCGTTCGGTTTGCAATGCTTCCAAAAACTTTGGCTAAAGATTAAAGTATGTCAGCGGTTACTTCCATAACAGCATAGGCTGTGTAATACTTACACGGATGGATTCAGGAAGTTGAGGTGCAATAGATTCTTCAAAGTAACGTTTCAAATCGCCATTGGCAATGGAAGGAAGTTTACCAGGGACATCAATAAGCACACGCGTTTCGTTGGATCCGATTTGATACATAAGCACAGGTGACGGATCTACAAGGATCACGTGTCCATGGTTTGGCATTGGCATTGTCAAGCCCTTGATCTCGAAGCTGTACGATGTATATGAACATAAGCCTCAGTGATCAACATGGTTATCATCCTCCACTCACCCAGCAAAGTAGGATCGTACATCCGGCGTCTTTTCAGTAAACTCCTTTCGAAACTTTGAGAAAAGGCCATCCGCTACCAAAGTCAAAGGTGCATAAAACTACAATATGGCACGCCTATTAGCCACATACTAAACGCAGACCTTTTGCTGACCTCGTCACTCACCTTTTCCTCCTTGCCATCCTTTGGATTAGCCATAACGCCAATGACTCGATCATCATCCTCATCCTTGATCAACGATGTCACAGTAGCTTCCTTGACCTCAACGCTGTAAAGAAAGTGATAAATAGGTGTGCCAACAATGATCAATCACTTGTTATTATCTGCTTACTTTTTGGTATCGCGTGCTGCTGCTCGAAGCTTTTGAATGAATCGACCATGATGGAAAGACTTGCCCACCGCATTTTCACCAGTCGCATCGTTAACAGGATAAGGGATGTGAACCCATTCATTCTCTCGATAAATCGCATAGCCATGGCAAGGAATACCATCAATACCCTCAAGACAATCTGTAACCAAGGTTGCAATACACAATGAGCATCGTATCCCTGGATACCCATTTTGTCACAAGCTGTACCCCTGTTTCATACCTTCCATGCCTAACGCTGTCAAAGCATTAACACCACCTGGCTGTAAGAGCTCGCCAACGATGCGATCAGGTTCTGATAAATCGCGTTCCAAGAGAAGCACTCGACGGCCATCGGAGCCAAATGCCTTGGCAGCAGCCGAACCCAAAACGCCGGCACCGACAATGATGAGATCGTATTCACTTGAGGATTCCACAATGGAAGGCATCGATAGGGTTGACAGGATAGGATAGGAATGACTTCGAGTGCAAAAGAGGGAGCTGATAAAGATAACCGGAGTTGGTGACAGAAGAAAAAGAGAACACAGAGTTCCTTCCCCTTTAAAAAAAAAGTTGTGTGTTGTTTCACAAGAAGTTGCTTGTCTAGAATCACGTGTGTTTCTTACATTATACGATCAACACCCTCGTATGTATATCTTCTGGTGTTATAATATGCCCGGGGCCTAGAAATCATCTTGTGTACATAACCCAGATAGCCCTCGTTTATCTTCACGTGAATACTTGAAAGCACATTCCACTCATATCACATTGGAGGGGACTTCAAATAATAAAACGCACGGATCGATATGCACACAAATCCTCAAACCCAAAAAAGATCGGACGATGTCTGAGTTCTATAATTGTTTTGGGGAATGGCTAAAGTAGAACAGCAGTATGGATGGGATAATTCAATAGAAACTGGATAATGGATATGCCATGGCAACACAGCAGCAGTGGGATGATATATTTGTTCAAGCGATCTAGATCAACTATACACTAAGGGGACTATTTTTTTGTTTTGGGCTGCAAAAAGAAAGGGTATCATATGTTTGATGGGGGAAGCTGATGGGGTGGGTCGACCCTTACAAGTCCTTGGGCATAAAACTCCAAGTAGTACCTGTTGCTGCCATGCAAATTGCTATCACCAACATGCCGTAGTTGCATAATGACCGGAAACATGACACTGATTCGCCGTACAGCCGTTGATAACACACAATAGGGAATATGACAGAAATCCCAAAGCTAAATAAAGCTCCTAACAAAGACTACATCATGACGTCCACCATTGTTGTTAATACACATACATTAGGCATACCATGGATGTAAATGGATGTCTTACCATGACTCGATCGAAACCAGGGAACACAATGGCAATGTAAACGGCAATGATAGTGACAATAATACGGCTGATGCCTTGAAACAAGGTGTGTTTCCAATCCATGTCCATCCATTGTTGTAGCCAAGCCCTGCTTCCCACCCATAATTCCACAGCCACATGAAGCGGATGAATCATCAATGCAAACTTGACAATTGGAGTAATGACCACGAGCCATAAGGCAATAGAGTTAAGAATCTTGCTATACCCTGCAGTAATCGCCAAGTTTTGTGTGATCTAGTAACATAAAAAGTTAAGGCTGCTGTCAAGCAGGTGATCTTTTTTTGTTTACCTCTTGCATAGTTTCCGATCCAAACATCAGGTAACCCGCTATTGCCATGACTACGTACACTGTCACTGTCAAGATATAGGTTAAATCCACCATACGATCGTATTGCTTTGGATCTTGCATGTCACGAAGCAGGTTAGGAAAAACGGCGTGACCGGCAAACCCTGCCATCATTAGTCCAAAGCTGAGTGGCACATGGTATAAATTCGAAGGCAGCATCTCTGTAGGCTATTGCGCAATCCAATGTTTATGCAATCAATGACAAACATTCCAGGGGAGAAAAGAGAGAGAGAGATCAAAACAGGAAATGAACAAGGTTTTTCCCTTGAGCTTACCATGGGATTCCAAAGACTGCCGGGTTGCTCGGTTTTAGAAAAGCCGTCATAGAGAACAATGATCACCAAGCTGGCACAGCTGATAATTCCTAATAGGCTTGCGGCTGACAGCTTTCGTAACGGAAGAAATTCAAATGGGGTCACGAGACAAAAGCACAGAAGCCGAGAGGTAACGTGGTCTAAAGGATACAATGCTTGAAGTCCATCACCAAGTAAAGTGATCATAGCCACGCTATGTATGATGAAACAACATGAGTACGATGCTTACACCAAAAAGTAGGTATGTGTGTACTCACGCCATGGTAGCCATTTCAACGAAAAAGACGCCACCAATAAAAGCTCGACCTTGCTCACCGAAAGCTGCCATTCCCATGTCACCATAGGTCATTGCACCAGGAGACGCATCAATGCAACGTGCCAACAATTTGGCGGTATAGTTCGTACCAAGCGCACAGAATGCAAATATGAATGATCCCAGCACCCAGCCTGCATATCGGAATGCAAGTGGGAATGCAAGAATCCCCACACCAATTAATACATTCATGGCATTGAAAATGGATTGCATAAAAGTGGATTTGATATGCCCATCGTGCTCATCAGGTCGTTTCAATTGCTCGGAAATCACCGATGCCACTGTGACATGTCTTGAGAGAGGAACAAAACCGGGCACTGTATCTGCATGGGTAGATGTTGTCCTTTCGAGTGTATCTCGTAGCTCTTGCATTGGCTTGTTGCTGTAGTAAATAAAACAATAGGACATGGAATATGAGTTTACTAACATTGCAACATAAACATGGCGGCTATATTATACATGCCTGCTGGATTCAAAGCCCACTTCTTCATCGAGGGGTGGTTCGGGCAAGTATATGCTTCGATCGTCATGATAGCTTTTAGAGAGGTTTTCTGCCATATACATGATGGATGTGCGAGTGCAAGAATCCAGGGTATCACGAAAAGACCGAGAAGTAAATGAATGATCATTCCTTGCAGTGTGATAGGTTTGTGAAGTGGTGCTGCCATCATACATGTGGTCGCTATGTGTCGATCCGTATCCTGGATACGCATTGTTGGGCATACGGATTGCCATGGGAGGTGTTTTCGATGGATACGACATCGTTTGGGAAAAGAGGATCTTGTCTTTATTGTTGCTCATGCCTTCGTTTATAAAGGGTTATAGTAATCCAGAAAATGCTGGGTTGAAACACGATGAGTCTAAAGTCGACCATATTAAATCCCATGATATGGATGTAACAGCTTTAGAGTTTGTCAACAAAAGACTCGTTTCTAAAGCCAATGACTGACATTATTTTTTTCTCAGGCAGCTGCAGGTCATGGTTCCTATTTAGTAGGGGCCGAGGAAAACATGATGCTCTTTATTTCTCCATCAAAGTTTAGTATGTTGCATTATCTACAGCGATCGCACCATCCCACATGCAATTGTGTGTATTGTTTACTTTTAGCTCGAACAAAAGGTTGATAAAATGCTGTCGATTGATGCAGATTGACTGCTGTGCAACAAAAAGTGCACACCAAAGTGGATGTGCTCATAAAGATGTGCCGCAACTTGTAACAAAAGGAAAAGAAGACGGACTAGGAATCTGCGACATGGACTTCGCATCTGCATGTAAACAATAGACGTTGTTCGAAAACCCAGCTGTCATCATATTCATCAACAATAGAAACGAGAATAATGGAAAATTGGTATATTATATAAAACGAACAAGACCCTCTTAAGTGTAATGAATTCGATTCTGTAACGCTCGTGTGTCCACAATCTCGAGATCCACCACGCTATTGAGCACGAGTAAGCGCGTGATATCCAGTGCCACCTCCATTCACTTACCCATTTAGTAGCGTTTTAAACTTGTTCAATTGCTCAGCCATTGTATTGACTTGTTCTTGTGCCACTGGTATTGAGCTGACTTCGATCACCCACATCTCTTGATCCTGATCCACCAATACCGCACTTGATACATCCACCTTGGTTTTCAACTATGTCCATCATATCCATATAAGATCCTTGTCCCCTTCATCATCATCAAAGCCATTCCTTCCATTACCTTGTAAGATTGCGTTATGGTGATCCGAAGTAACTTTTCATATGCAATCAAATGACCTTTCCGCACGATCTCAAACGAGTAACTATTGACAAGGGGATTCAGCATGCATAATCCATAGTATCCACATGACATCCAATTACCTATATCCCAAAGACCTCATGAATCGAAAAACGTCTCCACTCAATTGCACGCGTACATGCGGTCGAACGGTGACTGATCGCCCACGTTGTGGCTCAGGATGCCCTTGCATACATAGGTACCACTGCCGGTTCTTTAAGCTCTTATCGTGTTCGGACGTGATACGCGACTGTAGCCGTAGGACAACGTCGTCATTGCGTGCAGGTCCAACGGGTGTTTGCACTATTCGAAAGGACATGCCGTCAATGAGCCATCCTCGTGTATAGAAAGAATAGGTCTTCTTTGCGTACCCGTGGGTGAGAAGATCATCTCGTGTTCAAATAGATCTATCATAGCTTCGTTGCCGCAAATGCCAATAAGTCGTTGTAGAATGGCGTCCTTCTCTGCCGTGCCAATAATGAGTCCAGCCAAGCTACATTCGTATGTTGCCATTGTGCATGTACAGGGTTGAGTGGAGTAAAAGAGAGAGAGAGAGAGCGGTCGAACAAGGAAATCGTTGCTGAGTCTATCACCATCACCACCACAGCCCTCATTTTCATCCATTCATTTATTCAATCACCATCACCATCACCACCATCGGGATCACCGTGCTTAAAAGCAGGTACATCCATAGCCAATATGCTATCAACACAATAAATGGGGGATCATCAATGTGCGTGTATCCACGACATGTACAAGCTGCCAATTTCGAGATCATGTCCGATGTTGCAACTCCTGAGAAATGGGGGAGAGGGAGAAGCGACAGATGACAGCAATCGTCATATCATTTGTATTTGCTGATCCTTACATCCCATGTAATACAAGTGACAACGCATGGGCCAATTCAATGTGGATAGAGTAGATAATAAGGTAGGTTCTTTAATAGGTTTGTTACGAGAATGATGGTATTTTACACTGTACAGGGTAATAGGGAGGCAAATAAAGGGAAGTGGATACCCAAATGATGTAGTAAGTGTGATAGTATTAGAAGGAAAACATGGTAACATGTGTGCAAGTGATATAAAATATGCGTTTGTGTGTGCAGGAGAGAGAGAGAGAGAGAGAGGGTAGTATAGGAGAAACATTGAAAGAAACCCAGGGGGAAATAGCCAGCCCACAAGGTTGATTTTTGTTTTTATGCAAAAGGAGCGAGATTGAAGCAGGGATTTAGTCATCTGAAAAGACAATAGTCTCGGAATCCGAATCGCCATCATGGTATAATGTCACTGAATAATAAATACATCGTGTGAGCATCCATGCCTTATACACACACATACATTCAATAATACACATACCAGAATTAAACTTGGAAAATGGGTTGCTGCTATCATGCTGTGCATCCACTGGAATATCGGACTCTAGATCAAAGCTAACGCTATCATGCAGTGGTCGTACGGGATGCTGAACGGATTGGCCAGGTACAATGGGGGGTGTCATATGCCTTAGCAATGCGAAATTAAGGCTGCGAAAGAATGCATGGGCTTTGACATCACTGGCACCTGCACGTGATCCCAAGCGTGAATCTTCTTGCTTGTCAAGTAATCGTCGTACGAGGTTTTTGCATGTATTAGAAACCGCCTGCGGTTCAATTTTGTTGCGTCGGCTATGATGCTTGTTGTTGTTGCTGCTACTTTTGAAATAGGACGATCGCTCAGGAAAGATAATATCGGTATGTAGTACTTTCGAAAATGTCTCATTGCGTGTGCTTCCCTTGAAAGGCGTGGTCCCATACTACAACATCATCTACCTTGTCAGTAACCATGATATCGTCAACTTGTAGTAGTAACCTACCAGCATCTCATAGATCAAGATACCCAATGTCCACCAATCAACAGCGCTGGTATGGCCACAGCCACGAATAACTTCAGGAGCAATGTACTCTATAAATCATCTCATCAGTGATCATGTTGTCGCACATAAAATAGTATCCATCACCCCCTTATTTTTCCATACCTTCTGTTCCGACAAAGCTATTGGTACGTAGATGGGCAATGCACGTGCGTGTATCAATGGATGGTGGCTATGATGTCATGTTATTATCCAGTGTCATCGTATCCAAGATGGGGATCATCATCACCACCACTTACAACATGAGGAGAGTGGGATTTGACAATATTGGGAGGACAAGGTGGGTTGGATTGTTTGCTTAAATCGAAATCAGTCAACATCAAATGCCCGCTTTGATGCAAGAGGATATCTAATCATGAGCACACACACGAGTCAATAATGGATGTTGGAGATGTCCAATGATGCAAGAATACTTTACTTTCTGGTTTAAGATCACGGTAAATGAAACCCTGTAAATGCAAATATTCAAGAGCAGCAATCACTTCAGCGGCATAAAACTTGGCCCCTACTTCATTAAGGCACCGTCCAGGCCGAGATTGCAGTGCTAAAAGACGATGATGAAACAATGAGCTTTTCATTGAATCCATTGCATTGTGTTTTTTTAATATACCTCGAAAGAATTCACCGCCCATGCAGTATTCAGTGACAAAATAAAGAAAATCTTGGCTTTGAAAAGAATGAAATAGGGTAACAATGAAGGGATGATTGGCGCTTGCAAGGATCTCCTGCTCTGCAAGTACACGCTTGATCTTGTTGCGGCGAATCATTTCTCTTTTTGACAGAACTAAAAAAGGCGTAAAAAAATGACTGAGTATGATATCTCAGGGGAGAGAGAGGAGAAGGAGAGAGCTAGAGAGAGAAAGATAAAGGTAAATTTGGGGGGTTGGGAATGGGCAAGGTGGGGGAGCAACGAATAATGATGATGATGGGTCACACAAGCAATCTGTTTACCTTTCATTGCCAGTAATTTGTCGGTTCCTTTTTGTTTGACAAGATAAACTTTGCCTACATCTCCTCGACCAAGTAATCGTACCTTTGTGAAACTAGCAACTACTATTAGACTTGCTATCCCATAATCACCCATTCAACCCCCCTTGTTGTCTTTTTTATTACTCTACTCACCTACTAGGTCCAACTTGTAATTCTCGAATCTTAACACTGTTGGCAGCATAGGAACGACGATTCAGTTTCAAACGTTGCGACCTTGAGTCAACGGCTGTTAGGCTACTCGACACGGTGGTTGTTGATGAAATAGTCGTTTCCATTCGTGGAAGGGGTGGGGGAAAAGCTGATGGTGGTGAAGAGGGTTGTTGATGTTTTTTATCATTTACGATATGCTTGGCATTGGGTGTGGACGCGATACGCCGCACTGACTTTTTGTGTTGTGGAGTCGTGTCAGCATCGTGGTGAAACCAGCTATTGCTCTTGAAACCTTTTTGGTATTGCAGTTGCTCAAATTGAGATGGAACGCCGAAGTTGGGTATTTGTTGTGTTGAAGTCATGGTTGTTGTATCGGCTTGTGATGATGGCGTGTTGGATGATCGAAAGAGCCATCTTGTTAATCGTGATGAATAGGCTGCTGCAGGTGGTGGCGGTGCAGGCTGAACTGATTCCATTCTTGTACTATTCTGCCCAACAGAAAAAGCGAAAAAAGAAAGAGAGAGAGAAAGAGAGAGTGAGGAAAAGAGAGTAAGAATGAAAGCAGAAAGAGAAAAGGAAGAAATAAAGAGAATGGGGAAAAAGTAAATTATAGGAACAAGAGTAAAAAAGAAAGAGGCGTTGATAGCTTGATGCCTCCCTATTGATAATCAACCCAACGCTCTCTAATCACCTTTATGATTTCTCTCTCTCTCTCTCGTTTCCAGGCACAATTACTTTTGTCTCCCAAATATCGCCTCCTTCCTTGAACCCCTTGTTCAGCGCAGAGGCCAGAAAGAGGAAAGGGATGAGAGTGGTGACGGCCTGTAATAAGTAAGGGGATCACCATCAATCCTTTTACTACTGTACACACGCACACAAGCACACGCACACATTTCATGCCGCATATACGATGAACCAATTTCCATAAACAATTTCCCCTGACAACCCAGGCGGCGCTCATGAATGTAATCAAATCAACTTCCATCACTGGCCTGTTGTTATGCATATGTTTGTGCAACACAAATGATAGTACTACTATATTAGCAAAGTTAATTACAACGTAAGGTAATCTGTATACAAAAAAAATATTATTCATTAAGAGAACCATGACTCCCAGTTTTGTTTTTGGCTGCTGGTATCATTTGTCTCATCGCTATTGAGCAAATCGGCTACTCGGGTCACTGATGCTGATGGGCTCATTGTACGAGACGGCGGTTGTTGTTGTTGTTGTTGTTGAGCAGTGGATGAGGAGGAGGATGTTTGTGGATGGTGATGAGGATGTGGTGAATATGCACTGCTTGATGTAATTGGTTGAGGAGATGAATGATGATGATGTATAGGGCTGAATGAAGACGCGGTGACGTGTGATGATGGTGATGACGATGATGGAGGAACATACATTGTTGGTGCCGATGTAGTAGCTGTAGGTGGAGGTCCATATGAATGAATCATCCCTGGAGGAGGTACCACAGGAGGTGATCCTGATGTTTGGAGATGTGATGATGATGGTGGTTGTGGTGGTTGTCCAGCAATAGGTGAAGCGTAATAACCGGTTTGCATGGCTGATGGTAAGGGTTCACTCGTTGACGGATAAGGTAAACCAGGTGGTCTTTCTCGTTGTTGGGCCAATTGATGACGTTGTATGACTTCATCCAGCTGCATCTTTTCATTATTGTTCATGTAAAAGTTACGCACTTGAGTGGCTGTTTTGGATCCCAATGCTTCGGCCACCTTTTTCCAATCACGTCCATATTGCTCGAGATAGCGTACAAAGTCACCACGTTCGGACACCGACCAATAAGATGAATATGCAGGTCGCTTAGCAGTAGTATCAGAAACGGTCTTGCGCATGCCACGACCAGAAAACTCGGCTTCCATCCATTCTTCCATCATTTCGCTATCGACCACTTTGCCAGATGATGTACGTGCTCTACGTCGTCTTCCTGTTGCAGGTGTGGCTCGTGATTGCTTTTGTGTCTCAGCTTGTGATGAAAGTGTTCGTACGTGAGCTGTTGCTGTTGTTGTTGTGGTTACTGCTGGTGTTGGTGGAGGTGGTGGTGATGGAGATGGTTGCTCTGAAGCTGTACCCATCATATGCAAACCCATCAATGTTGCAGCTGCATCTTCCTCCTCAGCATTGAATTCTGATTTGGCTTCATTTTCTTCATTGAATGCGTTCGGACCGAATTTGCGCTTGTAATTGTGATAAAAGTTGCGACATTGATCCTCAGTCTTCGTACCCACCAATGATGCCACACGCACGAAATCACGACCATGACGCTTAAATCCATCCACAGCAGCTTCTTTGTCCTTTTCAGTCCACCTGGCAGTAGGTGCCACAGCTCGTTCATTGGTTGCTTCTGAAGTTGTTGCTTCATCCACATACATTTCCTCAGCTTCACCAGTGGACGCTGCTTTAGGTGATCGACCTTTACGTCGTGCATTACGTCGTTTATCAGTTGCTGTGCCTCGTGTCTTGTCAATGTCATCAGCTGGAAGTTGAGATGATGTAGGTATCACCGGTCGTTTGCCACGTCGTCTTTCTTGTACGCCTTCCAAATAAGTATTGGGATCCATCAACCCACGAGTATCCTTAACCTTGCGTTCGGTCTCCTTTTGCTTCGCCTTTCGTGATACTTGTGCTTCGCCAATATCAGCCATCAAAGCGGATCCCTTACTCTTAGCCTTGCGAGTGGAATAAGCAGCACTGCCACTGGCACGTCTTACAGCTTCGGCCAATCGATCACGCTTTCTACCAGCTTTTCCACGGCGTCCCTTGCTCACCAACGCTTTAAAATCGATCTTGGTCTTCTTTCGATAATAAAAAAGGACACATTGGGGAGCACTCTTTGTACCAACGGCTGCTGCTATCTTCTCGAATTGCTTTGGATATTGCATGTAGCCTTCCATAAATGCCGTCATTTCTTGTTGTGTCCACGTATCACCCGTATCATGACCAGTGTGATAATATGTCAACGGATCCGTGACTAATCCTCTGCGATCATCAAACGTTCGAATTCTTTCCTTAGCATCGAGAATCATATCCGGGATCGTTGCTGTGGTCTTTGCAGCTCGTAATTCAGGATTCCTCATATCAGCTGATTCAAGCGATTGGATAATTTCAAGAAGTTCAGCTTCGGAACGAGCAGCATCCGATGTCCATGCACCTTTGTTGGGCCCACCACTATATCCAGAAGTGCCATCCGTGCCAAATCGCAAGCCTTCAAATGGATCCCCATTAAAGATAACACCATCAACATAATCATCCGGCTCCTCTTCAACACGTCGTCGTGATCGATAAAGGCTGCCTCTATCAGGTATTCTTCGTTTCTGATCATGAATGCGATCCAATGCCAAATTCTTGCTCTTCCATGTCTCATAATATCGCTTGTATTCACGCTTGAGTCGCTTCCCCTTTTGCTCCAAATCCTTTTGTCTGCTAGCCAAGCTTGCTGCCAGTGATGTTTTGATCTCCTCAAATCGTTTGATATTCTCTTTGAAACAAGGATACTCATCGATGCGTGGATACAATGGCTTACACCATTTCTCTTCATCAGCCCAATTCTCTGGATCATCTGGTTTGCCCTGCCAGCCACCAACCATGATTGAGTTCGCCTTAGCAACACATTGATTCTCTTTCAAAAGCTTCTCGCAAAGCAAATCGTCTTCCTCATCACTGGTGCGCACCTGGTTGATCAACAGCTGCGGTCTCTTTCGCATGATGGGAGATGCTTTGAGCTCCATGTTCTCAATATCAGTGATGCCTTGACCCTGACCATCCCGATTGATGATTTCAAGTGCCTGTTGCTTTGCTGCTTCTTGCTCATCCTTTTCCTTTTGTTCTTCATTGGCTGATGAATAAGGTATGGCATTCTCTTTTGTGCTGGATAATGTTGCCACATTGACAATGTCTTTTTTGCTCTCATCCTCACGTTTGGAAAGCATTTCTTCATACATTGCAATATCATCTTCAATTTGACCAATACGTTCCACAATCTCTTGTTGCGTCATTTCCCCTCCCGTAGTGGTTGCTTCAGCTGAATCCGTTGCTGCTGTAGTGGTAGTAGTTGTCTCAACTGGCTCGGTTTTGACTTTGTTTTCAATATCAGTATCATCCGTTTTCATAGGCTGGATATTCAATATCGGCTCAGATTGTGATTGCGGGATGCCGGCAGATTGATTAGGCTGTGATGGTTGTTCCACGGCAGATGATACAGTAGCTGATGATGATGGCTGAATGTCTTTGGGTGCAGTAGTATCGATGGTTGCTGTGGTTGCCATGACAACATCCTCTGGCATCTCATCCGTTTCACTTGTTTCGCCAGGTTCTTTTTCATCATCCAACGACATTTGCGTAGTAGCTAAAAGGTAATGGATGTGAGTAGTGTCGTTCTACAAAAAGCGTTTCATAATAAAAACATTACCTGACAAGGGTCGTTTATCTTGATGATCCTGACGTATATCCAATCTTGAATCTTCTCGATTGTTGCGTGATGAAACCCAAGGTGGTGTGCTTGTGGGTGATGGACCATTGCGAGGACTCCTTATTTCACGATCACGATCTCTTGTTTTGAGTCCAGTAGGTGCACCACTAGGAAATCCTGAATTACTTTGATTTGAAATGTTGATAGGTGGCCATGGTCGACGGCTGCGATATCGATCGGAATCCATAGCGTTACGTGCTGAATGGCGATAAAAGTCACGATCATCAAGGCGATCACGATCATAATATCCACCGGCACTAGCAGGTGAAGAAGGAAGACCACGGTCTCTGTTGTCACGGTCGGGTCGATAAGAATCACCACCAAAAGGGGGTCCATAAGAAGGAGGAGGAGGAGGAGGACCACCACCACTGCTATTGTTACCACCACTACTACCACCACCATAACCGGAAGAATCATAACGCATCATATAGCTAATGTCATATGATCAGTAAGCGACCCCCCGAAAATAAAAATGCAGCGTATTTACATACTTGTCTCTATCTCTCCAACGATGATCATCATCTCTGTAGCGTCTTTCACGATCACGGTCTCGATCTCTCCATTCGGTGTAACGTGATGGCGGCGGTGTATAGCTGTCAGATCCATTGCTTGGCATTCGTGGATCATCCTTAATTTCCTTTGATGCACTACCAGCAGATGATGCCGACTTGAGATCCTTGATCATCCTATCGGGACTAGCTATATATCCACACGATGCATAATTAATTACCCACATTATAATACATACATGTATGCACACACACACGCTATTAACTAACCTTCACGACGCATGGATGGTGTTGATTTGGAATACTCTCTTGAAGGCAGTAATGATGGCGGAGGATAATGTGAAGGTGGAGGTGGCATATCATCACGATAATATCGCGAATAGCGTATATCCCTATATGCCATGTATAAGAACATGCCTCCTCACGTATGGTGTATTATTGTTATTACCTATCACGGCTGCGTGGAATGTATCTATCTTCTCTTAAGCCCATGGAAGGTCTGTCACGATCACGGTCTCTGAAGTCTCTGTAGTCGTCTAGCGCATTGGGACCACGAGAAGGACGATAAGAATATGAATCGTAACGCGACGAGTAGCGTGGAGGACCGTTTCGAGTGTCGTTATAGAATGGTGGTGGTGATCTCGATCGTGATCTGGATCTGGATCGCGAATGAGTTCCCCGCGAGGAAGTTGAGCCAGCAACGCTCATTGAGGAACAAATGGGAAAGAAAAGCGAAAAAAGAAAGAGAATCAACAAGTGAGCTTAGAGGAAAGAGAGGAATAAGAATACAAAACTTCCCTCTCTCTCTCCCTCACACACCTTTTGCTCCCTCAGGTTGTTTTTCAAATCCAGCATCTACCAACACACACTCATTTTATATATAAACACCTTACGTGATTGACTATGTTTGAGTGACAGGATGAGTAAGACCAGACTCCTTGTGTGGGAAAGAGAGCAACAACAAGGAGGATAGTATGGCAAATAACAACGCCCTTTTGTGGAGGACCATGACAACAGCAAATGAATCCTTGTGTACCATGCATCAATTTGGATATTCTGCCACATTCTCGGATACCCTTTCCTTTTCTTTTTCCAAAGCATCATCATCATCTTCATCATCATCACCATCTCATGGCACCACCTTACACATATCCAATAACTGCCATCTTTTATTTCATTGCTCATCCTCAGGTAAAATACAGCATACATCATCTCGTCGACTACAAAAAATGTTGATCCATCATCGTCCTCCAACATAGCTATGGATCAAGGTGCTATGTCCTTTTCTACTTACTCTTATCTTTGGCATCATTTCTTTGGTCCTATCCTTTGTCTTCCTTCTTCCTTTGCAAGCACACGCGCTCATTGACGCTCATTGTCCAGCATGGTTGGCTTGGTTGGTATCCGTCATCTTCGTCCTATTGGAATCGGCACTCTTCGATGTTGTCTTCTTCGCAATCATGTTGCCAATCTTCCAAGACGCTTTGTTTGACGCTACTCTCAAGGCACGTGGTATGTCAAGGATGTTTGATACGCGTATCCAAGTGAGTGGAATGGTCCTTTGTTGCCGTGGTGTGTCGTCAGGCCTTATGCTTGTGTGGTTCCTGGTATTAGCACAGGTAAATAAGGGGGGCTCAATAGAGTATCAGGTATGGCGTTTGATCATTCACACATACAACAACCTCTCCTATAGATATTTGTATGGATCATCACTGCTCCTTTGCATTTAATTCCTGTGGTCGGCACTTTCATTGCATGTTACATTAATGGTTGGCCTGCATGGTAAGTAGTAGTAGTAGTAGGCGATGGGCAATGGGGTGATACAATATGGGGTATTCACATGATGATGATGATAATGATGGTGATGATGCTATTCTTATTTAGCTGGGGTCAACATATCCATTATGATTTGGAATTTCGAGGTTTCAGCGTGTCCGATTCACGACGTTATGCATGGAAGAATCGATCCTCATATTGCAGCTTTGGTGTGGTCGCTGTGGCTCTTGAGATTGTACCCCTCTTCAACTTGCTGTTCATGTGGACAAACGTCGTCGCAGCTGCTTTATGGGTCGCCGACAAGTATGAAAAGAACGAGAAGGAGATTGCCAAGCAACAACGCCTTCAACAACAACATCCAATGCCAATCGGCAATTCCTCTGTTTCATCCTTGTATTCATCTGTAAGGAGTGGTTCTTCATTCGTGTCACCTACCGCACATAGTGATCAGGCTTATTTGGTTCAGCATGCGGCCAACGACCCCTACAGAAAGGTCCACGATGGATATGGATCATCAGCAGTGTAAATTCCAATATGTATACCTGTAGCATAATCACCACCACCACCTGCATTGCTATTACCCAGTAAATACGATTCGATACCCAATGGCTTGCATGACATGACAACACTATTGCTGATTTCCGTCTCCATTGACAACACTTTTCACGTGATGCCGCATCCTCTTCTAAACGAGAATTATCTTTAGCTCGGCCATAGCTCAACCATGTTGCAATCCTCTCATCCATAAACTTGCTACCATTTTCATGCTCACCATAAACAAAACATAAAGACGTTCAAATGCATCTCAAACACAAAGCATCTATATGAGGAATGCTGGATATCCCCATATCCTAGCACACAATGAGAGACTTACGCGCCTGACCTTTCTTACAAAGATAGCACACAATCACGCACCAGATCCATTCTATAGTTTCTTTGTTAGATAATAAAGGCTTAGAGCTGCAACGGATGAAACAATGAGCCACACACATGAATAGAAGAAGCTTGGCACTGTCTGCCGCTCACAACATTTTTAGCTCGGTGACACGAGATACATGCAGCTGATTGTCGTTGAACAAAGCATGGTCCTGGATCTGCAAGTGTAACGGTGCACGAAATACTCGTGAAAGAGAGCCTCCCCATCAAGGAGTAATCCTTGTTTTTGTTGTCGCTGAGTATTAGGCAATTGCACAATGCCAGGTGAGGCTTGATTGCTGATATAAAAGGTGATCCGATCATCCTCGCTACTTACCGAACACGCATACCAATATTAAGAGTAGGTTGACAACATGATAAGTCATCTTTGTGATAAAGGGGATGTGCATTAGGCGTACAAGTGATTGATTTCGTTGATAGATTTCTTATCACCTGCTCTAACTTGGCCGATGTATTATGCATAGACAACATTGCACTAGGCTCCTCAGACGTAATCCTGGTGTATGCGCCCATCGCTTTATCAGTTCATGCATCAATTTATCAATGCATCATCGTCAACAGAGCGAATTACTACCCACGCCCACAATGCACAATGATAAAAGGATGTTGTCGTCGCCCATCATACTCCCACACGTCTCTTTCCTCCGTCATTACTTCTTTGATTGCTTACAAGGTCAAATTTACAAGGTTTTGTGCGTATCCCATCTCTTGCAACGTTGTGAGTAAGCGCTGATCTTTGTGGTCATTCATAGGGTTTCCTTGTTATCTTGATTTCATTCTTGTTGTCGTCCTCATTATGATATTGGGTCCTTATAATAAGGTAAATCCTGATCATGTTGCTTCTTGAATCGCTCTACTCACATACACGCCACCTTGTTGTTTTCGATATAGCTATCTCTTCGTGAAGCATCTGCAAAAGTTGGTTTCGGTGCCATGGCCTACGTCGGGTTCTGACATGGTGCATTTGACATGTGCTGCAAAGAGCAAATTCCCCACTTTTTACGCAGCCCAATGTCTTCAACAACGCAAATCCCCCTGAATGGCAACCAGGACTAGACCTCGCCAGCAAAAATCTCTTTAAGCACAAGGATGTCATCTTGATTATAACCAAAGCAGTCGTAAGAGAGGAGACCTACACGTTGGCAGACACCTAGTGGTCAGATGGGGATCCATTTCGGACGTTATCTATGTCCCGCAACTTGAAGAAGCAGACACCCGCCCATCATAATCGAGATTCAGTATGATGTTATACTAACATTCATGAACCGGGCCATTCGATACTCGACAATGGCCTTCGTGTGAAGGAGGAGCTTTCAACCATGAAGAAGAAAAGGTCAGCTGAAGACGAGAATGATGGAAGCCGCAACAACAAGCGTACGATGAAAGAAACGAAGTATGATGAAACAAAGTACGAGCAGACAATGGAATTCGTTCAGCAGTTTAAGGATGCCCGCAAACGCATGGATTGGAAGGCGTGTTTCGATCATACAAAAACCAAGCCTCACCTCATTCAGTATGCGAATAGTAAATCTCTTTGTTTCGATCAATATCAGAAAAAGAACAATAAAATGGAAGAAAAATAACTACGAATAAGAATGCTGAATAGTAAAGCTATGGCCCAATGCGAAAGGGGATAGTAACTTGCAGCTGGTGCAACGCTATTGTTGCATGAAATACAAAAGCCCGCTTCTTTTATTTTCATTATCATTCACTTCTGCACTAATGAGCAAACGGGACGTTCAAAGGGGCAAAGAGCAAATAGGGACACAAAGCACGTCGTCCAACAACAAAGGAATCCGGTACACGATTGACATTGTCTTCCTTCCCAACCAGCAGCACCCAGCAATTCAGTCTTGTCATCTCCACTACCTTCGACCCCAGTCCTCATGACGAATGACAACACCAATGACCAATCCATTAGAGATCTTGAAGCTGAGGGACCTGGTGTACCGCTATCCGATTTGCTTGTGGATGATATCGAGCCTCGTGCAATCACTACGCACAATGATGGTGTAGACGACTTGAATGATGGTGATAATGGCGCCATGGACCAACAAGCGCCATGTTACCCGTGCGAAAGAAACGCTGAATGAGTTTGTCCACTACAACAGTAACCATCGACATGCCACCATCACTTCTATCACGACCGCCACCACACGCCCAACAACAACCCTTTCTCTACCTATTTTCATGACAATTTATTATCCCTTGCTATACAATGTATCTACTTTGCTTGATTCGTCATTTTACTATAAATTGATTAGCTGTCAGGTGGTTGAAGGGACACTTGGATTTCCTGACAAAGACTTGTTTATTAAGTTTTTGAAATGATGGTACAAAGGTGTTTGATGGTTGGATCTTGATATATGGAAGCCTCGATTTCCTGTTGGTGATGAAGGAGAAAGATAGACAAAGCAACAAGCACGTCCAAATCTTCATGCTCCTCCACACACTGTTCAGTCTCTTGATCCCATATCAAATAGCATTTGCTAGCTCAGACCGTATTTGGAGATGCCGCACTTGCGGATGTTCCAAAATAGACGTTGGAATGTCATTAGAGAAGATGGATAGCAGCACTGGGGGTATGTTGTATTCTTGATACATAAAGCTGAGTACAGTGCTCGATGATGATTTTCATTATTTGTTGAAAAACTATTGGTGGTGATTCTCTATGTCTGTTACTTCTTGATGCTCTGACAAGACTCAGTAAATCTTGGTTTTGTCCATTAGGTGAAGGTATCCAAGGCCATTTATAGTGCGAAGATCATATTACAGAAATGGCGTCGTCGGCTTGTAAACATAAATGCATCATGCAATTGGGGGCGTAAATGTTTCATGCTGGGTATTCTTGTTGTTGTCCTATCCATGCAACTTATTCAACACGCATGGACAAGTGAACGAAAATGATAGGCTCTTGTTGTGAGCCTCTATCGCACGCTATCCCTAATCTCCATAAGCGCCCTCATCTATCTATACCACTAATACATTTTATTTTTGGGAATACCCATCCACAAGTCAAGAATGGATGCCATACTCTCTACAGCATTACTACGCTTAATAGGTCAATCCATTTTCTGCACAACGAAAGGTTACAACGTTTTCCTGAAATGGGATAAAATTGGTAACGCATAGTATGCATTTGTGTGTGTTTGTGTGTGTGTTGCGTGGCGACGCTGCTGTTGGCATGTATGGCGATCTCTTTTTTTCCTTTAGCTCCTTCTTCCCTGATGATGCGATATATATCAATAGGACCTGTAGATGTGGACATGCATGTTACTTTTCATCCCACTCTTGGTATCTTTATTTTCTATCCCTTCTTCCTCCCCTTGCAGCCGCTTTCGATTCCCTATCTATAATATACACGAGTCAAGGGGTAACTGGTAACTTGTAAGTATAGAGGCATGGGCATGGATAGCCGCCCAGGGATGATGGATTGGATATTGTATACACTTCTTTTTCGATACACATCATTTATTCAACCTTGGATCTATTCTAGTCGCTATGACAGGCTATGAAATGGGTCACTTGGAGGTACCCCAGCAACACCAACAACACACCGCACCACCACAACCACAACCACATCACCGATCGGGATCCCATTCGCCATGGGACTCAGTGGAGGATCTTCCAGAACCAGTACTGCCATGGATGAAAACAGAATCTCGTCAATCGTTTGGAGGCTCATCAAGAAACTCTGTGGACTCGAATAGTCTTCATGTTATCAAGCGATACGCACCTGATCCAACTGCAAAGAAACGGCAGCTGTGGACCGCAAGAAAATGGTGGATCTTGCTCGCTAATACACTGGTAGGTAGACTACCCGCCTCCTCAGCGCTTTTGTTGATTCGCTAATCCATCTTGAGATAGCTATTTTGTTATGGATTGGCAATCCTTCTCTTTGCAATATTGACGTTTTTAAAATGTAAGTTGCTCATCAAACCCATGATGATGAAGATGTATCCTTAACCTCCCTACTACTTTAGTTTACCAAAGCGCTGATGTCGTTATCGTGGGTGAACGCAAGATTTTAAATTGTAAGCTACCTTTTCAACAACACAACACAGGATCAATTGATCGTTGACTTGGTTTCTACTACTAGTGATCACAGCCACAGGCGCCATTTGCTTAGCATCTTCGTTGCTTGGATACGTCGGTATCATGCTCAACAACAGGGCCGTTTTGACCTTTTACAACTTGTTATTATGGGTGTGCTTCGGCTTGATTGCTTCCATCGGCTATGTAGCGTATCGTAAAGCCAAATGGAATATCCAGGTAAATCACACACACACATGCACATGCACGTTTTGTTATTAATAAGGCACGATGATGCTATTTTCAGGGCAAGCTATCGTATCAATGGCACTATGACCTCACACCTGACGGGAGAGCAAGACTTCAAGCTAATGTAAGATGAGCTAATGTAATCATCAAAGCATGGGATTGGTCGCTGACGCATGCTATAGCTTCATTGTTGTGGGTACAAATCATTCACAGACTTTCACGAGCGATCCAACAAGTGTTTTCCTCGCACATTGCTTCCAGGCTGTCGATACAAATACCAGCAATTCACGATACAAATGTTAAGATACACGTGGATCGTTGCATTCTCGCTTGTCCCTGGTCATTTATTCGTGGTCATCACTGCCCTTCTTTGTTCGAATCATGTCAATCGTAAATTTGGAAAGAACTTGCCACCGAAAATCTATCGATTGGATTATCAAGGTATCATTGCCGGCACACCCACCGGGAGCTCAGTCAATTTGCACAATGACGGGTTACAGCATAGGAGTAGTACTTGAGCGTTTGTTATATGTGTCATGTCATCCCACCTCCTCGTTTTCCACTCACCACTGTAATTAATCAGCATTCAACCACCCTAATTGTGGTGTATTCCTCTACATAATATGGTCACTCTTTTTATCAATATACCATCTAACAATACTACCATGGGTTGTTGTGCTCTTTGTCAAAAATGGGACGTACAATCAAGTGAAAGGAGGTGCGGGAACACAAAGATGCCAAAATTCGAGATTCCAAATTGAGCCATCATAACAACAACGTCGAAGAAAAGAAGGTTACCACTTGCAATTCCCTGGTTGTGTTTTTCTTTTCTCTCATTTCATTCAACCATGGGCTGTCTATCACGCACCAAAGTAGAAAACATCCTCAGCTTAACATTCAACGGCATCAACATAGCCCTTTGTTTATTGGTGATCGCTGCCGCCGTAATCAAAGCTATCAAAGGCAACTTTTCTCAAATTGTCATGTGCATCTATGGAGGGTAAAACGGTATTCTTTATTGTTGATCCAGTCAAAGTACTCATACATCATCTACCACCAGCGTAGTTGCAGCGTTGTTTATCATTAACGAAGTCATATCATCCGAGATTTCCTTTCGTTACTTTTATTTTCTTGCGACTTACCGAGGCCGTGGATTGATTTTCATATTGTAAGTAGCGGATTCCTGATACAACATGTTGTAATGCTTATGCGATGATGCTCTTGCATAGTTTTGGCTGTCTTGTGCTTGATGACACGGTGATCAATATAGTAGCAGGCACACTTAATCTTACGATGGGACTTATCTACATCATCATGTCGTTTATCACACCCGAATTCATCCCACCTAATCCAATGACTATCAACTGGCAGAATTGGAAAGACTTTTCGGCCGAGGGATTGGATCTATCACGACCACGACCCATGATGGTATGTAAATAGGCTCTCCTTTACATTGTTTCATACGTCCTTATGTAACTCTATAGGAGCAAACCAAGATACCTCACCCACCCACCATTGAAACTTCACAACAACAACAACATGTCTCTGGTACAGGATATGGTATATAAACATGCACAAAATGTATTCGATTGCGTGTGTATGGTATAATCACGAGGATGAAGATGATGATGAAGATGCACATTTCCGCCACAGCTTGTAACCTGATAATGCTCCACTGAAGAAACCGGACCATGCTTGAACACCATTTGCAAATGACGGTGACCAAATATCACAAGCTAGAGGGAGAGAGATTATATATCAGTCAGCAAGAACACAGCCATACAAGATGACAACAACAACATACCACAAAAGATGCCATCCATCATTAATTTTGATAGACTAATTTGTGTCATGAATATCTTTTCTTGCTGATCAGGCTTGTTGTTGGCTTTCAGTTGTTGTAATGATTGATAGTTCTCGTGTAAATCATGCATGATGCCAAGGAACCAACAATACATGGATATTACTTCTGCTCGTTTGCCGAATTTGCCATTGACTACGCCTAGCTTGTACAAGCAATAAATGTCGTCTGCTACTGTATTTCCAATCTCGTTGACAAGGACACATGAATTCCATAGCGACGGTGTGGGTTCAAGGAGTAGCTTGCGAGTAGGGCCAATCGCTAGACCCAGTCGTAGTATCTTGCGCGTCATTGAGAAGCTGCTGACCATGCTCGACCATTTCTTTGGATTGACGAGTCCATGATGTAGCAGGATCTTGAATGCGTATTGGATGATCTTTATGCTCTTGTCACGGCCGTCGAGCTCTTTGAGATATTTTTGTACCAGCAGGAAAAATTGGCTGTACAACTGCAACCGCGGAATTGGTGGTTGTTGCCGCCTCTTTTCAAAGCAAGGTGATTCATCAATGATGTACTTGTCTAATTCTGGAGGTGGTGTTGATGATGGTGTTGGTAGAGATTGAAAGGTAGATACAGACATGGATGATGATGATGATAATAATAATGGAATAAAAAAGGAGTAAGATTGAGGGGGATTGCTCATGGATGGAGTTTTTCTTTATATGATTTTGTTCCGCGGAACGAGGATATTCTAATCTGTCGCTTATCAACGTATCAATCAACCTGTATGGCAAAATCGGGTTGGTGTTGATGCACAAAACGTGGTCACTTGTCTTCCTTTTCTCGCCCCTCCCCTCTCCCTTCCTTACCTTGACGGCAGCATAAATTCTCCGGATTACACTGTACGTGCTAATAAAGCCAAGGGTACCAGTACATAGTCCTAGCAACAAGCATCCAACCAATGTATGTACAAGATACACCATTCCACTCGCCATCCCAATCATGTCCGTACGGATCCAATAGAACACCAGAGCATAGCTACAAATCATTACGTGAATACCCTTCCTTCTTGACAACACTTTTTATATACTTACATGAATGTATACAATGAACACGATGCTCCAACAGCGAATGACATCCACCACCAATGATAATCCTTTTACAAGAACATAAGCTTTTTTGAATGCAATCAATCCATGTCCCATGTTTACCTCGTTGCACAGCTGGAAAAACACAAGCACGACTGTCACCGATGCAGTAGCTACCCCCAACAACATGCATGCCATGGATGCATACCCAAGGGATAAATACAGCTCGCCTTGCCAAACCGATTTCAGGAGTTCATCCAGATCCACAAACACAATAGCAAATGGAATCACACCACCCAATAAAACACTATCCATAATAATAAATAAGCATGATGATACATATACGGATTCATCCTGTTACTTACCTCATGCTATAGCTCTGATACCATCGTTTCTCAGGAATGAATCTTGGCATTTGCGTTGTACGTGAAGGATGTTCGATCCGCTCCCGACGATCTCCAACCAATGAGCCAAGGAACGTTAATGGCAACATGACAACCAACCACAAGATCATTAACGTAAACCATCCTTTCACGGACATGGTTCTTGATGAATGCAATGTCCATCCCGAGATACTTTCAAGTAATAATGAGCCAAGGACCAAGACGGGTACAAGGATGGCTGTCTAATAATGAGATGATCCATGCACGTGAGTATGAGGCGTTGTTGGGGGAGCGAGAGAGAGGACATGATAGATAACGTACCAGAATAGTATTGAGGAACCATGATCGACCTCGGAACACCTTGTAGATGCGGGCACTGTGATACCCAGCCAATATTCTAAAAAAAGGAACATCGTCGTGCATGTCAGGATGGTTACACGATCATTGTTTGTTTGTCAGATTCCCAAGCACACTTACGATGACAGCATGTAAATCACAAACGCCGTACGAAATAATGAACCAGGTTGAGCAGGATGGCTTGTGCCCAGCACCATGCACACTATACATTCAACATCAATCATCGAATCCTCCCATACCATACCATAGACAGCTTACCCAATGTGCCTACTGCTGCTACCACAAGCTGAATACCCGATCCCACCAAGGGTGCAAGCAATCCTCCATAAATGGGTCGTCGAAATACATCACGATGAATAAGTCGCCATCCAATGACATCCTCGAAATCTTCGTGTATCTTGAGATCATGATCATCATGGTAATTTTGTTGTTGATCGCGTTGCAGCGTCTTCATTAGGATCACACCAACAACACCCAATAGGAAGAGAATAGTGATGATGCTGTTGATCATGGCATAAAAGTGTGTCTCAGGATCGGGGGTGATAATGTACATGTCCCATCGTGTTTGCGGTGTTAATGGAAGCTTTGCTGGAGTCAATGGATTCTTGGCCTTTAAAGATGCATTAGTACCCCCTCTTGAGTCTTGATCCAAACCAAGGTATATAGACCACATTACCTCTTTCCAACGAACAGAATAAGTAAAAGTAACGGACGTTCTACGCTCGTTTACTTCTTGCATGGTATAATCGATGGCTGTATGAGTGCATTGTCCATTGGCGACGCTGTGTATGTGTGTGTTTTTCATGCGTCAATAACAACCCACTTGTATCCCCGCACGCAATGTTGTCACTTACGAATCGGGATAAACCTCGAAACCAAGCACTTGAATGCGATCATGGGACGGTGTATATAAAATGTTGAATGTGACATGGTTGTTGATAAAAGTGTGGTTGTTCTATTTAAAATTAAGCACGTTTTTTTAGTCGACACGTTGTAAATGCACATATGCGGTATACCTTAATCTGACCCAATGGAAAGCCGACGCGATAAGCACGCGTACTGACCTCGTTGGTGTAAGAAGCGGTTGCACCCGGTAATCCATCGAGCCACCTACACATACACATAATCGGGTCTCATGAATATCCTTTGTACCTTCCTTCATGTATCTGAATCCTTCCCATACCATTCTACTTGATAATCTTGTTCAATGAGTTCCTTTGCAACAATAGCATCTTGAAGTGACCAGGGCTTTGTACATAGCACGTTGCAGTCAACATTATCCAGCGTAGCTATCTAGTCAAGAAAAGGAAAAATGGCACACACATGGCGGAGGTATGAGCGATATGGATCGTGCGTATCGAGAGACTAATGAGGATTTAGACTCAAAATTTCATGCTACCTTGTAATCACTTTGTATCAGCCAGTCGCCACGCCAGTCTTGATCTGCCACTAGCCAACTTGTCAGACGTTGTTTATGATGCCAACTGCTATCGGTATATGGCGGACAGATGAATGGTTGTGTCGCATATTTGTATGGGATTTGTGTGCGTTGTGAAAAGAGCTTGTTGTAATAGAGTGGAATGAGCTGTTCTCGTTCATATGCTGTTGGGTTGTTGGCGTTCACTTTGACCAAGACAAGAGATAAAAGGCACCAGAAGAGGGCGATGCTGCAATTGAACATTGGCACATGCACTTAGTGAAGGAGAGTATGGAGTGGGATGCGTGAAGACGACGAGGACGACGATCGGTGAAAGGATGACAAGAAGAAGGAGGAGAAGAAGAAGAAGAAGGGTGTGTGGCTATAGAAGAACGAGGCATTAAGCGAATGCATAAACGTAATGAGAGCAAGGGTGTACAGAAGGGTCAAAAGTAACTAACCTTCCGTAGAGGTTTTATGTTGTAGTTTTGTGGCTCGAATACAGACTTAACGACTGGAGAATAGAAAAACGAGAAGCATTCACTATGCCCACCAGCCACGTCCCCCTTTTATGGTGGCACGGATGTTCGTTGTCGGGCTTGGCTTTTTGCAACAGCACTAAACTATAGGTCCCCAGGCGGAGAGAACAACATTATCGCGTAGCCCTTCCTCTTCTTCCCACTCACATTCTCACTCTCTCGCGATGCCTAATCTCGAGGTCCCATTCTCCATGCCCAAGGGGCCCTCTTGTATACCTTCCGTCAACACTATCAAAGTCATTTTCCATGGCTTGCAAATTCTCGCTACTGTGCTTACTATTTGTGTCGTTGCACCTGTTATTGCCACCGAAGTGCGCTTTTATGTAAGTGTATATATATAGCCACCCATGATACTCGATATAAAAAGAGAGCGAGAGAGAGAGAGATAATAATAACAACATCTTAGGGTGCCAGTCAAGGGGGTCCCAACTATACACTTGCAGTGGGTTTAATGAGTTTGGCTGTTCCTATTGCCCTGATTGTTTTCCCTACCATCTACGACCGCCAAGGCAAATTCAGACGACTCGGCAAGTTCTTCTTGAAGCCAAGGACCAATCTCATATTTTGTGGATTCTACACGGTCGTGTGGATCACGTGCGGCATCGCTATTACCGTTCATGCAAACAACCCTGACAACTGCAATCTCTTTGATGATAAGGAAGAAGATTTTGGTGATGATTACAGGAATGCTTGGCCCACACAGGTAAAATCTTCGGAAGAGGAAGCGGATCGGAACAACAAGTGTGTGTGTTACATGGCTGAGGAGAGTTTGCTAACGGATTTAATTTCTAGTGTAATTGTGCCAAGGTAGCAGCTGGATTTGCATGGGCGACATGCATTCTTTGGTTTTGTTCGCTTGTGTGTACCTTGATTATCTTCTGGAGAGAGAAGCACCTTATCCAAAAGAATCTACGTCAACATGAGATGAACAAGCAAGCGGTTCTTCAAATGCAACAACAGCAAGAATCGGACGATGAGATGTATGGAGATACAGGTAGACATGGTGGTTATCGTGCATCTGGATATTATGAGGATGTGGAAGGAGAAGACCTTGGTGGTATGCGTCCTCAATCCTTTGAACAAGCTCGTCCTTTACAAGATCCTATTCCACCACCTGCAGCAGCAACTCATCAATCGCCATTCGACTCGCCTTACGATCCACCAGAGAATAAACGCATGTCATACGGATACCAGCAATATGAACATCCACCTCAACCTTATGATCCATACCCTGATACTATTCAACAACATCAACCACAGCCTTATGATCCTTACCCGGTTGATCAGCAGCAGCAACAACAACAACCATACAACTTGCATCAATCACCTTTCGATGATCATTATGGTAGATACTCGCCTGAACCACCCATGAACCATGCAGGAGCAACACCTACACCTCCTCCTCCACAACAAGGCTCATTTACCCCAGCCCCCATGGCTATGCCCGATCCAACACAGTACAACCACAACCCAACTCAACATCAGCCACAGCCACCCACCGATCATCATCAGCTATAACTATCTATTGGATGAAGATTCTTGTATACACACGTCTATACGATACATGTACACTTCTTCTATTGTATCATTTTCTTGTATTCTTGTACTTGTGAATCCCCTTCCCCCCTTTCAGAATACTATGTTAATATATTCTTTTTCTTTTCACACACCTATCAAAGTTGGATGGTAGAGACTGATAAAGGTTCATTTTGGGCAGAGAGGTGTGGTGGCATTTAGTATCCAAGAAACCATTGCTGCTTAGAGTATTCGGACATAGCTCATCCGGGCAATGGCAAGTTCTCTTTCATTATGTATGATCGATCCATTATCCTAATTTGGCCAATTTATGCATGGACAGCATTACACGTAGGCATCTGACATATGCGTACCATCACTTTATCAGCTTGTGCATCATCAATGTATCAAGGGTCCACCCCCCAACAAACATTTGTCATTCTTTGTGAGCACACAAATTCGCACGTTTACTTTTGTCAATATGTAAAAGAAAGCAAGGCTCTATGCGTACCTCATTTCTTGCAACCTTGTGGATAAGCGTTAATTGTTGTTGTGGTCATCCACAATGCTTCATTGCTGTCCTGTTTCATCATTGTCGTCGTGGTGGTCATTGTGATCTTGCATGCTTCTAATTAGGCAATGCCTAATCATATCGTTTGATCAGCCACATCTCATGCATTACATTTACTTTCGACATTGCTGCCTTTTATGATGCATTTTCAAAGTTGGATTTGGTGCCGACGCATGGCGCTCCAATCTGAGTTTGAACAACACATTGTGCATGAAAGCGTCAAAGTCCTCATTACTGTAGCCCTGCAAGCCAACTTTTCATTATGCTTCCTCTCACAATCATAACCACGGCTTCAACCAACGGGCGGATCAACTACAAAACATACACAAACGACATTCGACAATGATTGAGAAAACGACTTTGGGTACACTACTTGAATATCAGCAATGCATGTGGAAGAACGCAGGCTTTAGAGACAGAGGACAAAAGCGGGTGATAAAATGATGGCTCATCAAACTTCTTTACTATTCACATACACTGCTATTATCCTACCCACAAAAGCATCTTTCTATATACACACACCACCTTCCATGAAAAAGTTAAAATAAAGATGTTCACACGCATCATATATAGTGTGTATACAAAAAGTTATTGATACGAGCTGTACGGCTGTTATTGTTGATCCACTGCGTAGAAATGACCATAAGTCTTTGGTTGGTGTTGTTGAATTGTATATCAAAGTGTGGATCATAAAGTTGGCGTATTGCCGGCATCCGTATGACATGCGTTTTCAAAAGATGGATAATGTGTTAGTATGATTGACCACCTTTCTGAATAAGGATGATTGTCCTCACTTGTTGTCTTATGAGATGAGGAAGTAATATGCAATACTCATGTTATCATAGAACGGCGAATGAATCGCTGTATTATAAAGCAAAGCAGGAAGAATGGACTTTTGAGTGAATAAAGAAGCTAATGAATGATGACAGAGCTATACGAGGGGACTATAATAAGCGAAGGACATGAGGAATCAGAGTTCTTGTGATGGGATGCTGCGGACCCCCTTCTTTGATTTCGTAGGAAGCAAAGCTGCATGGATGTTGGGCATCACACCACCTTGGGAAATAGTGACATGAGCAAGCATCTTGTTGAGTTCTTCATCATTGCGAATAGCCAGCTGCAAGTGACGAGGATTGATGCGTTGTTTCTTGTTATCGCGTGCTGCATTGCCAGCGAGTTCAAGGATTTCAGCGCAAAGGTATTCGAGAACGGCAGCAAGATAAACACCAGAACCAGCACCCACACGAGCAGCGTAACGGCCTTTCTTCAAATAACGTTGTAGACGTGCGACAGGGAACTGCAAACCAGCTCTTGCTGATGCTGTACGATGAGGCTTGCGCTCGACACCGGAGGAGGAGGAGACAGTGGATGCGTCATTCATTGTGGAGGAGTGGAAAAGGAGGAAAGAGAGAGAGAGTGGATGAAAGGGGAACAATTTCCCCCCCCCCCATTCAAGTCCTTTTATATCCGCGCACAGACAATAAACACGCGTGGCATCCGATACTCACTTCTACACGTGGTACTCTACTACTACTACTACAGCTGCCCCCTTCTCTAATGGGATGCATTGGGTGGTGTTGATGATGATGACATGTCTTGTAGCTGTAGGTAATAAGGTATCAATCATGCCACATAATATATACCACTCACTACTAATAATCCAAGCCAAGGACATCACTGACGAATATTGGTATTCAATCATTTGAGGAGGATGGAGGGGGAGTAGGAATAATCTTGGTTTCTCTTTTTGTCCACGCGCAACTTACTTACCACCCGCATAATACCCACCCACACACACACACACACCCATCAACATGCGTTGGTCATTCCTACTTGTTGCTCTCTTATTATACACCATTGCAGCAGACGCATTACTACCAGAACTGGTTCTCGACCAAGACGATCGAAAAGCTGTACAAGTCGCATCATTTGGTTTCCTCACAGGTGGTCAACTCTCGCTGGATCTTCGCGATCTCGTGGTAAATGGGCACTCTTTATTGTCCAACGTTATCGACAACTATGTTGACTAAAGTACTTGCATATACAAGCTTTCCAATGACAGTGATACAGGCGAACTTGCATTCTATGTACGAAAGGCACGGCAGACATTGATGGAGGAAGATACCAGGGACAATGATGGCCAAGACCATGGCTCGAGCTCCGAACAGCCTACTTGTCTCTTGGATAGGAGCTACGTCAAAGAAGAGATCGATGATGGCACAAGCATTGTGGAGAAACTATCAACCAAAGAACGCACGTATGTCATGTCATGGATCGAAGGTCATTGAAAGGAGGGATAACTCAACCTATATACAATAGATGGCAAACATCCATCGCTGTACAACCACATGAAGAAGGATTATGGCAAGTTATCTTTGTCAATTGCAAACAACACTCGACCGTGTCTTTTCATGTGAGTATCTTGTTAAGAAATCCATGTCTCTCATTGCTAACAAAAGTAATCTAGTTGACGGTGGACCCTGTCAATCCTGGCAACAATCATCTTTCAGCAGGAGACACGCCACTTCCACTCGTTTATGGCATTTCTTCGGTGGCCTATCTATTGGTCGCATTCTATTGGTTGAGCTTGCTTGTTTTTCGAAAGGATACCCGCGTTTTCCGTGCACATTGGCTGATGTATGTGGTATTGTTTACGAGTCATGGCGTGTGTATACAAGGATTAATGGTAATGGTTAGGCTTGTGTTGGTCGTATGCATCCATATTGACAAGGCTTTACATTCGGTAAGAGCGTTGAGGATGGATTATATACATGGGAGATCTTGGTGGGGCTCATTGTCGTTTCACGTAGGCGAAGTTCTATTACAAAAAGAAAGGTGTCCTCACTGAAGGTTGGAGAATTGGCTTTTATATCTTTGCAAGGTAAATCAGAGCTATCATTTGCAGTTGTTGCCTTCTTAACACATCTCTATTAGCGTCAAAGGAATCCTCAGTATCTTGATCATTAGTAAGTGTGCAATGGAGTTCTCATACTAAAGTGGCGTTGCTAAAAGGAATCATGCAGTACTTCTTGCCTCGGGATGGATGTTTATCAAGCCCTTCCTTTCTTCCAAGGATAAGCGTGTCATTTCAATCGTTGTTCCACTCCAAGTCTTGGCCAATATTGCATCAGCCATTGGTAATGAAGCAGCTGTTGGATCTACTGACCGGTCATTCTGGGTAAGTAACAAGGGATAACATGGGTGTGCCAAACCGCTGATGTATGTTTATTATATAGAACATGGTGCTACCGCTTATTGACCTAGCAGGATGTGGCGTCATACTATGGACTATATTGCAAACTCGAAAGCATTTGGGTAGAGGGACATCTGCTGATGGAAAAGGTAAAACAATGATAGGATGCGATGATCGTTCCAATATTGAGACCTATCTTTTATTATAGAGGCCGATGTTTTGAACAAGTACAAGCTATGGTCTTCCTTTTACATTGTCACGTTGGTGTACATTTACGTTACGCGCATCATTGTTCAATTACTACAAGCATCGTTACCTTTCCAATACGTTACTTGGCTTGGAGAAGCGGTGGATGAAACGGCAACATTCCTCTTTTATGTGTTCATTGGATACAAGTTCAGGCCTTATCCCAACAATCCTTACACTCAAGTACCCGATGATGATGACGGCGATATAGAAACAAGAGCAAGTGGTGGTTCTCCCGAGAATGATGATGCCATGCGACTTTATCCTGTAGCACGTGGCCGATCAGCAGCAGAGAGCAATGAATCATTGTCATAGTAAATTGCTGAGTTTGTTTCCAATACACACACATCTCTCTCTTCTTGTGCCTTCCTTGCCTACACCATCTCTCACTCTTCACAATGTTGTACGCTTTTTACAAATCCATCTTACACTTTGGAGGTATACAGAAAAACGACCATCGAAACGACTTTATACTTTGAAATTCACTCAGCACTTGCATGCAGCACGTCCTTCAGCATGTCAGATTCTACGGCAACGATCATTCCACGCCGTGTCAAGGGTACAACAAGTGCCACCTGGCACCAACCAGAAACGGATACGCAACGCCATGCCTTTCTTTGACGCCGATCGTTTTGCTCGTTTATTGGAACGTGAGGGATTCTCAAGTGGACAAGCACGTGCAGTCATCAATTCATTGGATGATGTGGTTGATGAAAGGTACTTGGGAGATGACAAGGGAAAAGCATTTATATGTGTATATTGATGACCTGCCCTAGTACCACCATTGTCACTGCTGATCTCGTGAGCAAAGCAGACCAAGAACGAGTAAGTTTGCAATGAGGATGGGGGAAAGGTATGCATGACTAAGGACAAGGAAAATAGACAATCAAACAATACAAAGAGGACTTTGCTCGACTCAAGAATGAAATACAGCAAATGGAAGGACGTGATGTAGCCGAGGTCAAAACAGCCAACGAGCGATTGAAATCAGAGATTGAAAAGTTACGCAAACAATTACAAGAAGAGATCACTCGTAGCCAAGCTGGAGTCCGGCTAGACTTGAACTTGGAGAAGGGTCGTATCCGTGATGAGACAATTGAACAGCATGAGAGGTTAAGGAAGACGGATGACAAGATTGAAAATGAAATCCAAACACTTCGGCGACAAATGGAAGGCATCAAGCTGCAAATTCTGCAATACATGATCGGTAAGGAGGAGTCATGGTATGATTGTTAAGGATGAAGGGTATTGATTCGCTATGCTTAGGTACCATCACTGCCGCAGGCACCCTCGTTCTCAGTAAGTTGATGATGTCCATATCAGGTTGGCAAGCGTATTGATGATCAAATCATGTAGCATACATCCACTTTTTCTGAAGAAGGCAGCATGTTATATATAGGATAGACAATACGAATGTTTATATTTACAATTTAAAACTATCTACATCAATAATGGACTTTTCTACGTTTGTTGGGATTGACCACCGGTAGCAGTTTGCTGGGGTTGCTGTTCGCTAGCACCGGATTGCTGGGCACCAGATTCTTGAGCACCACCACCGCCACCTTGAGTCTGATTTTGTTGTTGTTGCAAGTTGCCGCTCAACACTAAATAACAACATGGGATGAGCTTAATGTATACATAAATGGGATTAGAGTTAGCCTTACCATGATCAATCAAATGCATCACACCATTATTCATGAGGATGTTAGGCTCAACGACGTTTGCAGTGTGGTTGACTAGTAGAAAGGAATCATTAATAACGCCAAAGTTAAAATGGATCATGCATGCTTACTTTGCACAGAGTCGTTAACAGGGGTCAATTCCAATTTGTTGTTGTTCTCATTCGTAACAAGGTTGCCATGTCCTTGTTGGTGAGCCACAGCAGTCAAGTTGTCAGCGTAGTAGACACCTTTGACAATATGTGCATCGACAAGCTTCTTGATCTGATCTTGGGAAGCAGCATAGTTGCTCAACAAGGATTGGAAGCTGGCATGGATACCCGAGCTGCTCAATGCATCATCCGTAGGAGCAAAGATAGTAATCTAGGGTGTTTGTAATTTCAAGGGAGTAATGGTGTAAGTACATGTGATGATGACCCATGGCATATGTATATCACCCTAGTCATACTTACGTTGGTCAAGTTGTTGATCTGTGAAGCGGATTGGTTGTTTTGTTGAACAAGCTGGGCAAGGGTGGATGTATTGGACACATTTTGGACGACCTCGGTAGGTGGACCAGGTGGAACCATCACTGTAAAGAAAATAAAATGTGAGCAAAGTATGCATAATAAACATGATCATCATTCAAATTTACCTCTGTCAATGACGTGAAGGATACCATTGGATGCTTGAATGTCGTACAAGGTAACATTGGAGAATTCAATGCCATTGCCTGCATGATAAACAGTTTGCGTGTTGTTGGCAGAGGACGTGCTGTTGCCACCAGAAGATGTGCTGTTGCCACCAGAAGATGTGCCATTGTTGCTACCACCACCACTTGAGGTGTCATTGGCTTGTTGATCCTGCAATACGGTGATTTGGCTCTGCTGTTGTTGGTCGCCATTGTCTTGCTGCTCACCATTGTCTCCTTGAGTGCTATTGTTTTCTTGGGTGCTATTCATGGTAACATTGTGGCGAGAAATGACAATGGGCAAACCGATACCATTCTTGTCAACAGTGCGGTTGGTCAAATCGCTGTTCAAGACGCTTGTATCATTGAGGTCCTTGAGCAAATACGAGCCATTGACAATGTGATATTGGATCAAATTGAGGATAGTGTAATTGGCACGTGCTCCTTCAGTAAATGGATTGTAGGTCTCATTGCCACTTGATGTTTGGTTGCCACTTGATGTTTGATTACCACCTTCAGTGGAATTTTGGCCTTGCTGTTGGTCACCTCCTTGTTGTTGGTCACCACCACCACCACCTTCGGTTTGATTTTGTGGTTGATCTTGCTGCAACACCTTGAGACCTTCAGGCAAAATAGCATTGAAAACATTGGCAAATTGCTGTTGTCCTTGATCCGAAGGAGGTTCTTGAGAGCCTGATCCCTCTTGTTGGTCCGATGGATTGTTGTCAGGGTTGTTTTCGCCATTGTCAGCTGGTGGTTCTTGTCCTCCACTGCCTTCTTGTTGTTGGCCTTCACCTGCTCCCATAGGTTCTTCAGAAGGTGATTGTTGGAAACCACTGCCATTTTGTTGCGAGAATGTATCCTCATTTGTGGTGGCATTTTGCTGGGCCATCTCATCAAAGGCCTTATCCGATGGCACAAAGACCGTATGGTTACCGGGATTGGATAGCAAGTCTAGAATGGGCTTGTATTTGGCATCCGATGTAATCAACTCCATAAACTTGTTGGCAGGCGACAATTGCGTTGTGTTGAGAATGCCCAAGAGTGTGGTGTTGGTCATTTGGGCTTGAACGCTGACCGCGCCCAATAAGCCAATGGCTGCCAGTTTTCCAATAAACATGACTTGAAAGAGAAAAAGTTGCAAGGGGTATTTGTTTTCCATTTTCCATTGCTTTTATATATACATCTTCCACATGGGTCATCATCATTCATGCCGCCCTTGTCATCCGAGTTTCGATATTTCTTTCATCCCATGAAACACGCCTACTCCGAAGCGACACCCGTCCCCTTATGAAGGTCTTTCCATTCGCAACGCTTTGAGCAAAAGAGCTATTGCTATTACATGCATTCTATTAATCAAGTATCATTCGAGTAGGCAAAAACGACAACATTGCTGGTGAATTTACTCAAGTAGGATGTCCATAAGTGGTAGCTGTCAAAATGGGCCACTATTTGAAACGTGAAGCTTGGCACGCATAAATGTATATCGCATGCCGAAACATATGCAATGATAAAGTCTTTTCAACGTGTCGTTATCGTATGGCTGATTAGATCAGTGGCCAATGATATAACTTTTGGTGTTGCTATGATAAGTGATGATCTTTTATTGCTAAGGATGTTCACGATATATATATGTTCAATGTATGGATTCTATGAATGATGTGGAAGATGCTAGTAAAGGGCTTCTAGCAATTGCCAGCATCAAAAGGAAAAGGGTTCTAGAAGGAACGAGCGAAAGCTAGGTCACGTGGTCACATGACCTACGACAAACGTGCATGCACACATCCCCCATGGCTGATACATCGCGTTAGACGTACACACTACTAAGCAGGATGACTACATATCCAATCATCTGCTGCAACAATGGCAGGAAGAAGAATACAAGGAAATGTTGTCAAGTGTGACGGACATGATCAGATAATACCAAACTGTTCTCAACATAGACGTGGTGTGTTACCACGGCGTATCGCAGCCAGGGATAACTATAAACGATCATCATATCATGCGATCACACGACACTTTTGATAGGCGCACAACGCCTCTCCGCTCATAAACGAGCCATAACCACCGCTGACATCATGATCAGCCAATCGGTTACATTACCATTGTGGTTACACAAAGAAAATAAAATTGGATGGAAAGGAAAAAGGGGGAAGAAGCGGTAGCCAGGCGGCTGAAAGTTCAGCCAATCATCATCTGAGAGTCATGTTCCACAAGCTTAATTTTATGCACGCTGTACTCCAAGGGATGGTTCTCGATGTTGTGTGTATAAAAACAGTGCAAATGATGGATGGTGATAATGAGATCAATGAATAGCTAATGATATTGTTAGGTCCACTAGAAAAAAGTGTGGATGGAAAAATAACCCACGTGCGCAGATGGTGTAAGGAGCAGCTATGTCATCATCTCTCTTCCCTGCTTTGTCTATTCCATACACACCCCGCACCTCTTTTACTTGGTTTACAATGTATGAACACCCGCAAGCTTTGATTTGATCAAGCCAAAGGATCGGTAGGACTACCAATGCGACACCCGATCTTGGAGAATCTACAAAGCGACAACTTCTTTACGATCGAGCAACAGCATTAGCAGCCAGTGACGAGTTTGAAGCAGCACTCAATGACGCGACAACCAATCGAGCAATGGCTCCTTCCTCTGACATGAGTTACTTATGTTAAGGCCACGTGCGTCAGCTACAAGAACGGCATGACGTGTATATCGATATCTTTCGGTTGCTCCATCATCCGACTTGAAGCACAATAGTATATGCGTTGGCTTCATTAACGAGCTTCCTTTCGAGATCACTGGAATGATCGTGGACAATAACATCGACCACATGAGCTTCATCAATGCTTTCAATTTGCCCTTTATGGCGAGAGAAGATCTTACGGTGTATACATGGTGTATGTACGTCCTCATCAGCAAGCACAGCTCAATATTGCCGGATTGATTCTCAAATATGGAGCGACCCAACCATTCCAATTCCAATCACTATGGTCTCTTTATTTGTGATGGTGAGTAAGTCGTGTGTCATCATTATCATCAGCTATGGAAACCTAATACATTCGTATAATAGAATATACCCTGATGATGCTAATGCAGCAACAGTACTTTCTTCTGGCATCGCTGCTATCGACCATGACGCATTTGGATATGAGGATGGAGGGTTTGGATTATTCACTTGGAGACGTTCTCGGCACTTTTCAGCATCCTGCTTCATTGGCATGCCACGATATAAGCAACGATACCAGGACTGCGCCTGAGAGCTATCCCAAATTGAAGAAGCTGAAGCTTTCGGGTGAAGAGGATGGGTTTCAATCTACTTGGTTGGACAACAAGATATCATAGCGACTACCAGCATGCATTCTGTGTGATACGTCGATCATCCCATTTGAAGACAATGGAGCCATTCAACCAGCCTCTGAGCTTTGACAACGAGGATCGTGTTCACCACCTAGACCACTACGTTTTCGAGGATGTGAGTGAGGTGATTATCGCCATGTCGAGTCCACCCGATTTAGGACCAGGAACGATCCCTTCGATACCACCGCAGCGTCTTTATTTCTCCCAAAAGACACGCCGTTGCCATTGGATACACTAGGGTTGTTGCGACTGGAAAAATCGACCATCAACCTACTTGACATCGGTAGCTCCGCGACCTGAGACAACGCTTTCTCCTCTTTCTCCCTCCTCTGTTTTTATCCCATTCACGACATGCGCCAAGGTAATGTATTATAGAAGAGTGTTCTGTTGTTTGTGAGGTATTAATGTAGTTCTGAATTTGCAATGTCAGGGAGTGAGCGTGTCCAAGTGCTAAGGAATGGGCGTGGTTGGTGGTTGGTGGTTGCCATGGCGATATGGTTGCTTCCTTTTGCTCGTTGCTATTCCCGCTCTACGCTTGGTGTCAACAGGTACATTCAGAGTCCAATGTTGCAGTCGAATTGGTTCCATTGACGCGTCAGCTTGTATAGATGGCAAGTTTGGTTTCAAGACGTTGGCTGGTTTGGCGTTTTGTTTCGGCTCAACTATACTATACCATGGTTTTCGGTTTCCAGTAACCAACAACACGGGTCTTTGTGTATATGGAAAAGGCAAGTACAATGAAACAAACAATGAAAAGGGTGTTATTGTGTGTGTGCTAATAATGAATTGAATAGGTTTCTTTGGTCAGGCAATGCAACTTGGGGCATCATCATCATCATCTCTTTGGGTTCAAGTCCCAGCCTGTATCAAGTGGCCGCTGCGTCGCTCTGCACTAGCCAAGTGTGCTGGAAAAGCTTCTTGGAACGCGTCCATGGCTCTATAGGCCTGCGTTTGAGTTGATGGGTCGATGACGATGGGTTGTTGGAAGAGCATGGTCACCGTGTTGAGGTAAAAGGGGATTTGCAATGGCTCGGCCGTGAATGTGTTGAACCAACACGCTCTTCTCGTGATAGGCTCGTTCTTTCCCTTGAGGATTTCTTTTCATGAGGTGGGAAATGATTGGAAGGATTGGGGATCATTCTTTCTTTGGAGAGGATGAATGAGAACAACTATGCGTCTGGACTCTACGTAAGTGATGTCCTTCCTTGCCATGGATCGAACTGGCCTTGCGTGATTCGTGCAGTGCTTTCTCAAGAACAAGGGATCGCCCGACGTTGCTCGTATGGTGGTGATTTGGTTTTTGAATTCCTTCTGATTTGCTTTCTTCCTTCGAGAGGATCGCCTAACGGTATACCAAATCGTCATCATTCCGGTACCAGATGGTCTAACTTGCCTGCTTTCTTATTTGTAGAGACGACCATTACGATGATTACCACATTCACAACAATGCCGATTACGATGATCACCCCATCTACAACAATGACAATGATGACGACAACGAGATTCAAAAGGAAGCCTGCAAGATCCCATTCTTTTCAACTTGTGTATTTTGGATGTTGGTGTGACGGATGAGATTGACGACTGGTGACGAGTACGGGTAGGAATGATGACGGAGGACGACTACGACGATGGTGGTGGCAATGTACAGTACATAGCAAGATAACTAGATGAAATAAAGTATTGTTTATTTACTACACGCTTGTTGGAGATTGCTAGCTTGTGGATTACATACTATTGCTTCGAAGGTGGAATAATAAAGGTGGTCCGGTTATCGGTCATGCAAGAAGTATATGGCTTTTGTGATACAATAAGGAGGAGTGGGAAGTGGGATGAGCTTGAGAAGAGAAAAAGTGAAGAGATCCCTCCATTGAGTTTCAGGATGAGTGACTCATTCAATATGTATACGTATCTTTTTACATATACAAATTGGTTTATGCAGCTCGACTTTCTTCTACATGCAAATGTGATACATACCTTGACACACCTTCATTATTGGATGCTCTTTACTTACGTACCTTCACAAAAGGCAACCATCATCATCATCCATTTGTGTAGCAACCTGTCAAGGACGTGTCTGTGTAACCACAACGTGCCATTTCACTCAGTTCTCCATCTTTCCGTTAATGCAGCCGACACCATCCACTAGGAGAAAGCAACTCCACCACGCTTACAGCTATGCAAAACATAAAGGCACTTGTATCTCTAAACTTTACAATCAAACGTGGGGTTTTGAATAGAGCAATGTGCTCGGCTTGGCCAACTGCACCTTGTGTGAAAGTTTCACGATCAAGCTTGCCTATCCCAGATTTCGCAATGTCGCCACCAGCCAAACTGGATCTGGGGGTCGACTTCTTCGACGACGATGACCAAAAAATATTTTTTGGGCTGTTTGCGACATTGAACGCGAAACTTTCACACAAGGTGCAGTTGGCCAAGCCGAGCACATTGCTCTAATAAAAACCCCACGTTTCATTGTAAAGTTTGGAGATACAGGCACCTTTATGTTTGTAAGCGTGATGCTATATGAAAGGTGGTCTTTGTTCATTGTGAAGTAGCTACACCCTGACAGAGCAAAAGATGCAGAGGGTCGTGTTGTGTAACACAGCTACGTTTGCATGAATGAAAGGGTCATGTATAATTACTTTATGGATCATCTAGGAACAGGCATGTATTGCTAGCTAACGGCCACTTTTATCCAATCATCCTTGTTGCGAGATCCACTACATGGGAACGATGCCACTGCTCTAGACATTCATTTCCATGGTTTAATTGTCTTGATCCGAGCCGATTTGGTTGAACTACGGTCAAAGAGAGATTACATCACTCTCCACATAGAGCGTGCTAGAGGTAGCTCAACCGATGTAATCTTGTGTGAGCGTAACTCAACCAAATCAGCTCGGATCAACCTACTTTAATCATGGAAATGAATGTCTCGAGCAGGAGCATCGTCCACCTACAATAGAATGCACAAAAGTTGGGAATGCACAAAAGTGGCTATTAGCTGCCAATGTATGACATAAAGTGAGGGTTGCGTACCTTTCATGCATTGTCCCTGAAGTCCTGACTTTTTAGCTGAGTTACCCAAAGAGGTCCTTCTGTATCTTTTGCTCTATTATAGTCATACTACTTTACATTAAACAAAGACCACTTCTCATATAGCATCACGCTTACAAACATAAAGGTGCCTGTATCTCCGAACTTTACAATGAAACGTGGGGTTTTTATTAGAGCAATGGGCTCGGCTTGGCCAACAGCACCTTGTGTGAAAGTTTCGCGTTCAATGTCGCAAACAGCCCAAAAAATATTTTTTTGGTCGTCGTCGTCGAAGAGGTCGACCCCCAGATCCAGTTTGGCTGGTGGCGACATTGCGAAATCTGGGATTGGCCACGATGAACTTCATATTTTGACACAAGATTCCTTTGACCCCGACAAGCACGTTGATCTATTAAAGAGCCCACGTTTGATTGTAAAGTTTGGAGAAACAGACACCTTTATGTTTTACATATTCTGTATGCGTGATGCTATATGAAAAGTGGTCTTTGTTCATTGTCGAGTAGCCAGACCCTGGCAGAGCAAAAGATGGAGAGGGACGTGTTTGTGTAACACAGCTATCTTGCATGACTGAAAGGATTGATGGATTATACTTTATGGCTATCAATAATAGTCCATATATTACGCGCTATCAGCCATTTCCTCACAATCAGCGTTGTTGCAAAATCCATTGCATGTGAACGATTCTCCTGCTCCAGCCGAGCATTTCCATCATTCAAGTTTCTTGATCCGAGCCGATTTGGCTGAGCTACGCCCAAACAGTGAATCTATAAATTGTTGAAAGACAGACCCTGCGAATGTCTCCGTCTTTCAAACTTTTGGACGCTCTCGTTCTAAATTTTCAAATGAAGCGTGAGGTTTTTATTTGAGAAAAGTGGATCAGCATGCTCGGAGCATCATCCTGACCAATCTGCAAGTTGGAAGTGGGCAACTTCGGGGCGGTAGGCCGTTCACTCTTTTGTTCCCGTCATCCACCATTTGGGCCGCCCCGCATTTTAGATCTTCACAATGAAGTCTGCGGCTTTTAAATGAATGATGTTGATCAGCATGCCCGGGAGCACCTTGTGTGAAAGTTTCAGGTTCGAGAGGGGCAATCACAACATCAAGGATTGGATGTACAGTGTTCATGCATTAATACAACAAGGGGTGTCCGACAAATTTAATTTCCACTTGTTCCACTCCCAGCCTCTTCCCTCTTCCTCCCATTCTCAACTGTTGGCCCCATTCAAGTATACAACTACCATCTGCGAACGATTGTCCTGCTTCAACCCATCATATCGAGCCTCTCATGTGTTGATCCGAATGCCTTCGACTGAATGGCAAGTGCATGGAGTGTACACAGCCATCTTGTCACTCTTCTACAACACACTCCTTCCTTGATACTACACATTGTCATGCACACTCCTCTGCCACGCTCAAACGTAACAGCATTCATTCCAGCAGTTGTTATTAGCTCCATTGTCTCAAGCAGCGTTCACAACCTTGTCATTCTACTACAACTCGCGCTCTTGCACGTTCCTCTGCCACAACCAATCGTAACAGCAATTGCCATTACCAAGGTCGTTACCATTGTCTCAAGTTACTTGCAGCAACCTCCATTGTGGCCTTTATTACGTGAACAGCAGATACCCATGGTTATAGAAGCAACTTTATTTACGTGTAACAACTTGCTTTGGTACATACGGATCCCTATGGATGATGCCATATCAGCTATCAAGTACGCCGCAATACAAGCGATCTTCACCTGGTTGAGCTGCGATAGAGAACGACCAAGAATGAGATAGACCAATTCCCGGATCGAAAAGCAAGCATGCCAGCAGCGATCACATGGTTCTTTTCAAGCAACATATTGGATTTGATGGATGGATGCAATCAAGTGCAGTGATGAGATATCCTGGAATATTGCTTTGGTTACTTGTCGCGTTGTCAGCAGGAAGGGTGGATCATGTCACATGGAAATGGCTGAGGATGATGATGGATTGGATGGGATTGAAGAGAAGGTTTGTATCTTTGACGAAAGAAGGTGTCTTACAGCTATGGATGATATTAGAATACTCAAGTCAATGAATGCAGCAGCTATTTTACCATCATGCTTTATGACAGCAGCAACCGAGAACACAATGACTCAATCATCCCTATTGTCTCTATGTGATTCACCCGTATCTCATTCAATTTACATCACTGTTTCTTTATCAATACACATCCACATTACCATGTTTTATTCTTCGACTTATGCATTGAATGGAAATTGGATGCAATATGATGCTTAGGAGGGTATCGTACTATATGCTAATATGTGCAAGATGTGGATCACTTGGTTGCTTCCTGGTTGAAAGGGGGAATAGAAAGTTGAAGGTTGGGAGGCGAGATTGGATCATTCACATCATCGTGTCGAGATGCTGTGTTGTTTGTCACATTGCTGTATTGCGTTCATTCAAGGTTCATAGTTCACATACTGATAGACGAAAAGCAGGGGTTCCTCAAACAATTGCATTGCAATATAGTAAATTCGAGAATGATGATGCCTAAGATAAAGCTTGCTACAGGAGCTTGGTTCATTGTAAGCTTAATTCATTATGTTCAAGAAAGAGTGAGTTGTGATACAATGATTCATGAGCGCATGAACATACCATACTTATGAGGGCCCACATGTTGGTTGTACAGGTTCAGGCGTGGAAAAGTGGAATAGGATTATCCATTCAGGCTTGGTTGCCATGGCGATCCTTGGCTCTGGTTGCTGCTTTATCAGCTCATGCATCAAATTTATCAATGCATCATCCCCAACAGACAACAATACTCACGCCCACAATACACAATAAAAAGGATGTTGTCGACGCCCATCATATTCCCCCACATCTCTTTCCACTGTCATACTCCTTTGATTGCTTACAAGGTCAACTTCCCAAGGTTTTGTACGTATCCCATTTCTTACCAACTTTGTGAACAAGCGCTGATCTTTGTGGTATTTCATAGTGCTTTATTTTTATCCTACTCTCATGGTGATATTGTATTCTTGTAACGAGATAAAGCTTGATCATGTTGCTTGATGAGTCAATGCTCATACACGCTACCTTGTTCCTTTCGATATAGCTATCTCTTCGTGAAGCATCTGCAAAAGTTGGTTTCGGTACCGTGGTCTACGTCAGGTGCTGAAGTTGATTTGGTGCATTTGCCATGGTGCAAATAGCAGGGGAATCACCCCCCCAACTCCCATGGTGGAGATTTAACCGGCTTCTCTATCGATGTGCATAGACTTAATCGCATCGTGATCTTTCAAGTGATAGGTAATAATACATGACAGCCAACGGATCTCGAAACTAATTTGAACTTATATATAGGTTACACGATCACATTCTACGTTGTAGTTCTTTACGATGACGGCTTGTATGTGGTTGCTGAGCTAAACCAGATCAATCTCCCATCCTCTGTATCAGAGCTACATGACTTCGTATCACAACAATCTCTCGACAAACTCCTTGACATGTATAAGACCCTGCAGAACATATCACCAAATCTGAATTTCGAACAATGGCAACTCTTTCATCGCATTACTCTGGATACTCCAAGTTTTAAATCAGTCATATCCAAAACAAGAAGCAGCTAAATTTGTCTTGTGCACCTTTAATGATTCCCATCATCAACGACTACCGCTGTTACTAGTAGTAACTATTTTCAATGATCCCATATTCATCCTATGTACCGTTGTATAGAAACCATTTGATTTCATGTGTGTAAACTTTTGACATCAGCTGATATCAATTGTTATTTGCACACAAGGTGCGGTTGACCTAGCCGAGCAACTTTGATCTATTAAAGTCCCCACGTTTGATTGTAAGATTTTGAAATATGGGTATCTTTATGTTTTTTACTATGCTTTAAGCGTAGTGCTATCAGAAAAGTGCTTTTTGTTTGTTGTCAAGCAAATCAACCTTAGTAGAGCCAAAGATGCAGAGGGTGGTGTTTGTGTAACCCAGGCTTTCATGCAACTCAAAAAGGCAATGCATTCTACATACATTGTTAAATAGCACATCATAAATTGGCAGCTATCATGCACTTCTTCCCATTCCCGACTGTTGCCCAATCCACTGCATCGGAACGATTGTCCTGGTCCCGACATGGATGTCCATCATTCAACTTTCTTGATCCGATGAGATTTGACTGAAAAACGCTCAAACACAGAAACATCATCCAATATCAGAAGAATCAAATTGGTAAGTTATTTGTAAACTGCCAGCTAATAGCCCACTCCTCCCATTCCCCCATTTTTCCTCAATCCAATGCATGCGAACGATTGTTCTGCTCTAGCACATCATGCTCATCCTTCAACTTTCTTGATCCGAGGGGATTTGGGTGAGTTATGGACAAACACAAAACATCATCCAATATGAGAAAAATCATTTTGGTAAGTTATTTGTAAACTGCCGGCTAATAGCCCATTCCTCCCAATCACCTTTGTTGCCTAATCCAATGCATGTGAACGCTTGTCCTGCTCCAGCACATCATTGTCATCATTCAACTTTGTTGATTCAAGAGGATTGACTGAACGACGCTCAAACCAAGAAAGGCCATCCAACCATCAGAAGAATCCTTTTAATTTCAACTTCTTCCACTCTCAGCGTATTTCCCTTTTCCTCCCATTCTCAACTGTTGCCCCATTCAAGTATACAACTACCACCTGCAAACGATTGTCCTGCTTCAGCCCACCATGTCAATCCTACAACTGCCTTGATCCGATTGTCTTGGACTGAATGGCAAGTGCATGGCGTGTGCACCTCACTACAACACCCGCGTTTCTTGACACCACCATCTCTTGTACAATCCTCGACCACAACCAATCGTAACAGCATTCATTCCACCAGTTGCTACCAGCAAGGTCTTGCTCCGATGTCATCATTTACTTGTAGCAACCTGCCTTGCAGCCCTTTTTCTTACGCGAACGCAGATAGCCATTGTATAGAAGCAGCTTGATCGTTTAGCAACTTGCCGTGATACATACGGATTCCTATGGATGATGTCATATCAGCCATCAACTACTCCTGGTTGAGCTGCAATGAAATGACCAAGAAAGAGGTAGACCAGCAACCGGATGGTAAAGGAAGCATACCAGCAGCGATCAGAGAGACCCTTATTGGACTTGCAATGGTTATGGATGGATGGGATGGATTCAATCAAGTGCAGTGATGAGAAAGGAATCCTAGAATGTTGCTTTGGTTACTTGTCGCACTGCCAGCAGGAATGATCACGTGGATACGGCTGAGGATGATGATGGACTGGATGGGATTGTCGAGGGCTTTTATCTTTGAAAAGGTGTCTTACGGCCATGGATGATATTGGAATACTCAAAAGTCAATGCATGCAGCAGCTATTTGCAATAATGGATGAAGATGCTTATGGCAGCAGCAATCAAGAATACAATGACACAACGACACAATGATACCCGTTGGCTCTATGTGATTCACTTACACCTTTTTTCATTTGGCAATGCTGTTTCTTTATCTATATCATAGTTGCTTGATAAATATCCTTACTACCATGTCTTCAATCGAATAAACACTGGATTGAACATAATACCTAGAGTATCGTGCTATCAGCTCATATGTGCAAGATGTGGATCACTTGGTTGGTTTCTGGATCGAAAGGGGAACTAGAAACTTGATGGTCGGAAAGCGAGATTGTATCGAGATGCTTTTGTTCTTTTCATTTCTAAAAGGAAAACCCATAAACAACAACCTGAACCAAGGGTCGCCATGGCAACCAGGCTTGAATGGAGAATCCTACTCCACTTGTCCCCTCGTATTCAAGAAGTATGCATGTCATCCCCCTTTTATTTGATTTCAATGCGCTATTGGACATTTTGCGGGCTTAAATTTCTCTGGACCCAGTTCGTAGATACAATAGCCATCAGGATACACTGGTTTGTAGATTTCAAACAACACCTTGTATCGATTTGTCTTTTCATCAGGCTTTGTGGGGGTACGAAGAGTCGACTTGAAACGTGGAAGCATCATGTGTCTGACGATCCATGCTTGTAGCAACAAGCCTTTGTCAACCAGGCGCGACAGGTTCTTCGATGCTGGTGGTAATCCAAATCCTTCAACGTCAAGTGGATCAAGCAACGATGGTATTAACCTGTACACAAGCCCATGGATGAATCGAGGATAAATGCTGAGCAAATGTTCAACGGTGGGTTGGGCGACTTTCCAGTTGTTTGGCGAGTATCGTACATTTTCATGCATGTATTGCTAGCACGTATGTATATCAATGAGCTACTCACACCCATAGCAACCACGCCTACTCACAATATGGAACGTATTCATAGCATCCAATGACTCCGGGATATCCTTGATCTTCATCTCTTTACCAATGTCATACCATATACGGTAAATTGCCTGCATCAAACGATGAGGTGAGTGATGGATGATCATATGCATTATGTGCATACTTACGTTTTCTTCCAAAGGATCAAGCTTACGCCATCCATAACGATTGACCCATTTGACCGGCTGGATTATAAAGAGTGACAAGGTATAGAGATAATCACCGTTAAGGATTTGGTATTTGCCGTGTATTTCATTAAGGCGCTCAATAGCAATTTTAGCACGACCTCGTTGCTCAGACTCGATTTTCTCAACATCCACGTTGGCATGTTTACGCTTCTCGATTTCGATATGAGCATAAGGATCAACAATCTCAGCCTGTGTATGAAAAGCATGTTAATTCAGCAAACATGGCATCATCTAATTCAACTTGAAGAGAGGGGGGTCCTGACCAAGATTAATCCAGTATCTTCAGCTCGCTTGGCAGCACTTTTGGAAAACTCGCCTGTCGCTGCAAGAATCTTGCTAATTGTTGGTACCGAGTATGTCTTGAAAAGAGCCAATTCCAGTGATAGTCGACCAAGAACTACAATGACGACATGAGTTAATCGACTTGGCTTGGCCAATAGCAGCACATCGGGATAGATTACATGGAAAGTCATAGCGAAAGGTGGTGTCAAAGATCTCCTCTGCCACTTTGGCATCCCGTAACGGAAGCGTCGGATCAGGATACTTGCGGCGTAATGCATTGATGTATCGAAAGCGTATCATATGCACCAATGCTAGATAGCTGACAATGATGGCGGCACCGCCAGCAATGTATGTTGTTGTTGATTGTTCTTGGATGATTGTCAATAAACGATCGAGCAAGTCCATAGCTTTGGATGTGAAGGAAGAGGCGTATTATGTAAATGAGTTGCTCCTTAAATAGGGGTGTTGGATTGATGCCGTAATTTTACCCGCAAGGCCATCTGGTGACACAACCAGGTGAGCCTTTAGCTTTGTTGATCTTCCCGCCCCCTTTGTTTTTTTGCCCCACACCATAACATTTCGTATGCATATGTTAAAGATAAAGTGCATTTTTGTGATCATGCTTATGACCACGCGATTAGAATACTTGGACCACGCACGCGTGGGGCTGTATGCCATGTTACCGCAATACGCGACTTGGGACGGTAAAGTGGTACAGCTTGGCAGCCAGCAAACCAGCACCAGCGGTTATTCTTTCGGGTAGGTCCATACATGCAACAACAACCTGTAGCGGTGTACCAAATTCATAGCAAAAGCTGGTTAGGATCTAATGCATAGTATGAGTCAAATTGTTCCGTTAATTACATTCATGGAAAAATCTTTGGGTATGGGATGATGGGCACATCAAAGAACGATATGGCCGTCAACTTCTTCATCAGAGAGAGCAAGGCTGCTTTTAACTTAATATCGGCATCGATCCCACCATACACCTTGCTATTGTATGGCTATATGCAGCGTAATGTGGGATCGATTTCGAAATCTATGGTATCATTAGACTACGCTTCTTGCGCGATAAGAATCAATAGAATGACATGAGCCGATTCTTGGAGCAAAGCCTACTTGCTACTCATACTAGCAATTTTTGCTTCTCGACGACATCAACAATAAAGAGATGCAGATACAGCAATGGTGAAAAACGACTTACGGCATGAAGTCCCCGGTTTGGAAGCTCCATGAGATGTTCCCACGTTAATGTTTGCCTGATCTCAATCACCCCAGCAAGAATCCATCGAAAACTTACTGCATAAACAAAATCGCCGATAGGCGTAGTATGTCTCCTGTAGTCAAATAGTGCAAAGACGTGTTGGCATTCGATTGCTTATGGCAGTACGAACACGTGGTTGAAGGTAGAAACAAAGATCGAGAATAAAACACGGTGTGTACAATGGTCCATGCAAAGACATGGACTTCCAAACAAAAAGATGCTATGGTGGTCATGGGGTTGTTAATAAGAAAGAAGACCACGTAGACTGCTCTCTAACAATGAAGCATATTGTGCCCATTTATGGTCTTTCATTGGATCTAGCATGACAATCTTTGGGAGCCTAGGTGATAAGGCACCCCTGCTGAGTGATGCTTTCGAGTCTAATATGAAGTTATGCAGATGGCTAAGTGATAATGCGTTGGGATTTGATGAACCTACCATGACACAAGCAAACTCGATTCATGCAACAACCATTGAGACGCGTTTTCATATGATGGTATAGTATTGGTATGTATTCATTACAGCAAATTAAGTGAGCTAATCATATATAAGGGCTTGTATAGGTGATGTAGGATCCATGATCATTCATTCGCATCATTGATGCCATCCTCGAGAATAGCAAACATGGCTTCATTTTCTGGTAAAGATGGCGAATCATAGACTTTGCACACGCGATTTTCGCCACGGCCCTTGCGGAAATACAATCTACAATATCATAAATGCGTGAGCCATCATGGGATTGGCAGTAGTAGTAATGCAATAAAAGGCATTGTGTACCTTGTAGTAGAAGCATGTGCGATGATATGACCCCCTGTTGGCTTTTTTGGATCAGGATTAAACATGGCCGAATTTCCATCAGGTTGAGACACGACATGGTTGGTGATCACGACAGCCACGCCAAACTGTAAATCCAAGGGGAAGAATGGTAAGATCCTCTAACCAAAATACGCTTGTGTGTGTATGTGCATACATACTTCATCAGCAAGCCGTTGCAATTGACGCATGAAACGTGCCAAATTCATTTGACGAGCTGAAAGTTCCCCACGACCAAAGTAATCAGTGCGATACAAGGCAATGACGCTGTCAACAATAAGAACGGCAAATCTGGATGCAAAACGATCGTTAGAGCTACGTTGTATGCAAAGGATATCACCATACACATACCGTGCTTGGGACATGATAGCTGATGCTTGAACAAGGAGAGCCATTTGATGATCACTGTTATAGGCACGTGCATAAGCAATGTTGTTGAGCGTTTCTTCACTTGCAAGATGGAAGCGTTGTGCCGTAGCAAGGATGCGAGCAGGTCGAAAAGTGCCTTCTGTATCGATGTACAAGCATCGTCCTTCTGCACCACCTTGATCCACAGGGAGCTGTCAAGTAGTAGTCGTACGCGATCAATACCAAACCCATTTCCTTGTCACCCCAATCGTCTCCATTAGCCCACCATACTTGACATGTCACCGCCAATGTGTGGCATAATTGTGTTTTGCCAGTACGGAACTCGCCAAACAATTCGACAATGGTCCCTGTTTCAATGCCACCTACGTATATCAAGGTTAGGGTGATTGTTGCACACGCAGTCTGTGCACGGCCTATTTACCGCCAAGAGCGCGATCCAGCTCTTTGGAACCAGTGGTGATTCGGATAATCTCGTGGCGACGTTGTTGGATTTCCATAGCCGTGGTGAAACCAAGATCAATCATGGCATGCACTGATATCGATGGTAAAGCTGTTTAGCTAAAAGATCCTCTTCATTACATACATAACAACATGCATGCTTACCTTGTTTACATATCTTCTCGATCTTGTTTTCAGATAAACCTTTGATTGCAATCAACGCCTTTTTGGGTGTGTATGCCACTGCCTCCATCGTAAAGTAACCGGCTTCTTTGAGCTTTTTGATATCGATCGCTGCTATACCATATTTCTAGTCAAAGAAGCACGTTAACATTGTGATTAAATGCCAAGGTAACAAGTTGTTTTTATATCCCCCACCTCAAGAACATCAATCAAGGTTGCACCATTATCTCCTTCAAGCTCTCCTTGTTCCTGTTGCAGTGAGACATTGGGATCGTCGCCGCTTGGTTCATGTTGTTGTTCAGAGGACATGTTTCAGTTTTAGAAGAAATGGGCTGAGAATGGAAAGAGAAGCGATGGATGTGTGTGGGGGAGAGAGAGAGAACTTTTTATTGCTGGGCGCCCAAAGGGCAAATCATTGATCATTAACAATGGGTGTGGCGATATTGAAAGACTTATATAAAAGAAACCAAAAGGGAAAAAGGAAAACAAAAAGTGTGTACACGAAGAGAGAGTGAGAAAGACAAACAGGAGGTAACAAGCAAATGAAGAGGTCAATGATGGGGTGGCATAGCATTAGCCATGTTGGAGATTGGGTGCATCGGGAGTGGCGGTGGTGAAGGAGACGAGGATTGATTGATAGGATAAATTGGATACTGCATACTCGGATAATCCAATGCTGCAGTTGTAAATGTACGCTTTGAAAGTTGATCTACACGATTCGGTATTAGCATCGTTCCCAGAACATTCCATGTGTCACCTTTATACGTACCCATTAAACTTGGGATCGGCGTTGTAGCCTTCCATTCGTTACTTTTTTGTTTCGGCGTCATCCATGCAGTTTCAGCGGGTGGAGATGGGGAGGAACGGACCAACATGCTTGAGCCATTAGAAGAAGTGGATGAAGATGGTGACAGGGATAAGTTTAGCATCGATGATGTAATAGGTTGGGTGGAAGATGCACTTTGACGGGGAACGGGTGATGATGGTGGTGATGATTTCTCACTACTCGTACTGCTGGGACTAGTAGACATGAGATTGTTGTTGTTGCATGATGATGACGATGGTGGTGGTGTGCAAGTGTCCTTGGCTACATAAGAAAAATAGGATGTGAGCCTTTCCTTGATCTTTTTCGAAAGGACCGGGATGTTCCTGTGTATATCTAAATTCCCGAGAAACACTAACCTGCCATCATGACGGAGCGTAAGGCAGCTTGTTCCTTGGCAACACTGATTCCTTGAACGGAGTGTCTATGTTGTCGCACACCCAATGATGATGGCAAAGGAGGTTGAGGAGATGACAACTTGCGTGCATTGTCACTATTATTGGTAGGGCTACCATCCGTATGGAATGATGTGCTTTGAGATAATGGGCTTGGTGTAAAGGCCGTCATCAACTTTTCGATACGACGTAGACGATCTTCAATTCGATCTATGGCATCAGTGCCTTGATCGGATCCTGATGCAGCTCCACTCGATGATGAAGAAGAAGAAGCTGATAAAGTAGCCATGTTGGTGGTGAGATTGATATTGTTGTGAGAAAGCGATCGCTTGCGTCGCTCTGAATTATTGATACATTCGATGCCAGCACTAGCACAAAATGCACACGGGTTGCCGCCATCGCATTTTGTCTTTCGTCGTCGACAAGTTTCACAAGCAGAGCCTGAGCTAAGTCGTCGAGCATTGGTAGTAGTAAAAACGCTACGTGCGTGATCTGAGACAACGCTATAGACACAGTCCAGCTGGGCCTCGTTGCAGTTGCCACATGGTCTTTTGCCGTTGCACACTCGTTTTCGCCTTTTACAAGGCTCGCAGCCTCTATAGGTTGAGCACCTTTCGATAAGGAGGTTGCGACTTGTCACCGGTGTCATTAGACAAGGAAGATAAAAACGATGATGTGCTTTGAAAAAGAAAAGGTAAAAATGGGTATGATCAAATGTGTGTGCGTGGGGGGAGATGAAGAATAAAAAGAAAAAGAAATGGTGGTGTGGGTGGCAAAAGGGCAAAAGGGATCCTCCTTTCAAGTCCCGTCATATCGGAAGCAAGCCCGCAACACACACCAACGGGGAATCGGGTCGGCAGCCGTGTACCAATGGCTTCTGCCCCGCTTCCCGTAATTCATCCAAGTCCATGGTTGGTTTATGTTTCAAATTATAACGTATCTCAGTGCCTTAATCCTTCTCGGAACTAACTCTTTCATCACAAACAATGTACTCAAAAAGTCACTTGCATGCTACGTTGCCTGTGCTTTTACTTTGTACCCCTGTCCCTGTGCTATACTGCTATTTTCATTATCATCGGTTCCATCCGCTAACCCACTTTTTTTTAGATGCATGCATATACAGGTGTGCCAATAGTCCATCGGCATGAGTAAAGGGGTCAAGTGGATGGGTTCCCAGGATAATTTTTTTTCTCTTTTGCGCATTACAATCTCCCATGTTGGATCCATGTTGTGGGGGTTGATGTTTCACATGCCGCCAGGTCTTATCCATTGCGTCAGCGTCGCACGGAACGTTGTACGAGTGCCAAACGTGCCTTGAGCAAAAACAAACAAGAGCCGAATCACTCTCACTTTTATCAACATTACCCCTTGTTCTTTGTTGTCGTCTTTTTCTTTTATGGTTAACGGCATCATCATTTGCTGCAAAAGCTCACTTTATTTGACGGGTTGGTTCTTTGCCCCAGCAACAAGTTCCCAACATGAAGTATGAGTGGGGGATAGCCATCAGCTCTTTTGTCACCTACTCACGGTCTCGGTACAACACCAGTCTTCGTCGGCAATACGTACCACAAGCAGTGCGGGAACTCGGCAGCTAAAAGATTTTAGTTGCCATTTGTCATTAAACCCAATGCAACTTTTGATTATCAAAAAGACGAAACAAGGACACACATGCGGGTAGCCAAAAAGCGGGGGGAGAAGGTGATCAAGCTTGTTTAGTGCAGCACATACATTTATGAAACTGCGGCATACAAAAACAGAGAGCGTGTGTGTGTACGCATATCTTTTGGCATCCACAATTCTGTCAACAAAGATCGGATACGAAACAAGGTTACATACATACCCAGCTTTCAACGAGCAGCAGCTTTCCTCTTGTTTCCGGTTGAATGACAAGAAAACCTTATCCGGGATTACCTTCTCTTATCGCGCCTTAAAAAGGAAAACGCATTGGTTTTTTTTCTTTGTGCAAGCGATAGGAATCGTCATCCATTTCCTTCCGCGCGAATGTAAATGAGTGATGGTTACTAGTGGGTGGCGTCTTTGTCCTTTTTTTATTTCACAAAAAAGTAGCACAGATCACACAATGAAAGAAAGCTTGGTATACAATCGGGTGGGTGGGT